GGGCGTATTTTTTTAAAGAAGAAGACAAATGCAAGCAACTGTGAAAATTTAATTTACTGTTAACCAAATTGCCATTGTGATTTGCTGATGACAGAAGTACTTTAAAAAAAAATTTCGATTGTCTGCTGAATGGCGGATGGGGCCGCAAATATTTTAAAGTTGAAATAAAATATTCCAAATCAGGTCCCACATAGCAATTTGAAATTTCCCTGTAAGCTTACCTTGACCATACATGAGATCTTTGTGAAGTTGACAAATATATTTTTTTGGGGTTTATTTTTTTGGCAACAAATGTAGTTTTAAAAACCTGGGAAAACCTGGAAAATTCAGGGAATTTGAAATGAGGAAAAGCGTGGCAATATTCTGAATATCGGAAGATGATTAAATGTCTTAATTTTTGTTTTTTCCTCCTTTTCATCTTGTTAGTGAAGGGAAAGATGCGATGGTGAAGATAAAAAAGAAGAGACTGTAGTTGCTTTCCTGAATTTCTAAGTAGTTTTGTGAGAAATGGAATGACGTGGAAGTAGGACTTCATATAAGTCGTGAAGATGACCTATGCATTTGAATAAGTAACACGTTTCTATTGCGGAGCACCTGCGAGATCCAGCTGTGTCGCGTGACACATGTGAATTACAATTGTACGAATACACACACGGCTTTATTAGATTCTCGCGAATAATATAACCGGACATTGAATGTTGTGCCACTCGAAAATCTCAACAATGAAACTCCATAATTAGATCATTGGATGTTTATGTCGCGTAGTGAAATACTTTTTAGTTTTTTTTATAAACAATCAACTGCTGCGCTGGAGATACTTGAGTCAAAAAGCAAGAATTTATGCGTTCGCATGAATTCTCGCCACGGATGAGAGATGCGTGATCTTTATGAGCCATGAATATTGTACGAGGTGTTGTCTGAGGTGCTGGCTTCGGTGTCATTTATTCGAATATCTTTTTCAATAAGACTGAGATCGCTTTTTATGAGGTTGACAATAAGCGTCCGCAAGGAATATCCGGAGTCGTCTCTCTCTCTCCGCTTCGTCTTGAATTCTTGATTGGATCTACAAAACGCTCCGTTATTTAGTTTGCGCTACTCTTTTGCATGTAATTAACATTTTTATACCATGTTAATTATAATTACCATCTGATTATGATAACCGACGTGTAATTATGAAATACATCACCGAATAATTATCAGTATACCTATTACAGGAAAATTTCTCTATTTTCAATTCATTTACATGTAGATTAATTCATTTATTTATCATCTAATCAGCAACTTGAAATTTATTTCAATTTTAATAATTATTATTTTTAATAGAAAATTTTTAAAAATAATTTCACACTTTTATCGTTTTGCTTTTAAATCGAAAACATTAATATGAGATAAAATTGGAAATTTTTTTACCATTTTGAGAAATAATGGGAAAGAGGATAAATCGCACATTCTAAATTTCGGTGATTTATCTGCAAAGTTCATTATTCTAGAATTTTTTTTTCCACTTGATCATTTCTATGTAAATTACAAAATGTTATTACAATTCAAAAATTTTCGCATAATTTTTTCAGTGTTATAAACTTTATCACTTGTTCAATTAATGATTAAACAAATTTACATTTTATAATATACTTTTGTAAAAATCTTTTTAATATTAAAGTTGTGCCAATTTCAAATATTCTATCAGCTATCACGAAATAATAATAATTGAGGGAATATTTCAATTTTTTCATATTAATGTAAAAGTTGACATTTTCAGATTTAGAGACTGTGTTATTATGTAATTAATATGCATTTTTAACACGAAAAGTTTGAGAAAATGAAATTCGTTTTTAAAGTTATATGAATATCGTTGTATTAGTATTGGAATATGTTGCGCAGTGTGACGTGTGAACGTAAACTTGGATAGGTGTGTTCAACAATATCACACGTGAACACACATAACTGCGAGTGTCATATGTTGGACGTGACTTGTAATTAACATTTCCATTCCTTGGAAAATTAGATAATTTTGATAATCCGAGTCTAGTGTAAAATTACAACTTGATTACACAACTTGGCGAAAATTGCTCAGCAAATTAGAAAAAATTGCGACTCAATTATTTATTGATTAGATCATTTTCATTCAATTTTACAAAGAAAAATATTAATAATAACGTATTAGAATGCAAATTGTAATATTTTTTATTACTAACTAGAAGCATTATTTTATTTTATTTTAATTAATTTTTGAAAATTATAGATTTTCTTTGATAATTTGAAAAAGCGCATCTTTGACGAAACTGTCGTTCGTGAGCAATGCTATTTGAAAAATGTTGTTAAGCACAGCGTTAAAAATGTTTCAAGGGAAATCCAATTTTTTTTATGACTTTCAAAGTCTGTTTTTTTTATTTTATTGAATAAAAATTTCATTCGAGAGAGGTGAGTGTAATTCCATAAAAGCAAATGTCAATTCGAACTTGTGAAACTATATTACACTGTAAAAAAAGTGGACGATTTAAAATTAGTACTCTTTTAAAAATGGTACGATTTTAATACCGCTCTGGTCTGTTTTAATACCTAAACTTCGTGCCTACAGCTACACTGAACTCCTGCATTTTATATTAATATTCTTTCCCTTTTCATATTTTAAAAATATCGAAATACTAATCGAACTCAATTAATTTAAATGTAAAATTAACATTCGCCTTCGCATGGAAATTTAATTTTGTTTAAGATTGCAAATCAAATGTATGTAAGACATTGCTTTTTGAAGTATACCTAATATTTTATTTTTAAAAATGTACAGATTTTATCTGACAATAAATTAAAAGGGTATAAATCATTCGTATTTATTTCTCCTTCCTTTAAATAGTTATTGACCTGAAAAGAATATTTCGTTTAGAATCATGTTTATCGAAACTTGTAAAGAAGAATAAAATTTATAATTGTTTACTTTTTCGTCTTCTTTCTTAAAATCAAATTTCCAAAATTTTGAAATCGATACTCTATTAAAATAGGAAAGGAGAAACCAAGACACACATATATACACAGCATCTCCTACAATGCACTTAAACTGCAAAAGGAACAATTTTTTTAAATTAAAAATACCACTTAAATTTTACTTTTTCTTTGCTGAGAAATACACTTTAATAATGTAAAAAATTTACAAAATATAGGCTTTAGGTACCGGGACCCTATTTCTTTTTTTTATTAGTCGATCCGTTTGGAGAAGTCTGAATCTCATATATACATATATTATTTTATTATATTTTATTGTTGTATAAATGTCTTAATAGAATGTTGAACTAAATGATTTACGATGACTTTGAAGTTCCAAATTCATAAAGAAACATAACGAATTGACATTTCAGACTTCAGATTTTTGTGTTTTTAAAAACATCAACTTTTTAGTAGTTACTATTCAAAAAAATATTATGTTTTTTCAGTAGTGATTATCACTAGTCACTCAGCAAAAATGATTGATTTTAATATTTAAAATTTTTAATTTATTTTCGAAATATAATATTAAATCGTAAATTGTTTAACTTATATTAAATTATACTTGCGGTACTTGCCAGCCCTTTCGAAAAATTAAACAAACATACGTACGTCTGTTACAGCTCTCTATTTACAGCTGCCTATGCAGGCAGCCGGGCTCATTTAGGCGGCAGATTTAAATTAATATTTTCTTTTTAATTAAAAATATTATTAAAACTGAATAAAAAATAATAATTATTATAATTTTTATTATTATCATCTTCAATTTAATTTAATTATTACAATTAAAAATAAAAAATTATTAATTTAATTTTAATATTAATTTAAATCTGCCGCGCCTAATTGAGCCCGGCTGCCTGCGGAGGCAGCTGTAGATAGAGAGCTGTGGCAGTACCTTTATAGTTTCGACCTGATGTTTTTTGTCAGTATAGAGAGGGAAATGCGAATCATCACGTGACTGTGAGAGAATATTCAGGAACATGTGGCGTGCTTTTAAAATTCTTTTGAATTCGCGGCTCTAAGCAGTAGCCAATAAAATGCGCTTATTGAATTCACATCCAATCCGCTAGGACTTGTACCCCTTCCTTTTTAACACGTTTCCCCCACAATTTGCCATTGCCTTATTCTCAGTATCAAAGAGACTCATGTCTTAACGTGTTTCTTTACAATATTTAAACTGTGATTCGAGAGTGTTTAATTTCATACTTATTATTTTCTAATATATACTTTTGAGATCGTTTTTGTTTATTTTATTTGTGTAGGAGTGTAGTGTATTATAGTGCATTGTATGAAGTTGTAGAACTTTATTTTTATTTGAACACGCGGTGGTCGAGAGTATAAATTGTGATATTTGGATACCCTGGAGATTCTCTTTAGATTTTCAACAAATATTTACGGTTTGTGGAATTCACTTAATTAGTATCAATTATGCGCTTGAAACCCTTTATATTCTTTTCAAATTTAAAAGATCTTTTTTTGCTAGATTTTTTCATAATATGTAACTTTCTTTACTTTTAAAGTCTCATTTTCCTGAAAGAATTTATTTATTTATGAATAAAATCCATTATTTATTTGTACAAATTTACAATAATTTATGAAAATTATAGAATTTAATACGTTTAGAATTATCTTCTAGGAAAGAAAATTAAGAAAAATAATTAATTTTTCGTTTGTCAAAATGAATTACAAATTTTGCAATTGTTTTCTCGTATTATCAAATTTTAAAGTAGCTTTAAATTGAAATATGAAAGACATTTCACAAAAAATCTACAGTGTGCATTCTTCCATATTACAAAGGTCTTTCTACTTACAGATTGAACTTAAAATACAAACAAAAATGTCTTTTAGTTTGGACGTCCAAAAGGTATTTGTCGGTATAGAGAGGGAAATGCGATTCATCACGTGACTGTGAGAGAATATTCAGGAACACGTGGCGTGCTTTTAAAATTCTTTTGAATTCGCGGCTGAAAGCAGTAGCCAATAAAATGCGCTTATTATTTTCTAATATATACTTTTGAGATCGTTTTTGTTTATTTTATTTGTGTAGGAGTGTAGTGTATTATAGTGCATTGTATGAAGTTGTAGAACTTTATTTTTTTTTAACACGCTGTGGTCGAGAGTATAAATTGTGATATTTGGATACCCTGGAGATTATTTTTAGATTTTTAATAAATATTTAGGCTGCGTCTACAACAGAAAAAATAATGTGTAGAAAATTGAGTAATATATAGTGTAATTGCCCCTGACAGTTGTCAATGCCAAAAACAATACACATTACACTACAAATTACACATTATTTTTTTCTATTGTAGACGGTTTGTGGAATTCACTTAATTGGTATCAATTATGTGTTTGAAACCCTTTATATTCTTTTCAATTTCGAAAGATCTTTTTTTGCTAGACTTTTGCGTACCTTATAAGAAGCGGTTGGTTGAAAGAAATTGAAATGTTTACAAACAAAGCTCAATTCTTAACCATTTCAATGCCAAACTAATGTCATTTTTGTAGTTTCATGTTTTGATTCCATTAGAGATAATTCATATGCACACATTTATATTCCGTTCCGTTTAATTTGGTACGCATTACAAATTTCGATAAGGTGATTAGAATTGAGTTGAATTTAATTATTTTAAATTTTGAATGATATTTTTTTGGTAAATTTTTTCATACTTAATACATAATTTTTTTACTTTCATAGAACAATTTTTTTGAAACAATTTATTTTTATGAAAAAAATTGCCACTTTTCATAACCTTCTAAATAAAATGAAATTTCACTGTTGTCTTCATTAATAGAGGAAACACTGATATTTAATTTCTACTAAGCAAAATGAGTTTTACATTTTTCTACTGTTAATTTAATCATTCATTTAATCATATACTTATTATTAGCAGAGAAAGAGAAACTGAAGTCTTTACTTAATGATTGATGCTACTATTTTATAACATTTTAAAGTTTGTAATTATTTAAACTCCTAAATGAAATTAAATTCTACTATTGCAAAGAAAAATAAATTAAAATTTTTACCTAATCGAACAAATTCGAGGAGTTATTTTAGAAAAGCGCTTTTTTAAAATATAGAAAGGATCTTAAATTTTTTGTGGCTTTTTATCATGTTTGTGTTTCAGTCTTTTACTTTGTCATTATTACTTAATAATAACGAAAATAAACTAATTTTGTCTAGATATGTTCGTGACTTAAAAGCGTTATTTGGTTACAGGTTAATTTGACATATATTTCGAGTTCGGAAAATTTTGCGTAACTTTTTACTCTGTATGTAATTGTAGAAATAAAACGTTATTTAATAATACAAAAGTATATACGTTAATATATACTAATTAAACTCGCTAATCTAGTTTAATAATTATAATACATTTATTTAATTTTGTATCTACACTTTTTTTAGGATTAGCAAATGTAATTAGAAAAATCAAACAACACAGAAAGAATATTTTTTTTAAAGAATATTTTAGAGAAGACATTAAATTTGCTGCACCGCTGCATGTCAATACTTACTTATAGATTAAAGGTTAACTACTTTTTAATTTTCAGACTGAAGAATCAGATTGGTTTAGTCGTCATGAATCAGTCTACTGAGGATACGAAAAATAAACATTACTGTCCAATAGAAAGTTGTCTACAGTCTTTTTCTTATAAACGAGATTTGCAAAATCACAAAAAGAGTCACAAAGGTCAAATAAATTATCAATGTAAAGAATGCGCAAAAACATTTACATGGCCCGAGGACTATTTAAATCACAAACATGAACATTGGATTGAGAAAAAAAAGGTTAGATTGTTAAAAATTTTGCAAATACGCATATAATAATTTGATGAAAAAATACATTTTCCTAAAAACTGTACAATTATCATAAATAATTTTTTTGTAACTTGTAAGGGTGGAATTTGCAACATAGAATTTTACCAAAGAAAAATAAAACGTCACAAATTTACATCTCGACCCGTTACTCCGAAACTAACTTCACCACAACAAAATCTTCACAAATCTCATCGGGGAGTTCCTCTTCTCCAAGCTGCGATGTAAAAAACAACTTTGACAATGGACCATTCCTTTTTAAACAGATGACCGTTGAGACGCTACCAAATTATAACGACTTTGGCACTCTCAACCGTTTACAGCACAAACAAAAATAGAAATAAAACACTTAAAACTCTCAATTAACAAAAATAAAACCCATTTATTAATTAAACCAAATAAACTCTAAATCAAACAACAAAAATATAAAATAAAATATTCAATAACGTAATTCGATAATTGACGCTAGTCAAAAATCACGTCGCGACTACTTGAACCTCTGCAAGTAAGTGACAAGCAAGTGTAAATCCGATCTCCTCATCACCGGTTGGCTTCCTCATCATATTTTGCTTCTTCCTTTTTCCTATGGAAAATTGGGAAAAACCCTTCTTTCTTATCCCCACTGTACAGCACCTAAAATGGTCTTGGAAAGGGTCATTGGTCATGTGACGGTCTCTGGCAATTAATCATGCGCGAAATCATTTAAATTCAGATTTCACGAATGACACAGGTCTCGGGTCGCTGAACCAAGGACACACACAAGGGACTTGACAAGAAAACAAGACAAAACTATGATAAGAGAGAGAACGACGAACAACTTACTATAATGAAATTTACTTTTCCTACACACGACAGATTTGGAGAAATAAGTAACGATTCACCTCGTTACAAACTATGTTATTATAGACCATAGAAAAAAACCGACAGAAAGAAAAAACTGAGAAAGGAAACACAACATATATAGCTAAATCAGCAATGTCGACATCGACCACAACTGCAACACCCGTAAAAAAACGTCAGACAAATAGAAAAGAAGCATCTTTTCCGATTCACTCTCCTGGCTTACAAACTTTATCATCATCTCAAGCTCAATCTCGCAAAAAGTCGTTTCACGAATTGAATAAACTGAAGGTGAGATTCACTAATTTGCAAATTCCAATGCACTTTTTGCAGCTAGCTCTTCGAGTTCTCAATTTTTTTAAATTCTTGCACTATCTTTATAGATGGACAAAAACACGCAACACGAGACGAGTAAAGTAAAATCTAAAGCGGAATCAGTTAAGTCGACATCGTCATCGGATTCAAAACCTGTCGAAATTCGACGGACAGATATGAAAAAAACGTCTTCTCCGATTTGTTGTCCTCCTGGTTCACAACCTCCACAATCATCTCCAGCTCAATCACACAACAAGTCAATTCAGGAATTGAAGAAACTGAAGGTGAGATTCTCTAATTTGCAAATTCCAATGCACGTTTTGCAGCTAGCCCTTCGAGTTCACTAATAATTTTAATTTTTCCACTATCATTATAGATGGACGAAACCATGGTGCCCGGCACGAGTAAAGATTCAAAAAAACGAAAATTTGAAGAGGAATCAGTTAAGTCGACATCGTCATCGGATTCAAAACCTGTCGAAATTCGACGGACAGATATGAAAGAAACGTCTTCTCCGATTTGTTGTCCTCCTGGTTCACAACCTCCACAATCATCTCCAGCTCAATCACACAACAAGTCAATTCAGGAATTGAAGAAACTGAAGGTGAGATTCTCTAATTTGCAAATTCCAATGCACTTTTTGCAGCTAGCTCTTCGAGTTCTCAATTTTTTTAAATTCTTGCACTATCTTTATAGATGGACAAAAACACGCAACACGAGACGAGTAAAGTAAAATCTAAAGCGGAATCAGTTAAGTCGACATCGTCATCGGATTCAAAACCTGTCGAAATTCGACGGACAGATATGAAAAAAACGTCTTCTCCGATTTGTTGTCCTCCTGGTTCACAACCTCCACAATCATCTCCAGCTCAATCACACAACAAGTCAATTCAGGAATTGAAGAAACTGAAGGTGAGATTCTCTAATTTGCAAATTCCAACCCAGCTGTAAAAGTTCTATAGAATTTCACTAGAATCATTCTATAGAATTTCTACAAGAATTCTACTAAATTTTAGTGATTTTCAATTAAAAAGATCTAAAATTCGTGAAATAATATTTTTCAACTTTATATTATTGTGTAACTAAATTTTACATTTAATTTATATGAAAAATTTCAGGGAAAAGATTGTAGGAAAAAATTCGAGCCACATAAGTGAACATTTTACTTAAAAGTATAAATTAAATTTTTTCATAACTGTAAAACATGAAGAAACCACAATCACTTCGAGTCTTCGACTCGGAGTAATCGATTTCTTCCTGTTTTATAATAATAAAAAATGGCAAATTGATAAAATCATTATTTTACATTATAAGAATATTGTACTTCTTCAAAATTATTTTTATCATTGCAATTCAATTATTATTTTTAAGAATTTTTCACTAAAATTATTCTTTAAATCAATTAATTTTCCAAAAAATACTTCGTCAATTTTTAAAATTCATTTATTTACAATATTCAATTTTACAAATTTCAATTATTCGTAAATTCTTCAATTAAATATATATATATATAAGAAAATAAAAACTTCAAATATCTAATATAAAAAAAATTCAATTACATTTAAAAAAAAAAATGAGAATGTAATTAATTTCAAAATTCAATTATTTCTACAAATTCACGCTATGTTGCTTTTAATATTCGATCATTATCTGAAATTTTAACTGCGATTCAATTTTAAATTAATTTTTATTAGAAATCTCAATTAGAATTTAATTATTTAAATATAAAAAAATAATTAATGAATATTTGAATCTTTTTTGAAATTCAATTCTCATAAAGAATTTTATCAACATATTTTTAAATAATTGAATTCCTAAGATGAATTTTACTATTTTTGAACAAAATAAAATTTTTTTAGTGTTAATTTAAGTTTTTCTATAAATCCATTATTTTTCATAATTTTTAAAATAGTTTTTTGAGAATTTTCCAATTCATTTGTTTTTAACTAAAATTCATTATTAAATCAATTTTTATTAGAAAATCATACTAGAATTCAATTATTTAAATACCTACAAAAAACAATTTATTGAATATTTGAATGTTTCTTGAAATTCAATTCTGATAAAGAATTTTATCAACATCTTTTTAATTAATTGAATTCCTAAAAAGAATTTTACTATTTTTGAACAAAATTAAATTTTGTTAGTGTTAATTAAAGTTTTTCTATAAATCAATTATTTTGAAAAATTTTTAAAATATTTTTTTGAGAATTTTCAAATTCATTTGTTTTTAACTAAAATTCATTTTTAAATCAATTTTTATTAAAAGATTCTACTAGAATTCAAATATTTAAATAGAAAAGAATAATGTATTGAATATTTCTTAAAATTCAATTCTCTTAAAGAAATTTGTCAAAACAAAATTTTAAATAAATGAATTCGTTTAACGAATTTTAATGAAATTTTGAATAATAATTACAATTATCGAGGAATTCGATTTAAATTTCATTAAAAATAATTGAAATTCAGCGATAAGTTTTACTATTTATGAAAATAATTGAATTCCTAAAAAGAATTTTATTATTTAGAAAAATAATTGAATCCTTGTAAAAATTTTATTATGTAGAAAAATATCTGAATTATATTGCGAATAAATTTGTAAACAATTTGTAAATAATTGAATTTTTGTAAAATTTATTATTTTATAAAAGTAATTAAATGTAGGGGTAGAATTTTATTTAGAAAATTTTTAAATATTTTAATTTTTTGGAAAATTTTATTTAAATAATAGACCTATATATATTGAAAATCATAAAATTGAGAAAAATTTTTGAATATAATAGACATTTTGCCAAGACTTTTTTATTAAAATTTTTGAAAATAATTGAATTTCGGAGAAGAATTTTATTATTTCTAAAGATAATTGAAATTTTGAAGAGAATTTAAAAAATTTTTTCAACATAATTGAATTTCTGCGAAGAATTTTATTACTTTTGAAAATAATTGAATTTTTCAATCATTTGTAATTTCTATAAAATTCTCCAAATTACATCGTACAAATTACGAACAAAAAAAAAATTAAAATTACAATCTTTACTGAGTACTTCTACTCATGTTCAGTTTCCACAATCACTACCTCGCGGGTTGAAAAGACCACATGTAAGAATTTATAATTTTAATTTGATAAAAAATGAGTTTCTTACTAAATTGTACTATTGGCTTATCCGACAGGAAGGAGAACAATCTTTGCCGAGTACTTCTACTGATGTGCCGCCTCCACAATCACCACCCAGGATGTTAATTCGCGGGTTGAAGAAACCACAGGTAAAAATTTATAATTGTTACATATTATCATTGCACTCTACGTTGCAAACTTATTCTAAAAACATATTACTTATTTTTTATAAATATTTACTTATTTCCATTTATTCACATTATAATCATTTCTAACTTATTGAAAGTTAAAAAAATTCGCCTATGTATTTATTTATGATTTCGGAGTAATATGATCCAAAACAAATTTCTATTATACAAAAATTGCAAAATTTTTTTTTTAACATTTTATAAAAACAATTTATTTATTTTATGTGTTGAAAATATTTTTCAGATTGACACCAAGCAAGAAAAAAAACAAGACTCCTACACAACATACATGTCCCTCAACTCAATTTTACGCAATGATGATGAGAATTGCATAAAAAATAAAATTGAACACGATGTAGAAAATGCCAGTCGAATAAAAATTTTGACTGCAATATTCATAAACTTTATAATGAATAAACCAGAGTGTCAACTATCAAAAGAGTTCGCAATTTGCGGCTTCAATCATTACAGAGTCATGAATTGCTTCAAGAAAAGAAAAGTAGAAGATTATATTTCATGTAAGAAAAAGGATCCTGAATTGTACACATTATTGGAGGAATTCAAACTTGCAATGGCAGACGAAGAAAGTGAAATTGATCCTGTGTTATTTGACGAATTTATTAAGAACAGTGAAAAAGAGAACCAAGTTTATGAAAATAAAGAAGAGCAACTCAAACAATACAACAAATTCCGAATTGAAAAATTGACTAACATTAATTGTCAATATCAAACAAATCTTCTTTTGCAAGCAGCACGGGAAATGGACAAGGATTTTCGCGTTCATTTACACATGGAAGGACCAAAAATATTAAAAAAATATCTTAAATTTAAAGAGTTTGGAGTTCAAACAAAAGAGGAAGTTGATAAACAGGATACAAGTGTAAAGAATGAAAAAACAGAGGACATCAAGGAAAAAGAAAAAAGAGCAAAGAAGAATAAAAGAAGACTTGAAAATTTTGAAAGGAAGGTCGAGAAAAGAAAGAAAGAGAACAAGAAATTGAAGGAAGAAAGAAGAGAAGTAACTGCAGAAGAAGTAAAGGAAACCCATAAAAATAATAAAAAAATTGCTCGTGAAGAAGCAAATAAAGTTTACACTAAAACTATATGTAAGAATCGAGAAGAAGAAAAAGTGAAGATATTAAGAAAAAAAAATGAGAAGATGGATAAAGAAGAAGCGGAGAAAAATCAACAAGCTCGGATAGAGCAAAAAAACACCCAAATAAAGGAACGAAAGGAAAAAGGAAGGAACGTAGTAAAAATTACATTCAAAAAGAACGGAATTAAACAATCTTTGACAAAAGAGGAAATAAAGGAAAAAGAGAAGAAAGTAGAAAAAGCACTGGATAATTTACTTTTTTATAATCGCTGCACAGATGAAAAGTTATGCAGTTATTTAGAAGAAATAAAGAGAGAAACGGAAGAAATTGATATTCGGTTGGAAAAAAAGATGGACGAAAAAGAAAAAAATGAAAAGGGAAAAGGAAAAGGAAAGAAACAAAAAATGAAGAAGGAGAAAGAAGAGGTTCAACTTTTAGACTTTTTAGATTTAGACAATGAGTACGAATGTTGCAAATTTTTACCATTATATATGAGAATTCAAAGAGAATTTGTTGACAATGGATTGAAGGGGTTTGTTTTGTTTCCAATGAGACGCTTCGGTTTGCAACACGTTACATTAACTCAAACAATTTTAGAGAAAGATTTTCTTCCTTACTTAAACACTTTATCAAAAAAAAAGGTTGTTGAAGTAAGCGAGATGAAGCAAAAGTTGAATGAACAAGACGAAAAGAATAAAATAAAAAACACTACAAAAAGAGAAAATGCAAAAAAGGGAAAGAATGCTTTAGAGAAAAAATTTGATAAGTTAAAAATATTGTGGCAAGGAATGTTCGATTTAAAAAAAGTGACGAAAAATAAGAAGAAGCGAGAATGCAGTGTTCCTCGGGCTATGCAGACGGATGGCGTAAAAGTGTCTCTCATATACAATTTGAAGAAAGCAGAGAAGATTAAATCCTCGTCAAATAAAAGGAAGAAAAAAAATAATTATGATCGACTTGTGGGTCTTGATCCAGGTTTGAAGGCAATGTTTGGTGGAGCAGTGCGTGATGGCGATCCGCATGTAAAAATTGATCAAACATCAAAAAAAATTAGCAAGACGCAGGACACTCCTATTTATGTGAATGCTAAGACATTCCGATTTCGTGCTGGAGAATATCGTCGAAAAAAAATGCTTCACAAATACTCAAAAAACATTGAGGAGAGGTTCGACAGTTTTTTGAAAAAAAATGTAAAGTATAATAATGTCGAGAAAAGAGATCCGAGAAAGTATCTGCTACTTGCCAAATTCAATTTCAAACAATTTGAAATTAAGCAAGCAGCATTGACAAGAAAATGCTTTCGGAATTTAAGATTCAACAAATTGATATCTGTGCAACGCGAAACAGATCGACTCGTGAATTTTATTATGGGCGATGTTAAAAAAAAACCATGCCTAGTGGCAATAGGAACGACTTCCATAAGTCCTTGCATGAAAGGACACGTAAAAACGCCAGTTCAGAGGATTGAAAGACGATTAAGAGAACGCTCAAAGCAAGTTGGCGAAGAAAAATTAAAAATTGTTCATTGTTATGAAGGCAACACAACAAAATTTTGCAGCTCGTGCAACCAACAAAATGTTGTCTCCAGGTCCCCCAAGCGGTATGCATTTTGCCAGAAATGCCATGTTGTGTGGAACAGGGACGTAAATGCGGGAATCAACATTTTAAATATTGCCCTTATCAATGAGGACATATTGACTGGGGAAAATATTCCCAACGCGAAAGTCTTCAAGGGCATAAAAAGCGTAAAGGACATGTGATCCAGAAGCAGCCTAATGGCATACAGCAAGTAAGAAACATTATTTTCGTTTTTATTTTTTCAATTTAAAGTGATATTTATTTCATTGTGTAAAATAATTCCCACTCTATTCATTAAGATTTAATTAATTAAAATTAAAAAAATTCACTATTTTGAATTGATACCTCATGTATTAAGTTAATACTGCTTGGGATTATTTGTAGTGGGTATTATTTTAATATCAAAAAGTGGTACTAATTTAGAACTTTTTTTTTACAGTGTACAAGTGGGAATAACATTATTCAGAAAGTAAATAAAAATGTTATTTTAACATGTAGAAACAGGGATTGTTTTTTTAAAAACAAAGTGAAAAAAATGAAAAAAATGAAAAAAAATGAAAAAATTGCTAGATCCGTGGGCAAAAGTATTTTTTAGTAATAATGAAAAAAAGGGTTTATATTTAAAGATTAAAGTTTAAGTGCGAGGTTCAAGTTCCTTTAAATATATTGTTAACAGACACGAGAAAGTTTCTACGTACTGTACAAAAGTTGTGTACCTATATAATTGAAAGAGAATCGATTTTATTGAACATCAAGGAACGACTTCTGGGAGTATCAATTGTAAACTTTTAATAATTGTTCACGCAAAGGTGGACGATCGAGACCCATTGTCTCTCGGAGCAACTTCTTTCTAAACTATTTCCATTATCTCAAATTTATTCACCTTTCTATTTATTTAATTCTTTAGAATTTTCCATTTTCTTTATATATTTGAATATAAAATTCTAATTGATATAAATCAATTTTATTGATCTTCTTCTGGCATTATTAAACAATAAATTCAGGGTTAAGTAAAGCTCCCCTGATTTTTTCATTTGTCCAAATTTATTTATTAACGTCGATTCTTTTTATTAAATTGTTCTGTCAATAAAAGTCTATTTCTAAATAAAGAAGTAAAACTCAATATTATCGATGAGTAAATTAAAAATTTTTTCTTTTTCAGAGGTAAAAACAAGGGAAAAAATATTCTGAATCGCAGTAAATTCGTTTTCTAGAGATAAAATCGCGTGAAGGGGATAAAAGATTATGAAGAGAAAAGTTTTCTCGTTGTTTTCCATTCGTTGCCTTTGCCTTTGGAATGCAATTGTTCCTTTTTTCCTCTTCTGATATTGTCGCTTATTTTAGTTTTCTTTCATTTCAAAATTCAAATTATGTAAAGAAGAAACAAACTTTGACAAAATATTTTTAAATCGTGTGCATTTGTAAATTTTATTCTCATCATTAGAGAAAATTACAATTTTAAAATAAAATATAATAATAATAATAATATATAATATAATATGAAGATAAAATTTGCGAAATTAACTCGAGCATAATTTCATTAGAAACAAAAAATGTTTTTCAACAAAAAAATTTAATTTATTTAAATCATATTTTATTTTTAATAGAAATAATAATTTTTTAATTGATAAAAATACTTGGAAGAAATTAATAATCGTAATAATTATCAAAAATTATATTATTATACATTAATAATTTAATAATAATTTGAAATAATATTGAATTAGAATCTAGAAAATCAATTTTAACAAATGCGGATAACTTTACTCTTATTTTCAAGATTATTATTTAAATTTTAATGTAATGTAAATTATTAACAAAAAATTTTAACTTTTAAAAAAGTAATTACTTTTTAAATCGTAAAATATTGTCTATTAGTTAAAAGTTAAATTTAAATTATTAAATTGAATTTCGATTCAGATTTTTTCCAACTAAAAAATTTTTACCTACCGAGCAGAATAGAATTTTCTTGTTTTCTCGCTTCGCGTCACCACTTTTCAGAAACAGAATCGTAGCAGTCGATAAATGCGATAAAGAAGGAATTTTGCTACTAATTTTTGAAAAAATAAAAGGGAAAGAAGGGGAATCTTTTTATTAGTTTTTTAAAAATTAAATTTTCACCATCAATTTAAAAAGTTTAATACATCTTTGATCTTTAAAACTATAAATAAATAATGTTTCAGTTTTTTCAAAATTATACAAACGAAAAAAAATGAAATTTTCAATTTACTTTTTGGAAAGAAATATTAATACTTTTAGATTTTTGTGATAGTTTCACTTTTTTTCTTTTTTTTTTCTTGATGTCTTCGATAAGATCTTTTCAGTACGAAGTGAGCTACGTTCACATTTATTTTGAGATGAATTTTTTTTGCGATATACATAAAATTTTTTAAAACATAACAAAATATACAACGTGCTTTATATGTGTGAGTCGATTATTTGACGAGATTTTCTCTTTTGCGTATAATTTTGTGTTTTCATTTTCTTTTGGCTCCTTTTCCGAAAAAATTGAGAATATACAATTTTTTATATAGTAGCTACCACAAAAGGATTTAAAGATGAGCTCTACTGGAAATATACATAATGAAGTTTTTTTGTTTCTTGTTTTAAAACATCTGGTCTTTTTTCGACGATTTTTTCTCTTTTTTTTTGCTTTTTTTCAAATTTCTTCCGTTTCAAAATTTTTCGCTTGTCGAATAAGCAAAAGTGTCGGTAATTCTTATTTTATACACTTGTCGAAAAATTCTACCTGCAAAAGAATTATTTACATGTTATTTATCTTTTAAGAATAATTTTCCATTTTCCTAGAAATAAATAACATATTCTAAATGCGGAATAGATTAATACATACCGTAAGTGAGGCTAAATTCGCTCATGTAGGGTAAATTCGCTCAACCGATGTCTCTTTTTAAAATTCGATTAACATACTTTTTAGACAGAAATATTTAAGATTTACAATTGTTTTGGTTAATATAAATGGTAAACTTTAATTTAAAATTTATTTGCAGCAAATTCATTGGTAACTTTCAGTAGAAATTATATTTAAAACACAAGTGAATAATTTTCATATTGAACAAGTAGTATGAAAAAGTAGGAAATAAAGCTTTACTTCAAAGTTTTTAAGTTGAATACTTCTGAACATTACATTTCCTGTATCTCCAACATGATTTTCATAAAGCACAAAAATTAAAGCAATAAACAGATTCTGCAAAAAATCAATTTAAAAAAAATTCAAATTTGTTGTGTAAATTCGCTCAGGAAATAAGTCTACAAAAAAGATGTTTGGGCCTGGATATTTTAAGTATGTTAATTACTTTAATTTATAATTCGATTTTTTTAAATAATAGTACTCTTATAACTGAAAATTAAACGATTTAAAACGGTTTAAGCACTAAACTGTCAAACTTAACCTTGTTTTTTATGGTTATGAGTACGTTTGATTGAATGATTGAATCTAATTACTTATTGATAAAACAATATTAAATATTTATTCCAATAACTTTGTATATTGTTCTTAATTTTTTTCTTTATTGATTCTAAAGAATATTTAGTTTCATTTTTGCAGATTATAATATATTTTGCCAGAATAATAATGGTGAGCGAATTTACCCATCATTTAAAAGTAAAGTCGCTCACAAAAAAACGGCTTATAAATAATTTTCTGCAACATATTTTAATTTCTTTATGCAGTAATAGGAAAGATAAAGGGTTAAAGATTATATATTTTCAGTGCCAATGTTTATTTTCATCGTTTCCCGAAGTTATTTAAAAAAGAATTGAAAAATTGAGCGAATTTAGCCTCACTTACGGTAGTTGTTTTTCTCAAAAAGAATAAAAAAGTGGTATATTTAATTTAAAATTGAAATATAATTTTTTCGTGTTTTATTATACTAAAAATAAAAATGAGGAGTCGAATGTCTTACCATTTAACGTGAAACTTCATAGGCCATAAGGAAGATTAACATCGAGAATGTCGTTTTCCTCAGCTTTACGGATCATTACCTTCACGAAGTTATCGTAACGTCCGCTCGATATTAACCTCACTGACGTTACTTCATATCCCACTAGTATCTCGCCACCTGATAAAAATCAAATTATATTTTCCGATACATTAATTCAAACAAATCGTACTTTCTTCTCTGTATTTCTTTATTATGGAAAGTGTCGCTTTCGCCCATTCCTCTTTTCTTTTCTTCTCGCGACTATTTTTATATTTTTTATTTTTCTTACTTTTTGAAATATAGTATTTCGAAAATAAAGAAACATTTTGCTCAAAGAAAGTAATGTAACTAATACATAATTTTTAATACTTTTTCGCAATTGCAAAACTTACTTGGCTTTAAATTTCTACCACAAACTGTGTGAAGAGGCTTTAAATTGTTCGTGTCCAGGGAATTGCTTCCACCAATTTGAATTTTATCGTTGCTTTCACACTGTAAAGAGAAGAATTAATGTTCCTCAAATTGTTATTAATAACGGACAAAAGCAGTGTAAAAGTTATCGACAAATAGTACAATTTAGAAAATTCATCAAGAGAATAAATGAATAAATAAAATAAAATTCATTTATTTGACAATTGTATTTTATAACTTTTTTTGGAAAAAGTGAGCAAAAGGAAAATACAGTCAATACCTTCTGCATGATGCTAGTATCGGTGAACAAATTCTTCTTGCCAACGTTGAAAGCAATCAGGCGAACGGCACAGGGATAAAGTGCTGTGAGGGTACAATTACTTCGTCTCCGGTAATTGTGTAACATAAATGGGGCCTTAGTCTCATTCGCCAGCACATTGCAGGCTGAAACAGGAACACGAGTCCAAAACTTAATGATCCGATCATACACGAACGCGAACATGTTTCAAGCTCAGAAATACAATTACTATTTATCAGCCACGTTACGAGCCAATTAAAACTTTCTTGCTCAAGACACCACTTTGGGTTGGGGAGGAATATATTCATGTGACTCTCAAATTTCTCAAATTTCTCAAATTTCTCAAATTTACTTTTAATGCTCGCAAAACGCTGATATATTACAACATTATTTTTACATATATTTACAGTTTCTGTTTCTCCAAAGTTTACGTTTCAATTAGTAAGTATATGATAAATAGTACAAGTTTTTCCAAGTTCCATTTACCTATTTGTTAACAAAATATTAACATTTTTTTTTTTTATTTTTTTTTTTTTTTCGTTGAGAGTGAATATTCTCACTGCCAGTAGAGTTAGAGACATGTCTGACCAAACTCTCTCCTTTCTACTTAAAACTGGGTTTCAACTTCTATTCAATTAAATGCATTACTTTTGTGATACAACAAAATTAATTAATTATAATTTATATATTATCTTGTAAAACGAAAAGAAAATGATAAAAATTGTCTGTTCAAATTGACAGTAATTGATCTCGTCTCGTTCCGTCTGACCAAACGTTGCCTTTTCTACTTACAAGCGATTTATACTTGCTTTCTCCTCTTTTATTTCATTGATTGTTACTTATAGAAAATTGGAATGTAGAAAAAATACCTAGCTTTTATCTCCACTAATATTTATTTATTTATTTATTTTTACTGAAATTGATTTAATGAAAAAAAATTTGCAACTTAAATTATTTTATTTCTTGCAATGTATTATAATATAAGAGAAATTTTCTTGTATTAAAAATAAAATGAATAAAAAAACATATTTTTTGAAATTTTGAGAACAGAAACCAATTTTAAAAAAAGAAAAAATGGTAAAAGTATCAAAGTATAGAATTTGAATTCTCTCTGATAGAGTAGTAATTGCCTTGGAATATTTATACTCACGAGCTGGATTTAGACGATGTTTAACGAAAACAGTGAAGCCCTTTCCTTTGATAGGTATTCGGTACTGAATAAGAGCCGCATTCTGTGAGCTTGTGAAAATTTTGTTTACCCTCGGACCACAAAATTCACTCAATCTCTGCTCTAAAGGCAATTGATGGTCCCCAGGGCTCGGGAAGAATTCCCCATTCAATTCCCATCCATCGACAAACTATTAACCAACAATTTTTATAAATATTCTCTTCTCTTCACTTTTCTTTTTTTTATACATATATGTATTGCAAAATACTAAATTTACAATTTACATTACCACAGATTTTAAAAATGTCTATTGACTTGAAAATATATATAAAGGAACCTTGAATTTTTATTTACAATTTAAATATAAATTATATACATTTTCCTCAAACACAACTTTCTTCTACTTGCTTGTTGGATTAATTTGCATTTTAATAGCTTTTTAAAGAAGCAACAAACACACGAGATAAACTTTTAAAGAAGAAAATTCAATTTATTGAAAATAAAAAATAACTAATTTGAAAATTACGAAAATTACGAAAATTACTAACCGACGCCAGTCCATTGCCTTCGCACGGCACGTCGAAATGTGTGAAAATGATCTCGACCACACGATCCGGTTCCGCCATGAAAAAGAGTCCACAAACTGATTCGTCATCTGATGTTGAATTGAAAGTAAAGAAACCAGGCTCGCTCGTCACGAACATACAGTCTGCAAATGTTTTACTTTCATTAGGCAAATTAATATTTAAACAATGCTCGCGAAAAAGGAAACAAACGCAATATACGACAAAACGGTTTAATTAATTAACTAGGAGGAGAAATCGATTCCCTATTTTCTATTACAATGATTTTTTCAGTCGATTTCATTCCCTGCTTTTGTTCATTATTAATTTACAAATGAGAGAAACAGCCAGAAAGGAATAAATAGTTTTTCTTTATTATTAAAGAATTGATTTTTTATTGTAATTATATAAATAGAAAAAAATAGTTGTAGAAAGAAAATGTGTTTGAAAATATTTTTGAAAAAGTTTGAAAAAGAGTTTTTTCGCGATGAGAAAAAGTGTATAAGTGTATATATAAGAAGAAAATGTTGCTTTCAGGGGAATAATCCCGAGTATGAATTCGATTTACAGGGTTGAAAGCCTGCATTTTGCAATGTGTTATAACGTTGCGTTGGCGCGCACACTGCATAATCTGTTAAAGTGCTTTCCCCAGACTCTTGTCATTTATGTCACTTTACCATATAATTCCACACCACAGATATATCCTTTCCACATTTTTCACGATAATATAAAAAACCATCAACACCACTCAATTTATCCCATTTTCTTATACCAAAGCTAGAGTCCATTTTTCCCTAGCCTTATCAAAATATTATTGTCATATTGTCACCGAGCATCATCATATTTATTGAACCTATTTTTTTCTTCAATATCAGTTGTAATCTTTTTTTATCCTCTTATTTTTTAAAAAAGAAGAAGAATACTTGTTCGCATTTTCTCCTGCTTTTTCCTTTTCGTCGAATAAAATTATCCAAATGAGTGGCTGACTATTCACATATATTAAATTAGTCTGCCATTCTTTTACATCCCCTCGATTTGGCTTTCAAATAAATAAGTATATTATTCCACTCTTATATTATTTCTCCAATTTCATGTCTTTTCTTTTTTTCGTCAAATAATCTTACATTTATATATACAACAAATTTATATTTATTTGTTAACAATTGAAAAATACGTCAACTTTGTCATTGTAATTTAGGTTATTATGAACAATAGTTTTCGTGTTTCGATTTAAGAATAAAGGAAAATCATATATTTCGTATTTGTCTAATAAATATTTATGTGTCTTATCGCTCAGTAAATATTCAAAATTTATAAGTACATATTTTAAATGCTTCTATTGGATAAAATATGTGGGTAAACATATGATAAATTATTATAAACATTACGCACCTGTGACTTCGTGTCGAGTATTTTCGAATCGTTCAATCTGCATACTTTTTTCCTCTATTTCTTCTCGATTTATATATGGTCTTCTAATTAGTGGTTCCTTGTAAATTTTCTATTTAGACAAAAAATTTACAATCAGAAAATAACATTTTTCAATCTTTAATATTTCTCTTAATTCAGTTTAGTTACCTACTTTTTATTATTATTTCGAATAATTTGTAAAATTTTATTTAAATAATCTTAAAGTGTTTGATATACGCAATTTATTTATGAAAAAAAAGAAGAAGCTGAGAAATGAAAATGTTTTTAAAAATGCGTATAACAAACTTTTTGTCTCGGAAAATGGGAAAATTGAAAAAAATGACGATTTGCAGACGGAAGAGAATATGCGCTGAACCAGGAAATTACAGAATCACAGAAGACGATATTAGTCCTCGCTTGATAAAACGGTTCCTCTTTAATATCTTTCCGTGCTGGAGAAGATATTTTTTTTTATTATTTAGAAGGTATCTGATATTATCATTTTAACATGATTTCTATTTATTTATCTCTTTTTATGTAATTTCAAGTTTCAACTTTATATTCTTAATTAACAGTAACAAAATTCTCTGAATCAATTTCGTCGATAAATCATTGTAAAATGCCTCTTTTCTCTCAAGTTTTATTGCAAAATTATTTCACTGCTGTTTTTAATTCCCTTAAATGGTTTATGGTTTGAAAAGGAAAATTGTTATTCGATTTTTATTGAATTGATATAAATGTATAAATTGTATTTCTGTCGAGTGCCAGTGAAGCAAGAAGGGCGTTTGGAAAATGACGTTTATTTACTTAAGTTTGTTATACGTTGTGTCTATTTGACAACCACTGCAATATTGATAAGTGGGATAATATGTTCATAAGATCATCGACAACACTATAAACAACCAATTAGGGTTCCATCATCACTCTAATAACACCTAAATGTTGATATTCTCCTAATTTACTCCCAATTCTCTTCTTTTCAAACAGTCAAACCGAAAATTATTTTCTCCCTGCTTGAATTAGGTATTTTTTTAATATATTATTCAAAATTATTATTAATATTTAAGCGCAACAGAGTAGAAATTTATGAAAAAATATTGTCGAGAATTTAATAACATTTTTAAATAACTCTTGTTAATTATTGATGCTTAAAAGTACTAATCCATTTTTAATTAATTTTTCCATTTGACCAAGTCAATCTTGTAGGGAATTACATGAACGAAAAATGAAAATATTCATGAAGACAGGAAGGAAAAATCCTTTTAAAAAAAATATATGTAGGTTTCTTTTATATAACTGAATATCGTTAATTGGACGCACTAGATAATTAAAAATCATCGCGTACTAGCCGCCCCCTCTCTTTCTCACCCCACCCACAATCAATTTATAAAAAAAAATTTATTTCTACCATTATTTACCTATACTAAATGGTAAATTTTAAAAATTCATAAAAAATATTGTTTCGAAATAAATTAAAACAAAAAAACGTTCGGAAAAAAACAAAATAAATAGAATTGGTAAATAAAATGTAAATATTGGACAAAAATATCTGTTTTGAAAAATTAAACTCTAGACACGTAATAAAATTTATTTTTTAAATATATCTGTATAAAGAAAAAAATGGAAATTTTGTCAAAAGATTAAATATTATTTTAGGATAAATGTTTAATTATAATTGAATAGAAATTGCAGTTTTATCGAAGAAAACTTTTTTTATTGAATCAACACAAACATTTTATCTACAAGTGACATGGCTATTATTTTTTAAATTCACTTCCTCTTCAGATGAAACATTTCTTTCAATTTATTCGATAAAACATCATTATTTTTGCAGATAAAATAAAAAGGTTTTGCAGTTCAATTTGCAAAAAAAGAAAGGGAGAAGAAAAAGAAAACTAAATATGATATTGACAATTTTCTATATTAGAAAGATTATATTTAAATTATGTATATATATATATTTCTTTTCAAAATATTATTTTAGTTTTTCTTTCAAATGAATATTTATTGAATGTTAAAGAGGAGGATTTTATTTCTTTTTTTATCACGAAAAATTTTAGATAAAGATTCAAAATAATTTTTGAAATTTTCAATTTATTACAAATAAATGACAATGAAATTTATTCTAAATGGAAAAAAGAATTTTCAATGCTTGTAAAACTTTTATTTTCATTAGATTATTATTAAATTGTGGCGGGGAATTTATATTGTAGTCGTAAAAGTAGAATATTTCTACTAAAGTTCTTGTCTCGAAGAGTAAAAATTAATAAACTAAAATGTAGAATTTAAGATTTATAGTATAATCTAATTTAATTATTTCTTAATTTAAAAGTGAGAATTTTTGAAATTAAAATGGAATGAAAATACATTTTCTAAATTAATCCGTAAGAGGTAGTTACTTTTTATTAATTATAAAATGAAATCAATTGCTTTTTTATTCTTTGTGATTAAAATTGATTAGTTTCGCTACTGAAATTATTATTATTATTATTGTTATACTAGGAAATAAGTAAAAAGGGTAAAAAGGGTAAAAAGGAAAAAGACTTTCTTACTTGTTGATGGTAGTAGGCAGGATCCGGTAGGGCCACAACGAAGGCGTCGATCTCGGCGAGGATTCCGGCCAAGAGGAAGAAGAACCGGAAGCCGGTGGAGGCTTTGATGAAGTTAACTCGGCCGCGATGCATATTTCGGTTCGGGGTCAATGAAACTTTTCTAAACGATCTGTAATAAATTCAAGTTTCTCTTTACTGATAGAGTAAAGTGCGAGGAAAAATAAAGAGTTTTGGCGAAAATGATAAACAATTGAAGTGGTTTCTTTTTTGGTTATTCAACGGTGAAGAACTTTGGAGGGAGAGAGGCTCAGTGAAGCGTCGCGACGCTTGCCGTTGCTCTTATACTCTCTGCACAACTATACCTCTCTCGATTCTCTCCATTGCCTGCGCATTCCGGAGAATCGGAAACCATCAACCGGCGGCCGCTCATACACACTCTTCTCAAAGCATTCGCCCCCATCAACCCCCTTCTCTCCCCACAATTTCCGAAAATCCTAATCTCATTTTTTCCACCCACCTTTCTTCTTTTCCTTTTTCACTTTCTGCGCGTCGACACGACAATCGCGTCAAACGTCTAGTTGACAGTGATTACTTTACTGGGGTAATTGAAATGTAATTAGAATCGTGTGAAGAAAGGTTGCTTCTTGCTTTGTTTGAAAATTCAAGTCCTTGGTTTTCTTCACTTCCAAAACAAGAGTTAAAGCCAGCTCAGATATAGCCAAAGAGATTCGTTCTGACTGTAGAGTGAAAAGAGTTGTGAAAATACATTTAATATAATTATTATTATTAAATATCGTGAAACACGTCTCGATTACATTGACGTCATGTATGTATTGAGATTATGTTATGTGGCCCTGAAAATGAGGGAAGTGAGGGTAGCAAGGTGTTTGGACGCAAACAGGACTTGCCCAAACCAAACCAAACCACCCGGTGTGGTCAACTGCAATTTTCATTAGTATCGTGTGACAGGATGGTGGTTGTCAAATGCAGTCATTTGTTAACCATTATACATATATAGTCGCTCGATCCACACGCGTTCTGATACTCTCACAATTTATTTGTCAAATAAATTGGAAAGTGCAATTAGTCAAAAAGTTCTCTCCCACGTTAAGTCAACACAAGGAAACATGATCCTAAATTCCATTTTTGAAAAGCCCTTTTCTCCACGTTATTTCGATTAGTCCTCCGTCCTTTTCATTCTCTTCATATATCATTCATTTCATTTCTTTTATTATTCGTATTATTTTATTATTCGTATATTTCAAAACTGATTTAATATTTTATTATAAACTAACTTAATATTCTCAACTTTAATTTCAACAAAAGAAAGAGCAGAGGGGGAATTATATAAGGAATCATTAACGTACAGTTTCTTACCTTTAATAAAATTGAAGACGAGAATTTTCGGGAAGAAAAAAACCAATGGTTTGTCGGTGACTCCTTTTGAAAAAAGTTTGATCCTTCAATTGCGTCAGAGAGGAAAGCGGAAAAAGTTGAAAAAAATCGTCGTTTGTATTGAGACGCCCACGTTTCGCAAGAGACAAGATAAAAAATTAGGAATCGTAAAATCGTCTGTTGTTGATTCCCAGCTTGCTTATTTTTTTCCTTCAACAATTGCCTTATGTAATTGTTTATCTCACCGACTACGACTATCTTTCCAGAAAGTCAGAAGAATGTCCCAGTGTTTAATGGCCAAACCAAAAATCATTGCCATATCAATTCTAATATTTTTTCCACTCGAAGAAGCTTCTGGAAAAATTTGCGTTTTTTTATTTATTTTAGTTTTTTGAATTAATAGAAAATTTACCTGACTGAAAGGTTGACTCCTCTTCTCTCGCGGTGGAGTGAAGAAAAATATTGTTAAAATATCCTGAGAAGAAGGAGAAGTAGCCTCTACTCTTTATTTTCTTTTTTTCTTTTTTTCTTTTTTATTTTCTTCCCGGTTGCTTTCCTTGTCAAAGTTGTTCCCAACAGACAAAATGAAAGTCTGCTTCGTGTCCTAACCGGAAAGTTTACTTGTTCTCTCGAAAAGCACAAGCGACGCACTCGAGTACTTCCTCTTCGAAAAAAGATTTTATTTCTCGAGACAAAAAATCACCATTTTTACGATTTCATGTCGACTCTCAATCACTGTCGTTGTCGTAAAAAAAGAAAGCGATCAAACTTATTTCATATATTTTAAATTTAATAAATGTATTAGAAAAATTGCTAACTAAAAATTCACTAAAAACACGTGAAATTTAAAAAAGAGGAATAATAAATAAATGCTTCGCGTTTAAATTCCCCGGAGGCAAAGTCTTTCTGACATTTATAACTCGTCTCCGGAAAATATATGATTCCGAAATTCAAATTTTAAGAGAGAAGAGGAAACGTTTAAAAATTCAACTAAAACTTTTGGTTTCTCTCTATATGTGTATTAAAAATTTAAAATATTAATTTATGTATTGAAAGCAGCAATGTCAAACATGACAATAGTGTCAATAGTCATTAAGAATTTATTGCTTTCTATCAAAGATCTTCTGTCTTGAATTATGTAAATTAAATTGAAATTTAGACAAAGAGAGACGAGGAATTAAGAAAAATTATAGAATTCTATTTCATAATTAAAATTAATATTTTCTTTAGAATATTAATAAGTGAATGATAAAATAAATTTATTCATTAAAAATGCTCTAAGAATATCTACTACTATTTTTTTTTACCTTAAGAGTAAAATATCTGGGAAAGATTCGAAGATTGTTTTTATCCGAAGTAGTCATTTTTCTTCTATGATTCTATGAATATAAAAAAAAATTTCCCGCACTGTGTAAAAAAATTTCTTTTTCAAAACCAATAATTTTGTTTAATTTGTCTTTTGAAATGTATACTTGAAAGGAATTTTGAAAAACAATGTCCGGAAAGAGAGAATACACCTATGCGACTGATATAGTGAGCTGCTCTCTCAATTCTATGTATGTATGTAATGTGTACACACACTCACCAAAGAATTACAACTGATAGTAGTAAACCTTAAAAGATATAGCTCTCTGGTGTTTAAATTGCCTTGCTCTCCAACGCAAGACTTCCCATGGAGAGGCAAAAAACTAAAGAAATTATTGTCAACTCTCAAAAGTCCTCTTGGCTATTATCCCTTGACAATTACTTCTTTAATTATTATCCAATTATAAAGTATAATAAATTAAACCAATTCAATTCAGAGCTACCAATTATTAATAGAAATAAAAACTAACGAGTTTCGACTACTATTGATTATAAAAAAATTTAAATATTATTTAAAAACTAAAAAGAAAATAAAAAATTTTTATAGGTAATATTTAAGAATAGAAAATGTTACCTTTTTTGAAATGTTACGATAATGTTTCTCTCTGCTTCCACATTTTCTTTTTTCTTACTTATCACTAATAAAAGTTAACGAAAGAGAGGAAAAATGCGATGGAAGAGAAATCGAAATAAGGGTGAAATGAGTGAAATAAGTCGTGAAGCAAAAAATAATAATTCAAAAGGAAAAAAGAATTCTAAAATATCAAAGTAAATATCAAAAGAGAGGGGAGGAAATTAGAAAAAAAGAAATAGAATATAAATGGGTATGAACAAAAAAATTGAATATGAAAAGACAGTAAATAAATTTGCATATAATGAAACACCTAACGAGGCAGAAAATTGATAAGGAGCTTTCAGAAGCTAGACAGCTTGTCGTTTGAAGCAATTCTCTCAAGAACGACTCATAAGAAGGGTTATAAAATTGTAAATCATTACTAGTGTCTCGAGAATATTACCTCCGGCTGTTTAATGCTACTGTTTACGTGGATGGCAAACTGCGTCAGCATTTACGTGGGTAATTCACCATTTTTAACTTTTTTTTCGTTTAAGCTTGCGTTTTTGGTATTTTTACTTTCTGCTCCTATCCTGCTTTTATAAACTAACTTGAAAAATTCAATAAAAGTTCCCTTATTTCACGACTTGCGAGTCACAAACTCACAAAATACCTGTGAAATATTCATGAAAGTGCAATTTTTTACACGTCTTCCATAAATAAAGACCTTTATACATATTCTTGAGGAAATCCGCATTATCGTTCTCCAAACTTCTTCTTTTTTTCTTCGTCATAATCCTTGGAAAATCTTTACTCCTGAAAAAATAATAACTTTTTCGCTTATCACTAATTAACAATAACAGTCAAGTTTTTTTAATAATTATATTTTTTTAGAAAATATTTATACTACTTTTTTAAGGTAAAAAGAGAAAAAATAATTTTAATATGTCGAGAGAAACTTTTATATATAAATTTAAATTCCCAATGTTACGCTGCATCAAATGCAAACAATCGTAAAATCGATTTCCAACACCCCTTGTGAGGAAGATTTGTGTGATCAAAAGCGCTCTCGCTTTAATCTCCTAATTTTATGCGACCATCAAATTCGTAACCCATTAAATCGAATATAGCCGCCTTTTTTTAATTTCTTTAGAAAAACAATGTGTTTTTATTTACAAATTTATATAGCTACACAAAGTAAATTCATTTCATTCCCATAGACGTCTGTTTGGTAAAAATTAATTGAAAAAATAAAATAAGGAAATTATTTATAAATATTGTGCAACTAATTTGTATATTTTTTGTATATTATTAACAATGTAGCACTGAATTATTTTATCATCTAGTATTGTCAGAACTAATAAACTTATCCGGTTGATTTGTTGTATGTATCTAGTCTCTTATTTTTTCTACCAACGGTATTTTAGAGCCAATAAATTCATCTGCCTGATTTGCTCTTTGTTAGTTTGTCATCTGTTATCTAAAACAGTAGCAAAAGCATAAGCCGCGCCGCGCCGGGCCGGGCCGGGGGTTTTTTCACTTTAATTACATTATGGCATGATTATGGCACAGTTTTCAAATATTTGTTTCTTCAATAATTATTGTCCATTTCAAAAATTCTTTTATTCATTTTACTTGCATAATACAATTGACTTTTATTAATACTTTATTTATTCAGATAACTGTAACAAATTTTATTTTAAATATTTTCCTTTTTTTATATTACATATGTGTTATTACATACCAAAAATAATTTCTTAAATTGAAAATAGAAAAATGAAATAGAAAAGACTTACTCTGCGTCTGCACTTTTGAATTCTATCATCTCCTGCTTGAGGTGAATAAAAGAAAAACAGTAACTTAATCAAAAATCTACAATTCTGGAAATAAAATATTATTTTAGGAAAATTGATGTCCTTTTCACTGTTGTCGCTTGAGGCGATTCGCATATTTAATCCAACCAAAGAAGCAAGAAGCACACCTGCTTCCTCGTCCCTTATGGTAAACTTGGCTAAATCAATTCGATTAGTGGGTGGCATTGAAGTTTTCAAAAGGCGACGTCATAAAAGTTTTTCTCTCGCTCCATTCCAAGGACAATGATCCAAAACTTTTTAATAAACTCTCGCCTCAAAGAAATGAATGTAATTTCTTTCTCTCTCACTGTTTTCAGATTGATCCCTCGCAAAGAATATTATCGTCACTTAACAAATTGTACAATTCATTTTCTTTTTTTCCTACAAAAAAAGAAAGAATATTCAAGCCCGTCACTTGTGACACGGCGACACGGGAGATAAATAAACTTGGGGAGAAAAACTATTGAAGGGAAGATTGACTTGAACTTTTGTTTTTTTTTTTTTTTCTTTTACTTGGACGGAAAATTTCCAGTTTGTATCTTTTGAAGCGTCATCATGAAGATAAGATCGCGCTAAGAAAATACGATGATAAATTATTAAGAAGCATTGTTTTTGAATGTTTGCATCTTTATGCGCGTGAGAAACATTTTGTAAAACACAAAAGTAGTTTTGTATTTGAATCAATTATTGCATTACAGTTAATTTAACTTACACATACATTTTTTATATATATTAATTTTATACAAAAAAACACTTTCACTTTTGCACTACTAAAATAGCATTTTGTCTTTGGTTGGTACGCGAATAATTTACAAATGCAACTCTGAAAAATAGAGTCTAACTCGGACATAAAGCTTGAAGCATGAAGCGTTCACTGCTCTCTTCGAGGTATATTGTTTGTTAATGACGTCCACTCATGAGTGGATAAGGTTGATAAGGAACTTCGTAAACTTGGTCCGAAGGTTCACTTCTCTCGTGCCAGGCTTCCGGCGAGTAATGGAGTCCATAGTTGACTCCGCTTGTTGCGACTCTCTTCAGACCCTGAATGCTCGACAGCATCAATGCCATTTTGGCCAGCAGGAGCGCCTTTCCGCCCAAAACCGCCAGGAACTGGAAGCCCATCGGAATCAGCACCGTCCCCATCAGCAGGAGGCCCATCATCAGCATCATCATCATTCCCTGCTTACGTCGGCGTCTTCTTCCTGCAAAAGACGAATTTCGCATAAAGAGTCATTTTTTTTTTGCTTGAAAACAGAGAAATTACACACCTTCGACCAAGTCGTTTGATTTTGAATGACGATTCACTGCGTTGTCATCAAGGTTACCATCAAGGTTGCCATCAAGGTTCGTCAAATGTCCGAGATCAAGTTTCAGATAGCGATTTTGAAAAATCCGATCTGTCAAATCTGCCCATGAATTCGAATCACTGCTTCTTTGGTCAGTGCTAATTTTATTACTGTAAAATAATATCTTTTTAACGTTAATGAGAAACCATTTTTGCATTTATTAAAAAAGAAGAATTTGAAAACAACTTTAAAAAGGTATGACGTAAGTTGCAAACAGTTTCTCGTGTTTCATCAATTTAATTAGAAGGAATTTTTCTTTATTCCATTTCTTTCTTTTCTTTCTTTTCTTTGTTAGTCGTGTTTTAAAGTGTTATACATAGCATTTCGATCAAGACATCGTTATAGGACAAGAGAGCGTGCTTATAATGATTTAATTTTAATTACCTGCTAAGCTCGTCGCTATCGAAGGAATGAAAAGTTTTGATGAGACGAACCAGGTCAATTCCATCGAAAATTGGAATAATATCTTCATCAAAGAAGGCATTAACGGCAATTAAAACTCGACGCTGTAAGCAATTTTTAAGTGCTTCTAAAAATCCCTGCTGCCCCGGATCCTTCCAAGGGACGAGGGGACAATTTTTCAATAAAAACTTGAAACCGACCGACCATTTTGCCACATTGTCCCTGTCACTCTCCGCGCCGGTTATTAAAACAATAAGGAATAAATTTAAAATCCTCGATCGCATCTGAAACAGAAGCAGTTATTAATTATTCTGTAATTTATTCTTTCTTGGCATTGACTTTTCACAATTTTCACAATTTTCACAATTGCGGGAATAAAGAGAATAAAGAAAATATTCTTTGGGCTATTCTTATTCAATGCTTTTTTTCTTTTCCGATTTTTTTAAGGATCTCCGAAAGCGAAACTGATCAAAAGCTTCCTAATCTAGTTATTGTTAAAGAAAAAGCTTGAATTCAGTGGAAAAAAAGATTATATCCAGCCAGACGCGATAAAAGCCTTCGAGTTCCGCTTCCACTTAAATAAAACATTTTTTTCCAAAGGGAGCAACACTGAGCACTTTTCAGATATTTATTTCACAGTCACTAAAACCACTCACGAAAGTTTAGAAAAGTAAAAAAACTTTTATTTCGAACTTGACAATTTTTGAAATTTCTTTCTTTTTTTAATAAAAGAATTTTGTAACTCCTTTATTTTCGGGATTGTGAGAGAAAAAGAGAAAACTTGCCTTAGGAAAGGAAGAGAAAAATCATAAAGCAACCGGGCTGAAAATTCGAATTGAAATGGTTTGGTGGAAACGTTGACCTCGCTTCTTATACGAGATGATAAATAGGCCAGGGTGCCACTTGTGTGTACTGGTTACTATTGGGATCCGTCGAAGGGGATCAGGATAGCGGTGTTTATGCTCGACCAGCATAAAAGTTCTACCATATAATTGTCAGCGAAATAAACGGCCATGCGTGTAAGGACTTCAAGTCTGTCTCCGACTTCTAGGACGTCGACCTTACAATTAAGGCTTGGAAAAAGAATCCAATAACAAGTGGGAGGTATTTCAATAAAAAGACGATCTGCGAACAAGACGGAAGTTACAATATCGCATGCCAATTAAAATATCAACTGAAAAATAGATTCAATTTATTGAAAAATACTTACTATAATTTTACCGCAAAAATAAACTGCTCGTTAATTACGCTAAATAAAGCATAACAATTCGTTTCAATAAAAGTATTAATCAAAATTTCAACAATAAATTCCAATAAAGTGAAACAATTTTCTAGTTTTCAAAATACGAGGAAATACTCTGGTGACACGGCCCTTTTTTTCTCTGTCGAACCGTTCTCACACGATCTCATGCAATCTCACGCAATCTCAAACGGAAATTGGAAGCAAAAAAATTCTAACCAGATTATCTGCACTTAAAAAATGCCTTTGTTCCTTTCTTCAGAGTGCGTTGAAATACGAAAAACATTTATTGCATCAATGAAATTGACCAAATACTATAAATTTTGTTTTATTTCTAAAAATCGTTCTTGTTACAATAATAAACAGATCACATGTTTTAATTACACATAGATGAAAAAGTTGATAAACGTGGAAGACTAAAAATCATTGCTCTTTAAAATATAATCTTAATGAATAAGTGGCACGTTGAATATTCTAGTTTTCGATACACAGCGCATTACCACAGTCTAGTCGTACGTGTAAAGAACTAAAATTCCGAACTCTTAACATAAGACAATATGTTTCAAAAAATACGTCAAATTAAAAGCGTAAGTATTTAAAAAAAGTTGTCGGAATGTAAAAAAAATTTCCAAAAAATTGAAAACGGCTAAAACTAATTTTCTCATGAGAGATATCACATCGATTATTTACAATTACAAGGCTTAACATCTAATGAAGAGCTCAATTTTAAGAAATCAGGATATTTTCTATTCATATGCAAAAATATATCTAAATGGAAACGTATTAAAAATTTGCAAAACAAGAAGACATGTACAAATTTCTGCGTTATACTTTTTGTTTTTCTATCAGTCTTTGATTTATCCTGTGATTTCCGTCAATTAGTTTATTCATCATTATTATTAAATCTAAAAATTCGTTTCAATAAGCTCGTTCTGTTTTCTTTTTTCTTTTCTCTTTTTTCTTTTTTAGATTGCACTCTTGTATAAATCCATTTTTTTCTTCGCTCGTAAAAATTTGAATAATTATCAGGGATAACTTTCCCGAATGAAGCGAAGAATACGTGAGAAACTCAGTCTCTTGTAATATTTCCATTTGCCCACATTTCCATAGGCGTGGCGTCGCAAAGATGGATTCGACGAACGAATACATGTATTCGATCTGTGCGCGATGTTCTCGGGAATTTTCGACGATGTTGGCTTCAGTGATGAATTTCGTTTCTGAAATTATTTAATACAGACATTTTTTTAGATTCGAATCGTATTAAATTTCTCTCATGTTTGATTTTGATGATGCTTATTGGAATCTGTTTTTATTTTATTACCTTGGGCATTGCAGATTCGATCAGCTCATCGAGTCTCAAGTTTTCCTCCTCGGTCAGACTGTTTCTGTTTTCGTTTTGCTCGATTTTCACTCTTCCGTTTTTACAAGAATTTTGACGAAATGACGGCGGTGAGGAGCAACCGTAAGGAAGCATTCTATTAGCTGGAATATCGTCCAAAACTCTTCCTGAGGAACTTGGATGAAAAGATTGCGACTGTTTCTAAAATTAAAAGCAGAGCATTTCTTTAATTTCTGCTAAAATTTTTACAGAATCTAATTTTTAAATAACTTGACAATTTTTTTGAAACATTTAAATAGAGTAAATTTAATTTACCTTTGGCATCGCAGATTCTATCAGTTGGTCCAATTTCATATTATCCTCCTCTGTCAAACTTATCGTGTCATCGTCTGGTTCTGGTTTTATTCTGTCCCCACGGAAAAAGTTCTGTCGACTCGAATGGTAAGGACGAGAATTTAATTTATTTGATCTGTCCGGCACTTTCGTTGGAGAAGTTTTCGGTCCGTTTCCTCGTTTCTTCGTTGGGCAAAAAAAGAATTGTATAATTATTTAAATAAATAAAAATCTGTATCGAAATTTCAAAATTTAAAAGTCAACAGTTTGTTTTATTTTTATTTAAAAAAGGAAAAATTACCTTTGGATTTCCAGACTGAATTAGTTGATCGAGTCTCTCCTTGTGAACGGCAAAATCATTAAAGGAATCGCGATTCACTCTAGATTTGTACGATTGTTGGGGAATTAACGGAAGTGACGATTCATTGTACTGATTCGTTCTTGGGCGAACATTAATCGGTGACGACCGCGAGGAAACGCTCAATTTTTTCTGTAAGCAGACATTTTTTACTCTTTTCAAGTGACAACTTTTTGCTTTAAATTAAAAATATTTTTTCTTTGATTTATTTAATTTGAAAATAATATGAAAACATACTTTTGGCATTCCGGCTTCGATTAATTGATTCAAGCGACTATCTTCATCTTCTGGAAAATCCAATTCGGATCTTAGTAAAATTTCCGACTGACTTGACGAGTGAATCTTTCTCGAAGGTGAATTGTAGTTCGACTTACTGATGACCAGTTTCGGCGAATTCGATCTTGGCGATGGCGATAAAGTATTTTGCCTCTTCGGCATTGCGGATTCAATCAGTTGATCGAGTTTGATATTCTCCTCTTCGGTGAGACTGTTGCTGTCTTCCGATGGAGCGGGCGAGGAATTATCCTTTCGAGTCGATGGCACCAGAGTCGTCGGCGACGAAGACCTTCCACAGGGATTCGATCTGTAAAACTCGTCGTTGATGGGCGATGACGATCTCAGCGAATGCGAGTTCGAGTGAATGTTAAAATGTCTCTGCAAAATTATTCGGCAATTACACAATTATCGAAAAAAATGTCCAAAAATAGAATTTCAAAGTAAAACTAATAATTAAAATAGTAATTTATGAAATAAATTACCAGTTCAGATTCCAAGAGTAATATATCACGGGGACTAATTTTATCGTTAATAAAAGCGTTGTCCTCAAATAGTACAGATGAGTTGTCAATTTTACAAGTTTGCTGCAAATTCGAATTCGATGCTCGAGTGTTAATTAGTTTTGGCGAAGACGGAACTGATGAAGTTTCAATTAGTCGTGTTAATTTATTAGTTTCCTCTTCAGTGAAACTGTTACTTCCAACCGAGGGAGCGGGCGATGATGATCTCTCGAGATTTTGTTCGGAAGTTGCGAGCGACGATGAATCATTTAAACGTCTCTGTCGAATTCAATTTAAATAAAATATGTGTAAATTAGTTTCGATTTACTTTTTAAATTAGAGTATCAAACGAACGACAAAATAATAATCTTCTTAAAAGCTAAATAGTATTTTTAAAGAATTATAATTATGAAAATTAATTCACCTTTGGCATAGCGGATTCAATTAACTGATCCAATTTATTGTTTTCTTCCTCTGTGAGACTGACACTGTCGTCAGAGGGTTCGGGAGTCGTTCTTTCGACTTTGAAAGATCGATTCGGAATTAAGGAGGTTGAGGAATTATTACAGCTATTCAAAGGAACTTCAAGTGATGAATTCTGCGCGGAATTCTGAGGCGAAACTTTCTTCTGAAACGAAAATATTTATTTTCACGTAAAAAGTAAAAAAAAAAACTAAATTATTTTGAAAATGACAATGGAAATACCTTTGTCTGCACTGACTCAACTTGCTCCCGTAAAATAATTTCATTATCACCAGAAGAGTTGGAAGCTTCATCAGAGGATTTATTCCTCCGATTCGCCAGGTACAATAATTTATTGTGATCGATATTTTCGTTATCATCTGGAATGCTGGGCATCGAGAGTGCGGATAAATTCGAAATTGATCCATCGGGCGTGTCCTCGGTACAGTAAACGTGAACAGAATCCAAAGTCTCGACGAGATCAACTCGATCCGTGACATTTCGGAGTGAAACATTTTGTCCCCCACGTTTAAACGCCGAATCCAATCTGTCTAGAGTAAAACTCGTTTCGAATCTTCTCAAATTGCACGAGGACTGTGAAACATTTATCGAATTCTGGTCGGTTGACGTATATCTGCAATGAACAAACATTATCGATTCAAATTGCTTTCTTCTCACATTTCCAACGGAAAGAAAACTAAGAAAAAAACTAAGAAAAAAACTAGAGGAAAATTGTAATTTTCTTGTGAAAATTAAATTCTCTATTAATAAAATAAGCCGAAAAAAGAGAAAATAAAAGAAGAGTTCAATATCACCTTTCATTGGGAAGAGTCTCGTTGTCTTTACAATCATCAACTTGATTCTCTTTCTTCAATTGAGGGAGATGGGAACTTTCTTCCGAATTTCCCGTGCATTCCACACTTTCAGGAACAACAGACCTTTTTTCTACCATTCTAAATTTAGGTAACTTCGGTTCGTCATCGATAGTCAAGGAACTGAGACTCGTGGCTGCCGAGAATTCAAGAGGCGTCGATTCATCTTTAAATGCAGCCATCTCATCCTCGAAGACACTTCTTTTTGCCGATTGCATTTTACTGCAAGCTGCAAAATTTCAATCTTATTATTTTTCATTAAAGCTAACGAATTTTTAGAATTTTAAAGAAAAGCGATTAAGTAAACATTCAATGAAGAAAAATTATACAAAAAATTGACTATTTTTTATTTTACAACAACTATTTTGTCAATTTCTATGCAAAAGTACCATAATTTTTTAATTTTTCACGAAAATCAATCGAACCAGTAAAAATATTGATTTCGATGAAGCCTCAATGCACATAAGACGCTATCGCTAATTTTTTGCAATTTTTTACAAGCTACTGGAATAAATTTTATTTTCATATTTTCTAGGTGCTTGTAAAGAAAATTGGAATTTATGATTTCATTGAAAAAAAGAAGTAAAGCTCTATTGTATAATTATTTAGATGATAATAACTTACACCCGGGTCTACTTCCTCCATTGATATTTACCACACATTAAAAAGTGTGGGTGTACGAAAATATTGACGTAACGCATGCGCTTTTCGTAGCGCAAGCGCACAATCCAATTTTTAAATTTATATCTTTTTCTACTTTCAATAATTATAAAATGATACAATTTAAAAAAAGTACTCATTACAAAAAGTATATCTAAACAGGTAGACTTTATATTTATAGTAATTAGTAGTTAAAAAAAAAAAGAATTGGGTATCATAATTAAAAATGAAATTGACTTTGTCTTGGAATTTAAAGAAACATTAATTTTTCAATAAACGCACAAGGTACATTTTATTTTTCAATATGAAGAAAAGGAGGGATTTTTTTTCTATTTTGAGAAAAACTTACAAGGTGCTTGAAAGCTGAGACGAGATTCGTTTTGCGATTTTCTACCAAATTCGGTATGCTGATGCTTGTGTCGAGGACTCGGTGGAACGGTTTGTGTTGGCGAATCCGGCAGTTCACTCGGCGAAACAACACCACTAGTCATTCGACTTTAAAAATAGGAAACAATCATTTTACTGTATTGAAAACAAAATTGTTCACTTTGAACAAAAGAGAAAACAAAATCTTACCTAAAGTCACTAATTCCCGAACTAAGATCGTCTCGAATTGAATGTTGCTCGAACCCGCTGAGAGAACCCAAGGAGCTGCATCGCGAAAACATTAGAGGCGTTTGCTCTGCATAGCGATCCTCTCTTCCGAATTTCACCATTTTGCCTGTAAATAAATTATCATTTTCTGAAATGCGAAAACAATGTTTTATTAAAACCGTGGAAATAATTGACGCATTGCATTGTAGAGAAAGGTAAAAATTCAAGTAAAATTTCTTACCTTCTTTATCGATAATGCGACTCTCGTTCTTCTCTTGCTCGACACTTGTAGTGGGTGTGTTTTTTGCATTCATCTGCTCCGCGTTCGATTGAGGATCGACATTTTCGGAGGTAATGTCATTGCCGACTGCTTCCTCCGAGACAGTTTCGATGCTTAAATTTTGAGCGACTACAGCACTTCCTAGCGAACTGAAAGAACTGACTCTGGAGAAACACTGCGGCGTACCCTCGACACAATAGCTAATTGGTTTCTCCGCTAAATTAACATCTGAATTCAACAAATCCTTCTCCTCCTCCTCCTCCTCTTCCTCCTCTTGCATCTCCTGCGACTCATCAAACTGTGAATCCTTTGTGACGGAGTCGGAATTCTTTCTCAAATCCATCTTCTTGGAGAATTTCTTCTCACCTCCTTCTTTGACATCTTCGACTCTCAGATCCGACATGGAAGTTGCGGTCGAGAAATTAAACGGCGTCTGATACGGAGTACCTTCTGTGCAATATGTCTTGACAGTGTCTTCCTGCTCATTCCTGGGGAAGTATTCGGGATTCTCCTTTTCCTCCTCGTCGGTATCGTCCTCAGCGTAACGCAGACTGTAATCTGTCGGTTGGTCCAGATCCGTTTCTACATAGTCACCGAATAAATTCACCTTATCATCGTGATTGGAGAATTCTTCTTTTGGCGAAATTTCGGTTTCGTTCGCCAAGAGATTGGCACCTTGATTTCTCTCGGAATACTTTTTGCTGTAGTCGATTGGCTGGTCGTTGATGTCCTCGTCACAGGTCGAGTCCGAAGGGGATCTATTCATGAAGTTCGTGAAGGGTTTCTCGAAATTCGCGACTGCAGGTGAGGCGGACACTTGATTCTCCTCCACTGGAGAGCAAACTCTGTGGCGAGTGTAGCTCGGAATGTCTGGTGGCGAATTCCATGGAACGTCGTTCGAGGAACGAAAATTCTCCTTTCCTTCGTCATACTCACTGTCGTTTGTCAATTTAATGCAGAACTTCAACTTTTTCCCGGGTTCAGTGGAAATGTAGGCAGTTGGCACCGATCTCGATTTGGGCCGCTCGTAACTGAAGGATCGATTGTCGATGGGAACGAATTCGCGATCGTAGCGATGCACAGAATCGGAGAAGACGTTTTTCTTCACACAACCGCCCTTCTGGTTTTCTACGTCCAAGCGTGAGTCTCTTTTTCTAGGAGTCATGGTCGTATTTTCTTCGATTTCGGTCGTTGGTTTTCGAACTCTACTTTCCTGCGACAGATTCCCATTGGCGCCCTTCGCTGACAGCAGATTCCTGAGAGCCGAATTGGCCCCCATGGAAATCATCTTGTGCTTCGAGTGGGTCAAATTTCGGAGCAACGGAATCGCCCCCAATTCCCAAAGTGTTTTCTGATCCCTGGGACACCAGGCCGATAAATTCCACAGCGTACCACAGGCATTGCTCACGACTGTCAGACTCGACGACTTCAGATGCCTGACGAGGATATGAATGCAATTCTTCTGTCTCAAAATCGCTCTGTGATCCTCTCTAACCGCAATGTGACTCGAGACATTTCTAATAATTCCGCCTGCATTTTCGGCGATGGCGAGACCTTTTGTCTGCGACTCGTAACAGAGCATATTCACCAGGAATGCGAGCGCTCCCTCCACGGCGCAAATCTCCGCCTTGTTCGCCGCACAGTGAGCCGAGAGATTCCAAAGTGCGGAGAGAATCGTCTTGAGCGAGGACTCTTTCCGGCAGCGCATTGCCGCTTTCATCAGCCCCGTGACAACTTCCGCTTCACGCAACGCCTGTTTGCTTTCATTATCCGCCCTCCAGGACAAGTTGCAGAAGACACTCGCCGTCACTTGCCGCAGCTCTTCACACGGACTGAATAACTGCGTCACCCAGACTTTGATAAAATCTCGAAAAGAACAGAGCAGCGCCTTGTTGTTGGTGTCGCCGACAATGAGACTCGCGAGTGTCATTCCCGAATCGCGGCGGAGAGTGATGCACTCCCGCTCGCTCGTCTCCGAACCGTGGGCCGCGTGCTCGCATTCCATCAGTTCCGCTATTGTCTGCAAACCACCGAGGTAGCATATTACCCGATGGTAGTTTTCCTTGAAGGACAATTTCATAAGTGACGTCATTGTCGAATTCGGGTGTTTGTGGAGATTGTCCGGCACATATCCCGTGGTAACGGTCAATTTCAACATTTCCGAATAGTCCCGCAATTGTTCCAAAAGTTCGAATATATGCTTTTCCCGACCTTTCTTGTCGTCGAAAGCGTGAATTACATTCCGCAAAGCGCTCGAGGCTCCTTCCCTCACGTCCGGACTCTGGTCCCGTGAATGAATCAATTGCACCAAAAATGGTACACAATCTAAAAGAAGCAGAAAATACAATTTCCTTATTAAGTAATGTTACGAAATTCAATCTAGAAAAAATGACAAATTACCGTTTTGCTTCATTTTCGGACGCCTTTCCACTAACTCTGGTTCTTCTAACCATCTTTCACGATTTGATGCTATAGATCTGACGGAAACATTTTCTTCCTGGTGCGTCTCTTCATTTAAACTCGAGTCCTTACTGTCGTTTATAGAAACCTATTTTTAAAGAAACATACATTTCTCTTGTATTTCATTTCCACAAACAAATAATCATTAGAAATGAAAATCATTCTTAAACTAAATCCTTAAAATTGCAAATAGCATTTAATTAAAATCATCAATCCAAAAATAATTAACAAACTACTTTTCGACTATTGAGAAAAAACATTAACAATTTCATAAAAAAGTCAACAGAAATAATGTAGAAAATGCAAATAGAAATAATTCAGAAAGTTATATAAGTCGATTTTTATATTTTACAAATAAACAAGCAAACTCAAATTTCTCAAAATTGAATAAAGGAGAAAATATACGAAAACAAATTGTTTTAAAAATATGAAAGACGTTAAAAAAACTAAGAATTAAAAATTTAAGCGCAGCAAACAATAGAATTTCTAACCTCTGGACTTGGACGCCTCTCTCTATACTTTGTCCAAGACATGTTTCTTCTGAATTTTCAATATTTGTCACACTTGCGCATATTTGATTTTTCTATTTCACTTATAGTATTTCATTTTTATTTATGTGCAAATAAACTCGTCCTTTCCGATTGAAAAGGTTATAATTGGCAATTGTTGCAAACAGTCCAGTAATACGTTTATATGTATATAGTTTAAAATAATTTCCCGTCTATTGTAACAAGTAGAAGAAAACTAACAAAAAAGTAATAATGAACACTGGTAAATATAATAATTAATACACAGTTGACTGGCAATTGTTGTATATATATTTGAAAAACAATAAAACGACAACTGTCAAGTGCATGAAACACTGTTGCCACATTTTGAAGCGCGTACAGGGTTGCCATTTTTCGCGGCTAATTTAAACAGGGCCCTCTACAATTTGAAACAAACTTTATTTTTCTCTATTTAAATATATAAATATACAAATAAAATAATATAAAGAAATGTGTTTGATTATGAAATTCTGCTAAGAAACATTCTGATTAATTAACAATTAATCAAATACAACTAATTTCGCTGGGAATTATTAATATTACACTGTAATGTACTTGATTATCACTCCTTTTAAAAGTACAATAGAGTATAAATTACATTTTTTTTTTTATCAAAAAAGTAAATTATAAAAATATTTACATAAACAATGAACTGAATTATATATTATGCATACATATAGTTGTAATCGAGCGCTAAAAATAAAGATTCAGAATAAGTTGTGACGCCTGACAATAGGCAACCGCGAAATAGTTGTTACGAGAAAAAGCTTTTTGTTAATGGTGTTGTGTTATATATTGTTCATATTTTTTGTCATTTTTGTGATATTTCGAAACAGTTCGCCTGTGATAAACACTCAAGTTGAATAATAACAATGTGAAATGAAAATAAACAGAAGAAAAACATTTACATTGTCGTTTATCTCCGGAAAATTGTATTTTTGCGAGAGTCAATGACTATTTTTAGACTTTCTAATTTCTAATGTTTTTCGAGTTTTTCGAACGTAATGGACGATCGGGAAAATGAAAAATAAAATGCCACCATTTCGCAGGAAAAAGAACGGAAAATCTTTTCCAGTTAAAGTTTGTACTCTCGATGCAGAATTGGAATTCAATTTGGAGGTTAGTTTTCAGTCTTCCGATAAGTTTATTTCCGAGACAATTAAACCTTAAAATTGAAAATTATTAAACTGAAAATGTTAATTTAAGGAAAATGAATATTTTAAATAATTTTTTGTAAATATTTTTAAAAATGGGATTTGTAGAATACAATTTTTTTTTGTTTTCAATGTGAAAATTACTTTTTTGTTTCGATATTTGACGTAAGTTGCATATATTTTCTTCTAGAGGAATGTTTATTGGATGACATCATTGTTTGTTAATCTCTTTTTTTGCGGAATTAAAATTGTTAAAAAGAAGTAATTTTTAATAATATCAGTTTGTAAGAAATTTGTTATTATGAAATTTTTATTCATTTTCCTTGTTTTTGATTCTTTTCAATTTTGCAGTAATATTATAATTTTTTTAGTGGAGGGCAACAGGACGGGATTTATTCGATTTAGTTTGTCGCACAATTGGTCTTCGAGAAACTTGGTACTTTGGATTGCAATACGAAGACGCAAAAGGATTTATATCATGGCTGAAACTCGACAAAAAGGGTAAATTTCTTTAATCTTTATTGCAATTTACTTTTTGATTTTGATTTTAATAACTACTTTATTCTGGTTATTGACAATTATTATTTCAGTGCAAGACCAAGGAATATCTCAACAGCCAACGACTCCATTTATGTTCCTGGCAAAATTTTACCCGGAAGATGTTGCCGAGGAACTTGTGCAGGAAGTAACTCAACATTTATTTTACCTTCAGGTTAAGCAGGCGATTCTTTCCATGGATATTTACTGTCCACCGGAAGCTTCCGTTTTACTCGCGTCTTATGCGGTTCAAGCCAAGGTAACTTGATTTTTGAATCAAAAAATTTAAATTTGTTCTCTGTTTGAATTTTTTGTCCAACAGTACGGAGACTATGATGAAGTCTCACATCGTCCGGGAATGTTGGCTAGTGAAGATCTCCTTCCGCAACGGGTCATTGATCAATATCAAATGACGCCGGAAATGTGGGAGGATCGCATAAAAATTTGGTACGCCGATCATCGGGGAATGTCACGCGACGAAGCTGAAATGGAGTATTTGAAAATTGCTCAGGACCTCGACATGTACGGCGTCAACTATTTTCCAATTAGCGTAAGTATTTGCGGAATATTCTTTTTTTTTTTGTCTCAAATTATCAGCGTAAAATTGAAATGTGAAAAATTGGACAGAATAAGAAAGAGACGGACTTGTGGTTGGGAGTGACGGCACTGGGACTCAACATTTACGAGAAGGAGAATAAGCTGACGCCGAAGACGACGTTCACGTGGTCCGAGATCCGGCATATCAGCTTTGACGACAAGAAGTTTGTGATCAAGCCAGTGGAGAAGTCGTCGCCAAATTTCGTCTTCTTCTCGCAGAAAGTTCGCATGAATAAATTGGTAAAGAAAAAATCAGATGTTGCCAGCTGGGTGAAGGGAATGGTAGTTTTAGGATTGGAGGAACGTATTAGTGACAAAGCTGCTCGAATATTATTTGTTAAGATTCTGGACCTGTGCATTGGCAACCACGATCTATTTATGCGGAGAAGGAAGCCCGACTCGATGGAGGTCCAGCAGATGAAAGCCCAGGCCAAGGAGGAAAAATCCAGGTAATTCCATTCATTGAGAAACATACTTTTCATCTTTTTTGTTTGCCGTGTATTTTTGTTTTTCAAAAATTTAAATTAGCTTTATTTTAAACGACAACATTTATTTCAATATCACATTTCACTAAACTTTTTTTAAAAACTTTTCTTTTATTACTCAAAAGATATTTAAATAATAAATGGAAAACGTTTTATTTAATAAAAACAATTTACAATTAAATTCAGCTTTTTAAGTGAAATTGATTTTTATTTAAAATGTATTCTTATTTAGAATTTTCTCTTTTTAAAAACATTGAATCTTCCTTGTGCCCAAAGCAGGAAGATGCTTATTAATTTTGAATGAGATTTTTATTTTTCCCTAGCATGAGCTAAAAATTATTATTTTCGAATTAGATTTTTTATTTAGAGTTTACTTCTATTTTTGATGTCGACAAACAACCTTGTCAGGTAAGCGAACAGTTTTTCAACATTTTTTTCACTCGAGGCCTATTCAATTTGCATGTGTTACTCGAATTTGAAAAAAAATTGACAGTTAAAATAATTTTCAAATAATTCTGTAAATAATTACAGAATTAAAAAAAACGATTAACAACTTTATTAAATTTAATACTTTTTAATTAGAAAAGCGTGAATGATTTTTATTGTTTTTCGACGATCTATAACGAGAATATGATTGTTTAATGACAGGAGGCAAATCGAAAGGAATAAATTAGCCCGTGAGAAGCAATTGAGGGAAGCTGCAGAGAGGGAAAAAGCTGCGATGGAACAGCGACTTTTGCAGTATCAAGAAGAAATTCGACTTGCCAACGAAGCTCTCGTAAGCATCTTTAGATTTTGGTTTGAAAATATTTAAAAATTTTTTGTTTAATTGAATTTGACCAATTTGACAATTGTTTGGCGCAGAGACGGTCTGAAGAAACGGCAGACCTGTTAGCAGAGAAAAGTCGTGTGGCCGAGGAAGAAGCAATGCTCCTGAGTCAGAAGGCCTCCGAGGCTGAGCAGGAGATCACGCGAATTAGACTGAATAATATGAAAACAGAGGAGGAGAAGGTACATCTCGAGAGAAAGACTCGGGAAGCCGAATTGCTCACTGAGAGGCTCGTTCAGGAATCCGAACGACGGGCTGTCGAGGCTGAGAAACTCAAGGACGAATTACTTCGCGCCCGCATCGCCGAAAAGGAAGCGAAGGAGAAACTACTCGAGTTCCTTAGCAGAAACGCTTACGCTAATGCGATAACCGTAAGTTTTCTTTTTCGTCCTCTGACATCTCGTCATTCATTCTTTCAAATCAATAAAATAAATTTATTTCCTTTTGCAGCCGGTGTCGAATATATTTCCGTCGACGCAAGTTCTGCCCTCGGATTTGCAAGCAGATTTGCAAACATTACATCTCGACGCCGAACCACTGTCGCCTGAATTGACATCGTACGATTTAATAGCCGACGGCGACGTCGATCAGCTTTCGATTGAAATTGAAAAGGAACGTGTCGATTATTGGGAGAAGAGTAAAAATCTTCAGGAACAATTAAAGGAATTACGCTCGGAAATTGAGGTAATGAAGGTAGGCGAGAAACAGTGTGAATTAGATCAACTTCATGAGGAACAAGTGAGACTTGGCGAAAATAAATACAGTACATTGAAAAAAGTCAAGTCAGGTTCAACCAAGGCGAGAGTCGCCTTCTTCGAGGAACTCTAACAGAAAAGAATTTCGTCATTGCAATTTATTATTTAAATCAGTCATCGTGATAATTTGCCAAAATTTTCATTTTCTTATTCTACTATAGTGAAACGAAAAAATAGTGACAAAAAACAAATTCTTTCAAAACTTTCCACATTCAAAATTGAAACATTTTTTTTACAGAAATATTTCAATTTTCAAAACATCTTTAACACAAAGACGAAAAGAAATTGTTCTCTAAGCTTCGCACAATTGTTAAAGAAATTCCAAGCCAATAGTGCCTTGAGTTTTTTTTAAATTAGAAAATTACAAGCGTCAATTAAGTAAGTCATTAATTATTCGATAATTAATGGATTTTAATTCATTTAATGAATATGTATTCATTACTAATAATGAAAGCGATTCGCAAAATATTTTTAAATATTCCCGACTATTCGGAAACGAAATTTTTTTATAATAATTTTATCATATATAGTTTTAGGTGTACGATAACCCAGCTCGCCATATTCTCACATGCGATAATTGTACAATAGCAGTTTGTAAATTTAATATACGGAAAGTCATTAGTAGTTTTATGATATTTTTAATTTTTAAAGTAAATACTCGCTTGCATCGAGGTAAAAAAATGAATAAGAATCTTTAAAAAAGCCATTTATTAATTTTAGTCAAATTGCAAAAAAAAATTAAACTTATTTTTCAAGAAGAAAAATAAATAAGTGATGATAATTGTAAAAAATTACGAAAACTAGTAATACTAAACAAAAATCGTTCAAGATTTTCGTAAAATTAGTGAAATTTGTAAAAAAGAAATTCGATATTGTAAAAAATCAAATGAAAATTTCGATCAAATTTGAATTGACTGACATTTTTCTAGATGGAAAAAAAATTAGAAATTCCTGGATGACTGAAAATTTCTAAAACAAAAAACATTTTTACCTTCCTCGACCTGACAGCTTTTATTCTTTCTTTTTTTCGCTGTTAGGGAAAAAATATATTTTAAGAGCGTATAAAATTAGAAAATAAGATTTCACAATAATTTTGAAACAGGTTTTTAGTTATTTTACAAATATAATGAACAATAATTTTTTTTAAATAGAAAACAGAGCAAGAAATTCTATTTTTTATTCTTTTACAAAATGTATGTAATTTTTAAGTTATATTATTTTATTGCTCGTAGAGGCGAATCAAATCGTCCTCGGTAGCTGGATAATTTGTCATAGGACATTTTCCATACCTTTGTATCACTGGTAAAATGCATAGGTAACAAAAGATGTATCTGAAGAAATAAACAAATTTACATGTTACATTATTAGAGTATATTGTTCAAAGAAAAAGAAACCCACGTAGCAATATTTTGCTATAAAACAACATTAATTTATATTTTACTCACCCTGAAGTAGCAACAGCTGTCCTTGTACGAAATGCTTTCTTACAAATTGGGCACAATCCTCGAAATTGTTTACTTTTTTCGCAAATCTGAAAAGATTATCTCAATAATAATCCTGATTTTCTTTTCAAAATTAATTAATTTAAAAGAATGTTTTTGGTTTTTATTTAAAAATACGAAGAATACGAAAAATACGAAAAAATACATACTGTCGGTGGGGCCGGTATTGGAAGAGCAATTAAACTTTTATCGTAATTTTCCTTGTCCCAATATTGTAAAAATCGAAAAATAAATGCCGCAAATTCCAAAGATTTTGCGGCAACCTCCTCAAGAATTGATCCACCGTCTTTAAATGTAAATGTACCTCGTTTAATTTTATAGAAAAGATCGGTAATAATTATCGAAGGACTGACAAACGAATACGATAAAGTAATATCAAAAATTTTCAGGAATGGAGAAGTATATTTCGATTTTCCAGCAATGTAGAGTAATAAATTTCGTACTTGAACAATTTCTCGTATCATATCACAGATAAAGCAAAAACTTAGGAAGGCCGTTATTAATCTTTTTTTCAATTTCTGTAAATTAAAAAGAAAATGTAATTATTATTTTAAATTCAAGAAAAGAATAATTTTCCAAATTTTACACTCACTGGTAAATTGTGACTAGATACTTGAAGAGAATATTTTTTTCTCACAACGTCGAGTTTTTTATTTAAATAAGGAAAGAGGACTAATAAAATTAAAGAAGCATTCTTTTGACTTTTACTTAAGTTCGTAACAGTGTTGGGGTCTCTCAAAGATACTCTTTTCAATCCATAAAACTTTTCCGAAAACGAAGCACCTACAAACTGTGTTTATTAACAATAATAATAAAAAATTTGAATTATTAAAAATATTTAACTAACTGTGACGACAGAGGTAATAATGTTGTAAGGCACCGTTCAACAACATAAAACTTTCATCTTTCCAGCGAAGAAAAAAACCAAACTTTGCAGGGTATAAATTCGCTAAAACCTAAAATTAAATAATTGAAAATAGTTGAATTAAACAATAAAGCACCCGTAAGAAGAAAAGTGTGTTTTAATTTTTAAAAATTAAACTTACCGTGACAAGTTTATTGAATGCAGGTTCAAGGGAGATGGATAAAGAATCCTGGGCACAAATTTCAAAAACACTCGGTTTCGCATATGAGGTACCTGTCAAGTGAACTCCTTTTTCTCCCATTTTAATTATTACTTATTCATTCAAATTGTATTATTTACAAAATAAAAATATTTTTGCATTTTTGTGCCGTAAAAAATGAAAAACAGCGTGAATTTAGTCACATATAGAAAACAAAAATAAAAAGTGAATATTGCCAACTTTAGATGATTGTTGAGTGAGTTTGCGCATTTACTATTTAATAGGAGAGAGAAGGACAAAGTAAAATAACGCACCAATAGTAATGTCATAATTAAATTGTTGCCTCTTGTCCCTCTCATGCAGGTGAAAATGGTGAAAATGACACAAGTGCAGTTAGTGACTATTGTTATGTTGGCAACATTAGTCAAGTAATAAGACCACGAGGTCAACAAAAACAAAGTCCTCCAACAGTGCCGAATATAATTAAAAGAAGAATAATAATTAAAATTTTAACTATAATATTATAATTTGTTCAGACATGGCAGAAATTCCCTTGAGTGTGGCTGAAAAGACTTTTATTCTTCATGGAGTAGACGTAAGTTTTTTTTAAAGGTAACATAACCTTTAAAAGAAAAAATGCAATTTTATTATTATTAATTTCAAGTTTTTAACTTTAATTACTTTTAATGCAAATTTATTTTTATATGTTTACTCTATTTACTGAAGACATTATTTCAATTACTATTAGATGATAAATTAATATACATTGAATTTTGTAATATGAAAATTATTCTAAAAGAAGTTGATTGTTATTGAATTTTTTAAATATTCTACAGTAAATAAGACAATAATTATTGAATTATTAAAATCTAACAGAAAATAATATTTTCAGTCGGACTCGAGAATAGACGGCCGATCACGATTAGAATATCGAGTGTTAGAAATAGAATCAAAGCTAATGGAACAAGTAAATGGTTCTGCTCGAGTTCGTTTAGGAAATAGTGACATTCTAGTTGGAGTAAAAATGGAAATTGATACACCGTTTCCCGACAGACCCTTTGAGGGAAAAATAGAATTTTTCGTCGATTGGTAAAATTAATTTCCTTTTTTTTTTTTTTAAATAATAAGTTCATAATGAATAATTACAGAAAATATTTTTCACATCTTCTAGAATTTTCTTGATGAAAGTTTATTTTATTTCAGCTCTGCAAACGCAACGCCAGATTTCGAAGGAAAGGGAGGAGACGATTTAGCAAACGAAATAAGCAGTGCTTTATCGCGAGCTTATCAATCGCCACAAACTTTTGACTTACGTTTCCTCTCTATTTTGCCGCACAAAAAATGTTGGAAAATGTTTGTCGACGTTTTGGTAATAGAATTATATTTTTAATTTACTTTTAGTTAATAACTCAAGAAAAAATCTATTTCTGCAATTGAATTTTATATTTTAAAATATATTTGTCTTTATAAAGAAAGTTTTTCTGTAGATTCTTCAATGTGGAGGAAATTTATTTGACGTTGTCGGCGTTGCTGTAAAAGCCGCTCTAAATTGTACAGAAATACCAAAAGTTACTTCAGCGACAGTCGATGGCACAGAAGCTGATATTCATTTGTCTGATGATATTTATGATTGTATTAAATTAGATGTGACGAATTTCCCTTTATTTGTCACGGTTTGTAAGGTAAAACGTAAATAATATCAATAAGTATTAAAGAAATTGAAAAGAAATCAATATAATAATATATTTTTCAATTTCTTAGATTGGAGATAATTGCATTGTTGATCCTACATCGCAGGAAGAAGTGTGCAGTGCTGCGAGCATAATAATGTCAGTAACGCCTAATGGGAAAATCACATCTACGATAAAAATGGGTTATGGAAGCCTTTTATCAACAACGTTAGGAAAGTGCTTAGAGGTAATTCATTTATTTTTATTAATTAATTATGTCATCTTGTCCTTTATGATTTTCATTGCACTTCATTTCTAGAAAATTCAGTTTCATTTAATCTTTTTTTTCTTTATCAGATCGGAACAAAAGTTGGAATTCAGCTCAATGGGGCAATTATGTCACAATTAAAAAGAGAAGAGAAACTTGGACCTAAGAAACAATTTTTTGGATTTCTTAGATAATATTTGAACATCTCTTATTTTTTTTATTAATATTAAACATCTTTTTACAAAAAGGTAATATTTCTTTCTTTATTATTTTAAGTTCGTAATTCCCGTTTTTCGAATTTTATTTTTATTTTAAATTAAGATTTACAGGAATTCCATTAATTTGAATATTTTTCTTTAAATAATATAATCAAAAAAATTATTTCACTTTCTAGTTTGCAAATTTCCCGCCAAAATTACATATGCAGGCAACTTCAAGTTATTGGAAGTAATTTTTTTCTGATTCAGAAATCAATCAATTTATAAAAAAGAAGAGGAAAATCGTAATTTTACAAAAATATTTCGTGAAAATTAGTAACTTTCAAATCCTTTTTATTAGAAAAATATTTAAAAATTTGGAAATTTTATGTAAAAAAAATATTTTTTTGCAAATTGGAAATTTAGTGCTTTTTATCCCCACGAGGGTTCGTTGAGGCTGACCAGTTGCATTTTGCATGTATTGTGAGTTGTGACATTTTTTTAGTCATTTCCACATAAAATCTCTGCATTCAAGCGATAATATAGGATTTGTAAAATTTCTTACGGTCCTTTTAAGGAATAAGTTTATCGACAATGGAAGCTGAATCCTTAGATCTCGAGGACGGAGAAGTTCTTGATGACGAGGTCAGTAAAAGGAAGACATCATCTTTTGACAGGAATCGAACATAACCTCATTCATCAAATTTATCAAATGAAAATCAATCATTTGTAATAGAATTTAATTTAAATGGCAATTTTTCGTTTATTTACTAAAGTAAAGATTAGTTTGGAATTTCTACTTTTATTTCAAGACTATCAGGAAGAGTTGATTGTGAAAAAATTAATTAATTTACTCATTTGCATTTTTCACCGTAATCTAAAATTTTTGCTTTCCATAATTTGACATGTTAATTACTTTGTTGAAATCTACTTGAATCTAGTTGATATTTTAAATACAAGTTTTTAATTTGTACTTTTTTTTCTTTAAACAGCTGTCAGAACATTTTGAAAAATGTAGAAAAAAAACTTGAGAATCTTCTGCTTGAGAAGAAAAATTTATTGCACAGAACCTCTTTTTGGAAGTTTTCAATGTTGAAGGCATTTTTTCTCCCTTGTGATTCAATTTTTGGTTCACTTGGTACAAATTTTCATTCATGTTTTTAAATTCTCTTTCGAAAATTACAAATTTTTTTGGGATTAAAAATTGAATTATTTTATAACGATTAATGTTATTGTACATTTTTCATTTCATATTTAAAAATTACAATTAAATGTGCAGAGAATAAATGAGACTGAAAAGTATAAATGGTATAAATTAATTTTAACAGCCGGAAGATGCGTTTGGTACCTATAATGTACTTCAGCGACCGCATGCGATGCCACCGCGGGAAGAAGTCGGCAAGATGAAGTACAGTGACGAGTCGGATGTCTCTTCGGAGTCGGAGAGCGACTCGGACTCGGATTCTGCCCGGGCGAAAACAAAGAGGCAGAAACTGAAGGTGAAACCAACGCGTGCCGAGAGGGAGAATTGTCGCTTGAGCAAAAATGACAAATTCAAAATTTGGAACATGCAAGTTCAAGAGGAATCGATAACCGAGGATCTCGTCTCTTGTGGTGTCACGAGAAATAACTACAAGGATCGAACCGTCGAGAGTTATGATTTCACATTAGGTTATTCGTTTAAAAAGCGTGAAGAATTGCCGGAAAATAATTCTTCCGACGAGGAGAGAGAAACCGAGCCAAGACTGACGAACAAACGAAATTTCGCCGACAGACGTAATGTCAAATTGAGATTAGGCAAAAGGCGCAACGACGCACCGGCGAACGACGATGACGATCACAAAGGTTCATCTCGTGTCATGTCAGATCTCAGCATTACTCCAGAGTCCAGCGATGCGGACGTTGCTGCCGATATTGCTGCCAAACTCTCCGAACACAAGGACGTTCTCATCAGTAAGTCAAGTCGCTTTTATGTTAAGTCGCCTACTTTTAATTCTTTTCTCTCAACTTATTTTCACAATTACAGGAAGAATTGTGGACATCTTGGGAAAGGAAAAGGCCATTGATTTCTTTCAAAAGACAAAGAAAATCGAGGAAGAAGGCGGAATGTTGATTATGAATGGATCGCGCAGACGAACAGCGGGCGGCGTTTATCTCTATCTCGTCAAACATGACGATCATCTACCCCAGGAACAGATACGGGAGATATTCTATGTCGATAAGAAGGAAATCGCAATTCAGAAAAAGCAGCAAGATGCGAGCGAGAGGCGACGTCATACTCAAGAACTAATGCGGCGACTTGAGAGTAATTATCAACAAATTTCAAAATGAATATAAGATTTCGTGGATTTAATTTAATTTAATTAATTTTTCCCTTTTTGCAGATGGATCTGATAAAGATTTGCCAGCCCTGTTGACAAGAGCGGAACTCTCGACGAAGCAAATTGCGGAGGAAGCGAGATTGAGACGGGGCGAAGGAATGGATCGAACGCCTTTGGATTCCGAGAGAACTGTCTCAAATCCTCCGCCAAGTCCCGTCACTGATGATCCAGATCATTCGGAACATCCAACACCTGGTAGACAGGAAATCGATTACGAAGATATTCTCGATATTGGTGATGTTGATAATATGGAAGTGTTTTAAATACTCCTTTTTTTCTTCACTCTTCTTCAAATTTTTCACTTATTTATAATAATTTCGTTGTTTTTTATGTTCTCAAAATGCAAAAAATTTGCAAATTTTCAATTTCATATTTTAACTCAAGAAAATTTATGCAATTTTATTAATCAGTTCATTCCTCAATTTGTTCATTATCTTTTAAGATCTCTAGAGGCAATTTATTTTCTTATTTGTTGTTTTATCTTTTTTGTTTTTAATTGATTACTGTAAGTTTTTTTTCTTTTTTTAAAATAGTCTTCATTCTAGTACTGTAAATTAAATTAGATTTTAAGTTTTTGAATATTTTTCCTCTTCTAAATTTTTATTCTACGAATGTAAAAAAGTTACTTTTTTATTCTATAAAAAGCTCTTTTCTATAAATCAAAAAAGTAATTTAAATATTCGCAAATTAAATTAAAAACTTTTTTCGCGTCATTGAAAAGAGATGAAAAAAGTTTGGCAATTTTAAAAGAGTTAAAAAAATAACGAAAATGACAGTTTTTTTTAAACATCTTTAGATATTGCATGCAGAGAAATAAAAATCCTGTAAATAGCAATTGATAACAAAAAAAATGTTGCTAAGAAATTGCAAACTAAAAAATAATCGGTGGCAATTAAAAAAAAACAACGATGACGGTGATTAAAATTTTTGGGGCCCAGACAATTTATATTCCCTTGTAAATAAATATTCAAATTAAGAACAAAAATATAGCGTCAGTAAAATTTTTCCAATTTAACGATAATGCATCTTTGATCCTTTTTGTAAAATTATCACTTAGAGAAAGATTTCTTTTAAAAACTTTATACTCGTTACACTAATTTCTTTAAAAGCTAAGTACACTATATGAAATTACATGAAAAAAAATGAAATACGTTAAAAAAATACTATTTTTAACGTAGTAAAAGAAGTAATGTTTAAAAAATGCTTTCTTTCATTTTACGTGAGTGAGAAAATAATAATTGTTTTTGCGTTATTCACTCGAGTGAAAGTACTGTATATAAAAAGAAAAATATATATTCCCCTCGAGTGATTAACATCTCACAATGAATTATATATTATATATTAACAAAAATATTGTACGGTAATAGGAAATTGTTACGAAGAAAATAAAGAAAGGTTTTTTTAATTTAAAATTATCACCAAATTAAATATATTTTATCACAGCTTGACAATTACTTACATTTGATAAATCACAGATTTTCAAAGTATCTATTATAGTTTAATTTATTTTTTCATAATATATATTTTCAAATATTGAGGAAAATATATAATTATAATTTAATTTTTAAGAAATTTTTTCTAATAGTTTCAATAACATTTGACATCGATCTTTCACCTGAAAAAGAAAAATTCCCTTTTAACATTCAATTTCAAGTACATTAAAAAAATAAATCATTTAAAAATTGTATGTTTAAGATAAATTTTTAAAAAATATTAAAAATGTCTTACTTTATTGAATTATTTAGTAGTAGTTTGTTAATTATTTAATTTAATTATTACCTGTTGGACTGAACGATTTTCCAGTGCTTGACTTATGGAAATGAAACTCTTTTCCGAATAATCTTTCTTAATACTTTGCAAAAGAATGGCGTCCTCTTGTCGGGACCAAGGTCTAGTTTCTAATCGTTCTTCTATCAAATCGCAAACACTACCCTCGGAATCACTAGACTCTGATGATTTCATTAACTTCAATGCATTTCTCTCATCGTCATCCATAAAACTGTCCATTTTAATATTAGCTGCAAAAAATTAAATTAAAAATATTATTTTTACTGATATTGTTATTATTAATAATAATTATATTGAGAAAACTAATAAGAAAGAAAAAAATACTGACAGTGTTCCGATGATTCTTCCGATTGAGTTTTATTAGACAGAGATTCACTGGAACTATTCTGGAAATTTTTCTCCTGTTTAGTGTCACGTTTCCCCGCTTTCAAAAACCGTTTCCCTTTGCAAATTAAAATTGTCCTTTTGCTATTAATACCACTGCTCGAGGATTGAGCTGTCTTTGGCGGCGATCTTGGACCCCTTTTTGATTTTGTTGTTACCAATTTTTCTAGATTTTCATCTAAAGTAGAGGCTTCTTTGATTGGTGATACTTTAAATGGTGCCGCTTGTTTTGCGTTAGTTTCATCTCCCGTGGAATCATTTTTTGACGATTTTCTCCTTCGCTTTTGTTGCGGTGGCGCGTACACAAATTTCTCCGCTGTTTTCAATGAAACACGCGCAATATTTTCCAATTTCTCGTCATTTTCACCTGGAAACGTTATTTTTGCTGGTCGTAGACCTTCTGACGTTTGTAGATAAATTCTACCGTTGAGAAACTTTGAGAAAATTTTCAATTAATTAATTTAATTATAGATAACATTTATTTTGTTATAAATAAAAAAAGGAAGAAAGTTCTCACCCTTGTTCCACAGGAAGCGCAATGTTCGTTTCCGCTCTTAAGCTTTGAATCAGCGACATCGTGACAGTTACACTTGCAATTTTCCCCGCCGTAAGGATCTTCCTGGGTTGTCGACACTGGCAATTCGATATTTTCATACAAATCCGGAAGATCGAGGGTTGAAATTTTACTTTTATCATGAGGACCAACCGGACAGGTGATATTTTCGAAAAATTGAGGCGCAAACAAACTGTAATCAAATTAGATTTCTGTTTCTGTCTAATACATTTTTTCAGAAGTGATAAAAATTGATTGCTAAAGTTAGCCTCAAAAAAGTCATTAAAGAAAATGAAAACTTACCTCTCGGGTGGTTTTCCCTGGGGAAAAACTTGTAGAAACAAGTCCATAACAATAGGACTTCCTTTGAGAATTGGACTAATTGCTTCGTAAACACTTTTAAGAGGCGTGTAGGGAGCTGACGCAAGTTGTGAAATTGACTGCATGACTTTTGTCAAACGTGACGGTTGTTTGGCGAAATAAACCTGAGCGACTTGTACAAATTCTTGCATTCTTTGTAACATCATCCATTCCAATGATTTGTTGACCATACCCGCTTGGTAGGAATTTAGAAACAGTAAAAAGTCTGAGGACATATCTGGGTAATTTTCCAATTTCTCACAAACCTCCCGATAGAAATTAATTGCCACCATGTCTTTTATTCCCGGCAAGTCATTCATTTTCGATTTCTTTTCGCCCGACGTAGAAACGTTTTTGCCTAAAAAGTAAAAAGGCACATATCAACTGATTTAACTTGATCTAAAAATATAAATTTTGAATAAACACTCTTTTCAATTCAGAGGGAAGCAAACAAACCTTCATCACTCTTCATTTCGTTTTCATTTTCCGTTTGAAGAATATTGTCAAGTTTCTCACTGTATTCGAGAAATAATTTAATGATTGCCTTGAATGTCTCTGGATCAGATGATTCGAGTGTACTGTGTAATTTTTGCAGATACGACTCGGCAAATTCTTTAAAGAAGCACAAAACTTATTAAAACGTGAAACTGAAATTTCTTTCAAGAGAATTTTTATCTTCACAAATAATTGATAATGTTAATAGTACTCACTTGTTGCTCTCTCCTCGGTATTTAATTCATTTTCCGATTCTATCATACGCTTTATATTTTCCAATTCACGCGCTTGTTTCGCTTTCTTCCGATTCACAACTGCATTCTTCTTTATTGTCGTACTCGCTCTCATTAATTCCGCAATTTCATCTTCGTTGTCCTTAAAAATTATCAATTCGTATTGAAAATTTTAGGGTTGACTAATTTTTTATAGTTTATCACAAATTTAAATTTTCGTCTTCGGGACTTTAATATGTACATGTGATTAATAATTAGTAATCAATCCAAGTCAGGTAAAAAAAATAAAAATTCAGTTTAACATTTCGACAGAACCGCTGTCCTCTTCAGAAACAAAAAGGAGAATTTCACAATAATTTGTAGAACAAGTAGTATCGTTTGCTGTTAAGACATTGAAAATAAAAAATAAATAAAACTTCAATATTTTTATAAAAAACGTAAATTTTATTCACTTGGATACTTTGAGACACTGACACCACTGACACTAACACTAATTATTAAGGTGATCGGAAAGTGGGATAAGATTGAGGGCTGGAACAGCAATGGTATAGTAACTTACCCCTTTTAAAGACGAGGTTGAGGAGAAATCGGAACTTTTTGACGAGTCGTGTGCTTTGCCGCCTTTCGCTTTCATTGAACTCGGCGAAATTTCCTTCCCAGTGATCACCTGCGTCATGGATTTGATATTTTGTGCGCTTCGCATTTTCGCCAAACGTGTCGTCGTTTGTCTCAATTGTGGTAATCGCTTTTGATTGTCATTGTCGGGAATTTCCATTTCAACATTCGTATGAACGTCCATAATTTCAGGTACAATCATCTCTCCGCTTTCCGTGGCGAAAACTTGAATTGTCGGTTCAACAGTTTGAATGTTACGTATTTTTGACGAACGTGGAGATAACTTTTTTGAAGTCGACGTTGTTGGTTGTTGTTGATTGTCACTGACATCCATTTCCATAACGATATGCGTGTCAACGTCCATAATATCCGGAAGAATCATTTCCTCGGAAAAATTTGATGGAATGTGTACGATCGTATTCTTTACAGTTCCCTTTTTACGTGCATTTCTTCCTGATGACAAATCCACTGACGGCATCATATTCACGATGGGATTGCGAACATGTTTTCCGGGATTAATTTCGAGAAATTCTGCTAATTCACCATTGATAAGACCTTCAATTTCACTAGGTTCCTGAAGAAAAAAAATGTTGTTTATAATTATTTTTATTGGACAATTTTAATTTATACAATTTCTAAATTCCTTTTTTTTGTTCACTTACGTTATTTACGTGTTTCGTAAATTTTCGCCATATTTCCGGTAACAGTTCAACTGGTTGTTCTTTAGGTGCTCTTAGTACTGGATCGAGGCTAATCACGTGAATTGTCGACGGTGCTTTCCCATTTGAAAGGTAATACTGTAAATTAGAGAAATTTTAAAAAATACGAAAACGCTTTAAAAGGAATATTTCTCGAAACTATTGACAATGTATAAAAGCAAGTCAACATGAGGTTGAAACAAGGTTGAAACCTGTGTGTCAACTACTGCCTCTAGCGGATATTTTTTATACTACAATTTATATTCCCACTTCCGCGAATTTTCTTCTAATAAACTTTTTTGCCTTTTTTGTAAAGGTTATTTTTCAACATTTTAAATAATAGAAAAACAATGGAAATGAAAGTTGGAAACAAACAGAAATATTTGACTTACTCTGACTGGTCCTTCCGTATGAGGGTTTTCGTACTTTTTGATAAGGCCGTAAATTGCATTTGAATCGCGAGCTGGAAGAAGATATATTCGTGTCAAACGAATGACATCGTGCAGCAAGTAAGTTTTATATTTGTGCTTCATATTTCCCTTGTCCAAGACAAACGGTTTAAATTGCTCCAAACCCAAAGCAACCAAACTGAAACAAAAAAACAATTCGCACTCTGCATAAAATAATACATTATAATAATAATAATAATAATAAAAGAAAACAATTCAGAAAATACCTAAATACTTACTTTTCTTCTGATTTGAAGAAACTACGACACCTTCGATTGTTGACATCACTTCTGGTGTACATGTGAGGCAAAAGATTCGGATAGGTAAGCGCTTTACTTTCCATTATTAGGTTCTCCAAAGATGGATGAAATTTGTGTGTATGAACTTTGCGACTCTTCATTGCCCCTTTCTTCATATCTTCCGCCAAAAAATGTACATATTCATCGGAGAATTTTTCGTCTTTGAAAAAATCCTCACAGTCGGTGATTAATTGCAGTGCGTGCGGCAAGTTATCAACATTGAAAGCTGATTGTGGACCGGAACTTAAAAATCTAATTTTCGGAAAAATTCAAATGAATAAATTCAATTTCAAAATATGTATGTTATATGAAACTGAGAAAGCAAAAAATAATTTTTTACCTTAAACTCTCGATATTTGATTTACAACCTTTAGCGAATTTATGATATTCCGGATGTTTGTAGCACATTAAAAATTGTTGAGACATAAGCTGGATGTGTTGTCGTAACTGAATATTAAGTAATTGGCGTTGCTCGATGCTGACAATCTTTGGTAAGTCTGCGTTTGATAAAACTGATATGAGTTCAATCGGCGAATTCTAAAGAGAAACAAAAATTAATCCGTTAAAACAATATTTGGCATTTTAATTTAATAAATAAGAATGCACTGAAATTAAAAATTAAAAAATGCTGCTTACCAAGTGATTAGTTTCTATCGGTGGATTTACATAATCAGTGGATTTCTTCTTTTTCGGTGTTTCTTGACTCCCGATTTCCTTCTCCGTTGAATGTGTGTGCGCATATTCGTTGGCATACTCCAATAATTCGTCCATCAAATTATTCACTTCTTTACGGGAAATATTTACTGCTCGATCCATTCGAAATTCCTCTTTGTCCACTAAAATTAAATATAAAATTGTTTTAATTTTAAAATTATTTTTAAAAATTTCTTCAAGTTGAGAAACTTACGTAGTTCGGTTTCATCTCCAAAAAAATCGTACTCGGGATCGGCTTCGGGATCATCTTCAACATTGACCTCCTGTGGTAGAGGTTGAGTGAAATCTTTAAGAAAATTCCTATAATCTTCATCTAAATCGCAATCATGGTCATACATATCGGTTGTAATATCCGGTGGTATAAACGCTTGTTCAATATATTCCAATGGCGTTTCACTGAGACATAATTTCGATCGTGTTCTTTGTCCAATACTTTCTTCTTCTGTTGGGACGTGAGGAATTCTACAAAAAATTATTTTTCAAATATTGATTAAAAAATCTTGGTTTTTAATCTTGATGAATTATTTATACGTACTCGGGAATTTTGAAAACTCCTTCGGAATCGTATTGAGTGTCAATTTTTGCCTCCTGTGATAACGAATCATTGAGAGGAGTCGCCGGCGTCGAGGGTTGTGAGTCAACGTCACTTCCAATTGAATTGTCAGCCTCCTTGTCGTCATCGTCACTTTGCAGATCCTTGTCGGGATCATATTCCTCGTCTGACGAGTCTTCGGGAAGTTCTTCTTCGATCAGCACCTGAACTTCGGCCGAAGCGGTTTTCACGGGAGTCGAAGGCCAAGGAATGTTTGGCTGACCCAATGCCCCCAATTCTCTAAATAAGAAACGTTTATTAGAAAATCTGCTTTTTTTCTACAATGCTATTAATATGTATTAATAATATAATGATGACAAAAATGTCCAAAGTTATAATCAATTTTAACATACTTTGCTTTCGATCTGGTAAGTTTCGGTTCGAAAACCATGCCATCATCGTCAGTGGACTTATTCAATCTTCGTCGGACCATTGCCCTTACTTGTTCATTTGTAATGACGTGCCGTAAAATATTCTTGACATTTGTTGCAGTTAAGTTTATTTTTGCCGCTTTCGCATCCAGTTGTCTCTCTATTTCCTCCTCCATTTTATCCAAACCGTCAAATGCATCCGCAATGCATGTGACACGTTTACTTCGTATATTATTCGAGTCATAATTATCATCAACTTCCGATACATCTATTTCCAAATCATTTGTATCCGAATCCGAAGATTTGTCACATTTCATTTCGTCAATATCAATCTCAAAGGAAAATTCATAATCTTTTAAAGTCTTTTGTTCGTCACTTCCCTCCATTGTTGGTAAAATCTGTAGAATATGAACATAAAAATGTGAAATTAACATTCATTGTGTAAATTTACCTAATAAATTTTATGTAAACTGATTTGAATACAGAAAAAAGTGTAAAATAACAACACAGTACCTTTATTGTTACGTGATTGTTACTTGTCTTGAGTTTGTATTCTCACATTTCAATTTCGAGATATTTAATTAACTTGCAATCACAACATGTTAATTATTACTGAATTACTACATCTGGTCAATGAAATATTATTCCGTTGGATAATTAAACTTTTCTTGTGTATTTATTATATTTTTAAAGAAAGATAAAACCATGGATAAAACTATATGCGAAAAGCGATCTGAAATTTTACCCGACATAACCTCAAACAACAAAGCATTAATGTGCATCATAATCATCATAATGCGCATAATGCAAGAAATAGTGAATGTGAATAACTCTTAATGGCCATGTCAGTTCCTCAGTTCTTAATTCTTATTTGCTGGGAAATATATAAATTAATCCACCAATGAAACTTTTGGACCATTTGAAAAATAAATTATTTTTCGAATAGGTAAAATTTTTTCTTTTGCACCTTTTGCACGAAAAAAATTAGGAAGTAAATATTAGAATTAAAAATTAATTATTATTATAATGATAAATTCAGAAAACTAAAGAAATTAAAAAACTCTTTTATTTTTTAAATTAAAAGTAAAACCATAGAATTTTAACTTATTCAAACATTTTTCTAATTCTTTGTTGAGAACTTTTCTTGTTATTGGTTTTCTTCTTTTTATTTTAATATCTCTTATACTCGGAAGAATCAGAATCAATATATATGAAAAGATATTATTAATAATACAGTGTTAATAGATTAATTTTTCACTAGTACCTATAATAATTTTGATAGAAATAAAAAAGATAAAATATTGTTGAAAATTCGTTTAATGAACTTTCTTTAAATAAATAGAAATTTTTACATTTACAAACCAATCTAAAAAAAATTCTTTCATTCTAATTTCCGTAACTATTTATTTTACAAAAATACACATTCATTCGTTCAATATTCACAATATTATATTTTAATTTCCACATTATAGTCTTTTTGTTAAATTAGATGCCTTTTGAATAAAATATTTATTTAAACATTTGTTAATAAATTTTAAAAAATAATTTCTTTTAATTAATTTTTGTTTATAAAAAAATTTTTACATTCTAGGTATATTAACAAGTATTTTTTACAATTTTTTTTTCTTTTTTTTGCAATAGGAAGTTGACAAACCTGCCTATTTAAACTTTTCTAAAAAATAATTTTTCACATATTTAAAAGTACATATCACTTTATACATAATTTTGTGAGATTTCTTTTCAAATTACAACTTTTTGAAAGCATTTATGATTCTTTTAACGCTTTTAGAATATAATTGTAGAGAAGAACTTTTGAATCCTTTCCCCAGAGATAATCAATATGATTAAATTTGTTATACTCTATTTTGTGTTTTTTGACAACATTCGGAAGTTTCTCGGCGAGGCGCTGAACATCCTGAGCAGACAAATTAATTATGAAATAATTAATTATTGGTGTAAAATTAAATTTTAATAATTACTTACCACCGGATGTGTGAGGAAATCATTTTCGCTATAAAAGATGTAAACCGGAACTTTAACTCGCTCTAAGTTGTACTTTGGTGGTTGAGTACTTCCGTAGACAAGTAAATTCTTCGAAAGTCCATAGTCAAACTTTCTGAATGTTTCTGTAATGAAACGTTCAATTTTTACAGATGTGTTTAAATTAAATTATTATTATTATTATTATTGAAACAGAACGTACCACATAAAATAAGTTGACTGTAATGAATAATTTGTTTCGCTGATGCCCCTGCTGGAAAATGGCCAAAAATAAGTGGTAGCATTTTCTTATCAAGCTGATTGCTGCCAAACCCGGCGATCAAGTAAAACCAGCAATTGCAAAAACTTCTTGTCAATGTATCGGGACTGTTACGCACAAACGTTCCCAGAGCACGCGCCGAGAAACGATTTCGAGGAAACCATTGATGTATGTTGCAATAAAATGAGCCCCACTGAAACCAACTTTTCGTAAATGAGACGAAAATTTCACTACTCTATTGAATAGACAATAGATGACTAGAAACTCACTTCCATAACATTGTAGAATCGCACGAGAAGCTTGATTAAAGGACTCTTTTGATTCGACATGAAGGCGATTGGAGCGAGACTTATCATTGATCTCACTTTTGCATTGTACTCGGGTTTCTCGCTCAACATTGCAAAGAACGACGTTGTTCCTTGACTATAGCCTATGTAGTACAAATTTAAATGACCCGTTCTTTCCAAAACGTAATCGATCATTGCCGGCACGTCGTAGATCGCTATATCGTGGAAGCTGCAATGAAACAAATTCTACAATTAAAATACAATATAAAAATAGTATAATTATAGAAAGAAATTCAATGAGAATTTCACCAATAAAAAATTACCTAAAATCCCAAAATTCTCTATCCTTTACAGTCAATTCCTTGTGACATTGAGAATAAGTATTGCCTCGTACATTAGCTAACCAAACGTCGTAACCATTGTCGCACAGTATATACGCTGAAAATGATATTCAAAATAAAATAAATATGTTTTTGCATTAAAGAAGCAATTATAGTTTCTTAAAAAAATAAGGTACCGAGAGCTTTTTGTGGGCCAAGAAGAACCCAGTCGGCCGAAGATGACAAAAGACCGTGATTGATTAAAATCGGTTGCTTGGAGATTCTGTTTTTTGAGTTTAATACTTCCTGTGATAATTTATCGGCTTCTAGATTACAATTAGAGTCTGTGAATTCTTGAGTACTGTGAATTTTCTCTTTGTCCTGTGTTCGACAGAGCACTCGGTGTAATTCCAAACGGTAACCATCCTCTGACCAAACGTGATGTGTTTCAGCTGTGTAACCATGTCTGGTTATGAGTTCGGGCTAAAAGAAATTATATTACAAGTTGCTTCAACGTTTTTCTTTTCAATTTTATCATTCCCTCAATTGCTTGTGGCAATTTGTATTTGTATTTGTAACGTTCATTTTAATGTTTCTTTTTTCTTACAACCAGAATTTTTCTAATAAAGAAACAATTATTTTTATATTTATGCACTCGTCTTTCTTATATTGACTTTTCTGAATTATTATTTTAAATACGTAAGAACGCAGAAAATGATTTCGATAAACAAATTAAAAGTTTTCCTCTAATCAAGAAAAAATTTACTCTTTGCTAACTACTGTGTGATAAACAAATTAATTTAAAAAAACGTCAAATTTTCCTCTAAGCAAAAAACTAGTATTACGACTTGAGAGATGAATGTTGATAAAAAGGGAATATTTATATAATCTGAAAATAATTTATTTACCAAAATTTAGTTTTATCATATAATATTGTTGTGTCACTGAAAATGAAAAAAGAAATGACGACTCAAGTGAAAAAGAAGAAATTTTGAGGTTATGAAATAATTGGAAATATTTATAACAATAAGTTACCTATAGAACTTATACTATATATATTAAAAAAAAATAATAAATACTATAGCACAAAATAACTTACGGAGGAAAATTGTGAAAGTAGAGGACAAAATTTATTAATAAGGAATTCAGAAAACGATTAAGCAACGATTGCAAAGTTGGGAGTTTCAAATCACAATATGTAAACTTTAATATAGGTTCTATTTGTAACTTTTGAATATTTTTTCATAAAAGAAAATTGTCTCATGTTGCTTTTCATTACACTGCACATTTTCAATTTTGAAAATATATTACAAAAGTGAAAACGCATAACTTTCACCAAAGTTTTTACAATGTTGACAATGAATTGACGGAACAACGTGCGAGTGATAAAATGTAAACAAACAGAAACGTAAACAAATTGATATTATTATTATAAATGGTACACTACCGTTGTCATGTGAACTTCATCATTCGAATCACTCATCATACGTTTCACTTTATTAATTTGAAACGTTGGCACAAGTTTTAATGAAACACGTTTTAACATTCATTCCACACTGTCTGCCTGCAACGATTTTGTCGAATTTACTGGAACTTTCACGAACAATTTTTCAGACTTTCTTTGAAAAACAGGGACAATGAAAGATTTTATAGAAACGTAAGTAATCTTATAGAGAACTTATTGCACTAATCAATAAAAAACGTTAGATTTTAATTTACTGCACTGAATGTAAAATCATTTGGAGCGCAGGTTTCACTATAACTGAGGGCTTTGACAAGTAGTGAGTCGCACTCGCACTACAGCTGGCTGTCAGATGAAAGATATAAAAGTGGGGGGGGAATACTTCCGGTTACACTCATGGACTCATGTCATAAGTCATTTTCAACCTGTGAATGAAGTGACACAAAGGTGAGAATCAACAATAAACAGATCCCACTTATTATTTTCCCTAATTGATACTTGTTTATTGTTTGAAGAAGAAGAAGAAGAAGAATAACATAAGTGTTTCTGCTTCAATTTCCATTATTATTTCTAAATTATTTATTTTTATTATTATTTACATTTTTTATCAGTTTTACGTTACTATTTCAATTAAATATGTGAATCGGTACCGCGGAAATAATTTGTTGCCAATAATTTCGATAAGTTAATCAAATTTCCAATTAGCATATTACAATATATATACAAAACTTGAAGAGATAAAAAGTTCTAATAAAAGCTAATCTGCGAATTATAAAATTTAATATCTTCTTTTCATTATTACGTTTTATTACATCATGTTTCACTTATTTAATTAAATATTAACTAAGTTGTGCTAGCTTTTTATTCGCAAGGTCGAGCGAAACGATTTTCAAGATAAAATGAATGAAATAAAAATTTTTAATTAAAAAATTTACAAAATTTTTGTGATTTTAAATGTTTGACAAAACTTTAATCAAAATTTGACAAATAGAAAGAAAATTAAAAGTAAATATATAAGGAATAAAATTACTAGTAGGTATAGTGAAATCAGTTTGAAAATGAAAAACGACAATGACGATGTTGCGTGTTTATAATATTAAAATATCAATGACGTTTTTATCATCAAATGAAACTTCTTGACCGGAGAATTCACTTAATCATTGTATCAACGAGGTCAAGACCTGAAAGCACCCTTTTGAGGAAATATCAAATATACAATATACTGAAAACCAAATGATTATCTAATAATTATACCCATTATTATCAGGGGTTATTGATCCCTTTTCATTTCCATCTGCTCCGAAAAAACGATTAACATGCAGAGTGACGATGACTCATTGCTGATACTAAAGGAATTTCTGGAGAAAACTTAGAAAACATTATCAGAGATATTCATATATTTCCCCCACTCCTAAAAAACAATATATCTATTCTTCTATTTTTAAATATGATTTCATAAAACAAATTTAATTTATAATTTATTCATAATCTTATTTTCTAATTCAATTATTATTTTTCAATGATTTGGCAAATTTGTCTCAAGATTATCGATTCCAAGTTCCATTCAACTTTATTTGCATCTTTGTCCGCAGAAGATTATTAATTGGAGCAGAAGATGTTATCGAGGCTAAAACGGGATAAAGCCATCGACAGCGAATATTCAATTATTATAGTAATGACCCTATTATTAAATTGAAACATTGTAATTTATTATTGACAATGTTTCACTATCCCACTGTCAATGCCTAATTATTCAACTACATATACAATCAGAATAACACGATTTCACGTAAATTGAATATGATAATTAATTTCTCATTTTCAGCTCAAACTTTTAAATACCTCCACTTCCGAATTTTTTAAATTATTTTTATTTCCAAAAGATTTAGAAACAATTTAGTTGAATAAAATACTTTCGATTTTTCCTCTAATTTCAATATAAATACCTGATTGGAAAAAATTGTTTAAATGCAAATATGATGAAGTCTACTCAGAGGAGAAACTTTACGGCGAGAACTGAAATCAGGTGTTGGAATTGGTGAAAGAATCTTGTTACGTAAAAGTAATTTTCTCTGAAAAAAGGATAAAATACAAATAATAATTTTATTTTAATTTTTAGTAAAAAAAAAAATTTTTTTAAATTGCAAAAAGAAAAAAATCGTAAAATGAAAAATAAAATGCACATTCTTCGTTGCTTTTTTTCGCTTCGGTAATAATCGAAGAAGAAATTTTGCTAAAACGCCTTTTATTGAGGCCTTTGTTATTGTTGATAAGTTTCCAACATATGAACGATGCGTTAATCGTCATTTACTCGCAATAATTCTCCCCCCAAGGAGAATCAAATAATGTTTGGCCTCATTCTCCATTTATGATAAATAGTTTTGTATTTTTATTTTTTTGTAATTCTTTGACAATTTTTACGAATCAAAGAAATTGCGAAGCGAATTGCACACACAACACTGGGTTACAAAAAAATGGTCATGTCGTGTTTATTTAAAATTTACTGTGTTTATTGAAAGTTTAGGTGTCACAGAATAAGAATATACCAGAAAAACTTTTTTTCATTCGGTCATTCCCTTAAAAAACGAGTTTAAAGTCTCAAAAAACCGTATTTTTAGCACTTTTTGAGGCAGCGTAACAAGAAAATGCAACATGATAAAAATCTCTACAAAAGCTTAAATAAAAGCTTAAACCTTCAACTTTAAGGCTCAGAACTGAAAAGTACTTAAAGAAGCACTGAAAACCTGCAGTCACTATCTGAAATTATCAAAAAAGCTGGGTTAGGTAGCACTTGGTAAAAATCGATTTCCCTAACCGGATTCGGTTGCAAATTGTTATTTTAGGTTTTTTGAGGTTTCTAATGACGAATTGGAACTTAGATTTAAAAAATTTCAAAGTGGCGGACTCAATTTTTTAAAATTATCAACGCAAATTTTGAAAAATTGAGTGAATTCATTATTTTCAGTCCGCCATTTTGAAATTTTTTAAATCTAAGTTCCAATTCGTCATTAGAAACCTCAAAAAACTTCAAGTAACAAGTTGCAACCGAATCCGCTTAAGGAAATCGATTTTTACCAATTGCTTCCTGTTCTAGCTTTTTTGACAATTTCAGGTAGCGACTGCTTGATTAAGGAGGTTTTTATTGATTATTTAAGTACTTTTCAGTTCTGAGCCTCAAAGTTGAAGGTTTAAGCTTTTATTTAAGCTCTTGTAGAGATTTTTATCATGTTGCGTTTTCTTGTTACGCTGCCTCAAAAAGTGCTAAAAATACGGTTTTTGACACTTTAAACTCGTTTTTTTAAGGGAATGACCGAATGAAAAAATGTTTTACTGGTATATTCTTATTCAGTGACACCTAAACTTTCAATAATCACAGGAAACTTTGAATAAACACGATATGACCATTTTTTTGTAACCCAGTGCAATTCAACGATATTAATAAATTATTTATCATTTGTAATGAAACATGCTTTCGATTGGAAAATGATTGACTCGTCATCGTATTATCACTTTTATTAATATAACGTATTTTACTCTCGAAAAATCAATTCCTCGAAACTCCCTCAACATGAGCCAACGACCGATTAATTCGCTGTTTCTTTATATTAGAAATAATTTAATATTTCTAATAGGTATGGCATTTTTTCAGATATAAATTCACTTTTCAAAATAATGAATAGAAAAATGATAAATGTATTTTGAAAATGGCAATAATTCAAGAGCAAAAGAGAATATTTTATATACTTAGTATTTATTTTACTGGACTTTTTTTCACGAAATCATAGACAATAAAACATTTCCCAGAGAAATAATAATCTCGAATATAATAGGGAAATATAAAATAAGAATGCGAAGTCTTTTCGATGAGTGATATCTACAATGTCAAGTTGTTTGTAATTATCATAGTTTTCATAAATTTTTTTCTTTTTTTTTTTTTTTTTTTTTGCTTTGTGTTCTCATTTTAATAATTGCAATTATTTTTTTGGTATTTTCTCGCGCATTTCGCCACTTAACATCAATATAGATCTTTGTAAATATATTTTATTAATTATTATTGTAATTTTTATATATTTCATTTTCATAAAATTTTATTTTTTTCATTACTTTTTATTATTTAACTATATTATGATTAATTCCTTTTTTTGTATTATATTTTCTTTATATAAACTCTGAAGATGATAATTCTATTATTTGTATATTTCAGAATTTTCTCAAAAAAATTGCTAAACATTCTCGGACGTCGAATTTTGGTCTCTCTTTTGAGACATAAAACATTTCATATTTCACTTATATATTATATTATTTATACGCATATATTATATATTTGTTTGTTTTTTATTCTCTTAAAATTAGTGCGATAAAATTCTACGCTCGTTACGACGTCGAGGATAATATATTATTTATATTACAATTATTTAAAATAACTAACACAAGACTGGATAGCGCGAAATGGAATTCTTTTTACTAATAATATTGAAAATCAAATATTATTTCTTTTGAAAAAATACATATTTTTTATAAATTCGGCGTGAATGATAAAAAATAAAAAATATTGTTAGAAATAATGAAAAGAAAAATATTCTTTGAACTTTGAATTTTTCATGTTTGGAATATTATTGGAATTGACTAATAAAATGAATTAAACATTTTTAAATGTTTCGCGATATTCCAGATTTGTGTTTCGTTTCGTTTCTTTTTTTTTTTTTTTTTTTTTTGTCTTCCGGCTACCAATGTCGATAGGCTTGATTAGGAACATATTGTCGTTCGTCTTTTCTTTACAATATATAATTTTTTTACATGATTTCAGACAACAGCAAATTTACGAGGAGACATTTCTCTCTTTGCTTTTTTCTGCAAATATTAATTAAATTAAAAAATTATTATATGGATTTATAAAATCTCTCTCTATTATTTTAACAATCTTATATCAGTATAACATTATTAATTATGATTTATTAAAATAATGAAATATTTCTAATAGAAAAAGTGAATTCCAATTTAAAATGTATAAATAAAGATCCATGAATAATTTGTAATACAAAAATTATAATAAAGTATTCTGTGTATTGAAATTTTCTTTGTTTTAATAACTATTTTTACTTTATTCAAAAATATTAAAGAAAAAGAAGAAAAAATTCTGCAAATTTGAATTGGTCTTTAATATTTATGTGTTTTGTCAGACTTTACTATCTGCTCATATGATTTTCGTACCTTTGAACAAGTTCTTTGTGCTCGCAAGTTGAAACACAAAATATTTTATACATTTTTTTATATAATGTGTATGCAAGTTTATGTGCGTGTGTATGATGTCATGGCAGTAGATTTATAACTTTCTTTGTCTACATGTCTCAACTTTTTCGTGTCGGGACAAATATTATATATATATATATATATATATATATATATATATAAAATTGTTATTATCTTAATTTACAATGTTCGTTTCAATTATCAATGAACCCTTTAAGAAAGAGTTTTTTAATTCTTTCTTTTCTGTGACGTAACTAGACTTGTTTTTGTCCTTTCTTTTTCAAAATTTAATTAGTTATATGTATATACTATAATCTAATGACGCCACTATATAATAAATAAATTTCTTTCCTAAACATTATGAGATCGAATGGAATCTATTACGCTTCTAATATTTGTTTTCTCAGCTTATTTCTGTTTTTTTTTTCGTGAAATTCACCAAATTCTTCTATATTATCTACAAACCCGCATTAGTTATTATTTATTTTTGACCGTGAGTTTTGTACATAATTATATTTAAAAAAGGAAATATAAATAAAAACGTACGAAACGATAATTACCTCTAGTTACGAAAATTGTTCCCTCATAGAACGTAAAATATCCAATAACCGGCATTGAAGAGTAAAAAGCTCACGGGAAAAATGATTCTCGAGTACTTATCAATTATATTAACGTCCTTGATTTTCGGCATTGAAGCTCGTAATACTGATGCGCCTCGGCGAATTGCGTGCAACACCTGAATTATTTAGCAGTTGAAATGTTAGTTTTTGTAAATGAATAAATTTTGAAAAACAAGTGTGTTTTGCCAAAATACCTTGGGTTTGTGCTGCCTAGGCCCTCTGTACCTGAGACCACTATTTCGGCCGTGTGTATTGTAACCAGGTGCTCTGGATATTCGAAAACTCGGGGGGAATTTCGCTGGATCGTGATCCTTCGGTGGTCCTGGTGTTCCAGAAGCACTGACCAGTCCCGATCTACTTCTGATACTTGGAAGAGGTGACATTCTTAGATCATGCAATTCTATAATGTCCACGTCAGTATTGCCCGGGAATGGCGAACTCGCTTTACTCTCTAGAAACCACATACAACTCAAATTCAAATTTAAGAATTTCAATTTAATCATTTTTTCTTTTATTAATCTTCAATGACAAATTCCCCAAAAAAAGACATTATTTAAAGTGAGAATTAATCAATTGATTAATAATAAAAGACAAAATAAATTGAAAAAATATTCACGCATCACTTGACAATTAAGAGAAAACGGAATGTTTGAACGAACCAATCTTGGAGGAAGTAGGCTTCTTCTCCTCGGTGTCTTTCTTTTTGGTTTTCTTTTTGGCTCTTGCGCCCCAATACGTGTAATTGACTGCCGCATACTCCAGCAAAGCCGCAAAAACAAAGACAAAACACATCACCAGATAAATGTCGATAGCTTTCACGTAGCTGATGCGTGGCAAGGAACTTCTCACTCCGGTTGAAATTGTCGTCATGGTCAATACAGTGGTGATACCTGCAAGTTTAGACAAATTTAGACAAATTTAGACAAATTGAGACAAATTGAGACAAATTCAAAATCCATTCTTTTGAATTGAGTGAAAATTAATTAAAAGAAAAATATGTACCTAGAGCAACTCGGGCACTGGTGGCTTCGTGATTGATCCAAAAACTGACCCAGCTGAGCATGACTATAAGAATGCTGGGAAGATAGGTTTGAAAGACAAAGTATCCAATATTCCTTTTTAGTTTGAAACTCAAAGAGAGTCTCTGATAAACTCCGGTGGCAAGTGTCTCAGTCCGATCGTTGGTCTCGTAACCGATTATTGTAAACTGGGGTAATTCCGCCTCGTCCACGCCTCTGACTGGTGTCTCCTTCCAGTACATAACCACATCCGAAACCGTATAACCATCTGAATTTAAATGAAAGAAAAAATTAGTTTTCTATATGAAAGCATAGGTATTTTGAATATGAATAATAAATATGAATAATAAAATCCCAAATAGTATAAATTAGTATAAATTAAAAAAAAATCAATTAGTACAAATGATTTAATAATAAATGCAAATGAGTAATTACAAAGTGAATTTTCATCCGATTGCATTTTTACGAGTTCCACTTTAAAAGGCGTCTGCCTGACTTGTGTGAAAATGAGAAATGAGAAAATGAGTGATTAGAATATGTATAATTGAATCGCTGCATGCCAAATGCCAATTAATGTTGTCTCACAGTGCATTATATCAGTTTTGAGGTCTGTTAACAATTAATGTTGAAAGACTATTTTGTTAATAAATTCTCCGGGGATGTCATGGATTTGACCATATAATATATATGAATTGATTGCTGTGGTGGTCGTCGTGTGGTTTGAAATGTAATTTCGTTAATGACTATTCTCAAACTGGATATACAATGCTTCCCGGCTAATTTAGAATTCCATTTTGACAATGTCAAATCTTTGCCTCAAGAAGAGCGAAAAATTGGATAATTAAATATAGACTTGAGTAAAATTTCTCCTTACAACTTTCGATCTCAACGGTGCAATTTTGTGAGTCAAGAGGATAATAATGCAGGTCCATCATACACGCCAAAGTCGTCGTAAATCTCATACCATATGTGACTGAACCACCTCCTGATAATCGGACGAGCTTGTTGCGTTCGGTCACGTCGTGAAGAAAGCTGCAAGAAACAACGTAAACACTGTAGTGTGGCATAATGGAAAAAGAAAAAAGAAAAAAGAAAAAAGACGCAAGGAAACTAAACCTGTCTTTGGACAATTAATGATGACAATGTTTGAGACGGAAAAAAGAAAGACGACGCAGAATAAGAAGATAGAGAGAAAAAGCAAAAAAGGGGCAAATCTCTTCATTGACGGAAGAGAAAATGGGGTCAGGGCGTTGAGAGAACCCTGGACTTAAAGGCGAACCGTTTGGCACGAATCGCTTTTAACCCATATTCGTATATCGATTTATATTATTCTACTTTGTACATATATTTAAATAATAGGGTCATTACATACATTTATTAGTTGCTCAACTTAAAGACCAAGTTTTTATCCTCAAAACAATCTTCAATCTTTAATCTCAATTTTTTTTTTTCTTTTTTTCTTTTTTTCTTTTTTTCTTTTTTTCATCATTGTCTCAATAAAGTAAAATAATGAAAATATTTTTAATTTACAAAATAAATCCCTCTGTAAAAAATCAAAATATTTGAATTTCGAAAAAAATTATTCCCGTTAATTTTAATTTAAATTTACTGAAGAAAATATCAAAGACAAGGAATAAATTTAAATCAATTATTGTACATATACCTAAAGCTATTATCTAATTGATTAATTCAAATAAAAAAGAATTTCGTGAAAATTTCCTTTCACTTTACCTATTTTTGTCATTTGCGAAAAAAGTGTCAGGTACCCAAATTTTTTCGGCGAAATCTCCACTTAGGGTTAAAACTTCCCCCTCATGAGAAAAAGCGAGTCTCTCATCCTTCCAGTATTGATTTAAATACATTGTTATGGTGTAATCCTGAAAAGGGAAGAAATAATAATAAAAATGCTAATTTTATACTTGAATTCTAAAAAATTTCTTTCATCGCACAAATAAACGGTTGGAAAAATAAATTGATCATTATTCTCAAAAGTAATAATGTTTCACTGAAAACTAAATATACACGAAAAGAAATAAATGAAATGATAAATATTTGACGAAAATGCTTAGATTCTCCCAATATACAATACATATATATTATATGAGAAGAGGTATTTGGAACGTGCTCAGGATTTCTAAATCATGGAAACTTATCATGTCTGAGAATGAATCACGTCTGTGATTCTTGACTCGATATCGTCTCTCTGAATTTTCCTGGAGGCAAAGAACCGTTTGGCCTCTTCATTTCTTACAGTCAAGGATAATGACAAAGCTTGAAGAGCTTTCAACTATTTATAGCCAAAAAGATAAGTTTGCACATTGACATTGCTTCGAGGCATCGGTCAAATTTATTTACCCCTTTTTTATTACGAATTTATTAATAAAATTCAAACGAACATAACAAAATTATAAAGACCACATTAGCTTTTCTTAAATAATTATTATGTTTACTCACCATATTGACTTCCGAAATGGCATCAAAACTGGCAATCGTGAGATCCATACCGACGAATAAAGGATCTCCTGTAAGAAGAAACATTATTCTTAATGGACATGATAAAATCAATTTTTAAAAATAATCACATTACAATAAAACAACTTTTTTCAAGATTTTTCGAAATAAATCCTACAATTAATTAGAATTTGATTTGAAATTCGATTTGAATAAAATGGATTTTAAAAAAAAAAGTAAAAAAATGTTGTTTGTTTAATGAATTGTAGAGATTAAGATTGAATATATAAGCCAAGATCAAGTTCGTGTGGGGTTTAGTAGTCGCTTTTTATTCTCCAAGTGTCCAATTAAAATCATCGGGAAAGAAATCGATAAAACTCGCGTTACTTCCACTCATCGAGCCACTCAATTAAAAGCGCTAATGATCATGTCGCGCTGAATGACGCGGAAAATTCTATTAAGAGCTTTCATGAATATCAGAAACGTATTTATATACGAGCATGTTATTTACATGATAAATTTAAGAAACATTATCCCCAATAATTGAGAAAAATCTCTTTTTCTTCCCTATTAATTCAAAAATGTCTATTAAATAAAAAACATTTCTTTTAAACACTCCAAAAAAGAATAATATTGTAAAAAATATCGATTATCGCTATAAATTAACTTGTAGTAAATTGTAAATATTTTACGGTACATAAAAAACTCACCACCAAAATTTGGCCTTAATCGTATATCGTAACCGTCCAAAATTCTCGAAATAGTTTGTGTTACGTTTTCCAGTCTTTCTGTCATTCCGGTGGAACTGCCTTGCAAATAACTGAAACAAAATGTAAAAACTTTTAAAAATACTTAGGAAATTCTATTTTTTAATTATAATTTATTTAATTAACTGTCATTAAATTATTGTTACAAGTTTATTAAAAAAAACTTTAATTTTTTCCGTTTTTTTATTCGCTGGATGTTAAATTTTGTCTTTGTTTGTCTTCTAATTGTTTCCACTTTTTTAGTCACGTATCTCACGTAGTCTTTTCTTTTTGTTCAATCGATCTTCCTTTTTTTAACCAAATTTCAAAACACCTCAAAATTGTACCAAAAAAATAATAAAATATGACGTTATAATATTTACCTACTATAATTTGTCTGAAAAATTTATAGCAAAAAATGATTAAAAATTTACTTGTCGAGTAAAATAGTAAAAATCAGGAATGATTTAAAAATTGCCAAAAAAATTGAAAACGGGGGAATAACTGACAAAATTATGGGACTGTAATTTGGAATTTTTACAAAAAATAATAATCACTAATAATAATTGAAAAATGTCAAAATTATTTGAACGAAGAAATCGACTTCTTTGTTGTCCAAAGAAAATGTCGGGAGGATTTACTTGTTGGATTTACGATCTCATTTGGCCACTGTTGATAATTTTAATAACAATTTCTCTATGTTTTGGAGCTTTCAAGTTATTTGAAAGATATGGACATTGAATATAGTGATTGCTTATTCCCCGACAATAATGATGAATACAAGTTGCAGTTGCTACAGCGATGAAATCAAATTTTTTGGACTTGTTCTGTTTTGCATTTTAATGGCAGTTATCATTAGTTTTTTAATTAATTCTCTATAGAATAAAAAAAAATGGTAAATATGTTCTTTCAGTTAATTGCATTTTTGCTTCCTCATAGAGGAAGTATCTATTTAAATATTTCTTGTTTCGTAGTAAGAGAACTCAATCTTCTTCTAAACGTTCTAAACACAAAAGGTTTTAAGTAGATTGCAATGATTTTAGTCAGACGCGACATCCAAGTAGTCGAAAACTTTTAATGCGGGACACAAATAGCGTGGACCTAAATTAAATTTCCATCCCCTCCCTATAATAATATATCATTATTATTAAATATGTATATATTTTACTGATTATGAAATAAAGAACGGAAATTATAATCAATTTGCATAAAAATAATTCCAATTTTGAAACTACTCTGACCTAAATTTACCAGAATAGAAAAAAATTAAAAAAGAGATGTCGAAATGCTCAATTTGAATGATTTGAATTCAAGAATAAAATTGATTGAAATTACGTCAAATTGCAGTTCTTTTATCCGAAACAAGTTACAGCATCAAATAACCAAAATAGGATAATTTAGTTCAAAGTCTTTTAAAAAACATCCATTTCTATTGAAAAGGAATAGTCAATTATTGAATTTTCTCATTTTCAAATGATTTTTCTTGTAATAAAATTAAAAAACAACATGTCATTAAAAAAGTAAAAAATAGAAGATTAATATCGCTCTCCTTATTCTTTAATTTTTTTTTTTAAAGAAATCTATCAGTTTTTTCCTATTTGAAATATTCTTTAATAAGTCTCGCTTTAGAATTGGTTTCTAAAAATACTCGGAAAGGTGAATGATCTGGAGTATTTTAATTTCGCTTCCCCTTTTCTTTCTTACCAGGAAGTGCGATGACACACATGACCAAGGACAATGATCAGGAGCAATTCTCGTAATGACAGCGGCATCGTTGACGATTCGATTCGCCGCGTCACCAAATATGGATCAAGGTTGTCATTTTGAAGGACCCATCAGCATTCACTTGACTCCTCGATCTGATTGACATCTTTCGACGAAATGCTGCTGCCTGAAACGACGATAAAATGTGTATTATGTGTATTTTCTGCTGCAAACTAAATCGGATTACTTCTCGCCGATCGCGCAACATTATTTCCGCTGATAAAGGTAACACACACGAAAACACGTTTTTGCATCTATTATCGCAAAATGATTTTGCTACTAAGCTACTTAATTCACTATGTATTTCAAAAAGCTCGGCGGCAAGTTAACTTCATTTTGTCGCTATCTACCAACTACCATTCATGGTAATCATCTTACTGCTATTTTGAGCCGCGCCGATTAGTGACAATTAACTTCATTCATTAATCATTACGATTTACTTTTTCAGCAATTTCATTTTAACTTTACTTTGCAAAAGGAAAGTTCCTTTTAGGATTTCTGATTTGAAAAAGTATTTTTCCCCTCTTTTAATGAATATTTCGATTATTTTTTCTGCATTTATTTATCCAACCAATTTTTAATTAGCTTAATTAATTTCTCTAATTTTCATATCTAATAGTTCAAAATTTTAATATTATTGAAATTGTTGATCCAAATTAATACTCATTGCGAAATAAAGAAATTTCAAATACATAATTAGATATTCATTTCAAATAATTTGTTTACTAGTTTAAAAAATTTCAGTTTTAAAATTCAATTTCAAAATTTCAATAAAAAAGTTGAAACTAAAGGTGGGAAAATGAAAAATGAAAATTTAGAAAAACTAGAAATTAAAAGTACAAGGCGAAAACTAAAAAAATGTCAAATATAAAAAAGCTAAAATCGTTCAGAAATAAGTAGCCACTTTAAAAAGAGAATATTTCATTCCGCCCTTGACAATAATGACAAAAAGCGATCGATTGTTGTAAAGTAAATAAAATTTATACAAAAATTTGTCTCCTTTTTTGTTGGAGATAAAAAAAAAAAAAAAAAAAAAAAAAAAAAAAAAAAAAAAAAAAAAAAAAAAAAAAAGAGAGCTTGATGTATAATGAGCTTACCAATCAATGAGATGAATTCCCTGATTGACATCGAGTGCACGAGTTCGCAAATCGCGTGGTTGAGTTCCGATTGTGAAATAAAAATGAGTATCGACATCGACCTCAGTACCTCGTGTTTCACGAATTCGCGAGTCTATGATCATCGTATCCCATAGTGTAACTGTGATTCCGTGGTCCATCGAGCACGACACACGTTCGCACCATTATCATTGCACTTTCCCGTCATTCGGCCATTCGACAGAATTTTCCAATCAACGAACAATTTTTAACACGGGTGGATGTTTATTTTTTTCTGACCCGTTACGAAAAATAAGGGACGCAACATTCACCCCGGAGCAGCATCCCTTTCGCGGATCGGGTGCCTTCCTTGTTCAAGGAAGGACAACGCACAATGCGCAAACTCTCTCGGTTTAACTTTAACAGTTCAACCCCCAACTCTTGGGCGACATCTACTCCACATGACACACATCTCGGCGAATCTTCCCTTCTTTTAATATTTATACGTCTACAATTTCTCCTCTTACTTGTATCTTCAATTCTTCAAATCTGAATACATATATCACTTTTTTAAATTAGTCTTTGCATTATGTTTTTTTCTTTTAACAAAATTATAAAATTGTCCGAATTTTTAAAAAGACCAAACTTTTAAAAAAACTATTCTTATTAATTTTAATTATTTTTTATAAAGTGAAAAAAAGAGTTTCAAGTTATATTTAAATTCTTATTCTAAAATTTGAAATGAGCTAATAATTATTAAAAATTGCTTTAAAATTTGTATACGAGACTTTACGTAAAAAAAAAGAGAGAAAATTCGATCAATAAAACATGGAAAAAATAGTTTTGCAGAAGAAAAATTGAAAAATTGAAAAATTAAGTTCATTGTTACCGGTTCTCTATTAAAAATCGACAGCTTCATCATCAGGTTTATAATTCTCGTATATTCGTGAAATTGTTCGAAATCAAAATATTTTCTTTTATTTTTCAACACTCTGCATTCCTCCATTTCCCATTTCCCATTTCCCATTGTCCTTGTTTTTGTTTTTGTTATTAAGTATTCACAATTTTACTTTTTCTCGCACCTTCAAATGCATCGAAATATTAATAATCCTCTTGAAAATTGATTATTTCGGGTATAAATATTGAGAAAAAAAATTGTCATATTTTTTTCAAATAAATTTTACACCATGTGTGAGTAATATCATTGTTCTTAAATTCTGATGGTTACTCCCCCAAAGCTCATCCTTTATTCATATTCCAGGAGATTCTATATGTATCTGTGAAAAAAGAATAAAATTAAATCAATACGAATAAAATCGGAATTTTTTCTTGTTTACATAAAAATAAAAAATCAAATCATAAACGTAATTGTAACAATTTCAAAGAAAAAGAAAGAATTAATTAGAAAAAGAGAAAAAAGAAAATTATTTTGTTTCGATGAAAATTTAAAAATTCTGAATGTCGAATAAAATAGTACTGAATACTATAAAGGAAAGTTCCTGGAGTGAGGGGAACGGCAGACCGATCGCACTACTTTTCAAAGTACTTTGTTCTATTGTAAAATTGAAATTTAGCAATTAATAATTACTAGATAAATGGAAATATGACTTCATGAATTCGATATGTGAAGTCGTAATCGCTTTTACGTAAAAAACGAGTTAGATCATACAAAGTAAAAAATTTAACTGAAAAAGTGCATTTTAAAAAAGACGTCTCACTTAAAATTTAATAATTATTATTTTAAATAAAGAATCATCTATACAAATTTTATCTATATTTTTAAAGAAAAATTTCAAAAATTTAAAATCAAATTGAATAACTATTGTTTCAATTTTTGTTTTAATTTATAATTTCCATTTCTTTCTTCTTGTTAATATTTTTTGCAATTTTTTTTTTTTTTTTCAATAAAAAGAGATATTAATAGTTGTAAAAATATTTTACCATTTTTTTTCTTTTTTTTGGAGACAATAATGAAAAATCAGTTGTTTCACTTCCTTCGCGTTCTATGCGACCGAGTTTTTCTGCTACTTTTTCTATCAATATTTCCACTTTTGTTTTTAAGCATCCGCGACGAGGATCGTCTGCATTAACTATCATACTGTGGTGTATGGCCTCGTCAAGCTATTCTTCCCTTTAAAGCACTTTGCTCATCCTTAGGAATATATTTTACCTATAAAAAAAATCTATACAGATACTAGAAAAAAAACTTGCTTTACTTTTGTCTCCTTGAAAAATTGACTATAGATTAAAATCTCTTGTTATTTATAAATATTTTAATTAACAATTAATGTTTAATATTTGGATGAAATTATTAATAAAAAAAAAGGTTTCTTATTGTAGTGAAGAATTTGTCATCTCTCCTGAACTCTTCTCTTTTAACGTCGAATCTGAAAAATGAAATGAACGAAATTAATAAAATGATTTGCAAAAGAAAAAAAAAATGAAAATTCGAGTTTAATTTTGTATTAGGTAATAACTTTTTTGAATTTTAACGAAATTTCAGTGAATGATAAGATCGCGAGTGAATGAAAATCAATTGAAACATATTTTTAAGCGTGAAGCTTTTGTGAATAAATAAATTGAATTCTATGTTAATTTGAAAATATAGAAATATAAGATTTTGATAAAATAAGCTCATTAAAATAAATGGCGATGTACAGAGAGAAAAGGGGGACAAAGGGGGACAAAGGGGGATGAGTTTTCATGGAAATTTCAGAGCTTGCGCGCCGTGTTAACCACAGGGGGGTTGGAAAGTCGCGAAAGACGGATCGCGGTGGGGATGGAGAGCACGCGGTTCTGGCAATGATCCGCTCCCGACGACTCATGACAAACGTCGAACTGTCAGGTGGCACGTTACCGACTTCCGTCTTCTTCTCGGACCACAATTTTTTCATAACTTCCGGCGCGTCTTTTCGCGCGCCTCACTCTTTTTTCCCCCTTTTTTCGCCGTTTGCCGTAGAAAATAAATTAATCTCTGTGACATCGCACATTTTTCCACTTGCAAAATATTAACGTTATGAAAATTGCCGATCTCTTCATGTAAGTTTTTCTCAAAATTTGTGTTTTCAATACATACTTTATACTGTCAAATTTAATTGCTTTGCTTGAAGAATGTTATAAGAATTATTCATTATTTAGAATTGTATCAGTTTTGCATTTTTTAAAACTGAAATTAAAAAAAAATTTAGTTTAAATTTGCGAAAATCATTTGGAAAATTAGTTTCAGAAACTAGTTGTTAATTTTTCTGAAACTGAAATATTTTCAATTCTTTTTAGATGTATAGAAATAATTATTATAAATACATCGACACCATTCAGAAAGACATCCGTGACCTAATTTTTTACGTGTGTAAAGTGCGTCGTGACTATACGACAAATACAAATAATAATTGTATTGCGAATATAAAAATAAATATAATTCTCTAGGTTGTAAAAACTTTCTCCTCCAAGAGAAAATTATTTACTACTCTTTTTAGAAAAAGACATAAATTTTTACTTGAAAACAAAAAATATTAAATATCAAATTAAATAAAAATTAAATATTAAAAAAAATATTGTTGATATTATTTCATATTAGTCAACGAAATTATATTGTCCGTCGTTTGTTTGGAAATCTTTTTTCCGAATCGTGCCCATTTCTCGTAAAAATAAATTTAATTCTGTTCGCTAGGTAAGCATAACATATACTCAAAACTAATTGCTGAGAGAGCGAGAGAGCGAGAGAGAGAGAGATTGTGTGTATACGATGTTCAAATACTTGTAAGCGTCGATATTGAATCGTTGAGCTAATGAGAAATCGAGTCGATTTAAATTAAACTTTTTCCACTTCTCTTTAAATTCAAGAGGTGTGGGAACTAGAAAAAAATAAAAATAAATCAAAATCAACGATTTTGAAAAGAAATTAAGAAAATCTCGTAAATTTCACGTTAGACAATAATAGAAAATAATAGACAATAATAGACAATAATAGACAATAATACCGATTATCGACGGATAAGATTTATTGATAAAAATCGATAAATCAAGCGGGTAAATATTGAAATATTGTTTCTCAATTTTTTTTCCTTTTTTTCGCAAACAAGAAACAAAGGAAGATGATTGTTTGGATGAATTCATCAACAGGAAAAATATTTTAAGAAGAAGGCTACATGTGTTTTTTTGTCACAGCCTTAGTGACCTGAGGCAAAACAAGCATTGTCTTCAGTGAACACGTTCCCTTCCCTCATATACTTTTATTTACGATTTGCGAATAGAAAGCACGAAACCTTGTTCGCACCTTTTTTCTTCTTAACTACTATTTCTGTTATACTCGATGGTGTTTTATGTTCGTGTATGTGCCCTCTTCTTCTTTCCGTTTAGTTGATTTTGCCCTCAGAGTATGTCTCTATTTTCTCAAGTTTACATCGTAAAATGGAGAGGAAATTGCTTTTAACCTCAGGAAGCTGTTTTGTGGTTAGGAGAACAGCCATGAGAAAAAAGGGAGAAAAGGAAAAAAAAGAGAAAAATTGAAACAGATGAAGAAAGCAAATGAGGTAGTCGAGCAGAGGACATGAAGAATTGAGAAAAATGGACAGCGAGAGTTGAGAATAAATTAGTTTCAACCGTTTCAACAATGAATTCTCCTTTACAATGTCTCATATTTTTTTCTCATTTTTCTCATACTAGGAATTAAGTATATTCTTTTCTTACATACCTTCATGTCTGAATTAATTTTGAATAGCAAACTATTTCTTTCACTGCAAATGTCCGCACCAATTTTCCAAATATTTTTATTTCCTTATTTCAAACATTCTCCAATCATTTCTTCGATCCTCAATATTTTTCGCTCACCGATTCTCGAAATCTGAAAGAAAAAAAAGAATTTATCTCTAATGAAGAAAGTAAATGAATTAAAGAATTAATTGATTAAGGAGAAGAATAAAAATTTCCAAAGTGAATCCGCGTTGACAATGTCTTGCAATGTCTCGACTTTGCAGACGGGGACAATTTCCTCCCTTTTCTAAAGACGGGAAGTAGCGAAGAAAATATAATGTAATCGAGGAAATATGATATAACGAGGCGCAATGTTCACTTGAAAGCCGTGACGTAGGACGCTTTGAGTGCAAGCAGTGCAAGCAGTGCAAGCATGCTGCATCAGCATGTGATGAGAGGAGCAATCTCCTTTTCTGTTTCAATTTTTTCAATTTTTTCCCACCCCTGTCAGTGTCTTCCACTAATATCAAAAGAAGAATCGGTACAAATGGCAATTATCCTCAATCTGATTAGAGTCAATCAATCTTCTCAAAGAGTCGTTTGTAGCAATTTCATTTTGTCCAGTCAATAATAATATTTCCCAGTGTCCTCAATTCCTTTTCACCCTTTTCACCAAAAAATTGTTTGCTTTTTTCCCTTTTTCCCTTTTTCCCTTTTTTCGGATGTGAATCTGGCATTCAAAGCATGCTTGTATTCTTTCACGGGCTTGAAAGTTTAGGATTGTCGATGATGAGGTATTCCGAACAGTGAAGTACTTTGGCCCAGGGCAGAGTATACATAATTCACATAACTTCGAAATGCTATCCCTCGCTAAGCAACCTGCAAATTTCAGATTAGGATGTATAATTAACTCTTCTTACAGATGTCTCTCTCTCTCTCTCTCTCTCTCTCTCTCTCTCTCTCTGCGAGTTCAAGTGTAAACTTTCATGTATGGAATTTCTAATGTGACACATGCTCTTCAAAGTTTTCGAAAGAAAATTTTCAATTTTTTGCTTTCAATTCAAACACTTGATTAAAACCCTTTTAATAAAGAAAGATAATTGAGAGGATTTTTTTTTTGTTTCTTTCAGGTTCGCAGCTCTTGTACCGCTATGTATTTACGGCAATCGAAATTCATCTCTCAATGGAATGACGACAAGTACAGAGATGTCAAAGTCGACGAGGATTGCGAGAGGCTTTGTCAACGACATCGTTTCGAGAAATATCACCATGGTTTTAGAAAATCTTTTAATGAATTATGAAAATAGTCAGCTACCAACACACGGACAAGGTACGAAATAAATAACTTGATGTAAATTTCACAAAATCTTTTTTCTACTGCGGATAAACTTTTCAAATAGTTCAGGCCTGGGGTCGACTTTAACGAGCAAAAAAAAGTCGCTTTAGTTTAATTTTTAAAAATTAAAACTATAACCCTTTCAAAAATTCAATTATTTTCTACAATGTTTAACTAAACTTCATCTCTAAATCAATTACATATCTATATTACTTTTAAATAATTTTCCGAAAGTTCTTCAAGAATTCAATTTTTTATAATAATTCAAACCGTTCATTTTTCTTTTCAAAGATATTAGGGTAGAATATTTTCAAAAATTTTAATAAACAAATTCGTAAAATTAACTTTTCAAAAATATTTCTATATAATTTTTTAATGACAATAGTTTTACAATTACATATACAATTAAAAAATGTCAAAAAAATTAGAACAAAATAATTTAGAGAATTGCTTTTTTCAAAACTATTTTAATATAATTTTTATTAATTTTCATTTTTATTGAATTTACACTTGAAGATTATTCATTAAAATTTTTGAAAATTCAATATTATTTTCAAAATTTTAATTAAAATTCTATAAAACTTAATTTTCAAAAATTATAATAAAATACTTTAAAAAATGATTTATTTTCAATTAAATTTTACAAAATTCCAATTATTCAAAACCTTTTTAATTGTATATTTTTGAAAATTTAATTAGAAAAATTATTCAAAAATAAATTTTTAAAGATTTGTCTGCAGTTATGCTTTTCACACTATAACAATCGAAATATGTTGCATTTTATACTAAAAATATGGTATTTTGTAGGAAAATTTGGAAGAAAAGTCGAAAAAGTCGCAATTTTTTAATACAAGTCGAAAAAAGTTGAGAAAGTCATAATATCCGAGGCCTGATAGTTGTATTTGTTTAATAACTTTTTTTATTTTCAAACGTTGAGAAATTAGTCTCTATTACCGAGAAGAAATATGACGTTTCGAGTGAAGATTATATTCGTAGTTTCACGCCTTGAAATGAATCCCTAATTACAATAATAGGATTGCTAATTTAGGAATCAAATTTCAATATGGTCGAAAGAAAGAGAGAGAGGGAGAGAGATAAGCTTCGCTTAATCCAGCTGGTAAATTATTTGATGAAATTGTTTGCGCGTTCAACGTTTGATGAAAATCGCGTTCCACCGCTTCAGTAAATTCTAATGGCTTCTTGATAAAGAGAGGAAAAAAAATCTCTTCAAAAATTTGAATAATACAAACTCTTAATGGATTCTAGTGGCGCATTCAAAAAAAAAGGAAATTTTTTACCAATTTATTTTCAAATGTAATTTTGTTTATAAATTGAGTCTAATAAAAATTTTAACAAATGAAAAAATTTTTAGAAAAAAAATAGATAAAGCATTATCATGCAATTATTCATATTGAAGTAAATTGAGAAAAATGGAGTTCAGCGAATTCCGCGCCTCGACAAGAAAGGGTTTTTTTATACTAAAAAAAATTTACTACTTCATAGAGAAATGCCTTTTGTTTTTTTTTTTTTTTTTTTTGCTGTATTATTCGAGCATCGCCTTTTCGGCTTTTCCACACAAGAGAATGAATGGCTCAATACAAACGTTACAAGCAAAGCCAAGTTGGCTGATGGCCAACCGAAGAAAACTATTGGTCGCTATCGAATCTCGTTTCATTTTCAAATGCTATCCATTTTTTTTTTTTTTTTTTTTTTTTTTTGAATGATTTAAAAACCAAGAGTTGAGTCTTTTGTCATTGCTGTTGAATTCATGTTTACTCGTATGTTTTACATTATTTTTTAATCTCGCAATATTCTCTGCTATATAATATAAAGAAAAAAAATAAAATCTCGGTACATAATATGCACGAATCAGTGTTCTTTTGAACTAGAGAAGTCTTTCACATTTATACTCGGTTTCGAATTACTCTTTTATTATTTTATATTCTATGTACAATCAATCCTGAACAAATTTTCAACGTGGATTTTTCATTTCATCGCGAAACTTCCAATTAGCTGGGAAAATTATTTTCTTTCTATTATGAGCATTTTATAAGCTTTTTAAGTCAGTTCAATTCAAGACTCGGTTTCGCTATTCGCTGTGAAATATACACCTTTAGTTTTATTATACTTTGTATATTTTTCTCTTCTTTTTTCAGGGATTCCAACAGTCGTCCGAACAAATATTCTCATTAGAAGTATGGGTCCGATTTCGGAACTTGATATGGTCAGAGAATAATTATTTTATCGTTATAAGAAAGAAATGAAATTCGCTAAATTTTATCGTTCGTCTCCTTTTGATTTTTTCAAAAGAGGGGACTTGAAAATATTTATTTGTTTCACTAATCTCTTTTTCTGCAAAGGATTATTCCATGGACTGTTACTTTCGACAATACTGGCGAGACTCTCGCCTCAGCTTCCTCGGACCGATTAAATCTTTAAGTCTCAGCATTAAGATGCTCGAGAGGATTTGGCGGCCGGACACATACTTTTACAACGGGAAGCACTCTTACGTGCACACCATCACGGTGCCGAACAAGTTGCTCAGAATTTCCCAGGATGGAGACATCCTTTATTCCATGAGGTTCGTTCTTTAGACACTTTTCTCTTTCTTTTCTCTTTCTTTTCTCCCTTTTATAATCCCGACAAGACTGTCAACAAAATTTCGAAAATTCTTTCATCACAATTAAATTTACAATGTATAATTCAATTTTTCAACTATAATATATGAGGGATAAACGATGAGTACAACAAGCAACAGCAATTCTAACAATTTTGATTTCATGAAAGGAATTCCAATGATTTCAATTTAAACGCAGAATTAAATAATTTACTATTCTTTGTAGTTAAATTAAAATGTACGTCAAGAATTAACAATTTATGACATAAAGAACAAATACAGAGAAATATTTTCAAAATAAAGAGAATTTAAAATTAAATTTTGCTTTTAAAATGAAACATGTTATGTATTTACTTTTTCTAATTATCTTCTAATAAGCCTCTTTTGTATTTACTTTAAATAAAAGTTACTTGGAAATTTTTTCCTTTCCAATTATTTTATAATTTCGAAAAATAATTATTTTTTAAGTTTGTCATTTTTTCTCAAACTAAAAGCTAATTGGAAATTTTAATTGAAAATTGAGCCCAATTTTTATTCTTTATTTTAAATGAATTTAAATTTACTTTTATTTTCTGTCAAGTGATAACTTTTGATTATAAATTTTGATGACACCTCCTCGAATATGAATTAAAAGTTGCTTGTGAATTTCTGTTTTAATGACAAAACACAAATGAAATATACATTTATACACCTCGACTGTTTTGTGTTACGTCGTACCGGCAATCTGTAATCCACTTTTCAAGAGGAACGTCTCGCAATGCAGACTGACAATAAAGGCCAAGTGTCCGATGGAGTTAAGAAACTTTCCAATGGATCGACAGTCCTGTCCATTGATCTTAGGAAGCTGTACGTAATTTTCTGCTTTGAATTTTCAAATCTGCATGACGCCTTGGCAAAAGTTGAAAACTTTTTTTTTTCCATTTCATTATTAAAATATTTACACTTTCTTCTCTCTCTCTCTCTCTCTCTCTCTCTCTCTCTCTCTCGCCGCAAAGATTTTCGCTATTCTTGGTTCTCTTTGATCCCCGAGAGATAATTCAACTGTATTATAAAGTTTCTAAATCAACAGCTGTCCTTAATCTTAGGATGGCAATTTTCCCTTGACTAATTCTTCTTTCACGAATTTTCTCATTGTCCTCGTTATGTCGACATTTTAGTGTCAAAATTAAGATTTCGAAAATGTCACATTACGAATGACTGAAGAAAGTTTCTTGCGTGAGGAAGTTGTGCTCCACATCGTTCTTCTCATTTCTACAAATATTGAACGCATTCCATCTCATTCTGGATGATTCGTTACGTATGCAAACATCCTAACTCTCATTCCGCTGCATAGATGTACACTTGCCGAGAGCAAATACTATAGATCATAGAGAGAGAGGGAGAGAAGCGCTGCAACATGAACAAACTTTATGTTTCATTTCATTTTCCCTTTTCCTACTTTCATCTCCGCAGAGGCTTGGCAAATTTAATTTTGTTTTATTTCAAATAGACGGTTTCAATTTTAACACACACATCTATTTGTATACAGGAAAACTTATTTTTATTCTCGATGCGATAATTTTCTCTTCTACATTTTCTTTTATAAAAATACACGAAGGTAGTGAATTTTGTATTTTCTTCTTTTCTTTTGTATATTGCTAACAGCTGCACAAGTTTTATTGCATGGTCACAAAAATAATTTTTATAATCCAATTTTGAAACTTTATGTCACTTTATATCTTGTAATGAAATCTAAGAAAACAAACAACTATAAAATTATGTATACTATACGATATTATAATTTTTCAAATATGCAGACTTTGGATCGACTTTAAAGAGCAAGAAAAGTCATTCTAGTAAAAGAAGAAGAAAAAAGTCCTTTATTTAATTCAGGACTGTCATAAAAATAGAATTTTGTAATTCCCTCACTTCCAAAAATAGTAATTAATTAATATTGTAAACTAAAAAAAAGTCTTAATACCTTTATATTTTATCAGACGCCCACACATCTGGCCAACTGGTCTATGAGTGGCAAGAAGGACTGTCGGTAAAATTTTCCCCTGGAATGACATTATCCCAATTTGATTTGATGGGATCACCTTATCGTAATTTTACTTTTCTTCGTCGTGACGGTGAATTTTCAGTTCTGCAAGTTTCCTTCAACCTTCAACGACACACTGGCTATTTTCTCATTCAGGTAAAGAAATCAATTTTCCCTCCGCATTTTTTCATTGTGTCCAAAATCAAATTTAACATTTTTCTGAAAAAAATGCGACTTTTTAAAAAAAGAAAAATAAAAATATTTCGTAGGTGTACGTTCCTTGTGTTTTAATTGTCGTTCTGAGCTGGGTTTCATTCTGGATCCACAGAGAAGCCACGAGTGATCGAGTTGGCTTAGGTAAATTAAATTCGCCTGCGGAAAAAAAAAATATATATAATAAAATTATTAAAAAAAAGCAAAAGCCAGAATGGCCTAGTTTTTAAATCTGCCGTTAACTTGGAAACTTTCGCTTCTCTAAATTAAATAATCAATTAAGTCCTCTCGGACTTGAGTTTCCAGTAATAAGGGAAATTTATGTAAATTAAATACAGGAATTACAACGGTCCTCACACTTTCCACGATAAGTCTCGACTCCAGAACAGACCTTCCAAAAGTTAAATATGCCACCGCTCTGGATTGGTTTCTTCTAATGAGTTTCTTTTACTGTATCGCGACTCTTTTGGAATTCGCCGGCGTCCATTACTTTACAAAGGTAATTTTTCACATTTTCACTTCATTATTAATCAGAGGTTTATTAGAGGTTTATTTTTGAACATCTCCCGCTCGATGGGACAAATTTTCCGATTTTACAGTAATTAAACTTGTGATTAGTTGGAGATGTCCAAATGAGAGGTCTGATTGCTGATTTAACTAATATACTATATGTATGTATGTGTAGAACTCCTCATGCGACCGAGGAGATTAATTATCTTTGTAAATAGGTTGGCAGTGGCGAATTTCCAGTAGATGAAGAAGAGTGGGAGGATTGGGAGAACGCAACCAACGGGGATTACGAGACTGATACGTTTTGTACAATCTCAGCTTGCAGTCCGCAAGCCGTTCATCCCGAAAGTAATGCCGCCTCGAGGAGACGGAATTCGCTGCTATGTACGATTTACAATGTAAGCGCATCATTTAGAAATTATTTTACAACATTTTACTCTTGTAAAAATAGAGTGTTCAAGCACAATTTTTTTAGCGAGATCATTTCTTGCGGACCATTAAATTTATGCAGTTGTATCGCGCGCGGAAATCGCGCTTACGACTCGGAAAAGAATAAATCAATACTAAAAGTGTTATTAACATTAAAACCGAGTAGAGCAGATTCAACAAGTGATCGCAATTTGCAATTTCATTTTTTTCCAGCATTCATTGAAATACAAAATTAATAGAAATCAAAATTTCCAAACAAAAAAAATTTGTTGTTGTAAACTCAACAATTTTACATCACTTTTAAGAAAAAAATTAAATGTCAAAAATTCTTTTCATTTCAATTCGATTTTGAAAATTAATGTCAATATGCGACGGAATTAAAAACAAAATATTTACCTTTCAATAATTTCTCATAGGATCCTGTCACTTTTGGAATCCAATCAACGCCTATTTTCAGCAGTAAGCCATCAACTATGGAAAGACAAACTCAAACTGAAACTCGTTTACCTAAATGGAAACAGTTTCTCTATTGTCTCGCAGGAGATGATGCATTCAGGTAAATATTTACATTATTTTCCAAAAATTTCTAATTCTGCGTATGCACACACTTTCTGAAATAATTTAATAAATATGAATAAGATAATATTTCATTATCTGTGATATTGATTTTTTCTCTTTTACTTCTTAGACGTCGAAGGCAACGGGAAGCGGCTGGAGGAATTCGAAAACATGGAAAAAGAATTGAAAGGCATATAAATAGCGTTTCCCACATTGATAGGGTTGCTCGTGTGGTATTTCCGACATCTTTCGGTTTTTTGAATGTTTGCTATTGGGTCGTTTATGTGACCTACCAAGATGAATTCAAGTGGCAGGATCCACCGATCGGCTCGATGTGATTCTTCTTCTTCTTCTTCTTCTTTTTGTGCTCACTCATTCGAATTTTCAAATAAAGCTGTAGATAAAAAAGGCACAAGACTTTTTATAAATCATCAATAAATCCTCTCTTGACATTTCTTACATTTTTTAGGTTGCAACTATGGATTATTTTCTTACTACAAAATTAAAAGTTCTTAGTAAATGTTCCATTTTATATATTAATTAATAATATTGTTTAAATTATGAAATCAAAAAATTGTTTTAATAATATTAATCAAACAATAATTCATGCTTCAAAACATAATAATAAGATTACGATATATTATATTGACCGCATGGACAAAGAAAAAGCTTTCTAAAATATATATTTTTACTTCAATTTTTCACTCACCTGAACATAGTATTGTCATCAATTTGTCATAATTACAATATTTTCATCTAAACTTTCAACTTTGATAAATATATTACAAAATTAATTGTGCGCATTGAAATTGGCAAGCTTACAAGTTGCAACCGTTGCAACAAGTTTCTTCTTCCGAGAATTTAAAAATTCTGTTGTTGTGATTGTTGTGATTCAAAATTTAGACAAGTTGATTCGTTTTTTCACCGACAGCTGACAGGCAAAAATTCAAAATTTCGCGGGAAATTTGGGTATTCTAATTTGAAAATAATATCAAAATATAGGTATACAGAAGAATAAGTTAATTATTTGTTTTTTATATAAATTTTCAATTTAGAATCCAAAAGTGAAACAGTTTTTCATCATTAAACGACACATACATAAACACTTGTCAAAGCGGTCGGTAAAATAGAGTGAGTGGATGAGTTTTTTTTATACAAAAATAAAAAAATGGCTGTCAAATGACTTTGACAGGCATAGAAGAATTATATTTTTGTTTAATGGAAGGTCAAAAGAACGTTTCATATTTTTATAAAATCCCGAAAAAACATAAAATATTTATCCTTTATTTCGTACATTAAGCTGTCAAAAAGTGTTGAAAAATTTGTGACAAGTTGTAAAAAAATATAAGCGGCGGAGAGTATGGCGACGTCAGACATCAGCTGATTCGACCTCCGCTTTAACCAGGAGGAAATGATAAATGTCGAAATTTCACGGCGATCACGCCGTTGATACTGGTAAGTAAAATCTTTTTTTACAAAATAAAATCAATCTTTAATCCACAGTTGAATATTTGTCCTACAATTTTTTACTATTTCCCTTTTAACCTCAAAATTTTGTTTGAATTTCAAATTTTCTGTCAAAAGAAGTTTTCAACTATTTTTTATTATCATTCAATAATAAATCTTTTTGTATTTCTATAATGTTTACTTTTCTTTTTTTTAAATAAATTCTTTTACATTTAAAATAAAGTTTTCCTTTTAAAGTGTAAAAAATCGATTGTTATAAAAACAAGTTTTCTTTGAGTTTAAAGTTGAAACAAGTTTTTTAAGGTACATTTAAATGCAAGTTCTTTGAAGCAATTTGAAAATTGATTAAAATATATAACGAGACAAAATTTAAATTTAAAATATATTTGTTAAAATCAGGTTAAATATTAAATCAATTTTTAGTGTATAATTTTCAAGATCCTTTTATTGTTTCACAAGTGTTGAGTTTGGTGATGGCATTGCTTATGTAAATAAAAGTCGAGTGAGAAAATTTAGTAGACTTTACAGATCAGAATTACTCATCGGATGGATTTGAATGAGGTTTATTTTGAGTCTATTGTTATTTTAAATGACGATAATTTTGCCTTTGTATCGTTAAAGATAATTTTTCCTACTCCCTAAAACTTTATTAATAATTATTCAATTGTAACAAAGAATTTTTATCATTTCAATATGTGTACAAAAATCATTCTCAATTTTTCATTCTCTTACTCAAAGAGCATTTTTTTTTGTCTGTACAAAAATTAATTAAAAAATATTCTATTTCTTCGTTAAAGTGAACAAAACTTTACTTTAGTTGAAAAAATTGGTAAATTTTAGACCTAAAAATTGTCTTGTTCAGATTTACTAATTTTATACGGTAAGAGAAAAATAAAATTTTGAAATTGCAACTTGTCTTTGACAGAAAGATCGTGAATGTAAAAGATGACTCCGCCCTTGAGTCGCAAGCGTGGCTCGTCAGTCAGTTTCACACGAGCGAAGGATGACACCGAGAATGGAGGAGACGAAATTCAAATATCACTGGCACCTTACATTCAAACCTACCTGGCCCACAGTGGCCAGGGCGTGGGATGCTGCGGAATCGGCCTGCCAGTTCCATTTGAACGAGCCGCCCCCAGATCCTGGTGGAATCCAAAATTCGACTCCGAAATCCTCGAGGAGCAGTTTAAAAGAAGTGCCTTTCCTCAAATCAGATTGAGATTTCGGTATAATTAACATTTCTGTTTTAATGAATGATAAAATGAATTTCAAAGTTGAATGTGAAATGAAATTTTTGTAATAATATTTAATTTCAGATACGCTCTTACCTACATTTTGCTAGTCTCCGTCTCATGGCTTGTTTATTTTGTGATAAAAGGAATAGAAAATAAATCAGACTCCTGGCCGGCAATCACGATAACCTTCAGTGTTTTGGGTTTTTTGATATCAGCAGTGTTATACTTGACACACACAGATCATTATCAATCGTACGTTGTCTTGACGTCTGTTATTGTGGCCTCAATTCTCTGTCTACTGTCACTGATATTCCTCATTCTTGTTCCGCCATATTTCGACGGGCTCACACTCGTTGGACATTTCGCCCTATGCTCGGAAATTCTTTTACTAATTTACACCGTTATTCCAATGCCTCTTTACGCGTGTGTTGGAATCGGTACAATTTATTCAATTCTCTTCGAATTTCTCACAGCGTATCTCTATGGACTGAATGGGGGAAAGAGGACTTTTTTCACTGATTTTAGAGGGAATTCGACGACCAAAAGTGAAAAATTAACCGTCAATAATTTCACGAGCGAAGTTATTGCACCACCAATCTTAGATTCTCTTTCAAGAGTTGTTCGATCATTGAATAGTTCGGAAAATTTTCATTCTGCTTTTCATGTGAAATACAATGGGGATGTGGATTTTTCAACAACGCTCACTATTCGCATTTTAATGCAAATTTGCATTCACATTATTGGCGTTCATATTTTGATTATGACTTTTGTGAGAATGCGCGGAACTTTTATGAAGGTGAGAAATAGTCTTTTTTTTTTTTTTTTTTTTTTTTTTTTTTTATTTTCTAAGGCAAGTAATGAAAGTAATGTTGTAATGTTGCACACTTAAAAATACTTTCTAGGTGGGACAGTCATTGTTGGTGCGCCGTCAGTTGGAGATGGAGAAGCAATTGAAGGAGAAAATGATTCTCTCTGTGATGCCGCCGAAAGTTGCCAATTGGTTAATGGAGGAGAGCGAGAAGGAACGGGAGCGTGAGGATTCGTTGAAAAAGGGTTCGATTCCCTCGAATCACACCGACATTCGTTCACTATTTCGACCATTTAATATGCATTCAATGGAGGATGTTAGCATTTTATTTGCCGATATTGTCGGCTTCACGAGAATGAGCTCGAATAAAACGGCCGAGGAGCTTGTCGGGATTCTCAACGATCTCTTTGAAAGATTTGATGATCTTTGCGAGCATCACGGCTGCGAAAAAATATCAACGCTAGGCGATTGTTATTATTGTGTCAGCGGTTGTCCCGAACCAAGACCTGATCATGCAAAATGCTGCGTAGAAATGGGATTAGGTAACTAAATAATTAATTAATTAATTAATGACGATTTTTCTATTTGTTGATGAATATTAATTACTTTCTTTCTTTCAGCAATGATCGAGGCAATAAAGCAGTTTGATATCGAAAGAAGAGAGGGTGTGAATATGAGAGTCGGTGTGCACACCGGAACAGTACTCTGCGGCATTGTGGGTACAAAAAGATTCAAATTTGACGTTTGGTCAAATGATGTGACTCTAGCGAATAAATTGGAGAGCACTGGATCAGCGGGTAGAGTTCATTTGAGTGAAAAGACATTCAATTTTCTCGACGATCATTATTTGATGGAGGACGCGGAACCAATAAAAGGTGACTTTAAATAGGGTTTTAATAAAAGGTGAATTTTAAAAAAAATATCCCCTAATTACAGATTTGAAGACCTATTTCATAAAATCGAGAAAATCGGATATGATGTCAGAATTTATGACGAACGTGACAACGGAGGGAATGAGTATTTCGCCTTTAATGCAATCTCGTCATCGGCTGGCGTCCTGCAACACGCACTCGAAACCAAGGCCGCATTATCTTCATATGGTGACAAATACGAGTTGCTATCGAATGAAAGCAAATTCACTGCCGAGTATTTTGGATTCAGAGAACGACGACGAAGAGGGTGGAGACGATAAGGAAGACGTTAATAAGAGTCCGACATCGACGGCGAGTTATGGAAAGAAGAAATCGAAAAATAAACCTTGGAGGTATCTTCAAAGGCAACGAACAACCGAGGAGATGACGCCTTTGGATAGAAAACAGAATGTAATTGATGATAATGATGAGTCCACAAAAGAGGAGCGAAATGGAATTACAAAGGTGAATCTTTTTTTTTTTTTTTTTTTACAGAACTTGACTCGCGAAACGGTGTGGAACTTTTTATTTGTTTTAGGGGAAAATTGATTTCAGTTCGTAGGGAAATTTATTTTCGTTTAATTACTTTGTCTCAGTTGAATTTTATTTTAGACGCATGCTTCCACTGATGTGGAGATGGACCTGAATCCCGTACCTTCTAGTCCTCTGCTACCCGGTCAGGAACCACTTAGTCACGCCTCGTCTATCTGCAGCAGAAAAGATTCCGGGATTCGCAGTAGGCGCAGCAGTATCCAACAGCAAGTACGTCCATGCTTTCCCATCCCTATTTTCCTACCCATATTCCATAATATCAAACTCTCTTTTATTCTTTTCTCTTTTTCTTATCTGGTTTTTGTGTTGAGGTACCTTTTTTTGTTCTTAACACCTGTTTAAATTGTTTATTAACAAGTGGATTTTCATTTACAGTCGACATTGAAAGTTGCTTTTAGTTAAAATTTTATTCGTTTATATTAAATTTGTTGACAGTTGTTTCTCATGAATGGAATGGCCCAGGGCGACTTGTTGACTCAAAGGGTGAGCGGCTATTACACATCGAATTCGACTTTAAACTCAACTCAGGAACCGTCTTCTTCTGTGCCACCATATCCGTTTCCGCCGGCCGTCACCGATACGTTTGGCGCTTGCTTCCATAAATTGAGAAAGCAGTCGGATCTTCAGTTAATAAGGTTTATTTCACTATTCCATTATTATTGTATCGACAAGTGGAATTTTGTATTTAATTTAGAAAAAATTGTTAATTTCAGGTGCGTTCAGGATAACGTCAGTTCGCAAAGATCGTATTTCGTGAAACCTCCATTGTCGAGTGTGACACTTTTCTTCAAGAATAAGGAAATGGAAAAGGAGTATCGGGAGAATGCTCATAAAGCCTCGGAGGGATTGGGTGGCAATCCTCCTACATTGGCGACGTCGCGTTTCAATACCTATTTCGATATTCTCATATCGGCACTCGTCTATTCAGCAATTGCGATATCTCTCTTTCTCCTTTGCACGCCGTCAATTTATTTTATTGTCTTCTTCATATTTGGTACGCTAATTGAAGCGTCGGCTGTATCGTTGTGCATTCGTCAGCTTCTCAATCCAAGTACAATGCACGCAACATTCGCCCATCGGATATTTAAATTTTTCTCGCGATGGTATCCATGGCATGTTTGTGGCGCCGTTCTAGTCGCTCTGCCAATAGTTTCGATTCTCATGAATTTCACATGCAATTTTCGTTCGAGTTTCCATAATTTCGAATATTATTACAGTTATCTCATTTTCGTTGGTCTCGTACATTTTTGCAATTTTACTCAGTTGAATTGCTGGATGAAAAATCTCCTCGTTACCGTAACCGGTATTTTATTCATTTGTCTCGTGGCAAATCACGCGACACTTTATCGAAGTCACATTTTCACGAGTGTCGTCAATTCGAGTGTTGTCAATTTTTCGGGAATTGCCGATTTCACGGAGAATGTGATATTTGAAAATAAAAGTCTCCTCGTCATTCCAATTGGTGCTGCTGAGCCGCGTGAAGCATTCACGATAAATGCGACAAAATTGGATGAGAATGAAAATCGAAAACGTTTGTATGACGAGAGACTCTATAATTCGGAAATTTTTTTAGATATGGTACTTTTATTATTGTTGGTGTGGTTTCTAAATAGGGAATTTGAAATTAGTTATCGTTTGAGTTTTCACGGGAATTCTGTTGCTGCTCGCGATAAAGCACGGGTCCAAAGTATGAAGAATCAAGCCGATTGGCTGTTACACAATATTATTCCTAAATATGTAGCCGATCAATTGAAGACAACTGCGAAATACTCGCAGAATCACAAGGCTGTGGGAATTATATTTGCGAGTATTGTAAATTTTAATGAATTGTATGATGAATCTTATTTGGGAGGAAAGGAATATCTCAGGGTGCTCAATGAATTAATTGGCGATTTCGATGAATTGTTGGAGAAGTCGGATTACGCGAATGTTGAGAAAATTAAGACGATCGGCAGCACTTTTATGGCAGCGAGCGGTCTTAATCCTCAGGTATTTTTTTAATTATTAATTATTAAAATGGAAATACCTCAATTTAAAGACAACATTTTAATTGGAATAAAATTTTTCAGGTTCGTCAACAAAGTGAACACGTGAATACCCATCTTTTTCAGCTACTCGATTTTGCAGTGGCAATGCATAAAGTTATCTACGATTTTAATCAAGATCTTTTAGGTTTTAAATTAATACTGAGAGTAGGTTATAATTTTGGCGATGTTACGGCCGGAGTAATTGGTGCTACAAAACTTTATTACGATATTTGGGGCGATGCCGTGAACATTGCTTCTAGAATGGATTCCACGGGTGTCGCTGGAAAAATACAATTACCCAGCAGTTGTCTCCAAGTTTTAAATGAAAGATACGAATTTGAACCACGTGGTCAGGTTTATGTGAAAGGAAAGGATAATATGGACGTTTGCCTTCTTATTGGAAAAAGGAACCAAACTAAAGCCACGTAAAGAAAAATTTATTTGCCTAAACGATTTCGTGACATTTAGAAGAAAAAATAGAGGTGAGAGAGAAAAATATTTATTAAGAAATACTGTATTTTTGTAAATAACGAGAAAGTTTTTTGAAACGGGAGATCTGACGCGAATCTGCCTTTTCTAATTATATTATATATTGTAAAAAATGTGTAATTTATATGTGCGTTACGTGCTTTAAATGTGGTTTTCTGAACGTCTGAAATTATCGAGAATACATATACTCGTTATTATTTTTTAACGCGATACTCGAGTTCTTTTCAAAACGAACGATTTTGAATTCAATTTTTAAATATTTTTAATATATTTATGTTGTTTAAAATATCACAATAGAAGTCTATTTAAAAGACATGTGACGTGCTCTGAAAGAAAAAGGAATAAGTGTTGTTTGTCATGGACTTTTCTTGATTACAAGTTTCATTTTAATTATAATTATGTTAAATCGAAATCGGTTATTTCTTATTCACATTAAACTTTCTTCAGAGCGCGTCACATATTCTAAAACAATTTTTTTATCTTCTTAAAAAAATAGATTTATTTTTCCCTGTTGACACTGATCCTTCGATTCATGAAAAAATAAATATGATTACATCTGTCAAAAAATTCAGAATCGTTCATCTGTCTTGTGCATTTTTAAAGTTTCGTAACACAAAAGTTTAAATAATATTATACTTATAATTTAAGAATTATTGAAAAAATTTGTTTCCATTGTTTTTTTTTTTTTTATTTAAATGTTGATGAAAGAAAATTTACAATTTTTTCACAAACAAAAGAAAAATATAAAATTTGTTTTTCTTTGAATTGATGAAATGGTAGAGATCTGATTCTTGAATCTTGTTTTTTTATTAAAAGTAATTCTTCTTTATTTTCCGACACGAAAAATGCTCGACTGATTGTGATGTAAACAAATTTTTGCAAGAATTTTCAAAAAATGATTGCTTTTTATAATTTTATTGATTTAATTTATTTTTCTTTTTAAATTGGACCTAATTTCTTTTAAAATGAGATGAGAAATTTTAGTTAATGAAAACTATTCACTTTTATCGAAATGTTTTAAAGAAATTTTGAGTCATTTTATACGGAGAAAAAATAGAAAAATTGATAATTTTTATTTTTAACTGAAAATATTTTTTTTAATTTCTATCCTAAATATTTTTTCGATACTGTTTTTAAATTTATTTCAGAAAGTGTGGGAAAATTTTTAAATTAATGATGTTTTTTATTCTTTTACAAAAAAAAAAATTTCTGGAAGTTGATAAAATCCGAAAATATTTTAATTTTAACACGGCACTTGTGTACTTGTGCCTTTGCTGCTTCTTTCTACTTTTCAAAAACATTACCAGTTTTTTGAATATTAAAATTATCAATTTTCAATTTCTCAATATGATTATTTTTGTATATGTAATCATTTTATGTTTATCATTGAATGAATCTGAAAAGATGAAAGTAAAATCGGAATACTTTTTAATCTCTATTTTTAATTACCTTTTGATACTGTAAATATTTGGGACAAAGAAACATTATTTTCATCTCGTTTAAAAATGGTGCCGATGGTGCAATTTAAAAACCTACATATCCTAAAAAATTATTGTCAATGCATTTATTTATTACAATACAATATATACAAGATTATTGATCTATTTAAAAACCGATGTACAATGATGATGATGATGAAGAATGAATGAATAGTTGGCAGCTTAAATCGAATTTTTAATCGATTGACCTTTTGCAAATTATCGTCTAAATTTTGAGAATGAAAAATGATTCTTTTTTCGTGACGATAAAAATGTTATTTGTTAATATTACGCATAATTCCGTGTGTGTACATACATGCTTTGGGAATCAGAACAAAATTTCAAAGAAATTCTTTATAATGTAAAATTTCAAGAAAATCTGAAAATCCTTCAGAAATATTTTTTTTAAACATAACATGATGATTGATCGCTGTTTAATTTAGATATAAAATTTCCCTAGCAAAAAAACTTTTCACGAGAGAGGCCTTTTTACCGTATCGATTTGTAATTATTTATAATATACATATGTAAATAACAATTAATTGTAATTGAGTTTCTAGTACAATTAATTTGCAAAACATTCAAAAACAAATGAAAATATAATTAGAAAATATTTTGTTTCATTTCAAATTTAACAATTATTTTATTATTCCTTTCATTTTAAATTAATCTAACAATTTTTCGTTAAAAAGCACATTTACTTGAAACACAAATTACTAGAAGAAATTTTTATATTTTAATTTACACATTCAAATTTTTTATAAATGAACAATTTTTGTCGTGATCTATTTTTTAACGTTTTTGATGATGTTATGCAGTTTTAATTGAAACAGAAACTCAAAATGATCGAAATTGTATTAAATATAATCGATCGTTGCAAATAAATCAACTTTTCGATTCGATTGACGGCTTCTTCTAATCTTTCAGTACGTTATAATACTTTCGTTTACTTATTATTAGAGAATCTAAACTGTTTTTCTATACCTTGTAGAAAATTTAAGAAAATTCTATACTCTAAGATTAATAATAGAAATGTTTCTTTTTTTTACAATGCAATCTTTTTGCCAATAATCACCCTATTCCAAATTCTACAATGAAAATGATAATTTAAAATAAGTGATTGGAATTAAATCATAAAACAGTATTTAATATATTTTTTAATAAATTTACAAATACTTTTATTTCACTTTCAATAATGCATTTGTGCAATAATTTCTCTTAAACGTAAATTTGAATTTTTTTTTTCTTTTTAAGAAACAATAAAAAATTTATAATTAAAATTTCGGATTTTTTGCCTGCAAAAATTGCCGAACGAATGAAATAAAAATTCATTTGAATTTTAATTAATTTCTTTTTTGCAGTGACTTTACGATTATAAAACTATTCTTTTTTCATTTACATTTCGGTATTTTCTTTTTTTTTTTTTTTTTTTTTTTTTTTTGTAGAGTTTCAGCACGCAGTCTTTTTGCATTGAAATTGTGTAACAAAGACAACGATAGATTAAAAGATTAAAAGAAAAAATGAAACAGAAGTATAACAAAAAAACTCAACGGAAAAAGTACCTCAGCACTGATTAATTAAAAAAAAAAGAAATTAGAATTTCTTTTTTTTGAAAACTCCCCTAAGATTGAATTTCCTAAAAATAAATCTCTCGGAAGAATTAATATAAAAGAATTATGAAAATTCATTATAAAAACTTTAACAAATGCGGCACTCACTTATTTAAGTGAACACTTTTAAATAAAAAAAGTCGATCCACTTTTCTTTCAAGAGTTCATTTTTTTTTTCTTTGTAAGATATTTTTTCCTTTTGAAAAAAAACTTTAATTTCTTAAAAATTAATTGTCTTACAAAAATTATTCTTTCTTTTTTATTAAAAAAAAGAAAGATATCACGTAAAAATTTTTTTTAAAAGATTAGCCGAAAATTTTTAATTAACTGATATAAAAGAAAATAAATAAAAATAGTTGGTGCAATTATTTCGCTATTTATAAAGCTTAAATGCAATATTGTAGAAAATATGTACGTACACCTTCACTTGAAAAGTATAAGTTCAGATTTCTTTGAAATATCACCTCTAACTGATAGAAAAATATTCATTCAGAAGAGGGAATTTCAAACTTTTTGTGTGAGTGTGTGTTTATTGAGCTAAACCAACCGATGACTCCGAATGCTACGTGGGTCCCGCAAATAAAACGGCGAGACCAGTTTCACTAGAAGTCTTTGAAATTTCATCGACCCGTATGTATTCGGATTTCTTCGGAATTTGAAGACGTGGAAGATTGACGATTTTCACTTCTTTGCGATAAAGTTGTCCAATATTTTTATCGATAAGCTAGAAGAAGAAATGTATTTTATATTTTAAATAATGTTTAAATTTTTAGTTGAAAAATGTAAAATTTACTTGATTAGTGATTTTCTTGAACAGATCCTTCTTTCCTTTTTCGACTTTATTGCCCCTCGAGCTGACAACGGACATTTTCTCATCGAATCTCTGCAAATCGGCGGGATTAATTCCGGGTATTTGTTGCATAACTTCGATAATGCAGGGGAATTTAGGTCGAAGACATTCGTAAACTTGAGCTCCCAATGTGACAAGTGAACCCTGATTTGCCTCATGCTGCCCGTGAAGTTGAAGTCCCTGGAGAATCGCCCGCATTATGTGTGTTGCCATTTCGGGCGTCAAACTCCCGTCGGCTGCCAGAGCTCGCACCACTGGACCAGTCAGCATTGTCGCTTTCAAACTTGCGTTCGTGTCATTCCAAGACAAGGCTCTTTTCAAAAAAGTTACATAAAGTGTTTCCATTAATTATTAGCAAAATAGAAAAATAGAAAAATGTAAATTATTAATTAGTTGAAATCATTTAATTTCTGAACGTATTTCAATTTCTCTCACCCCAGAACGCAAAGCACTACACTGTGGCATGTAGAGGGATGTCGGAGGACAAAGGAACCCAGTTCACTGACAGCCTCGGCGACGATGCTGTTCCCTCTCACCGGCGGATCGACGGCCATTCCGCCACTGTCTTGATCCATCGAATCCGGAGGAGATGCATCGCTTGCCGCTCCTCCGACCAAAACAACTTTCAGTACGTCAACAAAGTCTCTCGTTAAATTTCTATTCAGCATATCCTCTATCACCTCCTGTGTATCCGCATTTTCTTCGTCAAGACTTCCTGACTCGTACAATTGTGCCATATATTGCCACTTGGCACTCAGTCTGTGGCACACTAGGAAAAGTATTTTCATTTCAATATGCATTTTGCATTTATTCACTTAATTCAAAAATACTTACTGTGAGTCGATACGTGAGCCAGAATAGGAACAAGAACTGTTTCGTAACACGCCGGAGGACAGAAATATACAAAAGGCTTCATAAAAACTCGAATTATTGGACGTAAACGATGATCTGGAATGACCTACACAAATGATGGAAAATAAAAATCATTTTTAACAATTACAATAAACAAAAAAGAAGAAACAAGAGAAACAAAATATAAAATGCATACCTCCATATTTGAAAAAACGGAATTTAGCAAAGCGTGTGCGAATCCAGGGATTTGGTACAAATCTCTGCCAATTGTGTGACAACCACTTCCCAACATATGGTAACAATGATCGTGAATATTACTTAAAAATGATTGCATTCTCGCCAACGGGGGAGTGACAGTGCAATCGGCTTCGGCAGTTCCGTCACTATTGTTTGACGAATTCAAACCCAGTAACATTGATCTCTCCGATTCCAGCAGACCGAAAACACCTCGGTATCCCTGAAGAAAACAAAATTTTTACTTTTCCACTATATTCTGAAATACGATACCTGCAATATTATTACTTGTAGGTTTTATTTATCGCGGTAAATTATTATACCTCGGAGAGAAGAGCAAGAGCCGGAGGTGTAAAAAGTGCATTCATCGATCTTAAAAATTCGAAAAGTGTCCGCAACACTGGAACAATGTGAGGAGTAGATGGATTTCTATAGACAGGATTTCCACTTTCACTGAGAGCGCCAACGAAACCTCCTCTCGCCGCTCGGTCCGGATCCTCCGGTATCGAGCATCGTTTCACAACACTCAAAACAGTCAAAATGCAATACATCAAATCCGAGCGATTGATTCCCGCTGGATCCTCGTAACCATTTTCCACTGGTACTTGATCCAAGCCAATGAATCTGATCAGCTCCAATGGCCCCTTAAATGCATCCGTTCCCATCGTCACGAATCTCGTCGCTGCCTCGCCCATCACTTCCGCCACAAATCTGCCAATCGCACAAACTCGAAATGTAATTTGAAATTTTACAATTTTATAATAATAACAATGGTACAAACCTCGTTTGCCTCTCGTAATCGCAAAAATGATTCGAAATGAGTAAAAGAGCCTCGTACAGAAAAACACTCTCCATTCGGGTGAGTTGACTCGGTTCGCGAACCAAACCCCGAACAGTTGTGTGAATTTGATCGAAAACTGGCAAGAGCAATAGAGGATATTTATAACCAATTTTCACCATTAAACTCGCCGCGTGTCGTCTCACGCTTTTCGTCGATTTGCAGCGCGTTTCTTTGGTTTCGCCAGGCTCCATGAATACAAGGGCGGCGAATATTTTCTCGAGAACACGCGGCAATATTGCCACTCCCGGCATTGCCATTGAGCCGGTCGACATTGAGAGAAAAACAAAAAGTGCACTAATGCACGAGAGTAAAGTCGAGAGAAGCCAAGGGTCCCGAGGATTGTAACTCAAACACAATTCCAAAAGTTGTAGACCAGTCTGTACGTTCGGCCTCTCATTCACGAGCAAAATCCTGGAAAATTTAATATTTTTATATTGAATATTTGACAGAAATTAAGACAGAAATTAAGACAGAAGCTACAAACCTCGAGACAACCGAGTCCAAAGCGTTTGCGAGTGCTTCCCACTCTAGATATTCGCGATCATTTGGATCACACTTGTAGCCAATGTCACTCATTCCCTTGGTGATTTTCGCCGTGAGCCAATGTTGAACGTAAGCGAACATTACCAAGGGAGAGACCATTGTCGCATTTCGAAAACCCTCCAATAAATCCATTCGAAATCTGTGGAAGAATGATCTGAATTCTGCCTCCGTATCATAGTCGGAATCAAGATAAGAAACCGTTCCATTTGCGTGTCTTCCGTTTGAATATGTGACTTTGATTAATTTCGGCCCAGTACATTCAATGTATTTTGGAACATAAGTCAATAAAAGTGAATCAGTTTTGATTTGCTCATGCTTAAAGAGAAGAATCCAAATCGAATTTGCTAAATGTGTCAATGTCAGATTGGAATGCATCGTGAAATGAAGAACAGTGTCGAGGAAAATGTTAAAGTGCGCTGGACGAATTCCGGAAGAGTCGTCTTTACCCCACAACTGACATAGTTGCGTTGCCATTCCAATTAGTACCTGCCCACAAAAAAGTGACAACAAATTAGGTTAAACATAAAATTAATCTAAACCTTTTTTTATTTGTTCTCAAGTAATACCTGAGTGAGCTTCTTCAGGAAAAGATAGTGACTTTCGTAGAGATCGTTTGGTCCAGGTGGTGGAGGTGCCGCAGTTGCTGCAACGTAAATGCATCTGAGAGCCTCTTCGGTAAACAAAATCATCAATTGCTTTCGATCGTCTGCCTTCCCCTTTCTGTCCACCACGTGCAGAAGACACTCGGCTGCCGAGCATCTAAACACCTGATTTCCCAGAAGAAGGCAAAGTATCTGCAGAAGACGACCTTCGTCCGCCATTATATGATTTATCGAAACCCACTCGACAAATCCGGTCAGGGTTTTCAAAACGGCCTGAAAATAGTATGACGAAACAGAGTCAATGGAAAAATTCAATCTCTGCCAATAGTTGTAATAATAGAGATTGAAATAAGCATGGAAAACGAGAAGAGAAAACATGAAAGCTCACCCGAACGACTCCACTGTGCGCGGCAGCTTCCGTGTTCCTTCCGAGATTCGTTTGCTTCTGAAACTCGGAGAAATGCTGCTCCATTAATCGCAAGAAAAAGGCAAAAATCTGTGCCATATTGGTCGTCAACGCTTGATAAATGTCCTTCCGCCTTTGATTCGATTCCAATGTCTGAAGGAGTGCAACATCTTCGACGAGTCGAAGGAAAACGAGCAAAACGAGTTCCGTTTGACTCTCGCCCCGGGTGCAAACCTCACTCAACTCGGCCAAAAGTGTCGGCCACTGTTGAGGCCATTCCCGTTTTATCATCTCAACAATAACTCGCGACAATGCATCCTTAATGTGAGCCTCCTCCTGGAGCAATGGTTCCGTGCCCTCCTGAAGAAGCTTCATTGAATTCTCCTTGATGAAAATCTTTTCCGACTGAGAGATCTGCGTCCATCTGTATTTAATGCAGTGCTCGAGTAACTGCAAACCGAAATGACGAACAATTGAACTGCGATCGGGTGACTTTTGAGCGAGATACAGTCCACACTGGACGCACAACGGCGATGATTCCTTAAATCTTTCACAAGCACTGTAAACTTCGAGACGCTGTTGATGTGGAACGTTCGGCGACATCATCACCTCAACCACCCGAGCGAGCTCTGACGATGTCTGCGCGACATCTCCCACGCCGAAATCCATCCCTAATTGTTCAACTGCAAAAAAGGAACAAGATTTCATTTCAGGAAAAAGCGGAAAAAGTAAGAAAAACGACATACAGTGAAGGCATTTCCAATAAAATAATCATTACAGGGAGAAATAACAAAATTTCACCATTATTCAGTTTGCAAAATTAGTTTGATTGATTGGTACGTGTAAAGGTTATAAATGTATCGCTATTAATAATCAAACTTGATCTACAATCTTCATCTCTTTCAAAAGAAATTAAATAAAGTAACTTATTTTAATTTCAATAATATGTACTTCTTATGTTCAAGTCGTTCAAGTACACAACAGGATGAATGATTCAATACCCTTATAATATTGGTTAATCGTTTCATTTGCAAAAAAAATTTGTAAATTAAAAATATTACTATAGACATATTTGGAATAGTTGAATAGAATAATTTTCATTTTTCTAGAAATGCAAAAAAAAATTTATGGATTTTGATTAAATTTTTTAGTTGTAAAACTAACATAACCTAGATAATAACGTAAATTATTATACATATATCAAATAATAGCAAAATATTGTACTTTATTTATACAGAGAATATCCAGGAATATCGTCTCCGTAGCGTCGACCTGTTGACGTTCATAATTTTAGAAGAAAATTTTCGAAAAAACAGAAGATTTCTAATGAAATGTCTTGTTATGCAAAAAATCAAAGCACTACTGATGAGGTGTGAGTGAATATAATAAATAATTAGTGTTTAGAAAAAAAACACGAGAACGTGGGGAGTAGATTTCTGGGCTACTTCGGCGTGCACGCCGACCATGCCTTGACAGTAGTGTAGAAATGCAAAAAACTCACCCCTATATTGCGTTCATAAATCGGAAAAAAATTTTTTCCCAAAGCCAATGGCTTTTGATATTAAATTCACACTTGTTGCTTATTTCACAAACGATCTTTTTTTCAAGGAAATTTATGAAAAAAATAGTTTATTTACCAGATTTACTTTTCTCGGATTTTCCTCGGGATGCGGCACATTCAATCGCGCATGTCGATTTATTCGCCCTCTCTAGATAGAATTTGAAAACAATCGACCTGGTCAACGTAACCTTTAAATTCGCGCCCTAATAACAAGGCGTTTGGCAGTTATTTTTCTCCTTTTTCTCATTTTTCTTTTGCTTCTAAATTTTATTTAGAAAAAATAAAATTTAGTAAACAGTTCAGTTGAATGTAAAATTGCTTAATTATAAACATAATATACCTCAATTTGTCCAATTTGAAGATAATTTCGCTCAAGTTGCAACGAAATTAGAATTAATTTGTTCTGCTAGGTTATGCCGGTTTATCATCCACCACAAGAAAATAAATAAACAAGTGAGTTTTTTATTTAAAAAATAATTCAACTTTTCACTTAAGTATAATGAATATTGTTCACTATAAAAAGTAGTATAATAATAATTAATATTATTCCAACATTATTTTCAAATAAATAATCAAGTGTTTTAAATTGTTTACTATCAATAATTATTAAAAGTTTCGCTTTCCGAAATTTTCGAAAAGTAGGCGATATTTACGTTAATATATTTTTAAAATATTATATTTCTTGTAAATTTACAGAATATACTTGAGGAAATACTATTTTGAAAGAAAAAATGGACGAAGCTTTGGTAACACCTTGTGCATTTAAAGAAAAATTTGCGAAGCAAATTTATCGAGTTGAATTTTCCCCCTACGAATGGTCCCAACACTTGATTTGCATAGCACTGGATCAGGAGATTATTGTAGGCACAGTAAAATTTCAGGTAATTTGAATGAAATTCCACTCGCAGGATTTTATTTTTAACAATTAATTTTGATGAGAAATAAAAATGTTAATTCAGGAAGACGATGACGTTACGGAAGATGTTGTTTACACTCTTCTAAGAACATTTCATCACGAAACGAGAGTCCACGCAATCGCCTGGAGTCCGGAAACATCACTTACACTAGTTCCAAAAGTTGTTTCTTTCTGCGTGGCTGGTGCTGACTTCAAAATTAGACGATACAACAGCAATTTGAGTGACGAAAATACTTACGAGGTACAGTTGTGAATGAATGGTGGAAAAATTAAAATTTTTTTAAATAAAAGTTTAAAAATAATATCGTAGATTTTAGATGGACACAAGGACTATGTGAATGCCATTTCTTACGAACCTGAGGGCGACCTATTGGCATCAGTTTCCGATGATCATACTTGTAAACTGTGGGCAGTAAAGGAAGATGAACAGAAATGTATTTCGACATTTTGTCTCAATTCACCGGGTGTCAGTGTCTGCTGGCATAATGAGGAATCCGGAAAGTTACTCGTGGCGGAGAAAAATGGATTGATTCGAATGTTCAATGTGAGAAGTCAACAGGCAATTATGTCCCTTGACGCTGGAACCGTTCCTCTATCTTCAGCCGATTGGGGTCCAAATCCTCTGAAAGTCGTGTGCTTGGGTGCCGGAGAACTTTTACTCTGGGACGTATCTCGGCCGAGGTGAATATTTCTCCAATAATTAATCATTTTTTAACAAAATCTTTTTTACATTTGCATAGTTGATACTATTTGGAAAATGTTTTTCAGCCGACCAGTGGAAAGTCGAAATCTACACGTGGAAGGTGGAATAATGGTAAAGTTTTCTTTTGCAAGTGAAAATATTGTGGCGAGTATAGGACGGCCGGACAATCTTTTGAAAATCACGAATTTAAGTACAAAACAAGTGATTCTTTGTGGAAAGATTAAACTCTTTGGTGGAATGTCATGGCATCAAAGATTGCCCTACGTTTGTGTGGGAAACGATAGAGAACTTCAGTTTTGGAAGATAAACAATAAGTAGCAATTAGAAATATTTAAAAGCTCAAATACAGCTTTTAATAAAAATAGGAAATGAAAATAAATTGTCGGATCTTGCTATACATTTTTTTTATAACAGAAAAGATCAAATTATCTATAACAAGTGAAAATATATTTGTTGACTTAATTTTGATTGTTTGAAATTAGTCAACTTGTATTCAATGAAATTTAATAATGTTAATTAAAAAATGTAAGCCAGAGCTACTATTTAAGATTATATAATTATATATTTCTTTTGATATTTCAAACGTCGCGCTCGAACTGATGCGCAGAAAATTTGTACACATTTAACAATTTGAGGAAATAAAAAATGCCTTTTCTAAAATGTTTCCATTATTTGAAAAGAAAGCTGAAATCGACAATCGTAATAATAAAAATTTTTTTTTGAGATAATAGTTTCCTTTTTGACATTTAAAAATATTTTCGTTTAGAAATTAAAATTTTTAAACTGTTGTTTTGGCAACACTGATATACATATATACCGACCGAGTTTTAGCATTTTTTACCGTTCATTTTATAAAGTGGTGGAGGTGGAAGAAGACGCCACGCCGCTACATAAAAATTGAAAAGTTATATATTGATTTAAATGTTAATTAATAAGAGTTTTTGCAAGATAAGAGCAATAAGGTACATACATTTTGTTATAGAGGTTAGTAGAAACAATACTTATATTTCAATTCATATTTTAAGCTAAAAAAAGAATTTTAATTTTAGATGAGGTGGAGGCGCACGACTATAATAAAATCTTGTACAGCTATTTTTTTTAATTATTTTATAAAAATCAGTAAATACCTAGATGTAAAATTAGTACTTTTCAATACTTGTTATTTCTAGAATTCTAGAATAAATTTTTTACATTTTTTATTAAATCTCTACCTAACCTCACTTTCTTATAAGGAGGTGCCTCAGACTTTAATTATATACGTATACATATTTAATCCATTTAAATTAACTTTTTCTGCTCTCGCTGAAATATTGAATTTTAATCATAATGATCTATTTACAATTTTATCCAACTTTTATGTATATAAAAAATAAAAATTTTCTTTTTTTTTACAGATATCGCGTGACTGCCAAATTTCAAATCGTAATGGCATGGAAGACATTAAATTAAAGGATGAACATGCAGAAGGAGAAAACATAGCGTAAGTTTACTTTTTTGTTTAAAGTTTAAAACAAATAATTTTTAAATATTTTTTTTAAGTCCCTACTTTAATAAAATATTTTTCAACAGATATTGTGACTTCCAAATTTCAAATCGTAATCGAATGGAAGATTTTGAACATGAGAAAGCTAACAACAGGAGAAAAAGGGTAAGTTTTCTTTCTTTGAAAATTATACAAAATGAAATTAATTCAGTTAATGAAGAATTATATAAATTTTTAACATTTTTTTTAAACGTTTCTTGAATACCTTTTAAAAGATATACATAATATTCATAAATGAGTAAAATAAATAAAAAATAAAGCATACTTTTAATTATATTATTTATATAAAAAACTGAAGTTAAATCGTAGTAATGTGGAAAAATTTGAAATTAAACAAATTTCCGCTGCACTATCAAATCGTAGACTTGAAAGAAGAGAATAATAATGACCAAAGCGAAAAATTTATTAAAGACTAAGTAAGATTTATTTTGTGTTAGAGAAAACTTTTTCGAAATTTTATACTTTAATATTTGCATGAAGAAATATAGGTATTTCATGTTTGACTTTCTTTTTTTCAGAATTCCGATCCTAATTCAAAAATATTAGAGTTTTGTCATTAAATGGAAATGCAACTTTAATCAATTTTTTTCAAGAAGAAATTTTCAAATAGTTTTAAGGATTTAATTTTCACTGTAACCAATTCAAATTGCATATAATTTAATAATAATTCATACTATTTGAAATAAATTGAGATAACCATAATATTATTTCATTTGTTTTATTTATTCTGTGTAATTTACCCTTCATCTATACTTTTGTCATTATTTAAAAAATGTTTTCTTTTAATATGTCACGCACTCTATTTCTTTACACACATTTTATCGCAATATCAATAATTTTAATTAAAATAGGAAATTGTAATAGAAAAGAAGTTTATAAAAATTCAATGATTTTATTTCATTGCGTCATCACAAAATATAAAATGTATTAATTATACTAGTCAGTCATTACATAAAAGAAATATTTAAAAGTTGACACATTTATAAATAAGAAAACAATTTCCCTACCATTTATAATAATTCTAATGAATATTTTTTTTAAATATTAAAATAAAAATTTGTTGACAGTTATATTTGTATTACTTACAGTTTGTTAGGAAGTGCAACAGTCATTGAACAATTTCGGAGTGAGGAAAATAACTTTCTCAGGATCAAAATATTCTGGATCGAAATTACAACCGTCCATAAAGTAATTATTCAATTCTTCCTGTTCGTTTGTTGTGAGATTTTTTTTCTTTCGAAGATTTAACAGTTGCATATAACCGGAAGATCCGCCACAATTTTCTGGTGGACAAGCGCCTTTTCCATCGATACATTTTGGATAATTGACGTTTTTTTCAGCAATACTTATTTTGATTAACGTAATATCGTGCACCCAACCATCGCCCATGTCATAAATATAAAGCGCCTTCTTTTGATTGTCAACAAAATATTTCTTTATCTCGACATCATTCTCCCACATTGTCGATACACAAAAATTATCATCGCTATTTGGTTTTTCACCGATTATTTCACGTTTACCAGTTAATGAATTTCTCACGTAAAATTGATGCATATGCGAACCATACCATCCCATTGACGAAATAATTGCATCACTTAAATGACCGAAAGTGTAATTTTCTGGTACTTGAATTTGTCTCCATATAGTTGGTTTTATGTCTTTTAGAACAATTCTAAATTCGTAGATTTTTGCCTCAGTTGCGGACATTTTTTTCTACAAATCGAAATAGAATATGTATTAGATTGAAAAATAATTCTTCCATAATTATAAAAAAAAAAAAAAAAAAGAAAGAAATTATACATATTTTACACTCAAATAGGAAAACTTGTAATATTTACCTTTTACGAAGAGACGTGTACATTTATTGACCGCCAAATACCCAATAATAAGGAAGTACATTATTGTTTATGGTGATCCTTCTTGACGAGTTTTCAAAAATTCAGAGAAATTGAAATAATTTTATTAGAAGCACTTTCTTTTTTTCAATTTTCATATTTTAATGTAAGTCTATTAATTTTTCTTTTCTTAATGAAAAATAGTTGTAATAAAAATTAATACTTTTGGTCAAAATTTTAATAAGTGCCCATGATTTGCAGCCAAATTAATCACTAATTACAATATAAAATACATACTGTTAATAAAAAAAATAACAAAATTAATTTTGTTTTTATTTACATTTTATTACAAAATTTATTACAATTACAATTCAATGGTAAAAAAAATTTTAAAATACATTTAATGTAAAATTATTTTTAAAAATACCGCGTTCACATTAAACAATAAATATAATAGAAATCAACATCTCCTGGGTTAAAATACTCAGGATCAAAATCGTAGCCCATGTCTTCTTCCTCGGTCAGCTCTTCTTCTGGCTTTGCTTTCCTCTCCAGCATTTTCTGATAAATTTCCATCCCTTTACATTCTTCAGGTGGACACAAAGGATACAATTCCCCAGGAACAGCGGGTTAACTGTTACTGATATTAAAAAAATCCAAAAAATCCTTAATTTTTGTTTTTTTCTCGTCGAGATTGTCACAGAAATCGTCCACACTAGGTTAATTCTTCATAAATTAATACCTCACTATCATTCTCAGGATTTTCCATTTCAAAATTATGAAAATGAAAAGTAGTGCACTATTTGACCAGCCCATATGACGCTAATAATCACCAAATTTAATTTAATTTAATTTAATTTTCGCCATATTTTCGGTTCTATTCCCTTCAATGAAACTTGAAATTCGTATATATGTATATGGTATATATTTTTGTCCGCATTCTGAAAATTTCATTTATAATGAAAGTTTTGGTCTGATCCGTCGCTGAAGGTAGAGAAGACATACCGCAAATCTATAAAAATTATAATTTTTATTTGTTAAATAACCTTTTTATCCCAAAACACGTGTTTTAATTGTTTCAATTTGTTTTAATTACGCACCTTCTTTTTTAGCATTTCGAAATGGAAGACACGGTTGAAAAACAATTACTATTTACGGACAAGAATAAACAGGTTCTTTATGTAGCAGTTAGGTATAACAAAATAAACATTTTATATTAACTATTTTTTCTTTAAAAAAATAAGGCACAACATCAAGGGTGCCACCATTTATGAAAAAAGAACGTTTGTACAATCTCTTATTCACTTAATTAAATATTTCTACATTTCATCTCTAATCCATTTAGGTATATTTGCATCTTATTGCTAAACTAGACAAAAATCACAAAAATAAATAATAACAATTAGAATAAATTTAATTGTTAAAGAAAACAATTGAATTTATTATTATTTAAATTTAATTTTAAAATTAATTTTTAAATATACAAAAGGAAGGTTAATAAAAAAATAAATTGTTGAAATTGGTAGGTATGTACCTTTAAAGTTTTTTGAATCCTCTCTAGCTCTTAATCCCAATCATCCCAATCATGAACAGCAATTAAATCAACATCATCGGGGTCAAAAAATTCGGGATCAAAATCATCGCCCATGTAACAAACATCAAGTTGCCTCTCCTCTTCCTCGGTGAGTTCATCTTTTGGTTTTGCTTTTTTATCCAACAATTCCTGATACTCCTCGAACCCATCGCAATGCTCCGATGGACAAGCGCGTTCACCGCCAATGCAAACGGGATATGTTTTCCCAGGAATCTCTGGTAATATTCTCGTTAATTTCACATCGTGTTCCCAATGACAACCTAAATCGTATATAAATATTGCTCTACTATCGCTGTCAACAAATAAGTCCTTAATTGCTGTGTCTCTCTCGTCGAGAGTCGAAGAGGAATCTGTTGCAGCTGGATCTTCGCCAATTATTTCCGGCGAATCAGTTTCAGGATTATTCATTTCAAATCGATGAAGGTGAATCGGATGACCACTCCAACCAATTGCGTTATTAATCACTTGACTAAAATAGAAAAATGTATAATCTTCTGGAACTTGGATTTTTCGCCATATTTTCGGTTCTATTCCTTTTAGCGAAATTTCAAATTCATACACATTTTTTTCCATGCTTGGCATTTCATTTATGTATAGAATCGTTAATAAATTCCAACTAATTGTTATTGTAAACCTGAAAATTACAAATTTTACACTGATTACTTAAATTTATTTTTATGTTTTGAAATAAAAAATAATTTCAAAGAACAAAAAGCTTGTTTTGATGTTACAAAAATTATTATAAACAAAAAGGTACGTGAAAGTTAATATTTAACTTACTTTTTTTTCTTGTAAGAAATAAGACCAAAATACGCCTAAATTCTGTAGATTGAAAAATTCACATTTATTACCAGAGAGAGAAATGTAAAAACGGGAGCCTCAAAATCAAAATAAGACTTGTGATTGATTGCTGATTAAGCTAATATTAATAATAAGAAAGTCAAAATATTGTTTGTGGTGACGCACTTGTGTGTTTTTCATTTTATTTTGATTGTAATAAAAGTTTAAAACTATTGTTTTTCGTTCATTTAACAAACTTTTAGAAAAATTGAATAATATCTCTATTTCGTTAATTAAAATTTTCAATGTTTATTTACTTGTGAGACAAATTGATTGACAGTAACAAAAATATTAATTATTAATATTTAATGACCTGAACAAAAATTAAGAGGAAATGAAATAATTTTCATCTACTATAAATAATAATAAAACAATTTTATTTATTTTCATTTTAATTTTATTACAAAATTAGATAAATAATACTTAATACGTAAAACGAGAAACATTGTTAGGTATCTTTGGAATATTTTTCCTATTCACTAATAATAATAATAATAAACTCAAGATTTAGAGACAACGACGAAATAAAAAGGAATAATTTTAAATTCTGTCATATTAGTAAATACTAGTTTTGAAATAAACTAGTTTAAAAAAAAGGTAAGATAAAATCAACACAAAGCAACTTGGCGTTGAATGTAATAATAATAGTAATAAATTCTGTTGTCGAAAAATAAAATAATAATCCACTTGGAAATCTGAAATAAATAAAATATTTTTTTAATTGTGCATTATTATTACTGTTATTTTGTTAAAAATAAGTTTTCTATTATTGTAATTCTTTTTGTTGAATTAAAAAAATAGATAAAATTGAATGAGGAAAATTTATTACCTTTTAATCTTAATAATTTTGTTTATCTCATTCCAAATATTGAGAAAAAGTCAAAGACGCTGAAATCAACTTCTTTGGGATTGAATTCCTCGGGATCAAAATCGTCGTCCATGTGGTACCACTCGAGTTCCTCATTTTCTTCCTCTGTGCGCTCCGCCTTTGGCTTTGCTCTTTTCTCCAACAATTCCAGATAACCGCCCGTTCCTCCACAATCTTCGGGGGGACAAGCGCGTTTCCCGGCAATGCACACAGGGTATTCTTTTCCCGGTTGAGCAGGCACTATTCTCATCAACTGCACATCATGTTCCCAGCCATCTCCAAAATCGTATGAGTACAGTGCCTTACTTTTTTTGTTGATAAAAAAATCTTTAATTTTTGTTTCCTTCTCATCGAGACTCGTACATGAATTTTCCATATCGGGATCTTCGCCAATTGTTTCCTGACCGCCAGTTTCGGGATTTTTCATTTTAAAGTCATGAAGATGCCCACCAGCCCAACCCATTGCGTTTAGAATAGCATCACTCAATTGATAAAAAGTATAATCCTCTGGAACTTGAATTCTTCGCCATATTGTTGGCTTTATTCCCTTCAGAACGATTTTAAATTGATAAACATTTTTTTCTGAATTTAAAATGTTGTGAAGAATTTGCATGTTTTGAATATTTTGCAAATTTTGCAAATTTGGAACATTTTGCATGTTTTGAACATTTTGCATGTTCTGTTCAATATTTTGCACATTTGCCACATTTTGCAAATTTTCAGCATTTTGCAAATTCTGAAAGTTTCCCATATTTTGAAAATTTTGACTACTCTGACTTTGAGCCGCCGCCTGTGCGTTCAAAATTTCTGACATATTGTAAATCTGAAAAAAAAGTTTAAAATTAAAATTTTATTTCCTCAATTTTTTTAATTGTTTTAAATTAATATCTTTTTTAGTTGTAGGAAACGATTGAGGTGACAATATTTATTAATCTATCAAAATTATATCACAAATATAGATACAAAAAAAGAACTCTTCAATTAATTGAAGTTAATTTGTCAATTATATTCATAATCTATTTTCATTAGTTAATACATTTTAATTCGTAATACAATTTACCAACTGTATATGTCGAAAAATATTTTATAAATTCAGCACAATATGACAAACGTTTCCAAAAGCCGGCAACAGGATCAAACAAGATTTAAAACAAAGGAATCGCGTAACCTATAATTTCCAATTACGTTTCGCATTTAAAGCGTTTAAAACAAATATATTTCTGTTAAAAAAAATCAGTCTATTTTTCAAGAATTTATATTTTATAGTTTATCATCACTGTATAATTTAAGACAGTAGTATAAAAAGAACTAAAAGTATCTATTTCAAAACACGTTTTATTTTTATGTACTTTCTTCTTATCGACTTGAAATTGAAAAAAACGTTAAAAATTTATTTCTAATTACAGAAATGATCTTTAATGAAATAAAACAAAAAGGGTGTTTTCTACTATTAACATTATTGGTATAAACAAGTATAAATAATAATTATTCTACTTACTATAATTTTTTCAAAGAAATAAGAAACAAACTGCTACGACGAAATTCTCGAGAAGAGTGGAAATTTGTATGTGTGTGTGTTTGTTCAAAATCAGAGATAGAATCAGGGGCGCCACTTTTGTAAACAAAATAACGTATTTTTGAGACTTTTTTATAGCACAGTCTACAATAGAGACGATGATTAGTTTATGATTTTTTTGTTACATATAGTTTTATTATGGAGGAGTCTATTGAAAGAGGAACCTAATTGGTTAAATTATTTTTTCTTTTTTTTTAATTTTAATTTAGTCCAAGTTCATAAACATTATTTAATTGTAATAAAATTATTTTTTTTATAATCATAAATTTTTATTATCATAGAAAGGAATTTTAAAATTCAGGTCCACCAACTTTAAACTTTTGTAGTTTTTAAGGTGCGTTCACACCTCTGTCGGTAGAAAAAAAATTTATCGAAAAAAGTTGAAAACGCGTTCACAACTGCTTACAGGTGTTTCTACAATAGCTGCAAGTATTCAATCTGCAATTTTGCACAGTTTCAGGGGCCGTATTCTCGAATCGATGACCCTAGATGTCGCATGCGACAGACCATTCGAGATGGAAAAAGCTATTCTCGAACGCTTGTCGCATGCGAGATTTCATGTCGTATGCGATAATTTCCGAATGGTTCATCTCGAGTGGGTAGTGGCCATTCGAGATGCAAAGTCGTATACGAAATGCTAGTAAAAAATAAGGTTGTGTGTCATCCTTGTAATAAACGTATATAATATAAAGTAGTATTAGTGTACATGAACCGCATGCTAAAGTAGAAAAACTATACAAAATAACCTAAATGTAATGTTTAAGAATTAAAAGTAAACTTGTGAAATAAAAGTTTAATGTAAATAATTTATAATATGCAAAATTTATAATGGATAAATTGCACATGTTTGTGTTATTTTTGTGAATGAATCATGTTAACAATATATTTATTTTATTTTTTATTTTTTTTAATTTTTTAATCTTCGTTTCATTTTTTCTGTCTGTTCACACTTTAAAGTTAGTTTTTGTGTATGCTTTTGTTTTTTTCTTTACAAAATATTGTTTCACAAATTGAAAGTATGGTCTTTTTTAAGATTTAAAATAAAATAAAATTTAAAATTATAAAATTACAAAAAATTTTGATTAACAAATAAATTTTCTTTTTGCAAAAATAGGAAATATATATATTTATTAATTAAAATTATGCATAATATAAAGGGATATATCCCTTTATTATGCATAATTTTAATTTTTCAATAACAATATTGTTCACAAACTGATTCTTTTCTTTAAAAAAAAAATATTACATATTCCAGTTTCTTAACATTTTTGTAAAAAATTCTCAATTTACAAATGCTAATATTAAAACTTTAATATAAAAAAAAATGTTGTTACATTTATTTACGAATTTCTTTAATTATAAAATTATTCGTAATAATATCAGTAACTTCTATTTAAATAAATATTTGATTGTTATTATTTTTTCATTATTTTATTACATTTAAAAATAATTAAATTTTTGTAATCATTTTGTAACGTACGTCTACAAAATTCAATGTATTTAGTGTTTTTAACTAAAATTCTTCTATAAATTCATTATTTTTAATAATTAATTAAATATATATTGCCAAATATAACTAATTTCAAAAGAATTTGAATTATCAAAATTTTAAATTAAATTCATTCAAAATTAAAATTTTATAAAATTTCAAACTGAAACCGCTTAAAGTTAATTTGTTTATAAAAATTGTAAACGCAAAATTGAATTGATTTTGAAATATTTAAATGAACGGATAACTATTTGTATTTTTCTCATATGTCAAGTTCTCTTCCTCCTCAATTATGATTGGCAGATAAGTATTTGGAAACGACGGCAACAATGTATGAATGTCGCACACGGAAATTTTCGAACAACCTATCTCGAACGGTCATTGAGAATAGACTTTCAGAGTCGCATGCGACATTAACCATTCGACATTTTACGCATGCGAGAATTGTCGAATGCTTTCGAGAATACGGCCCCAGGTCTCACCTTTATCTAAAGGTGAGTTCAGAATACCCAGTAAACTGGGCTAATTTTTCTCGGACCACCAATGATTTCACCTTTACATTTTGTTTGATTTTCAACAGCACATGTGCTTTGGCTGTATTGTAGAAAAGCATATAACAATTAACAATAAAACAAAATTGTCGAAGAAAATAGTTTTTACTTTTTTGTTGCTTTTTGTTGACATTTGTGTTTATAAGCACAAGTATATAATATACGATATAAAAGCCATAATTATATTCAAATTATCATGGTACACATGAAGGTATGTTAATACAGAAATTCAATTGATTTATAATTAGAAAAATAACGTTGTTTACAATACACATAAATATTATTTTTGTTTACAAAATTTAGAAACAACCTAGAAAAACGCGACGTCAGTTGCAAGCAGAGAAATTGTCAGAAGCTAAAAAATTGACTAACAAAGCAAATTCTTTGGAAGCACCTCTTCCAAATTTATTTCAAAAATTTACATCTAAAGACGAAATAAATTTCGATATTAGCTGTAGTCGAGCAAAGGATTTGCCAACTGAAACTTGTTCGTGGATAATGGATCTTATGGAAAGAAACATGAAAAAAAGTTATGAATCATCATCCTGGGGATGGAACGCAGATAAAAAAAGACAGGAATTGTTTGACTCTACAGCTTGGCAGTTGGTTGCGAGCACCAACAGTGTCTATGTTGGCTTTTCTCATTTTCGATTCGACGTAGACGATGATAGAGAAGTTTTATATTGGTAGGCACTATTATATATTTTTTAAATAATTTAATAGATAACTGTTTAATTTGAAACTTTTAAAAGTTTACCTATATTTTTAGTGCTTAAAAGTTGAACTTTTTTCATCTTTTAGTTACGAACTGCAATTAGAATCTTGTGCAAGAAGAAAAGGACTTGGTCGATTTATGATGCAAGCATTAGAATCAATGGCCTTACAAAATAAAATGCAAAAAGTAGTTTTAACTGTATTTAAAAGTAATACATCAGCAGTTGCATTTTTCCATAGTCTGGGGTAAGTTTCAAGCTATATTTTTAAATATTATAATATTATAATACCTAATAATGGTAATTATTATTAATAAGGATAGTGTTAGCGAATTATTAATTTTCAGTTTCATTCTTATAAATTCATTTTATTAAAAATGCATTCTCCAATTTCACGCATTCACATACACAATAGTAAATAAATTACTCACAGTAGACACAAGTTTCTGAATTTCAATTAAAAAAAATTCAAGCAATTTGTGTATTCTAATTTACGCATAAATGAAGAATAAATTTTTACAGTCGTTAAAACTCTACGAGTACCTAACAGAAATTTTTAAAATACGTGACAATAAAATGTTTGAATATGAAAAAAAACGGAAATCTAATACATTTATACTATGAATATAAGATACTGAATTTATATCTATATATACAAGTCAGTGTGTAAAATAAATAAATTTATATTTTAATAATAGAAATTAGTTTGGCAAATTGAAACTAAATTTTCTCATTTTGACCTAAATACTGTTGCAGTTACAAACTGGATATCACGAGCCCCAACGATGAACATTACGTGATTTTGAGTAAGTTATGCAGAGATTGAACTACAGCATTACAAACTTTTATTGAATTCCACTTGAATTACTTTTTAATGTTTGTTTACTATGAATGAGATCTGTAGGAAAGTGTTGCTAAAACTTGATGCGGACAAAGATGAACTAAAGACGATTTCTTCGTTACTCCAACATTATGAAAAGTTAAGGGAGCTTCACTTAAAGTCCAGTGTTCCGTAAAATTCAAAAACCTATTCAGATCAATTTGACCACTTTTGGAAATTTTAAATCTACTTTCAAGAGACTCTCCAACACAGTAATGATCAAGAGCCTGACGATGAAGAACCATTCCAATACCTTTTCCTGCACCTTCAGGAACAGAAATAATCCGTAAGCTGATGACATTAATATCGGAAGTAAGATCAAAAGAAAGAGGGGAAAAGAAGGCTTTCAGCTCAAACGGAAGAGTTGAACGTGGATGCAAAGCAACAATTGGATGAAGAAGTTCTTCGGAAGATAAATGAGCTGCAAGGGATAAAAGTCCTGAAGGATGATCCTCTGCTATATGAGAACAAGGAGAATTCAGTCTTTCAACAATAACACTAAACAGATGATTTGTCAATAAATTATCCGTAACGCCTTGTCCTAAACCTCGATTATCATCCTGCATTAGTCGTCGGTCTTGCATTATCTGCAAAAAACAAATTGTATGTATTTATAATTAATTTCAAGTAAAGTGTGAATCTTCTTTATTAAAACAGTTTTTAATTTTTACTTCAAATTGTCCTGAATCCATGGATGATGCTCCTAAAGGTGTGGCGGTGAGAATTGTTAATCTCACGCGTTTATCTTGAATATATCCTGCTGAGGCAAGAGGATAATAGTTTCCTTGAATTGGAATCTTTGAAAATCGTTGTCTTCGTATCATCTGAAAATAAATAACAGTAAGTATTTCATTTCTCGTCAGGAGTTTATTTATTTATTTATTTATTTATTCTTACATTGAGTCCATTGAGATCCGTGAAAAATTCATCTTCCGACGCAATGTCTGTGTGCAATCTCATTGCAAGCTCAAAATTGTGCGTCTCCGAAATGTCAACCTTATTCATAATCTGCAAACCAAGTCCATCGCTTCCTGGCGAATTGAATAGCGTACAAGTGTGTCGCACGTAGGGAAATTCAACAAAAACTCTCGATAAAAGAGGACCGGTGACTAGATGAACAATTTGATTGTTTCCCGTTGACACCAAGTCGGGTTTTGGCTTGTCTGGCAGAAATAGATAAGCGCCGCTCCTATCCTGACCCACATCTCTCGTTCCATACTTGACAAATTCTAAATGTACTGGAATCGTCAATTTGTCAACGCGCAAAGCCTTCAAGAGACCCGATTGTCCAAAGGAGGCGGAAAGATTGGAATTTTGACTTATTGAAAAGTCCTGAGTGTTTGAAATTATTTGTGGACTATTGAATTCGGGGACGCCGGAGAAAGACAGCGTTGCATTGGACGGCACGTAAAGAATCACCTTTGCCAGGTGTACTTCTCTGAAAAAGAAGAAATCACTTTTGGAATCGGGAGAGAAAGTTGATTACTATAATACTTATCAACAAAACGTTGCTTACTTTGGCAAAGTATTTCCAGATACGGTATGAATTATGTAGGTGGTCAGTCCAAATCCTGGAACAGTTATGAGGAAAGAGAGCTCGAATCGTGTAGTCGAAATAGTTGCCGGACTAACCCAAGTTGGTGATATTTGACATTCTACCGGTCGACCCATTCGATCTGTCACTTTTGCTCTGGGTACGGAAATTAAAATCCTCTGAACTTGAGTTCTTTCTCTTGGTAGGGAATTGTAGAAAATAACTTTCTTTGAAGAGTAGTCTTCTCCAAGAATTAACACTTTTTTCTTACCCACACTCGTATGATGCGATCTACAATTAAATGCAAATTTAATGTTTATTTTCATTCAACAAAAAGTCGCTTTCATTTAACGTACCGAACTTCATCTAGAGTAAAATATGTTTCGTCCGAATTGACTTGATAATTCGGGGGGATTTTCAGTAAATGTGCCACCGATTGCTGAAGAACGTGGGCTGAATTATTTAAAGCTGCTATCATTTTTTGCGCATAATCAACAACAACATTGTCTCTTGCAGTTCCAGTGACTCCATCGTGGTGTTGAAATAGAGAATGCCACTTTCTGGCTTCACTGATCTTTGAAGTAATTTTTTCCTCTGCTAATTGATCATATCCCTTTATCCAAGCAATTGTTGATAATAATTCCGATCCTCGAATCGATCCTAAAAGTACTCGGTCCAGTCGTTTATGAAAAGGTCTGCAAAATAATAATGTATTATTATCAATAGTATCATTATCAATAAAATTTAACATACCTGGAGGTGTAATATCCGCTCCAATAATGATCATCTCTATCGGCATATGTGAAAAAGTCCCCAGAGAGACTTGGAAATTCATTACTAGCCTTTGATTTTCTCACTGCATTGAAGTAATCCGTGAGAGTTCCAAACTGAACTTGACTATTCAATTGCTGATTTTTGTTTATATAATCAAACAGCTTCTGATAATTGTCGTACTGTGCATCCCACTCTAGTGACTAGACATAAGATTTAAATATTTAGGATTTAAATATCTATTTATTTCCTTTATTTCTAATAATAAGAAATGTGCCAACCTGTGAATATCTGAAATCGTCTCCCAATGGAACAAGAAGAACATTGGTTCTGTATAGTTGGGCCTTCTTTCTATACTGATCCAATAAAAGATTTGCACGCTCAGCAACATTTGCCTTTGTTATTGATTTTGGATTCACTTTCCAAGGACACGTGACACCGAAATTCAACAGACGTAGGAAATCAAACTGACAGCAGACTTTGGGGTCGGGTCCGCAGGTGTGTGGAACATCGTAGCTGTAAAAAGGCATCATGTGAGTAAACAGTTCTGTCGAACCTTCATTGTCCCACAATTGTCTCCAATTAAATTCCAAATTCTTCTTCTTTGCAAGTTCTTTTTTCACCGAGTAATGAACCCTCTGGATGACGAGGTTCTCCAATTGAGCACCTTTATAGAGAAGGGGCATCGTTGGCGACAGGCCGAAAGGGTCGATGGTCCATCCACTGCTCGGGACGTAGTCGAGATTGGCCTTCAACCACTGATGGCCCTCCGTTAACTGAGTCAACTGAGCTATCCAATGAGACACTGATTCGTCGGGCATCACCCAGCCGCCAGAAACTAATTCCAACTGACCATCATGCACGAGTCGTCTCACTACTTCTTTGGTATCTATACTCTGTTCGTCCCACCTACAAAATAAACAATCAATGACTGCAGGAAAATTACTGCAGTAAACATAAAAAAATCTCTTAAACTTCATACCACATCTTGAAATATGACATTTCCGCCCAAATGAATTTTCGTCGTTTATCTTTCGCCAAGTGCGTCACCATATTATTTAAAATTCTTTGAGTTTGAAAAGTGTAATAGTGTTCGAAGGTACTAAGCCAGCCAGGGTCATTGTGTGAATGAGGAACGACAAAAACTTTGAGCTTTCTATTTCTGTGCCATTCCTTCTCGTCATATGTAATATTCCACCCCTGCTTCCAAACTCCACCGTTGGGATTGTCGAATTTCAGCTGCTTATAGACATTTAACATTTGAATAGCGACTCGGGGAGTTTTTGTCATGTCAAAGTTATTACAAGTTGAAGTCTTATCTGTGGGATTGCTTAATAAACTATTTGGATCAGCTTGTAATTCAGCTGCGGAATAAAATACTCGTTCCTTCACTTGAGGATCCGTTTGACGACTTGTAACAGCGTCGTGGTGATGTTTCCATTCTTTTTCTAATTTTGCAAGCCTATTTTCCAAATACAACCATTGATTCTGTAAAAATGTTATTTTATAAATATGTTATTTACTTGTAGCTTTATGAAATTACATATTCTTTAAGTGTATAGAAATTTAAATCTTACAAGCATAATTAGAAAATATATTTGAATGTAAAAATTCTTACGTCTTTTACAGAATTTTTGAATTCATGTCCCAGAGGAAAAAGTGTCACATCTAACATTAAATAAATCATAACACAACAGGCAATGAGTAATCCAGCTACCAAAGCTGCAATAATTTTTCTAATCTTCATATTTCTTTTTCTTCAGTTTGACACGTCACTAACATTTAAAAAATATGTTCCAAAAGATTATACATATATTCTATAATTTTTTAAATAATGGCAATAGTACTGAAATAATTCAAGTATGAAAATTCCACGTACAATATATTTATAAAAATAGATGACATGCAGAATTCCTTAATTTGTTTTTGTGTTCTAATAAATTATTTGGAGTCAACATATTTTATCATGATTTTGTTTTACAAACAAAACAAGATAATTATATTTTCCCACGTCAATGTGTATTTTGTACACTTTGTATAGTTTTTATACATATAAACATGCTCTAGTAATCTAGTTACAATTACAAGTGACGTTTTTCGCTTCCATGTGATATTACCTTTATAGTATATGCATTCATAGGCTATGTTCACAATAGGATCTTTTTTGCTGCTTACAAATTTTCTCCTCATATATACTTTTGTCCTTATTGTACTCATTGTTTAACGTAAAAACGCAGCGTTAGAACGCAAAAAGCATGTAAAAAAGTAAAGGTGCTTTTTTACCTACAGCTTTTGGTCCATCGACTGAATGAATTTTTTTTTACATAAAAGCAGCTGTAGAAGTACCATAATTGAGAAATATTGTTGGATATTTCAATGTTGCCAAAATAAGAGAAAAAAATTAATTTTCATAATTATTATTTTGGTAGAACTGACTTTTGACATTTAACATATGTGTATAGTTATACACACAACACACAAGTTTTATTAATAATAAATATTAAATTATTTATATTAATAATTAAATGTATCATACATACAAAGTAATCAAATACTTAACAAATTTATGTTACTTTTAATAAAATAATGAATAAAAATTTAAAAATTATTTTAATATTTTCATTGTAAAAGTGAATTAGAGGAGAGATTAAAAATAATTAAGTGCACAGTCAAGTGAATTTAACCTCAAAATGCCTGGTGAACCATCAGCAGGAGGAAAAACGTCCGGTAAGGTGAAAAGAATTTCCATTCCAAGGGTTCAAAGCAGCACCGAAACTGAACTTCAATCTCAGCAAAGTGGCGGAACTCCATTACAACCAACTTCTTTACAATATGCAAGTTTTCGACCTGATCAAGACGAAAGTTCAATTCCTCCGAGTTTAAGATCCAGGTTGATGGATCTTTTTCAGCAAATTGAGAAGGAATTTGAAATTGTTTGCGCCGAAAACATTGGTTGTAAGTAGAGAAAACATTTTAATTTGCGTCTAACAATGAGATTCGGTAACTAATTATTATGCATTGTACGATTGAAAATTCTAGTACAAGAAAAGATTGATGTACTGAATGAAAAACTGGAGCGAGAATGTTATGGATCTGGCGAGAGGAGCTTGCCAATCGGAGATTTTACGGATTATTCGGATGCAAAGAATTTCGCCAAACAAAAATGTAAGTTGTTAATGAAAAACTAGAATAGTGGGTGTTTTATCTGAATCCATGATTTCCACATTTATTGTAATAAAACAAAAGTGATCATTTGCTTTAGTTTTAATTTTATTTCAACTTGGTTTTTATCTTTTAGGAATAGTAGTAAATTAAGGTATAAATCGTCAGTTGAATTTGTCAGCAGGTGGAGGTTCTGCTCAGAAAGTGAAAGCATCACATAAACTTCGAGCTCAAACTAGTAAAATAGTGTCTAGTTTCAAGAACCCGACAATGACTTGCAGCATGCAGAAAGAGTATTCCGGTCACCGGGATGGAGTGTGGGAAGTGTCAGTGGGAAGATCGGGCCAACCGATAATAGCTACAGCCTCGGCAGATCACACGGCTCGAATTTGGGGAATCGAGAGTGGAAGGTGTCTTCTGCAGTACATTGGTCACACTGGTTCTGTGAATTCAGTTCGATTTCATCCGACGCGAGATCTGGTTCTCACGTCAAGTGGAGACAATTCCTCGCACGTGTGGCAGGCGGCCGTCAACTGGGACATGCCAAAGAGACTTCAGTCCTCTGCGGAAGACTTGTCCCTCGTCACTGGCGAAAGATCTGCTGTCGACGATCAGGAAGAGTTACCGCCAATCTTGCGGACTCCAGTCAGAGAACTCGTTGGGCATTCAGGCGTCGTTATGGCTTCCGACTGGCTCCCTGGCGCGGAGCAAATTGTCTCTGCTTCTTGGGACAGAACTGCCAATCTCTACGATACTGAAACTGGAGATGTCATACACACGTTGTGCGGACATGACAGGGAACTGACGCATGTCTCGACGCATCACGCCCAACGACTTTGCGTCACTTCCAGTCGCGACAGCACTTTTCGACTCTGGGACTTCAGAGAGCCCATCCACTCGGTTTCTGTTTTCCAAGGACACACTGAGTAAGTTAATATACCAGAAAATAAGTACTAAGTCTTGTTTATTCTCAACAATAAATAAAAGAATAAATAAACTCTTTCGCTTCAGAGCTGTAACGTCGGCAGTCTTTACAAGAGAGGATAAGATAGTGTCGGGGTCGGACGACAGAAGTGTCAAAGTGTGGGATCTGCGAAACATTCGCAGCCCACTGGCGACGATTCGCGGCGACAGTGCAGCGAACAGACTGGCCGTCTCGAGTGTGGGCGTCGTCGCTATTCCTCACGATAATCGGCAGATTCGGCTGTTCGATATGAGCGGACAGCGTCTGGCGCGGCTTCCTAGAACAAGCAGACAGGTGAGTTAGTTTGATGGCATCGATGCGAGCGATTCCGAATTAAAATGGTTCGGTAAATTCTAGGGACACCGGAGAATGGTGTGCTCCGTGACTTGGGCAGAAGACACGGGGTCGTGCAACCTCTTTTCATGCGGATTCGATCGCCTCGTGTTGGGCTGGAGCGTCGTACCTGTGAAGGATGTTTGAGGTCTTCCACTGTTTCGGGTCAGCTTTGTACCGACGTGACATTGGAGGGTGGCGACTGGGGCATTCCGAATAAGCCGCTTGAGACGCTGCTATGTGCCAACAAACCCAAAATTAACACGATCGACGATCCGCTCTTTCGACTATCGCTTACCACTGAGAACAAAGAACGTTACTGAAATTAATCAAGTTAAGTAACTGCATAAAAAATGTTACTATTAGGTGCTCGTTATCAATTAAATTCTTGAGACATTGAGACATTGATTTTAGTTTCACTTACCAGAGTAGGCTGTTAGTAGACACAGTAATTCGTAACCGTAAATAAGAACATTATGTAATTTTGGTGAATTATGTTTCCACACAATTCCCAACAATCCTAGTAAATTTGGAAATCGGCCAATTACTAGAGCTTTCACCAAGTTTATTGGTTTATACGTTTGAGGTCTTCTACCAGAAAGAAGCCACCGCAGCTCCATGCACAGAATAATTGTCAAGATGAAAGTGCTTAGAGACAGAGTTGTTTGAATTAGTAAAATATAAAGACTTTTCTCACCCTATAAACATACGAAAAGGTCTAAGTAGTTTTCAATTTTTATTCAATGATAACAATTATCATGTACATATATACAACATGTATATTCCGCATTTAAAATGTGTATTTAATTTTATTTAGAAATCTATGTATTGAGACGTTTACCTCAAAATAAATGTTTATTGTTAAAGAAGAGAGTTGTATTTTATTTTATCATCTAAATATTTTAATAATTAAAATAATTATTTACCTCAAACACGTCGTTACCCTGTGCGATGTAAAAAGAAAAAGGAGTTGACAAAATAGAAGAAGCAACAGATGTATTAACAGCAAACCATTTTTGAAACGATTCACCCAGAATTAAAACCATCATTAGCTTCCAATAAGATTTAAAACTGCTATTATAAAATAAGTGACGATATGCCGATTTTTGGAGAAGAATCAAATCTAGAAGGACAATTACTGGATCATACTCTATATATTTGTCAGCCAAGCATCCACATGTACTCTGAAACACAATAGTCATTAAGATAATTCCATATGAAAAAGTTAATGAATCTTTATTTTCTTTTCAACTTACACACTTTAAAACTTTCAAGACACTCGGACTGTAACGTCTGTACAGTTCCGCAACTTCGGCTCCGCAATTCGTACAAGTGTACATTTTTTACCCTGAAATATATCAAATTTATTATAATTTTATTGCCTGTTTACTATAATCAGGAAAGCCAGATTTTAATACATGTTTAAAAATGTCAACAGATTCGCAATTTTAAACAATTTGCACAATTTCTCTATATTATTTCGAGACAAATTTTTTACACGGAGGATTTCGCGCCAAGTGATCCGAGCCGTCCGAGCCTAAATAAAAATACATGAGATCGGGCTTAAATTTAAACAAATATTAGACTTTTTACAAATTATTTTTATATGTATATGTTTTATTTCATTTTAGTTTCCAAAAAACATAGACAAGCAAGTAGTGTGAAATTTCAAATAATATATAATAATTTATGAATTAATAGAAAAATCTATAATTAGAAAATTTTTATGTTTGACGGATCATTATAAAATTCCCTGATTATCTAACGAATGCATATAATTGTGTTTGCCTTGAATGCAAATAATTGACAATGATGCATAACGAAGGTTGTTTTGTAAATGATATTATTAATAAAAAGTTTGTACAATGTAGGTACATACCTGAGCAGCCTTGCCTTTAAAAAAATGTGAAAGTCTCTGCGAGATTGAGATTGTTTTCAGAATAGTGGTAAATATGTATAGTGGGGAAGAGATGAGCGGAAATGTTAATCAGTCGAGCTCCACTGACTGAACGCAATACATTAAATATTTTACGGATTACTTTTAACGAATAAGTATAAATTATGGCTTCGACAATTAAAATTAAATTACCTAATGGTAAAGAAATGCCAGCATTGGGATTTGGAACTTGGCAGGTATGTTGCAAAAAAATATTCTCTGCAATTCTAAATAATTATTTTTAATGCACTAATAAACAATATTTTAATTACTATGTACTGAATTTTAATCAAAATTGAATAATGTAAAATTCCGTTCAAAATTTTATTTAAATCTGAATGTATACATTTAAATATTATTCTAATATGCATTCAATTTGAGGGAAGAAAAATTATTAAAATATACTAACAAGACTACTATTTCTACTGTTTTAAATTATATAGAAATGAATGACACAGATGTTTTATTTCTCATATCATTCTTCTGATAATATCAATTAATCTCAATTACTATACATATACTTTTAAACACACACGTTTTGAAAAGTTACTTTTTTCTCCACTGTATTTATTGAAATAAATAAATAAATAAATAATTTAATATTTTTTAGGCAACAGAGGAGGAAATTACATCAGCTTTGGATGCTGCTTTGGAGGCAGGCTACAGGCACATTGACTGCGCCACTGTTTATAACAATGAAAAGGCAATTGGGAAAACTCTAAAAAATTGGATAGACTCGGGCAGAGTTAAAAGAGAAGAACTTTTCATTGTTACAAAGGTAAATAATATTAAAAAATAATTGACAATATAAATAAATAAGTAAATAAATATCCTTTTTTGAATCTCGAAGCTGCCACCACCAGGCAATCGACCAAGTGGAGTGGACAAATGGCTGAAGAAATCCTTAAAAGACCTGCAATTGGACTACCTGGATATGTATTTAATACACACGCCATTTTCATTTAAAGAAGTCGAGGGAGATTTACACCCTGTGAATGAAAATGGAGAAATTCAGTTGGACATGACGACCGACCACGTAGCAGTTTGGAAAGAAATGGAAAAGCAAGTTGTCGCGGGAAGAACGCGTGCCATCGGTTTATCTAATTTCAACATCTCTCAGATAACGAGAATTCTCAATGTAACTACAGTTCCAGTTTCCAATCTTCAAATCGAACTGCACGTCTACTTTCAGCAGAATGAACTTGTAATATTCCTCTGTCACTATTTATTATTGATATTAATTTTACTCACGAATAGACAAAATTAAATTTTTATTTCTTCATTAAAGGTTGCGTTCTGCAAGGAAAAGAGCATTACCGTGACAGCCTATTCGCCGTTGGGTTCTAGAGGACTTGTCAAGCTTCTGGGCAAAACGGAAAGTCTACCGGACCTGCTGATGAACCCTGTGGTCCAAGAAATTGCAAAAACTCTCAACAAAACTTGCGCCCAAATACTGCTTCGTCACATTATTCAGAAAGGTGTGGCTGCAATTCCAAAGAGTACTACTCCGAAAAGAATTCAGGAAAATATCCAATTATTCGACTGGCATCTGAGTGCTGAGCAAGTTGAAAAATTAAACAATTTAAATCAAGGACAAAAGGCACGTGTCTGTGATTTCATAAGCTTCTTTAAGGGCATTGACAAACATCCGGAATTTCCATTTTAATGAATTATTTTTTATCAGTATAATGTCAAGATTTGACAATTTAATTGCGATACTTGTTAAATAAATATACTACATAAAATAATGGACAAAGCATTTATTAACAACCTGCTTACAATACATTTTATACAATGAATTCAAAATTAGATTTGTTTATAGTGTATGTTGTCATGGTTATTAAACAAACAAAGATATGTGTAAATAGCAAAAAATCAAAATTAAAGATTCATTGCATTATAAAAGTAGGTATACAGTTTTTGAAATTTAAAAAAAAAATTGTTTCAAATTTAAAAATTATTTAACAAAAAGGATAGGTATACTTGTAAATGTAAATTTTTAACATGGAAAATAATAATATTTACAAAAGTGATTGCAAAAATGATATCACATAAAATCAATTACATCTTTAATGCAAGAGTTGAACAAATTATTCCAATCCTAGATAAGCGCACTTGAGATATTAATTATTATTTTCTCAAAAGAATAAAAACAAGTTGTTCATTTCATGACCATTTAGCTTCCTCAACATATAAAATATAAATTCGTGACGTAATTCACTTACAAAATTCTAGCTACCTCCTCGCGGTGCATCTTGGAAACAATATCATTAAATTCTTTATTTCAAGCTTTATTAAACAATTTCAATAAATTCAAAAAATTAAAAAATTTTAAATGTACTTTGATGATATTGGCTAAAATCCAATCAAACATATAAAATATTTACTAAAGTTAATAATATATTCATTACTTCATTTTAGGTACAAATCTCCATGAAAACCAAATTATGATTTTTCAAAAGCATAACAATCAAAGCATACATTCTTCTTAAGGAAATTTCTTTTTGATGCAGCAAGATATATTCATAAATTAAATGTAATTATATTGCGGTTTGCAAACTTTTGCAATTCGAAATGATTCGAATTTTCTGTTGTTGAGTCGATTAATGTTCGGTTCGATTAAATACACACCTCTATTTCATATGCAAATTGCTTCTTTTTTTATGATAGAATAATCATTTAAAAATATTAATATTAAATAAATTATGAAAAAATACAAAATTTGAATTTTTTGTGAAAAAGAAAAATTTCTATTTTGCTTATTGTGACTATTAATTATTAGAAGATTAAATTCAACTGTGCTTATAGTTGAGAACTTTCTTGTATTACTTTTCAATGCGTTTAAAATTAGATTCATGTCTCCATGGTTACTTGTGTTTTTTTAAGTAAACATACACAACTCTACAAGAAAAATTGAAATGCAACTTCATTTCATTCCACGCCAACAAGTAAACCGTTCAGTGCTTTTTATTTTTATTGACTATACTATTCTAATTGATCTGAAAATATGGCTTTAAATCTAAAACTCGATCTACCAAGTGGATATGAAATGCCAGTTTTGGGATTTGGAACTTGGCAGGTAGATTTGTATTAAATTTTCATTATTTATTTGAAAGTGACGTAAGTCGATGAATTACCTATTGATTCTGAAAAATGTTAAAAAAATATAAATATTTCTATTTTTCAGGTAGCTGAAGAGGAAATTATACCTGCTTTAGATATTGCTTTGCAAGCGGGCTACAGACATATAGATTGTGCCGCTTACTATCAAAACGAAAAAGCAGTGGGAAAGGTTTTAAAAGAGTGGATCGATTCGGGAAAAGTTACAAGAGAAGAGCTCTTCATCGTTACTAAAGTAATAATTAAAAATTTAATTTATACATATATATGTAATATTCAAATCTTCATTGTTCAATTCAACATTTTTAATATTCTTTTCAAGTTGCCTCCCACAGGAAATGATGCGAATAAAGTGGAAAAATGGTTGACAGAATCTTTGGAAAACTTGCAACTGGACTACTTGGACATGTATTTAATTCACAACCCTGTTGGATTTGAAGAAGTTGAGGGAGAACTATATGCACTAGATGAAAATGGAGATGTTAGATTGGACATGTCAACTGATCATTTGGCTCTGTGGGCCGAATTAGAAAGACACGTCGAGGCGGGAAGCACTCGATCAATTGGTGTATCCAATTTCAATGAATCTCAAATAACAAGAATTCTTGATTCCTGTAAGATACCTGTTTCAAATCTTCAAATTGAGCTACACGTTTACTTTCAACAAAACGATTTAGTGAGTATTTTAATTTTTGAAAACGAAAAAAATGTTGAGAAATTAAATTATTAATCTCTCCTGTTGTCCAGGTTGCATTTTGCAAGGAAAAAGGAATTGCTGTCACTGCATACTCTCCATTAGGCTCGAGAGGAACTGTCAGACTTTTAGGGAAAACAGAAATTCTCCCAGATTTACTGCTAAATTCAACTGTCCAAGAAATAGCGAAAAAGCACAATAGAACTTGTGCTCAAATACTGCTTCGCCATATTCTCCAAAAAGGTGTAGCAGTCATTCCAAAAAGTCAAAATCCAGAAAGAATATACGAAAACTTTGATGTGTTGGATTGGGAACTTGATTCAGAAGACGTAATAGAATTGGATAATTTGGATAAGGGACCTGAGGCAAGAATTTGCGATTTCGCCGCTTTCTTTAAAGGTTTTGAAAGGCATCCTGAATGTCCGTATTAAATTATTATTATTATTATTATTATTCTCTTATAAATGTTATTACTGTGTTGTTATTGTGAATTACAAAAATGTATTTTAGCTTACACGTATTTATTAATTGTTGTTAATGAATATAGATATACGCATTATCTTGCCAAGTGCGGTAAATGTATTACTGCGTCGCATTTCAAAATATATATAATTATGTACTTTGTAAAGTTGTTATAATAAATATATGCTTTATTTGGAAAATTATTTATTGATACGATAATAAATTTTAGGTTATATTTAACGTTTATTACATATATAACATATATTGATATAATGCATAATTATGTACATGTACACTCATTAAAGAAATTAATGTAATAATAATAATAATAATAATAATTGCAATTTTCAATCAATTATTTACACAGAATAGGTATAAAAGCAGATGAATAAATATAAATAGAAAAAACTTACCTCTTTTGGAATTTATAAATTTATGTAAAGAATTAAATTTCTTCCATCAAGTTAAAATCGTATTTATCTACTTTTTAAGAATGTCATGTAATGGTCATGTAACAATTTAAAAACAATTATCAATAATGCATTAATGCAAGGAATTTTCTTTACACGTGGAAAAATGAATGTCAATATCGTCAATATAAACAATGTCAAAAGCTCGCAGCCATCTTTGCTTATTGCTTGCGGGAGGGGATAGTGCACAGCGGTATTTTTTAAATTTAAATTTCCTGAGAATCAAAATTCCTTTTTTGTAATTTACCAAATGCAAAATAATGTCAAATACTTTTCAAAGGATAAATTGTTGAATATTACTATCCCGTGAAATTTCAATGAAAGGTTTTGTTTTTACAATAATAATATTAATTATTAGGTTTTCAAATGTATGAATATAATTATAAAAGAGATGTGTCACTTTTGAATAATATAAATTGGTATTTAAAAAATATTTGGTGAATCGATATCGATATAGTGTATATAAATAATCAGATTGAATTTGGGCGCTCGTGCTCTACGTACTATTGTCTGTCTGCCCGATATTTACATCCAAGGGTTCTAAGTATTACTGGATTAGCCGCGACCCCTGTGGCTTTTTGATTACGATTTGCTCGAGTGCACTAGTGCATCTGCCCCCTTATAAAGAACACCATAGGTTCACAGTATCAATTACATTGTTGTTATTAGGTAGCAAAAGATCTGGCCGCAGATAAAAGAGCAAAACACAAAAGGACAGGTAGTCCCCGCTTTCACTTGCGATAATCATCAAGAGCAACTATGCGACTAATTCAGATTCGTTTATTGTCGAAACGAGCACCAATAGTGGGTAAAATAAATTCGGCTACCCTGCCTGTTGGCTCTCAGTTCCTGTTCTGCCAAGATGAGCGAACAATGCATCTCGCAAAGATCCAGTGACTTTAGCATTGCACGGATTCTGTCCACCAACAACATTTCGTCCAATAATTATCAAAAAAAACAGTTGAAAGTAAATCAAGGCCTCTCCAACGATTTGCCAACGAAGAAGAAGAAGACATTCGAGTGTGTCCCAAAAGGAGCAGAGCAGTCTCAAGACATTCCCAAAGAAGAAAAGGATCAGAAATTTGGATTGCTCAAACGACAGCTTCCATGGCTCCAGTGCACCAGGTACAGTCCTCCCAAGTTGCCGAGGAGACCCTCGACTACTAAGCAGAGAAAGAGGAGACTCGGTTCTCATCCCAGGATTCCCTTCACCAAATTCCAGATTCAAGTCTTGGAAGAAAAATACAAAATAAATGCCTATCTTTCGAGGAGGGACGTCATTCAGCTCGGTGGAATTTTAAATCTACCACAAAATCGAGTGAGTCTTTTCTTAAATCAATTTTTAATTAAACAAACAAAAATGCTGCAAAATTAATTTCTCTACTTAGGATTATTAATTATTGTGCGCGTATACATATAGAAAGAGAAATAAATTTGAATTGCAGGTGAAAATCTGGTTCCAAAATCGGCGAGCAAGAGAAAGAAAAGAGTCCCAATCTAACAATATCAGTATCGATTAATTACTATTTAAAACTAATTCAATGATTTGCTCACAATCATTTAACTTTTGTAAAATATAATACTGTATTTATGCATATTTTATTACTTACACATTATTTTAAGTTTTGAAATAAAGAAAGAACACCAAAAGATGATTAAAAGCGATTTCATTGCCTTATCTTGAAAAACAGCAATCAAATTCATTATTCATTATTCATTATACAGAGTAAGTATTCGCCAAATAAAAAAGGACGACATAAAAATACAATTCGATTATCAGACATTAATAACTGTTAATCAAGAGTCATGCACAACTGACAATTAAATTTCAACAAGATGTGATAATAGAAAAAAATTTATCAAAGTAATTAATTATCTTATTCTCGTTCAAATGCGACACGAGTTGAAAAAGTCTTCTCATTACGTTGCTTTAAATAAAAATGTATAGTTGTTGTATTTATTAAAAAAAATCACTCCTTAATCAGTGCGTAAAGATTTTTGCGTGCTAGCCATGCTATGTAGGAGATCGTACAAGCTTTAATTATCGATTTTTAAAACCGCTGATCTTACAATTAGTCTAATTGATTTTATTGTTTATCCTCTTTTTTTTTTTTTTTTTTCTTTTTTTTTTTACCGTTAATGCAAAACACTGATTTACACATCAACTTTCAGACGAGACAAATTTATTCGATTCGAGTAATAATGCTCTAAAATTGATGTGCTCTGGCGAATCTTTTTCAGAAAGTTGTCAAAGGGTAATTATACTTTCTCTTCCCGCTCCCACACCAATCCATTTAACTAAAAATTAAACATTTTCTTTAAATTCTAATCTTGGTTTAAATTAATAGAGAATTGAGAAGATTTCATTACCTGGAATACCCAAGTATTCTTCAATTTTCCGAACGTATTTTTGTGCATTGGACGGTAATTTTTCCAGTGATCGAGCTCCTTCCGTACTGGATTTCCATCCGTCCATCTCTTCATATATTACTTCAACTTTGGCAAATTCGGATGAATTGCTGGGAACATAATCAATTTCCTCTCCATTTAGATTGTAACCAACGCAGATTTTAATCTTGGGCAAAGTGTCCAAGATGTCCAGTTTTGTCAGGCAGAGTGCAGTGTACCTAGAGTTCAAGACAATGTCAAATTGTCAAATTGTCAACCAACTGTTTACAAAGATTTGCGTGAAAAATTGACCAAGTAACAATTACCCATTGACTAGCGCCGTAAATCTCAGAAGAGGAAGGTCAAGCCAACCGCAACGTCTTCTGCGTTTTGTTGTCACACCAAATTCCCGACCTCTGTTCTGCAAGAGATCGCCAGTGTCGTCGAGAAGTTCTGTTGGGAATGGGCCGTCGCCAACTCTGGTTGTGTAAGCCTTGCATACTCCAACGACTTCCCCAATGGTGTTCGGTGGCAATCCAAGCCCCGTGCACACACCTCCGATGCTGCAGTTGGAACTCGTTACGTACGGATAAGTTCCGAAATCAATGTCCAACAGAGCTGCGTTGGCTCCCTCCACGAGAACTTTCTTTCCGTCGCGAAGGGCCATGTGAAGGAAGTGAACCGTTTCCTTGACAAGGGGCCGAACCCGTTCAGAGTACCTGCATTCATGAAAATTCATCAAAATCAATATTTAGGTATTAATATATTTTGATTAAAAAGGAAAAGATTTGAATTACTCTTTATAACGCTCCAGCTCATTTTTTATATCAACCTGTAGATTGGGAAACATTCTCTGATAAGATTCTACCAAGGTTTTAAATTTTTCCGCAAATTTATCAAAATCTCCCAAAAGATCTCCCACTCGAAGGCCATTTCTGGCAGCTTTGCATGAATAAGTTGGACCAATGCCTCTCTTTGTTGTTCCTAGAGATTGGTTTCCTTTCTCCTGCTCTTGAAGTCCATCGACTTGCTGATGAAAGTCAAAAACTAAATGAGCTCTATCAGAAATTACAAGTCTATTCTCCCAATCTTTCAATCCTTTTGCTTCGTTTTCTTCGAGCTCAGCAAAAAGTCCTGGCAAATGAATAACGACTCCATTTCCTGAAAACAAAACGAGGTCATCAGCGTAAAAGCTAAACTTGAACATTTCTTTTGTAACAAGCAGTACCAGGATTGATGAAATCGACACGCGACACATTTTCTAATCGACTTTTGTCAATGTTATTAAACCACAAAAAAAAAAAAAAAACAAATTTCATATAATACTTTATTGGTATAAGTCAAGGTTGAATATTAAAATTGTGAAAAAACTCGAATTGAAAACATTAAAAACCAAATTTTTTATTTAATGAATTATTACCTATAACAGATTTGCATCTCGGATTGATAATTCCACTAGGCAAAAGATGAAAATGGAATTCGGTCTTGTCAACTACTACAGTATGACCCGCATTATTTCCTCCCTGCGAAAGTAGATTAATAGTTGATAAGAAGTGAATGATGTTCTCTTAAGTATCGGATGTTTTTTTTAATTTCATGAGTCAACATTAGGTAATGTTTAAAACATAATGGAAATTAAAATGACATTTTAAAATAACATTATAGTGTTATTAGGCCAATGAGGAATGGAAAAAATATATAATACTGTCATATAAGATAAGATTGATTCATTTGATACGAAAAGAAAAAAACCGTTTATTTAAACATTTTTCAATTTTCCTACAAAATTAAATTATTATTTAAAAATTAGGAATTTGACACTTTTGATTTTGTAATACAAATATTTTTTTATTTGCGTATCGAATTTAGCAAAATTTTTAAATCATTTAAATTCAAATTTTTTTCGTCATGCTTTAAATAGACTTACGAATCAAATCTTATAAAAAAATTAAAGTATTTTTTTGATAAAATAAATAAAAATGTTTCTTTTTAAAGTAAATTTCCGGTTAAACTCTGCCGTTGATTTCCAGTCAATTAATTGCCATTCGTTTTGGCAATAAGAAAAAGAAATGGATATATCATGAACAGAATAAAGTTGATAAAAAAAACCCAAGATAAAACAAGTTGATAAAAAAGTCATTGTTCGATTAAATGCGATATTCATAATTATAATTATGTGCATGTAAAACAAAATTCAAACATTTTTTTATTACTCAAAAGCATTTAAAAAATTTCATAAATTTATTTCTTAATTATTGACAATAAAAAATATTGATTCACATAAAGTGGAGATTTTAATATGAAAAAAAATTTATTATCTTCATACTTGCACATTTAATGTGACAAAACTGATAACAAAAATCACAAGATTATTGTGATTGCAACGACAATATTTATACCGAAAAAGGATCTTTGTGATTAAGAAACTTTAATACATCTATAATTATTATATAATTAAAATTTAATGCAAAGAAGGCCAAAAGAAGAATATATTCAAAAGTTGGCTTTACAAGATTATTATCTTCTTTCAATATCAATGATATTAGCAAATTATTTTGTATTTAATTTTTAAACATCAATAAATTCCATACATATTTAGCTTTATACTTTGAAAACGAAATAGTTTTTTTTTCAAATGATTTTGATGACTTACAAAATGCAAAATAATAATAAACAATTCAGGTTGTTGATAAAATAAAAATAATAAGACATTCAACGTTAACCGTTTGTGTATATTTCATTCTTGGTAAGTTTCCAAATATTTAAAGCCGTTGAAACTTAAATGTTTCTTTCTTCTTCTCTCTAGCATCACTAATTTAGTCTAGATTTATTATGAAATAATTTACGAAATTTCTGTGATGCAATAAATAAGTTTAAAATAAAAATCTAAAACAAAAAGTTTATATTTATTATCTATATAGGCAATATTTCAAACATAAATGATAGGGGTCTCTATTCATAAATTATTATTTTGATTAGTAGAAATTTTATTTTACTGATTAAATATTGCATTTTCATAAAAGTTTCTATAGAATTTGTAGTTTTCTAATTTTTAAATTCTACAAGAATTGGTTTTTAATTATAGTATACTTACTTGCGATAATCAATAGTTTTTTTTATTACGTTATTTTGAAATTTTTCTGCTTTCGTAATAATTACTTTGTTAATTCAATTGTAATTAGTTTTTAATGAAAATAAGTAATGTTTACGTCATCTCTAATGATAGACGTAAATTTGTCGCGTATAATATATATATACTGTATCGTGTTATAACCTCAAAAATCGCATATTTCTTAAGCGACGCATACATTTTTCAAATATTAATAATTTCAAATGCAAATATTAAAGAGTACAGAGATAATTTTAAGCATGGAGAAAAAAAAGTACAAAGCAAAACGTTAAAAATTCTATTAAGGATGTATAAAAAAAATTGTCAATTAATTATGTGTTATGAAATGGAAATAATTTGCAATAAAAATCGTACCTGACATCGGCAGACAATATCAACATTGTTGGCCAGAACGTCGACAACTTTTCCTTTTCCTTCATCTCCCCATTGAGCACCCAAAACAACAGTGACCTTAGAGAGAAGTCCGGATATAGATGTTCGCTGTTTTTTCCTAGGCGAAGCGAGGTTTGCTTCTCCATTTGTCTGTTGAATCCTGGGGCAAGACATTTTTCAAATCACGTATTGCTCTACGAACTGACGACTCGAGTCAACTGCACAGAAAATGAACAATTTCAACTGCCGATTGAAATTTGGTGACTGCGAGTAATAAACGTTCCGCCAGCCAACAAGGTTAGAATAATGCTATCTTTCTTTAAACAAGAATCAAAGATAAGTGTTTGTATGCACACACACAACTCTCTGCTATATATTGTATGTATATACACACAAACCTATATATACATATATATATTGTATTTGTATAGATATATAAAATTCAATCGTAATTAAATGTGCAAAATTTATTATAAGTTTGTGTATATGGCAATTATGAATTATTATTATTATATTATGTGAAAAATAAAAAATAAGACTATATTCACATGTTTATTATTGTCATTTCGAATTTATTTTCAAATTACCAATAAAGTTGAAAATGTCAGGATTTATGAAGAAATAAAATTAATAGGTAGTTGAAAATTAGAATAAACTTAGCTTTCATAGCATTCGGGTTTCAGGATATCCTATGGACAAAATTATTGATTCGTGGAAATTAGGATATATCTAAGATGTCCTTGGACATCTTAATTTCTGGATACGCCACAGGATGTCCTGAAATATCCGTTCCTGTTGAGGACGTTTCTATCTTTTATTTCATTAATATTTTTAAAATTAATTTTTTGTAATTCGTTGCTGAAATTAACAAATAATATAAATGTATACTTTCCAAATTAAGTAATTTACAAAGACGAAAATCTTTTTTTACATTTTACATGTAGATATTCTAATTTTCACTTTTCTTTATTATTGCTTCATTAAATATGGTAGATTTAGATTCAACAACACTTTACAATAATATTAATGACAATAATTGTTGCTTTAAGTTTTTTATTAAAAACGGCGAATGTCATTTGAAACATAAATAAACATACGATTTATATTAATATAAATTAATTATATAATTATTTCTAGGCAATTACAAATTTCATTTTATGACAATTAAATAAGAGTAATTTCATAAAAGTTACAACAGCACTAATATCTCATTTATTTTTAAATAAGTTTCTACCATACAATGTTTATAGTCAATAAATTTTATAATCTTATAATTATGTAATTTATATATAATAATCTCTTACAATAATAAGAGTTGAATGTATTACCTTATTTTATAAAGTTAAACGTTTAATAATAATGTGAAATGTTCCATAATTAATCAATGATGTACACCAGCAACTTTTAGTTTCTTTGGATGCCGAACCGCTCTTCCAATTTCACTATCTGAAGATTCGGATTCTGAATCATTATAACCTCCAATTCCAACGGAATCTGATTTTGAAACTTCGCATGATTCAGCAGCGAAATTCCCTGTTATTTTTGCCTTCTCCAGTGTGCGTACTGAAAATATTCAATTTTTTTCTTTTTAATTCAGTTTCGGGGGTTAAAGATTAGAGAGAAAATGGGAGTAACTTCGGCAAAAATTAATTTTAAGAAACTTTTAAAGTACATATATATGTGAAACATTTTTAATGTTTATAAAAAATAGATCTCAATTCTGCTTGATTCAAATTAAATATTTGTATTGTAATCATGATAAAATGGGGAAAAACTTGATAAATTCAGATAATAATAAAAAAATTTACTTTGCGATTCGAGAAGATTATTTTGTCGTTTCAAGTCATCTATGTCAGTTTGATGGGATGAATTCTTCCGACGCATAAACTGAATGTATTCAGCAGCTTTCTTTAAGATTTGTGCTCTACTTGCAACTTTTTCACCTTGTAGAGCTGGTACTGAATCTCGAAGACTTGAAAAACTATCCTTTATATGATCCCGACGCTTTCTTTCTAAAGCATTGTGATGTGCACGCTTCTCAGCCTTTAAACAAGATAATAATTTTAATCATAGTTATATTCACTAAGAGAAATATTTATTTAATTAAGTAATGTCATTTATTTAAATTGTAATTTTAGAAACATTTTAAAAAATTGTTTACATTTGAAACCAAACATTAATTTACAATAAACAACAAAAACAAACATGCACCACTTGTACGTATGTTTAAAAAAGTATAATAAAACTAAAATTCTAAACATTTGAAAACAGTAATAAAACAATTTGACAACAATTATTAGTTAATGAAATACTATCAACGAGAATAAGAATAATTAAATTTCATATACAAAAAGCAACAAAATAATTGAATAAAGTTGATAAATAAAGTTAATAAATCTGACTTTAGTGTAAGTAATAAATACAAGTTTACAATATCAATTTCTTATCAACAACAACAACAACAACAACATTATTATTGTTATTATTATTATTGTAAATAAATGTACTATTTAAATAGTTTTAAAGAAATTAAACAATGAATATACCTGTGAATAATATTGTGTATTATTGGAATGTCTTTGCCTGGAATCAGAATCATCTCCTTCCTAAGGATAAAGAGTAAACAGAAAGTTCATTATTTATTATGTTTTTACTTGTGTGACAAAGTTTTTCCCAATTCATCCTGTAAATATATTGATGAAGACAGCAATACTTACATCACTCTCAATATCGATATCTCTATCGTCATCGCTCATTTTTATTTGCTTTTCCTCAAAACAATATGAGTCAAAAAGAATCAATTTCTCCAAAGCTTTTTGGCGATTTTCTAATAATATTATAAACACATGTCTTGTCAATTTTGAGTTTGCGCAATGCTAATGTCGAGATCCACTTTCAGAGCCAATCGTCTAATTATAAAATTATCAAAGTTGTTAAAAAACGCAAAGAAAACATACATTAATTTATGTACAGTTAATTTTATAGAATATACAAAAAAATGAAAATACCTTAATTACATACAAACTACAGAAAATGGCACAAGGCAACATATCATATACGTGACATACGCTAAAGTAGAATATCTGAAATGTGAAACTTTTGCTATGGGTCAAGGATGGGAATGTTGTGTTGTGATTTAGGGTGCATTTACACCTTTGTCACGTTTGTTGTTTACACCTTTGTAGAAAATGTGATATATTTACAGAAAAATGTCAAAACAGCGTTTGTTCACGTGGTTTTCAAGCTGCGATTACACCTCTGCAGGTTGCCTGCCTGCGCAGGCAGGAGCAACGAGAGTAAGGGAGAAGTTTGAAGTCACTGACTCTCTTACTCTTGTACGTTACCATGACAACCTGCAGGCATGCAGGCTGCCTGCAGAGGTGTAACCGCAGCAGTTTTCTGATTCAAAGTAGATTCGATAAACTTTTTTTCTATTGACATTGGTATAAATGCACCCTTAGGGAGCATTTACACCTTCGGTAAAAATTTCCAGAACGGAAAATTTTTCATTGGAGTAAGAGAGACAGACTGTGTATCTGACTCTCTTACTCCAATGTAAATTTTCCGTTCTGGACAATTTTTTCAGAAGGTGTAAACGCTCCATTAGGTAGTGTGTGCGCACGGCGAGTACATAAAGGTGTTTCTACAACCTTCTGTATAAGAGCACACAAAAAGAAGAGACTATTGTGAATATAGCCTTATCAGCACCTTTAAAACAATCAGGCTGGAGTCCCATGGTAGCGTTTTGCGTTGCGTTTTGTAACTAGGCAATGAGTATGAGAGAGATAGAGATATATGTTTGCTCTATTTGCACTCATTGTCTAGTTACAAAACGCAACGCAAAACGCTACCATGGGACTCCACCCTCACTAAAGCTGTGGTTACTACACCTCTGCAGGCTGTCTGCCTGCGCAGGCAGGAGCAACGAGAGTAAGGGAGAAGTTTGAAGTCACTGACTCTCTTACTCTTGTACGTTACCATGACAACCTGCAGGCAGGCAGGCTGCCTGCAGAGGTGTAACCGCAGCCTAATTTGTACGTACAGTACCGTCCGAAATTGTCAGTCCACCCATTTTCAAAGGAATGACAAAATTTTTTTAACATAAAATTCATGAAAAGTAAAATTTTTTTTGGTATATATTTTGAAAGACGATAAAATTTTGAAAAGAATAAGACGTTACAGAAGTCATTTGGCCAAAATTTGTAGAAGATATTCTTAAAAATCGTCATTTTCAATGTTTTACAAAAATTTGAATAACTTCTAAAATAATGAACGCTTTTTAATAATCTTAGGCTTATTTTAAAGACCATTTTCTACAGAATAAGAATTACTTATAGGCATTAACCTGTCATTTTTAACTTGGAATAAGCATGACGTCAAAGTTGGACAAAAAAATTCAAAAAATTTGAAATAATATTATTAAAAGAAAAATAATTTTGGAAATTCAAACATATATTTTTATTAAATTTTCTTGAAAAATCTACACCATATCATGTTTTATATATGTTCTAGAATAGTTTTTAGTACAAAAAATTGATTTCAAATTTTTCCAATTTTTTTGTCCAATTTTGACGTCATGCTTATTCCAAGTTAAAAATGACAGGTTAATGCCTATAAGTAATTCTTTTTCCGTAGAAAAAGACCTTTAAAATAAGCCTAAGATTATTAAAAAGCGTTCATTATTTTAGAAGTTATTTAAATTTTTGTAAAACATTGAAAATGACGATTTTTAGGAATATCTTCTACAAATTTTGGCCAAATGACTTCTGTAAGGTCTTATTCTTTTTAAAATTTTATCGTCTTTCAAAATATAAACCAAAAAAAATTTTAGTTTTCATGAATTTTATGTTAAAAAATTTTTGTCATTCCTTTAAAAATGGGTGGACTGACAATTGCGGACGGTACTGTAAAATACATAAAAGATACAAAATAAAATCCTAAAATTATATTTAAATAAAATGTAGAAAAAATTACAGCTTTTATTACAATAAAAAAAAACGAATTGAAGACTTGACTAACTTTATCTGGCGTTTTTAAAGTTAAACTGTTGACGTATAGTGCAATTATTTTTACCAATAAACTGTCTTTCTAAAAGAAATGAAGAATTACTATTGGTTGAATAATAAATGCATTAAGAAAGGGTGAGAGAGAGAGTTTGTATCACGTCAATCATATGATCACACGTCAAAACTCTAAGCAGACAAAGTTTTTATTTTATATATTGTATACATATACATATTGTAAAAAACTGTAAAAACGATTTTTTGTATGCGGCTAACGTAATATATTTTTTGTTTCACGCGATAGTTGCATAAATAATTTCTTGTTATTGTAATTCTTTACATTAAAATTAATATTCTTCTTTATTATGATTCTATGTCAGAATTTAACAAAATAAATGTTAAAATGTTTTTACTTTTATAAGCATTGACGTGTCTCATTGACGCAATAAAATTGGCAATTAAATAGAAGCTTAAGGTTTCTGTGAAATGTTGAAAAACATATCATCCTCAATTTATAGAAAAAGAAATATTTGTTTTCTAGAAATCTTTTCTTTAACAATTGCTCTGCATTCTTAAAACATAACCTCCAAGTTTGAAAAGTGTTTATTATGAAATTTTGCAAGTGAGAAGTGAAAAAATGACGAAACACAATCACCAATATATTATCTTCCTATTGTTTACTTTACTTATAGTTTATGTAAATTCAGAGTTTGAGAATGCCCTCAAGAAAAGAGGAGATGCCACAAAAAAATCACAAGCAAGTGAGGAATCTGATGATGAAAAGGTAAGGTTCAAAAGATTAATAATCTTTCACATTTTTTAAAATTCTTTGTTCCTCGTAGGTCATTTAAAAACGTTATTGAAATTTTCTTTAGGAAAAGGAAATGGACGATTTGGAAATTGACATTGAAAAGCTACGTAAAATGACAACTCTCAAAGACACGTTATTTTTCCTGAGTGAAAAGTTACAGAAACACCAAAAAGGTGATGGAGACAAAGAAGATGAAGACGATTCAAAGACTGAGAGATTTCAAGATTCTTCCACGAGAATAGATTGGACACAAGATGCTGCGTTGAGAAGCTCGTGGATGAAGGATATAATTGCTCATACAAAAGATTCTGATTTACCGGAATCTGAATTAAAACCTTTCGAAAGTGCGGGTATGGAAGGGTGGAATGTTGTTGAGAGTCTTGCAGATGAACAGGTCCAAGAATCTCTTACTCCAGAAGAGCAGGAAGGTACAAATTAAATTCTATTTTCTTGAATTATGTTTGCTTTTAAAATGGTAATCAATTGATTGGAAAAAGGCAAGTTAATTAACTACAAATGATTTTGTTTAGCGGAGGATTTATTTAAAAAGGCAAGAAGTCTGTTGAATGCAACGAGAGCAAACAAGGCTGAGGCTTATAAACTTTTAACCGCAGCAGCGACATTAGGTCACAAGGAGGCACGTTCAATGTTGGCCTGGGCCCAGTTGCTGGGCACTCAAATAAACTCATCGCCGCCTCGGTCGTCTAGTCAGGACATTCCAACAGCTTTCCAAACCTTTAAGGAACTGGGCGAGTCGGGACTTCCTTCTGCACACATGGTTTGCAATATTTTTCCATAATAAAAAACAATCGAAAGAGTAAGTTGTCGAGTAAGTTCTCTCATGTTTCAAATAGGGAATGGGATTTCTCTTCGCAACTGGACTCGGAGGAGTGAATGCTTCTCAACCACGAGCTCTTCTTCACTATACCATTGCTGCTCTTGGAGGAGACACTCGGGCTCAAATGGCTCTCGGCTACAGACACTGGGCAGGAATCACGACTCCCGCCTCGTGCGAGAGAGCTCTTGACTTTTACCGGAAAGTGGCTAATAAAGTCGCGGAGGAGGTCTCCTTAAGCGGAGGACCAGTTGTGCAGCGTGTGAGACTTCTTGACGAGTACGAAAATCCCGGATACAGTTCTGGTATTCTAGATCAAGATTTGATTGAATACTACCAACTGTTAGCGGAAAAGGGGGACATTCAGGCGCAAGTGGGACTGGGTCAACTTCATTACCAAGGAGGCAGAGGCGTTCCTCTGGATCATCAAAGAGCACTCCACTACTTCCAACACGCTGCAGATGCTGGCAACCCGGTCGCGATGGCTTTCTTGGGAAAGGTTTGAAAAATAAAACATTTTCATTTTCATTTACTTCACTCTAGTCTAATGGGTTCTGAAAAATTCTAACAAACTGTATTTGCTTTTCAAGATATATTTGGAGGGAAGTGATATTGTGAAGCAGGATAATGAAACGGCTTACAAGTATTTTAAAAAAGCAGCAGAGTTGGGAAATCCAGTGGGTCAAAGTGGTTTAGGATTAATGTACTTGTATGGCAGAGGAGTTGAAAGGGACACGGCGAAGGCTCTTCAGTATTTCAGTCAAGCAGCCGATCAAGGCTGGGTGGACGGACAACTGCAATTGGGAAACATGTACTTTAGTAAGTTTCAAAGTTGAAAGTTGAAAGTTTATGAACTTTTTATCACTTTATCGACTGTCAAGTATTTATATTTCATTGCTTTCTGAAACAGGTGGCACTGGAGTGATGCGCGATTACAAAGCGGCAAATGAGTATTTCAACCTCGCGAGTCAGTCTGGCCACGTTCTGGCATTTTTCAATCTGGCGCAAATGCACGCAACCGGAGCTGGAATGATGCGCAGTTGTTCCACTGCAGTCGAGTTGTTGAAGAACGTTGCTGAGCGAGGAAAGTGGAGCGATCAGTTGATGGCTGCGCACACAGACTACAGAGAGGGTCGAATCGACGAGGCCTTTGTTACTTACGTCCTTTTGGCTGAAATGGGCTACGAAGTGGCTCAAAGCAATGCAGCGTTCATTCTCGACAGAGGAGAAATCTCCATTCTCACCGAGGAGGAAGGACTTGTACGTGCTCTCCAACTTTGGGCTAGAGCTGCAGCCCAAGGATATTCGGCAGCGCAGGTACAAATTCGAGAACGAGTCTCGATTATTATAATTCACTCACGATCATAATTATTTCAGGTGAAACTTGGCGATGCTCACTATTACGGGAAAGGGACCCGAGTCGATTACGAAGCGGCAGCGACGCACTATCGATCGGCCTCGGAGCAGCAGCACAATGCTCAAGCAATGTTCAACTTGGGCTACATGCACGAGAGGGGCTTGGGCCTTGCCCGAGATCGTCACTTGGCCAAAAGGTGCTACGATCTCGCCGCAGAAGCGAGTCCGGACGCCAAGATTCCCGTAACACTGGCTCTCATGAAGCTGTTCCTTTTGTTTGGTTTTGATTACCTTCAAGAATTCAGTCTAATCGACCACTTGATGAAAATGAGTCAAATCTTTGGACAAAACTGGGATCTCTATCTCATTGGTCTCCTCACCGGAATGCTCAGTCTCATCATTTACTTCCGCAGACCACAGCCTCCTGCACAAAGGCCTATTCCACCAATCAATTGAAATGTAAGGAGCATAGAAATGAATTTGTTGAAGGATTACCATTTTTTAATGTATAAGGGATGAGTCTATAGTTGCAATTTTTATGATATTGTCAGATATTGTCAGATATTGTCAGATATTGTATTTCAATCGTTAAATTTAGAATTATTATTATTATTCTTAAGAGAAAGTTTCATATAATGAAAAGTTCACATTTCAAGAGAGTTGTTTAAAGAAGCCTTTAAAAAAGAACTTGTGTAAAATTTTCAAAAGACAAATAATAATAATAATAATATCAGCATTTTAAGGCATTATTTATTATTAATAAAATAAAACGAACTGAAAATGAAATAAAGCGTGTAAAAGATACAAAGATTGTATTGTGTTAAAAAGCCTGAGCAGAATGAAACGATGAGAACGTAAAACGTAAACTTTAATGTCATTTATTTTTTTCTAAATCATTATAATTTAAAGACATTTTACGTTTTCAATTACATTCTGTAATATGGCTAAAGTTTTTTTTTCTTTTTCTTTTTCTTTTTTTTTTTTGAGTGACTGACGTAATTGTATAAGTCTAAAAAGAATAAAGACGTAAACGAGGATCGTTAATAATTGGTGACATTTGTTCTTTTCTCATCCCATCGCTGTCATACGTTCAATTTACGTTCACGTTTACACCTTCATTCTGTTTTCCTCTTATTCTTAATTATCTATATAGTTAGCGATTAGAGGCTGTAAAGTGTTATTGTAATATACATATATTATCTAATAAAAATAAATTTTGAATGTTTGTTAATAATATGTTTTATCAGACAAAACTCTATCAAAAGATATTATTTAGTTTTTTAAAATAGTAGAAAATGAAAAAGTTGCAGAGGAAAATCGACTGAGAGCCAACAAAAAAACATTTGTCCTTTATCGATTATATTAGGTAAATAAATTCAAACAGTTTTTATCAAAGCAGAAAACCATGGCAACGGCAGATTGTTGGAATTAACAAAAAAACTAAACCATACACTATTAATTGTATGCCACGTCAAATTTAATCATTATAAAAGAGTAATTAAATAATAATTTTAAAACATTGGAAACATCACTAAATTTCCTATATTCATTGAGGAATAATGCCAAAAAAGAAGAAAAAGGGTGTAGAAAAGGAGAAGAAGGCAAAGAAAAAATCTTTCATCAATGAGAGGGAAACATTATCGTTCGAACAACAAATTTTAGATAACAATAGACAGTTGGTCAGGTATGAAGATTGCACTGTTGAATGAATGAATGAATAATAATAATAAAATAAGTAACTGATTAAATTAATAATAATAATAATAATAATAATAATAAATTTAGACTTCGATCTCGAAATGCAGAGCTTGAAAGTGAAATGGAAAAAGTAAAGGACAAATATGATCAGTTGGAGGAGGATAGAGCAGATGTTGTGGCTCACTTAAAGAGAATTTTAAATGAAAGAACCTTGGAAGCTCAAGAATTACATGAGCAGCTACTGGCTTTCGATCAGGTTCGTAAAGAGGAACAACAGGCGTTTAAAAAAAGAGAAGAGTCTTTGGAGCAAGAATTTCGCACAATGGAAAGTAATTTGAGTGCTGAAGTGAAACTAGCAGGTAATTGAAGCAATTTCATTATCTGTAGATCATTAATCGAAAACAATTACCAATTATTACAGAGGGCAAGCTGAATTCCTTGGAAGAATGGAGGATTGCAAGATTAGATTTAATGAACAAGTTTGAAGAGCAAGAGAAGCAAATGTCTGAACAAGAGAAAAGCCACAAGGAGACTTTATATGAGGCTGAAAAGGAATTGATTTTGGGAAAAGCCAAGTACATATTTATCACATTTATACATAGTATGTTAATGTAGATTATTAAGTTTATTTTACATGAGAATTTATTGTCTATATTTGCAAATGTTTAGAATGCAAATTGAGATGGAAGAACGTTTAATTGAATTGGCTCAAAAATTTCAAGCAGCAACCACAATCAGAATAGCAGATGAAACTCATAAAGCTATCCAAGAAAATATTTCCTTGAATCGAGAATTGGATTCAATTTTTCGCACCTGTAGAGAGTTGGATTATCAAAATAAGGAATTCAAAGATCGAGACCAATTTCTGAGACTTCAAATTTCACTTTACAATTCAGAAGCGAAAATGGCTTTGAAAAAAGTACTCAAGCAAAATCAAATTATTAATAAGCTTTCGGATGATCATTTAACGATGAATTTAATTTATGGAAGGGTTCAAAGAGCTGAAGCTCTCGTCCAAAGAAATGAATCATTAATGGAAAATTGCAAAAAAAACTGTTGCGACATGTTCAAAAAAATACAAACTCTAGAGCAACATATTGAAAAGTCAAAGAAAAGTGAAGAGGAAATTATGGAAGAAGTATGCAAGAATCATAAGGAAATTGAAAACCTTGAAACGATTTTAGAAAGAGCCAAAAATTGCTTTAAAAATGCTTTAGATGTAATAATTATTACGATAATTATAATTGTGCATTTCAGTGTGAATAAACAGAGCAGTAGTTGTTGGAAATTCAAAATAATTATAAATCTTTTTATTTTTAAACCTATTTAAATAATTTCAATTCATCAAAATACGAACATAATAACTGCATTGTTTAATACACACTTGTTAATAATTTATTATTACTTAAATTTCAAATTTTTTTTAATTTAGATACAAGACGAAATTTCTGATGAAAATGTGTGTTCTTCATGTCATTCTGAAGTTAAAGAAAAACTTTTACACTCTCTTCTAGATATATTAACAACTTATCAGCCCTCTAAAATGACAATCAGCAAAACTTCTCTTCAGGTATATAAGTGGGAAAAATAAAAGACAAAAGTTAATAATATTGGTTAGGTACCTTTATAAAATTAAATTAATTATTTTCTTATTGAGTAACAATTTTCAGGAGCGTCCAGAGTCTGTACCTTTAGATCATTACAAGCCAGGAAATTTGGGATTATTAAAATGAGTACACTATTTAATGTATGTTGAAAACTTGCCAAAATAACCAAAAATAACACATCGCACATCATATATACATATTTACATTCGCTTGTCAAAATTTTAAAGTCTTGACAAAAAACTCTTGCGTACAAAATTATTGTATGTACAACAAAAATTCATCCATAGTAAATCATCCATAAATAATATGGTTGATTACAAAAATATAGAGAAAGGAAACATTTCTCTTACAAAGAGTCTTCAATCTCCCGATGTTGAAACGAGTGATCATCCTTTTAATAAAGAGGAAAAAGTTACAATTATTAATATGCAAAAAACTCTTTACCATGTTAAAATTGAAGATTCAGAAAAGAGAATAAAAAGGTTCTTCTTCCTATAATTTGTACCTATTTGTAAATATTTCATAATATTTTCTTTATTCTCAAATAACATTTCTATTCATTTAGATTAGAAAACAAAAATCAATCCATACTTGAAGAATATTCAAGTGTAGATTTAGCGTTTTCTTTTAAAGGTAGAGAAACTGCTGATGAAATAATAAAATTGAATAATGAAATATCACGAGAAATAAATAAAATTAAATGTGATGAACACGAAATGCAAATTATAGAGCAATCAAGATTCCAAAATAAAGTAGAGCATGAGACAAATATAAAAAACACACAAAATATGTATAAAAAGACACGAACTGATTTAATATCAAAAATAAAAACGTTAAGTAAATATATTTTTTTTTTCAATTTTCATTAATTTATATTAAACTTTTTAAAACTATTTATGCATATTGTAGATGCACAAATTAATAAATTGGAAGATTTTAAAGATAAGAAACAGCAGTTATTCGGAAAATTCATAAAAAATTCTCAATTAATTAAAGAAAATGAAAACACCTTTAAAATAAATTTGAACGAAATTGATCGCAAGTTTAAAATTGCAAAAGAAAAGTTATTATTTTGTTATATTTAATGTTTTTATATTTTAAATAAGTTGACTTGTTTTCGTTAAAAAAATTTTACAGTAATAATTAATAAATTAACAGAATGATAAATGAATTATTTCGACGACTTTTAACAATCGCTAATGACTTTCAATTTGAAATATTGAAACGTTTATCACTTTCTACACAGCGATTAGTTGAAGAGAATATAATCATTAAAAATGACTACAGCCAAATATTTCATGCTTGCAACTTTAAAGAAGCACATAACATGGAAATGCAGTAAGAAATATAATATTAATTAAAGTTCAAATTTAACCCTACACATTGATTGGGCCTTTTTTTATTTCCAAAAAACAAAGTTTGTAAATGATTTTAAATATTTAACTTCAATACAAATGTTTTTTAATTTTAACTACAGATATGCATCAGAAATGTGTAAACATCAATTAAAAGAAAATCAAAGGCAAACATTGTTTAGATTAATCACTTGTAAAATTCAAGAAAATTTGCTTTCAATACTAAATTCTCAAAAAACAAAATTGAAAAAAACATTAAACAGCTCAAAAAATAGTATTTCTCGCTCACATGAAAAGCAAAAAGAATTTTTTGAAAAATTAAAGGCAGAGGAGAATTTGGATTTTCAAAGAAGACAATTACATGTCATTTTACATCATATACAAGTGAAAATAAATTTTGCCTCAAATAAAGAAAGAGAATCAAGATTGAAAGTCAATAAATTAAAACAAATTTTGAACGACATCATATTTACCGTTTCCACTGCCATAAAAGTAATTATTAGTTAATAAAAATTAGGTATCTATTCAAAAATAATAAATACAAATATATTTTTCTAGTTATCTAAATCAAGTGACAAAATTGAGAATACAATTACTTATGACCAATTATTGCATAATTTGATGAATCAATTAATTCAGAATAAATCAGAATCTTTTAGTCTTTTGAGGATTTGAAAATAAAAATAATTCGCCTTTAATTCTTGGAAAAAGTAGTTTTCTGACAAACATAAAAAGAATCAAATATATGTAAATTCTTCGGTAAGTAAAATAATAGATAATATTAGAAATAGAGAATATAAAAGAATAAGTTTACCTTTATAAGTAATGTGTACAAAAATGTTTTTATTTAGCTGAACAATTTATTTTGTGATCCGCTTTGATGTATCTCTTCACATTTGGCTTTGTATGTTTCCTAAAAATAAAAACATAAATTATGTTATAATAAAATTAACAATCGAATGAATTTCAGTTTAACCTTAATTTTTGAGGATTATACTTACAACACTAAAGCTCCAGGTGCAACTATATTTCTTTGCTGTAATGATTTGAATCGATCCTTTAATAAACTTCCTACAGGTTCTGCGTTTCTCAAATTTCCAGAAAGTTCTGCACCAAGTTTAAAATCTGGTTCTGAAGCTTCAAACTTTATTCTACTTAAAACTTTCGGTTCTACAGATTGCTTTTCTTTAATAGCTTCACGTCTTTCTTTCGTCAACTTTTCTTCTTTCTCCTTACTTTCCATCTGCTTATGAATAAGTTTTAATTTGTAGATGTCGGCGACCTTTTTCTTCTCAATTTTATTATGTTTACGCTGTAATTTCATTTGACGTTCTTCTTTTTGCTTTCGTCTTTTTTGTAAAGTTTTCTTTTCGTTTTTCGTTGGAGGATTCACAGATTTCACTGTTGCATCTTCATCTCCATGATTTTCTGAATTTTCAACTGGCAAATTTAATGGTAAACCTTCAGACATTTCCTTCAAGGTATTTCGATCTTTTTCCTGTGATGAAATCTAAAAACAATAAAAGTTAGTCTTAAATTATTGTCAACGTTCAAAAATAAACCTATATATTATTAAATAAAATAAAAACAAACCTTTTTAAACATTTGATTCGTAACCCTATTCAAATGTGCTTCTTCCTTTTCAAATTGAAGCTGCTTTTCTGCAACTTCCCTTAATAAATCTTGATGATCATTAAAAGAGGGATTATAAGAGGTTCCTGGATGTGGAACTTGTACAGCAGGTAAAGCTGAAGTTTTTTTAATCAAACTTTCTGGAACACGTTTCCTCTTTCTTCCGGTATTTGCTAACGTATGTCTAATAGTATCGGAAGTAAACCAACCACTATTCAGTTCAGCGGGAACATTTTGCTCCTTGTTCCAGATATCTTCTTTGAATTCTCCACGTTTATATCGTTTATTTCTTTTTTCCTTGGCAATGGATCTGTCCTTTAAAGAAATTCGTTCTCTTAATTTCAAAATTCCATTCTTTTTCATTGCGTTCTCGATTTTTCTTCTAATAGGATTTTTCCGTTCTTCGGGAGTTTTTACGCGATTTCTTTTAGTAATTGGATCTGAAACTGCCGTGTGGGGCTTTAAAATAGCAAAACATCTAGGTTCTTTTACTTTCAATTGGGCTCTGCGTTCAAGTTTACTGACAAGCAAGGTTTCGTCCCGACTTTTATCAATTGAGAAAAGTTCAGAATCTGCCCTCTCAGAAAATGGAGCACCAAGACGTTCTTCCAGACGTTTGTTATCCAAAAACTTATCAACATCTTTTATATCTACATTCTTTCTCCATGATTTTTTAGTCTTTTTTGAAACTTTGCGTTTCTTTAAATTTTCAATCATTTTTATCTAAAAAAAATAACATTTTAAAATTAATACAGCCCTATATACTTTAATCTATGTATGTAATTGTATTGACATAACCTCAAATAAACATTTATTTTACTCACATTTTTTAATGAGAAAAACACAATTTTAATTTAAATTTATTATATTTTTAATTTCTAAAAAGCAGACTGACTCGAATTACTTATTACATAATATTTAGTTTCTCACAGATATTTAATGTACCTATATATATATATATATATATATATATATATATATATATATATATATATATATATAGAATAAGGTTATGTCAATTAGATTTTAAAATTAATATTTAAACACATAATTATGTACAACTTACATATTTCACAATATAAAATTATGTAATTGAACACTCACTAAATGCAACTAGCTTTATAACTATTGTTAATTATTAAATTGAACTTTATAAAATATATTTCTCTATAACACTTTTCAGAAATTTAATTTACCACATTTACCATGTGCGATTCATTTATTGTGTAAGGGTGCATCACACTTTTGGTAAAAATATCGGAAGACACGTGCTATCACTTTGCTTACATGTATTGTAAAAGTACCTTGAAATTAAAAGCACAAAAGTTGCCAGCCCTGCTTATAAATCTTATAAAATAAAATAAATCTCGATGTGAGTGCACCATTAACCTTTGAGTGAGTGTGCTATTAGCTAAAAATTTTTAGGGCTAGGCTATGGATGTTTACTAAATATTTCTGCTTGACAGATGTTTTTGAGTTCGTTGTAGTGAATTACTCATTCATTATATTATAACTGCGAGTTAACCTAATCGCAAAGTACGACACTACTTCAGCAAAGTGTTTTTGCTCAAACAACTGATCCTGAGTGCGAAACATCCGGGGCACGGGTGTCACCTTTTTTTATTAGTATTAGTTATATAGTAATAGTAATACGATTTGAAAAAAAGTGATCATAATAATAGTGCTGGCAACAATAATTAATTGTGAGACCTCAAACTTGAAGTGAATCAAAATCTTTTGGTGTATAGAAGAAAGAAATAAAAATGGCAAAGACTTATGATTATTTATTCAAATTACTTTTGATTGGGGATTCTGGCGTGGGCAAAACTTGTGTATTATTTAGATTTTCTGAAGATGCGTTTAATACGACCTTCATATCCACCATTGGTACGTATTTTTATCTTGGAGATATGTATAATTATGTGAAATTATATATGTAACCTATTTCATTAGTGATATGTACAAAGCTTGAAAGCATACTTGGCGTATTCCTTAAATTATTAATAATGCCTATTTAATTGTTCAAAATTAAAACACTGTAGGTTCATTATTCTTAAATAGTCATTACGAAAATGTCGTCATCATAATTGATTAGATGAATTATATCATTTCAAAAAACATAACCTTAAAATGCATTGATTAAAAATGCTTATTTTCTTTATTACTTAATTGCCTTAATTGTCAAATATTCTCTCTTTAGGAATTGATTTCAAGATCCGCACAATAGAATTAGATGGAAAGAAAATCAAATTGCAAATATGGTAAGAAATTAAAGTCGTATTTAAACATTATAATAATAATAATAATAATAATAATAATAATAATGTTACAAAGTCAGATGTTTTAATTTTGATGTGGGAATTTTAAAGGGACACAGCTGGTCAAGAAAGGTTTCGTACAATAACCACAGCGTACTATCGAGGAGCAATGGGTATAATGTTAGTTTACGATGTTACCAACGAGAAAAGCTTTGAAAACATTAAAAATTGGATTCGCAATATTGAGGAGAATGCTTCTGCGGATGTTGAAAAAATGCTTTTAGGTAATAAATGTGAACTCACTGATAGGAGACAAGTCTCAAAAGAAAGAGGAGAACAACTTGCAGTAGAATATGGTATCAAATTTATGGAAACATCCGCTAAATCTAGTATCAATGTTGAGGAAGCTTTTTATACTTTAGCACGTGACATAAAAGCTAAGATGGAAAAGAAATTGGTAAGATTTTTTCTCACTAATATATATTGTTTTAATTGTTGGTGGAGGCTTTATTTAAATATACATTTGACACACACTTGAGCATAAATTAAAACGTAGCACCCTAATAAGGTCAAGTATATGATTTTATTTTGTTTCGTTTATTTTTATTTCTTGCAATCCATGACTTTTCTTCATTGTTTTTCACTTTATGTATGTACAATAAAATAAATACAACAATAGTTTAAATCAATTACATTTCTAAATTCAAATTTATTGTTTAACTCAAATACATTTGCGGAAAAAATAACAATTCTTTCTGTTTCCCATGTCTTTCTCTCTGTGTTTGGTGCGGGTCTATTTTCCAGAAGGTAATTCTATCTTGGAATTGTTGGTTTTAATTTTTCAGCATGCTTAAATTTACTAAACATGAAATTTAAAAACACTAACGAAAAATGTTTTTTATTCTACAAAATATTAATTAAGTAATAAAAATATATTATTATGTTAATATAATTTATTAAAAATTGAAATATTCTGTGTGTGTGTGTGTGTGTGTGTGTGTGTGTGTGTGTGTTTCCAAATATTCTTCTTTTAAAATATTTGAATATTATTTTTTAACCTTTTTTTTTAAATTAATGAATGTTATTTAATGGCAGTGTATTTTTTGATGTTATAACTATCTCTTTTTCTGTTTTACGCAAATGTTTTGCATGAATGTTTTATTACATGAGAATAATGAAATGAAATAGGAGAGAATTAATCAAGTTTAATTGAAACTTTTAAGGAGGCATCGAATCCGCCAAAAGGAGGAGGTCATCAGTTGAAAGCAATGGAACCACAAAGAAAACCTTCCAGTTGGCTTGCACGTTGTTCTATACTTTGACCCATCAAAATTGTTGTTGAATTCATCCGTAAGGCACGATCATTTGCGACGAACTCTATAATGATTAATATTATTATTAATTACTTCTATTTACTTATGTTCTCTTTATCGGACAAAATTTATTGGCAACAATTAAATGGACATTTCTTCATATCGAGGATTCGTCGCTTTTATGCCTTGACATTGAACCACATTTGTGTTAAAACAAATACGACGATCGTCTAGAAATAAATACGTATAATTGGAATTAATTTTCCATCACTTCTCAGCGCAGTATTTCACAACGCTCAGAATTCATTTTTGGTTCACTGTTGACTTCAGAATTTTTGGACACCTTTATTCTAATTGACATTGAGAAATTACCCAAATTTTTTACATTTGTTACCTTATAATATTGGAGAGATAAAATTTTAGTTAGTTCACGCGAAAACAATGAACTAAAGGATAGAGAACTACGAACGATATCATATATGATATAATATATATATAAATATACATAAGTTTTAAAATAAATCGAAATACCTTCTTGATTATGACTTTAAAATGTACGAAAAAAGTTAAGGATGGATTTTTTAACATCTTTTTATTTAAAAAACAATTTCACACGAGCTTATAAGATTTAAAAATCCCTCCTTCCCCCTACACAATCCAATTTTCTCATATTTTGCAATTAATTTCAATCATCTAGAGTAAATAAATAAAATAAATTAATGATCAAAAATAATTAAAATGTACATAATGACACGTCTAAAAAAATATAAATCTCCAAATTTAATTAAATGGTAATAAATGTTTTTTAAGCTAAATAAATTGTTTTTATATATTTTTTAAGAACATTGATATGGAAAAATTAATGATGTTTAAAATGAGACTATAATTCAGCAGTGGTGATGATGATGATGATGATGATGAAGATTACCATCTTCTTTTGATCGAAAATAAGAAATGTAATAATTATTATTATTATTATTAGGCATGCCGATTTTTTTTACACAATAACGAAGCAATCATACCGTGAAAGCGGTCTAGTTTAATTAAAATTAAAACGTGACATGGGCTTCGTATTGAGCTCCATCGGGATGGGTAGAAGTTGGAGCAATTTATTGTTTGGGTTTCACAATAATTTGAAAGCGCATCAATTAATCAACATCTTTTTTTATGAATACCCGATAAAACAAAATTGTTTCGACGATTTAATCGAAAATTTACAAATAATTATAATACATTTTATATATTAATCTTCAATGTTTGTGTATATTAATTCCTGTCCTATAACCTTATTTTTGTAATTCCTGAATAAATGCTTCCATTTGTTTGTCCAAATCTTCGTCACTGTCCGAATTGTTGATTTCACTTGAATTTAATTGAATCTGAAATGTTTATTTATAAATTTATTACATTGACAATATCGCATCTTTTCTAAGCATGTATTGTTCTATTTGTTTACTGTACCTTGGGAAAAACAATATTTTCCATTTCATTTAATTGATTGACATCGTTTTTTGGAATTTCATTGAGTTTATTTTGATAATATCGAATTGTTTCCAGCTGCTCACGATCATGATGATGAGCACACATTCCCGTTACTAATAAACGTTGATTAAGTTTATTGATGGCAGTTAATGATTGTCGAAAATAATCGTGTTCTTGTTTTAGTTTCGAGACATCACTAAAAAAAACAATAATAAATACTTATAAACATCCAATAATGTAAATAACAGAAAATAGAAAAAAAAATTGTTCAACTCTCTTTACCTATTTAAATTTTGAACAACTTGTGTCATTTCACTTCTTAATTGCTCCAAAGTTGAATCGATTGCAGCGGTTAAAGTATCTTTTTTCACGATTTCTTCCTCTAAATGTTGAATTTTAATTAACAGCTGTAAATTTTCCACCTTATCGCTTTGAGCTTGGTGCAAAAGAGAATCACGTTCTCTTACAGCTGAATCGCAGTTGACTTGCAATTTAATTTTTTCATTTTGATAATTCTGCTTATCTTTCTCCAGAAACTCTATTCTTTCACAAGAAATTTTTAATTGCAATTTCAGTTCTCTAACTTGTCTACGCTCATTGTCTAATTCTATTCTTTCTTTGTACAACAATTGTCGACTCTGATTCAAGTTAATATTCAATCTATCCAAGGCGTCCTAAAAATTTTTAAATTAAAAAATTCATATAGAATCATTTAGATCATTTATAAAAAGAATATCAACATATTATTCTAACGAAAAATGTTTTAAAAAGCAATACCGCTTTCCATTGTAACTTTTCTGCATTTGCTTTTAGTAATGTTTCCAAATGATAAATATCTGACATTTCAAACTCATTTTTCATGTCACTGGATTGTTGTTGTTGCATTTTTTTAATGTATGAAGTAGAATACTTTGCAAAATTGAAAATTTTATACTTGTTAGTCGATTTAATAATGAGAAATTAATGTGTTTCTTCAAATCTCTTTGTTGAAATGAATTCAAAATTATTGCGCAGTGTTACCAATATTATGCAATTGAAATGCTAAAGGTACACTTGCACCTGGGTAGAAGTAGCTTCACAAACAAAATGCATGGGATAAAAAAGGATAGAGACTCAATAATGGAGCGTCTACAATAAATGGTTGAATCTACTAATTGTCTATTGTGAACTGAACCATGATCCACTTCAACGAAATTAGTAAATTATTAAATTTAAAAAAGATTAGTACTTGATCGGAAGTAATAATTTTTTAATTTATGATAAGTAATAGCACTAATAAATATTAAATAGTTCATTTTATTACTTAATAATATTAAAGAAAATAATGTGAGCCTTATTTTTTAAAACGTAGAAATGTTTTTGTTTATTAAAATATATATTACATTTAACTTGTAATTAATATTTGTACCAGTACTTGTAATAAAAGTCCTAGTGACTGTCCATAAATTGTATGTCGGAAACCAACAATACTGTCTGAGGTAGCTTAGGTTGAGGGCTTAGAACAGTTAGCGTCTGCCTCTCAACATCCACATTTGTTCTGTAACAAATAACATTTAATATAATTTAATGTGAAATAATTATCATTTTGTTGCTACTTGTATAAGAATTCGTCAAGAATTGGTCAATATACGTACACGCAAACAAAACCAGCTACATTTGTTTGAATAACGTCATCTTCATTTGAATTTGCAAATGAGATTGACAACAGATGATGCAAGAGATTCGGTCCAGGCGAAACTGCAACTAATTTTGTCATATTTTCATCCGCCGTCATTCCTAATGGCATACAGGAAGTTGGCAAAATCGGAGCTCCGATTTTATAGAGCCTCGCTTCTGAAAATTTAATCTCAAGGCTATGAGGGTAAAGTGGTGTTCTCAATCCATAAAAGTATTCTCTTACCGCTGCGTCCCTAGTCTCTGCTCGTTGTGATTGTCCTCTTTCCACAACACCTCCACTTTTGGGCAAATGTACAACCTAACATTATTATTATTATTATTATTATTATTATTATTATTATTATTATTAGGTGTGCAAAATGGTTATTTAAAACTTGTTTTTCTTCAAAGCACTAACTCACCTTCACAAAATCGGGCATGTCGTCTTTCAATTCATTGTACAACCTCTCCTGGTCCAAAACTAGTATCACATCGACTTCGAAGGCCTGGGCAGCGTGGGTCAACAGTTTGTATCCATCGCCTCTAACCCATCCACAAGTATTGATGACTACGCCAGAAGCTCTTGCCTTTTTATTAGCTTGAAGGCGATCTCTACACACTTTCGCCAATTTAGTGACGATTAAATTGTACAACTCAATGTTATATTGAGGAGAATTGTGACCAAAGTGAAAAACTAGAGGCGCTTGTTGACTAAATCCTTCTGTAACACTGGCAGGTCTCTCGACTAGTAAGGCTCCAATTGTTCCAGGGATGCTGATCTGACCTTGACCCACGTCCAAATCCACGAAAATCGGCCTCCTGTGCATTCTGGCGGCATAATTCAACAGAATTTTACTCAAAGTGGACTTTCCGACATTGCAAGGGCCGACAATCATAGTAATTGGTCCCTGAGATTCTCCCTTTTCTGCAATATCTCGCATAGGCTCCAAGGCTGCATGGCAGTTCAAATATATTATCATTGGTGTTTCCTTGGCAATATAAGTCACGTCAGTTTTGCCGATTAATTCAATCGTACAACCGTGCCATGTGAAAATTGCCACTTTTGCGCCTGGAAGGAATTCATACTTTTTTCCCTTAACCAACTCTGTACCGAAAATCTCTCCTAATCCATTTTTCAACTGAAACAAATAAGAAACTCCGGATACATTTCAAAAAAAATATATTTAATGATATGTCTTTGACTATTTTGTTAAATCACTTTTAGCAATTCCTAACAAATTACCTCTAAAAGAACTTTCTCATTTTTCGATTCAATTTCAAATCGAAGTTCAGAATCAGCATCCAACTTGAATTCTCGTGGTTTTGGATCATTTTCTGTCATTTTTCATTGATATAAAAATCTTAAATTGAAATAAATTTACAAATAGACAATGCAACAACTACACAATCGGCCAAGCATGGCATCAGACAATCAGACGACCACTGGAAAGGAAATGTAAACAATGTAGTTCATACACAGTTCATAAAGCTGCGTTCACATCAGGAAAAGTAAATTCGGTATGATATACGGATAAATACGTAAAATGCTGGTAAAATGCTTAACATAATTACAAATTTTTCAAATTTAAGTTTTCTTATTTTTTTAAAATATTATTATTAACAATCTTCATTTGAATTATCGACTTTAATAATCCTTTTTTGTTGTAATATTTGATTGCATTTTTTTAAATGCTTTGATTTGTTATTTCTTTTATAGATCAAAGTATTCCTTTTAGAAAAATGATAATATTATAGGTATATAATTTCATTCATTGTCATTCCAATACCTAACTTCTGAAAGCAATAGTACTAAATTTTTCGTTAGTTTCGGCTCCGGACTTAATACTGTCATTATCTTCTCATGCATATTGACGTCTTGCCTAGAATATAACAAAATTTATTACAATTAATTATGCCGTTTCGACAATTTTTCACAGTGACATTATTAATTCTTAAAAGTAGTAACATGTTCAACTCACACATGTAAAAACCCAGAAATATTTGATTCAACTATATCGTCTTGATTTAATTTGGCCAAAGAAACGGAAAGTAAGCGATTTTTCATATTTGGAATTGGTTTGACAGGCATTAATGTTGTGTCTGGAGATTTTTTGGCAACAGTCATATTAGATGAAAACCCTGCAGAAATAGTTACTCTGTAAATGGAAATATCTTCAAATTTTAATTCTATTTTGAAGGGATGTAACTGGGCCTTTGGAATGCCGTAGAAATAATTGTGAATTAAACTGTTCCTAGACTCAGCTCTTTGAGTCTCATTTCTTTTGATGACCCCGCTACTTTTCGGTAAGAGAGACACCTATAAAAATGAATGTTTTAATTAGTTAATAAATTTCTTTTCTCCAGAAGAAATTGAAAAGAAATGTACTATAGCTATGATTAACATACCTTGACAAATTTTGGCATATCGCGAAGCAGATCATTGTAAAGCTGCTGCTGATCAATGACAAGAATGGCGTCAACTTCAAAAGCATATGCAGCATGAATTAGAATTCTGTAGCCGTCCCCTTTTGTGCAACCACAAGTATTGATAATAATTCCCGAGTGCCTCTCATTTCGATTCAACCTCATACGCTCATTGCAAACTTGAGCCAGTCTTGAGGTGAGTAATTTATAAAAAGTTTGATTGCACAGTGGTGAACTGGAACCAAAGTGGAAAAGTAGAGGTGCTTCTTCAGTGAAACCTCCCTCGACACTCGCCGGATTCTTTGGTATTACAGCTCCTACACTACCAGGTAAACCAAACTCCGCTTGACCTACATCGAGGTTTACATAAATTGGACTTTTATTCATTCTGATGGCATAGTTTACGAGCATTCTACTCAATGTCGATTTTCCTACATCACAAGGACCAGCAATCATGGTAATTGGACCTTTTTCGTTTTTCCTCTCAGACAGTTCACGGAGACGTTCTAAAACTGCATGGCAATTTAAATACAGTGTCATGGGACTTTCTTTTGATGTATAAATTATATCTGGATCTCCTTCCACTTCTATAGTGCATCCTTGCCATGTAATGACAGCCACACTTGTTCCGGAAAATGTGTATTTTTTATTTACTACAAGTTCAGTTCCAAATAATTCTGCCAGGCCGGACTTTAGCTAATAAAAATAAAAGTATAAACATAGTTAAAAAAAAATTTATTATTTTTTTGATGAAAATTAATATATGTAAACAAATAAATACCTCTATAGTTATTTTTTTACTTTTTGACTCTATTTCAAAACGCAATTCAGAATCGGGTTCCAATTTATATTCCTTTTTTACATTTTCCATCATTTAATAATTTTGTAAATATTGATACAAACAAAATAATATGTCCCATGTGAGCTGAAAGCGAGAGCAAAAAACAACAAATTATAAATACACCTATTGTAGACGTTCCATAAAGAACCATGTGCTTACTTTTGGAGGTGTGGTTGCACCTTTATGTACATGAAGACGTTAAAGGTCAACTCATACATTCTTAAATGGAAACGCAATCATAATAATGAGTAAGAGGAGGATAAACATGATGCAGTATGCAGTCCTTCTCTTCAGGCCAAGATGATGTCATTGCTTATATACCTATCCATATTTACAACAGTTGAATTGAGTTGAACAGAAGGAGGTTGAAAGAAGTCGTTGTGTTGTGCAGCACGTGGTGATTCTATTCTCTTTTTAATAATATTAATTTTCTCCTCAACGAAAATGGTGTTAGATTTAGATCATTTTCGGGAAGATAAGGGATTCAATCCTCAAATTATCCGAGATTACCAAGCGAAACGATTTAAAGATGTTGGACTGGTAGATACGGTTGTGATGAAAGATCAGCTTTGGAGACAGCTGCGACACAAAGCCGATAGTTTAAATAAATTGAAAAATCTTTGTAGTAAAGAAATTGGTGAGAAAATGAAGAAAAAGGAACCGATGGGAGCTGATGAATTGCCGCCTAAAGAAATGGAGGATAATTTAAGCGATGTTACATCGGATAGCCTCAAGACTTTGACAATTAATCAAATAAAAAAGCTTCGAGACTGTCTGGATAAGGCAATAGAAAATAACAATACGAATTTAATTAATGCAGAATCAATGAGAAATGATGCTCTCAGAGAAATTGGAAATCGTCTTCATGATTCGGTTCCAGTTAGTAATAATGAAGATGAAAACAAGGTGAGTTTTTGTCGTTTTTGTATATTTAAATTATATATTTGGAATTTAATCTAAACTTTTTGTTAATTGAAGGTTGAACGGACACATGGTGACTGTATGCAACGTAAAAAATACTCTCATGTAGACTTAATTCACATGATTGATGGCATGGATGGAGAACGGGGAACTGCAGTTTCTGGAGGAAGAGGATACTTTCTCACTGGTCCCGCTGTTTTCTTGGAACATGCTCTTATTCAGTTTGCACTTAGAAAATTATTTGACAAAGGATACAAACCTTTGTATACGCCTTTTTTCATGAAAAAGGAAGTTATGCAAGAAGTGGCACAGTTGGTTCAATTTGAAGAAGAATTGTACAAAGTAATGTAATAGTTTTTGCCAAAACTAAAAGTGTATCTATATTTTCGGTTTTATTGAACAAGAAATGTTTTCTGGTTATAGGTGACGGGAAAAGGAAGTGAACAAGAAGGCGATAAAACAGTCGAAGAAAAATTTTTAATTGCCACTTCGGAGCAACCTATTGCCGCTTATCACAGAGGAGAATGGATTGCAGAGAACACATTGCCAATTAGATATGCTGGACTTTCCACTTGCTTCCGGCAAGAGGTTGGCTCTCATGGACGAGACACTCGAGGAATTTTTCGAGTACATCAGTTTGAAAAAGTAAGGCATTCTTTTTTTTTTTAAGTTGTTCTATAATATATAATTCTTAAAATATTTTTGAAAAATAAAAGAGAGTTTAAGTAATAAAAAAAAAAATCTCAAGATACTTTTTTTTTCTTTTATTTTAAAGAATTATTCATGTTTTTTTAATGCATGGAAAAGATTTTTTAAATTTTATTCTCACTTTGAACTTGATTAAGTATCAATCAAGTATTTTTTTTATAGAAAATATAAAAATTCAATTTCATTTTAAAAATAGTTTTCATATACCTAAAAAAGTTGTTCTTTATAAAAAAAGTAATAATATTTTAAAGACTTTTTTTTTTTATTTATCATTCAACTGAAACATTAGTGAGAAAGATGTGAATTGCCCGCATTTTTTTAAATTACTAATTTATAATTATTTTATAGGTTGAACAATTTTGCTTGACGTCCCCGCACGATAATAAGTCTTGGGAGATGATGGAGGAAATGATTTCAAATGCAGAAGAATTCTGTAAGGACTTGAATATTCCTTACCGAATCGTAAACATTGTATCAGGTGCATTAAATTTAGCTGCTGCTAAAAAATTAGATCTTGAGGCATGGTTTCCTGGCTCTGGAGCATTTAGAGAACTTGTCTCCTGCAGCAACTGTTTAGATTATCAAGCTAGAAGATTACTTGTGAGGTATGTATAGATTATGCAATGAAAAGAATAATTCAAGTAAATAATTTAACAAATTTTACTTTTGACAGATATGGACAAACTAAGAAAATGAATTCCACAACAGATTATGTCCACATGTTGAATGCAACAATGTGTGCAGCAACGAGAGTGATTTGTGCTCTTTTAGAAATCAATCAAACTGATACAGGAATCAAAGTCCCAGAAGCACTTTCACAATTTATGCCAACTCAATATCAAACTGAAATTCCATTTGTTAAAGCTGCACCCATTGATTTGTTGGAGGTTAAAAAGCAAAAGAATAAGTAATCTTAATGAAATAATTACTTTTTTAAAATTAATTTCTACTATTTGATTTTTATATTTCAAAACTTTTTTATCTTGCAAAATGTACTTTAAATAAATTAATCGTAATAATTGAAGAGAAAAAAAAATTGTACATCCCAATTATTGCACCATCTTTTTATAATTTTTCATCATTACAAAAATCAGTCGAGCTATAAATATGACGCAGAAAAAAGCAGGTAAAATTTAATACAAGTTAGAGATATTTTAAAAATTGTACAATACTTTTTAACAGTAAACAAGATATATATATATATATATATATATATATATATATATATATATATATGTATATAGGTATTTGTCTTTAAAATAATTTGTTTTACAACTTGAGTAAAAATTTTGTTCTAGTTTTTATGATGCTAAATATCGAAACATGAAAACTAATTGTGGATTAGGACAATTCATTATTAACAATACAAATACTTTCTATGTGCCATTTTTGGGGAATGTATTCGCTTCTACTGATGAGTCTGATTGAGACATCAAGCCTCGAAGCTAGATCATAAGTTCCTGAGGCAGGAATGATGGCCAGTAATTTTATTTTACAATGTCCAAATGGTTCAATGCGACACTCGATAGCCGTATGGCCTGCATACCGATAAAAAGTTGAAGCTTGCGGTGTGTAGAGTTGAGACTTTATACTCGGCAAATGCGTTTGACTGGAAAAGTAGGAAAAGCTTATTAATGATTAATTGACATTTTATATTTTTGTATTTATTTATATGTATATTGATGATAAATACCTGCTAGTTCCAATGGTATTAATCTTGACATCCACTTTGGATGGTGAATTATTTTGCATTGTCATAATCACTGGAAGAGGGCAGAACCTTTTCCTCTTAAAATTATGTTTCGTACAACTGACGTGCTTCAAGGAATACCAAAGTACATTCTTCTGACATTCGGAATGTTTATTCGTTTTGATGAGACAAGTTCTTGCGTCGGGTCCGAATATTTTGAGCCTTGAACCATATTCAATTGGTTCGGGTGTGTCAATTGGTTCATTGTAATATTTGCTAATAACTTTAATATCTACATGCTGCTGACCAACAGCTTCCCTCACAACAACACTTCTTTCCATAACTTTCGCTTTCCACCTTAAAATTAAAACTGAATTTATTGAATAATCTTCCGATTCCTTTTTGGCCAGATCCAGTGCATTGTCTGACGTAACGTTTGCAGAAATATTTCTCCTTTCTATGAAATCTATGTAAGGTACATTTGTGACAGGATCCATGTTGTCGTCTTTTATTAATGAAACATTAGAGTATAGTTCATTTTTAGCTTCCAAGTCTTTGACCGAGTGGCGTCTTAGCTTGAGCAAAAAATGTATCGTTTGTTGTGGATGGATTTTAGTTACTTTTGTCGGACAATTAACTAAACTCCAATTCTTACTTTGAAAAGCTGCATTCACTAATTCAATTTCATTAATAAATGGATCGTGAACCTGATTCATGTTTTTAATTTTGAGAATTAAATTTAAAGTCGGACCTTTAGATACGACAGTGCTACTCGTTCGAGCGATTGCACTTATTTGTATTGAATCGAGAACAGTCAAATGCAAGGAATGTCTACTCACTCGGTATTTCGAAGACTTGAATTCTGAATTCTCGTAATAGAAGAGCAAGTCCAATTTGTGATTTTCAGTGGTTGGTGCCCGCACCCAGAAAGTCGTAGTGTAACACTCTCCAATATTCAGCGTAGTTGGAGGAATTTTATGGACACACGATTTTCCATTAATTCTACTTTTCGAAAAGGAAACTAACTTGGGATCTGAGAAGCCAATGTGGACATTCGATAATGCAGCGTTGCCTGTGTTTTTTAAAGTTAATTCGACATTTTGTATCTCTCCAGAGAGCATTTCAGGAGACATTGTTGAAAATGAAATGTCCAAGAATGGAGCCTTCTCAACTACATTCATCCATAGTCGATAATCATTTCCGTACAATACAACATCAGGTTTCTCTTTAACGTGCTTTAATTTCGGTCCTTTGATTTCAAAAAGTCTTTTTCCACAAACATTCGGACTTGGCGTTTCTAAATCTGCAGAGAGATTATATGAAACACCAATTACCTTTAAACTTCCAATCATTTTCGGTTTGAGATACAATACTAAATCTTGCTTGGAGCCAGATTGAAGTACATAATTGTCAATCGACTGAGCCTCAATAATGTCCAAGTATTCGCCGCTGTTTAATGATTCATTTGTGAATACGTTTTCTCCCGCTTCAAATGACCAGAGAAGAGTAATTTTAGTTAGAGGTAAAGGAATTTCCAACGGATTATATAACTGCACAGAAATATAAATCGGTTCATCGATAAACACATTCAATTTTGACGAATTGTTACTCTTGCTGGAGTAAATTGAAATTGAAGGCTTAAATATCATTGGCACTGAACCCTGGGCTTCGGCTACTGCTCGCTCTTCCAGCTTTGACCAATTAGTGCTATCTGAATCAATGGATAAAATTTGCGACACTAATTCCAAATTATTTCCCGCTTTTAAAAATGGACCGGGTAGAACTTTAATTTCATTCCCGTCAATTAGGGGAAGTGGTAGTAACGAGAGACTTTTCTCCTCAGCTCCTTTCAACTCTTGGAGTAGAGCCTAAATAACAAGAAAAAACAGATTTATGCATCCTAATATAAATCAGTTTTGAAAAATATAATGGTAAAAGTATAAATTTACGTTAGTTGCATGAAGAAATTCTCTGAGAAAGGCTGCTTGTTGAAGAGCTGGTTGCCTACTAACTGGATTTAGCAATTTTTCGTAAAATTTCACTGCGAAGGAAGTTTGCTTCAGAGAAGTTGCTTGTCTTCCAAGAGTAAAGTGAATGTGGTCGTCGGCAAATGACCATCCTTTTCCACAGTAAACCTGTAAATGGGAATGAATAAAGGAAATTGTTTGCTTGCGTGAATTCCAAAAGCACACTTACTTCGTATGCTTGTTGGTAACATCTTAGAGAGTGTCTCTTTTGACCAGCTTTTGAGAATCGATGGCCAGCAATAACAATGTGAAAAGCATACTTTCGAATCATTTTCGGTCCGATGAAGCAGTACGCAGCTTGCTCAAGTAGTAAGGCAGATCTCAAGTCTGAATCCTCGCTGGTCATTCTAATCAACTGCTTTGCCGAGTCTGCGTAAAGTCCACGATTCTTTAGACACTCGGCGCTCAATAGAGTGGCTCTCGTCGCAAACTGTGGCATTTTGCACGTATTCAAGTATGTCAAAATTGCGTCGTCCATGTATTCAATGCTTTTCCTAGTCATCTCCTCCTGCATGAACGCACTCAAGGCCGCCATCTCTAATGCCCCAGCGTAATAGAGCCAGGCTTGATCGACGGCGAAATCTCGCTTTGCATTGTGATAGGCTTGATAGGCCAGGCCAAAGAGACCAAACATGAAATACAAATCTCCCAATCTTCGTAACTGAAGTTCTGGAGACTCTGATGTGTATCTAAAAATTTTCATTTTCATTTAAACTATTCATTTAAATTTTTCATAGAATTTCAATTCGAAAATTGTCAGTTTAAACGTACATTACAATATTTGCGGGAACAGCGCCAGGAACTCCGGGTTTACTTGTTCCAAACCATCTTTTTGTTGCACTAAAGAGAGATCTGCTCACTCCCTTTTTATTTGAAATAACATCATTCAGCAGGCCAATTTGTCTTTCCACATAAGGCAATAAGCTCTTCAAATAAAATTCCGACATCATAAATTTCAATCTTTCCAAATCGTCCAAGGAAAGCCTTGTTCCATGTGAAACTGAAGTTGTTGCTTGCCCCGGGGAGTCCGCCCAGACATTCACATTGATGGGGGGATTATCCAGATGAATTTTAGAATTCTCACTTTCACTCATCAACGGATGATGGGTCGGAACAGCTTCTTGGCCAATTTCAAGTTGAACGGTCGATTCGGAAATCTCGACAGGAGTATTTACCAAATCTGTAAAGTCGGTGGTCAGAAAATTCGATGCTTGTGGTGTTAATGGTGTCCCTACTTGAATTATTCTGAAACAAATAACTCGATTTTACTAATTAAATTAATGCATAATATTCAGCGACATATTCTTTTAAAAATACATATGTCTGACTTTTCATTATCTGTACTGATTGGATATGGCATTGCTGAAACCCCACTGGTGTCGGCTGGAGTTCGTGGTGAACTGTTCTGCCCACTGCCACTGGAAAGGCTTCCATTTTTAACGATAAATTGACTCCACGGGTCTGGCAAGTGAATATTGTCGTCTGATTGACCTGGAGGCCTCGAATTCATTTGCAGTAGAAAGCAATTATTCACTCCGTACACATTCTTCATTTCTCTGAAAACATCTTCGGCTCTGAAAAAATGTATTATTTAATAACTACTATGTTAAGTGTGTGTAAAACATTGTGAAAAGAGTTGAGTTTGAAAATAATACTTCTTCTTGTTATCCTGATACGTGTCGTGAATTAATATATAGTATCGAAGAACATTATTATTAAACCATTTGGGAAGTTGCCCTGGAATACTCTGATTCAACTTGGCAGCCATTTGTTGAATAATCTCTAAAGGTTCGTCATCGGATGTCGAAACAACAATCATACATGCGAGAAAGTGTCTTGTAAATTCGTGATCAGACGGATATTGAACATTGAGAAACGTGTCTCTCCAGGCCTCGAACCACGGAATCGACACAGGAAGACTGAGGTCAATTGAACCAGTATTAACTACAGTAGAGCGTTCTGTGAAAGAACAACTGACAGTCTCATTTAGCATTCTTCTGGCTATGGCTGGCTCCGGCGGAGTGCTATTGACATCGCGAATTAATATTTGAAGGCAGCGAACAGCACTAGTATTTCCTTGTGGATCCTTGATATGTCCTGCAAAAGAATATTATTTAATAATTATCAGTTTCCCTTTGCATCACAAAAGTATTTGGCAAATTTCATCTAAAGGTGCCACGTGCCTTCACAGCTTAATCTACAAAACGGTTGAAGCAATTCTGTAAAAGACAAATTGTTTTTCTGGCAAGTGATTTCAGCGTTGTTTGAACAAACAGCTGCAACTTGAGGAGAAAACGTATTTACAATAAATTCCCGAGCTGTTGATTTACACTGAGCCATTTCGATTAATTTTCTGTTTTCTGTAAAAGTAAAAAACACGGAAACATATCAATAGTTAATTTTTTCAACAACACTTTTAAAAAAGTTGGTATGAAAACTCACAGCGAAAAAATAAATAAAAAACTATTCACACTGTATACTATAATATTATTTTAGTACTTTTCGAAATCAACTACTCGATTACTACAAAATCCAGAGATGGGTTATTACACTCTAAAACAGAAGAAGAGAGAAAAACTAAAGGTGCATTTCGGCCTTAAGGTGCGATCACACAGCTCTGAAGAATCGATTTTGCTTTGGCTTCAAGTTTTAATAAGCATTGTCTACAATACAATAACTGCAAATTGCATACACTCGCACTCGCTTTCTTTTTTGCGCCTCCTGTCAGAAAATCTCTGCTTACAATCACTTACAAATTTACAATAAAAAAATCAACCAACGTGTGTGTATATACCACACTTGCAATTGCAATGCAATGTTTTTTCTACTGTGACACCTTATTTAAAGCCTTTAAAGAACATCATTTTTATACAACAAACAAAATAATACACTCTTATAAAAACCTGACAAAAAACGTTAACGTTTATTTCTCATTCTCCCTATTTAATTGATTTTGGAATATTTATTGTATAAATGGTAAGCGGCTTTCTTTTTTATTGTTTGCTTATTTTATTCTTCCTTCATATTATAATATAATATTACTCTTTTTCCTTAGATGACGTATTAATAATAATACAATAAAAGGGAGGAAATTAGTGAAATTGAATATACTAAATAATGGAATAATAATTCTTGACATCATTGATTTTGAGAATTTATAAAAACAATTTAAAAATGAATCCAGCAATAAATTGGGAAGCAGAGCATCGTCAAACTCTTCTCCAAAGCAGGTCTGCTCTTGAAAGATCAAATCAATCTGTTATAAGATCTCAAGTAATTGCTCGTGAGTCGGAGCAGATTGGAACAGAAGTAATAACAGAATTAGGTGAGCAACGTGAATCTCTTCTTCGTGCGAAAGAACGACTTTCTCAAACTGATCAAGGTCTTGATAAAACTCAAAAAATTATGCGCACTATGAAAAGAAGAATTTTAACTAATAAATTTGTTTTAATAGTAATTATTGTCCTGGAAATTGCAATTTTAGGGTTTATAATTTATATCAGGTTTTTTAAAAGGTAAAAAGTAAGTGAAATACTTTTTTTAAGGACAATAATTTATTATTGTAAAAACCAAATTTTCGACTAGTCCAATCGAAATATTTATTATAGCTGTGGCAAAAGGATAAAGTTTCGTAGGTCTTTTTCTTTAAAAACGCAGTACTTTTTTAAGTTTTATTTTTTGTTTTTATTAATTAACGTTTCTAAATTATAATGAAATTTATAAATGATAGTAAAATAAACTTTAATAAACGTACACTTTGAAAATTTATTACAAGAATGTTAATAACTGTTTACATAAAAATAAATCAACTGTTGATATAAAAAGCATACATTCTCTTAAATACTTCTGGATTATATCCTTCTAAACGAGGTTTTCCATCACAATAGTCGACACCGTCAAATAATCTGATTCTTTTAGATGACCACCAATAATTCATTAAACCTTCTCTGCCATTAATGTTCAGTGTGTTTAGTTGATAAATGGAAAAATGAAAATTTTCTCCATCCGTTTCAATGCATTGAACTGCTATTGGTTCTGGGAGATCCTGTACAGAGCTGCCGAATCTCTTATGTGCGCAACTCGCTGCTGCAGTAAAGGCTTTCAACATGTTTCGGGCAAGAATTTGTGTCTCGTCAACTGGCAGTTCCGTCAAATTCTTAACAGCAACAGGATCGTGATTAATTAGAATTGTATGAATATGAGGTTTCGAGTGGTTCCAATCAATCGCTAATAAAAGAAAAAAATTATTAATACAGATATACGATTATGCAAATTGTATATCAAATTTTTTTAAATTATCTCACGGTAAAAGTTCTTTTTCTCATAAATATTAGTTTTCCTTAAACTAATACTGTGATGCAAAGGATATAGATCTGGTAATTCCTGATTCACCGCCTTTTTCAAAAATGGTTGTAAAGGGGACGTTGATGTCATCAACATATCCACGGTTAGATAAAATTGAATTAAATCAAGGTCTTTTTCTGTAATGTAAACAAAATTAAATCATTTTTAGCGATGTATACAATTCTTTTTCAATTTACTAAAATAAATTGTAACACAAATGAAAATTTTCTTAATAATTGAAGGTAAATAACGTTTTTAAATAGTTATTCGATCAAAATTAAAATTAATATTAATATTAACTTTCAATCGTACCAATAGAAAGAGCAACGATTCCATTATCAATGAGACTTCGTTCATAAGCCACTTCAGCTCCATTAATAGATTCACAAAGTTGTAATAATTTGTGCAATAAGTTAAAACTGTAAGAATTTGCCAATTAATAATAATTGTCTCTCTTATTGAGACTAGAATGTCTTTTTAATAAGAGATTCTAATTTAATACAATGAAAATAATGGAGAAATACTCACGATTTTCTCACACTGGTTATTCCTAAAGACCGAGGGAAATTCCAAGCAGGTCTTGCGGGATCCTTTAATTTTGGTAATTTTTCTTGATAGGCATCAAATAAATTTGAACTTAACAGTGACCTGAAAGTACAAAACAAACAATTTTTTTAAGTGTTAAATTTTAATCTAACTTGTAAATTTTCACTACCTTAAAACAAGATGATGAATATTCTCAGGACACTGATTAAAAAGACTTTCAATTCTCTGTGGAAATTCTTCTTCAAACTGAATAGTTTTAACTAATACTTTTCCCTGAGGAACACCTTCAACTAAAAGATCATTATCTTCATACATTAGGCATGGGAAATCATGCCAATTAGGATGTGTCTCGTCATTTTCTACTGGAAAACCTTCAAGTGGAGGAGGAAATGTGAGTCTAAAAAAATTTCAATACACTTATTATCTGGTTTCATTAATAATTTAAAAATTATTGTACCGCACCTTTCAAAATTTTTTTTAGGATTGAGAAATTCTGTAGGGTCAACTACTTGAATTCCTCTTGCTTTAAGAACTGCTTCTGCTCCATCTTCTAAAACTGGCTGGTTACATTTCATAAACCAATGTGATTTGATAAATCTTCCCATGTGTTGTTTACACAAAAGTTTTGTTAACCTCATTATTGTAGAATGTACTGTAAAAATTAATTGTAACTAAAAGATGAACAAATTAAAAATAGTATTTCTACTCATAGTTAAGGTCACAAATTTTGAAAGAAAATTATCTCATCAACTACTGCATATTACAATAATATAAATACCTTATTAGTTTTAAATTATACAATGAAACTTACTTTTTAATATTTTAGCAGAAATGAAATAAACATGTAGCACACATGTAAGCACTGGTAAAATCTTTTCAATATACATATACTTAAGGCCAAGTCCACAAGCTTTATGTCGTTATTTTCAGCATAAGGCTATGTCCACAATAGGTTCTGATAAACATAAACATAAATATCATGAAAATGCAGTCACAGTTTTGTATTTTGTAACAATTTATTTTATTGAAATGCGTTAAAAATATATTATTGTCACTTTTAACATGAATTCGAATATTTCGAAATGAGATTCTTATATATTGTTCTGTTTAAAGTTGCAATTTCTGCTAACATTGACCTTTCCTCCTCTGTAAACGGTGCGTTAGTCTTTGCAAAAGAGTGTATTAATTTAGCATAATCTTTATTATCTGAGAAAGTATTGGATTTCCTTATGAACAATTTCAAAAGCTTATTTCTTGAGCATCCTTCTAATCGAACTACTGGAAACATATTCAATATAAAAATATGCCACTGCTTTAGTTCTCGTGTACGGTCTGCAAATTCTCTGTAGGAAAACAAATGTTTAGAATATTATTTATAAACATAATTGTTCATGTTAACTTTTGAAAATAAACAGTAGTGGTTTTCTGCACTTACAATAAAAAAGATGTATCTTTTTGATTGGCAAAAATTTTTAACAATGCTACAATAGTATTTATACTTTTTGGTTCGCTATTCAGAATCTCAGTTAAGACTAACTGTCGAAGTTCATTGGGAAATTTAAGTGCCCAGTCGCAGATTCCTTTCTTGATTAAAACAGAGTCATTTTCTAATTCGGTAATCTAAAAATTGAAATTAAATAATTTCTAAATGTACGCATACACTTGAGAAAAGTTTTGAAAAACATCATTTACCTTTGGTAATAAAAAATGAATGGACAATGCAGGTAAAAAGGTCTGACTTTGTTCAATAGTCATACTACAAACAGAGTAACACAAATTAAACACTCCATTTTCACTTAGATGCTCTTTGAAAGCTCCAAAAACTTTTGATAAATCTTCATCCGATAAAGCTTTCAAATGCAGAAAATTAAGTCGACCATTTGAATGTTCCAAAGACTCAATGGAACATTTTATGAGATCTTCTACAGGCAAATTGATTGATGTTTTTTCTAAATGTACAACATTTTCTGCTTGAGTGAAAAAAAACTGATTTTCATTATTCACATCGTCATCATCTGAAGTGATTAAGTTATGTCCATTTTCAAGATGTAGTTTGTCCTGGTGACTCTCATTTTTCTGGTACAGTGGCTAAAATTCACAGAAATTAACCAAAAATTTTATAAAAATTGAAAAACCAATTTTAAAGTTTACATTATTTTATAAATATTACGAAATAAAAAAAGAACTGTAACTGTATATCAACTTTTCGTACCATAAAATAGTTTATTTTTTATTAATAAAAGTTGTATTTGTATGCAATAATATACTAACTTTTCCAATAATTGAAAACCATGCAGGATTAAAATTAATATTTTTGTCAGATATGAAATCTTTTATCTCTTTTAATGAACTTTCACCAAGTCTGCAATTTTGAAAACTCATTTTTCCAGTTACACACAAAATGTCAACATTTTTGCCCAATGTTTAAACTTTACGACAATTTACGACACTTTTAATTGGTGATTACTCTTTAAATGTTGAAACCAGTTGAGACGTTAAAAAATTTCTAGTAAAGGCCAACGCAGAATAGATCTGTAATCGGAACCGCAATCGTAAGCGTAACCGTATGTAAGAATGAGTTAGAGAAGGATAGGTATATTGTTTATCCTTCTCTAACTCATTCTTACGCTTACGGTTATGATTGCGGTTCCGGTTACAGATCTATTCTGCGTTGGCCTTTAATAAAACCCGTGTAAGGCAGTGTTTGCATGTTTGCACGTTGTTCGTGAACGAGATTCATGAGATAGAAGAGATCACAAATATAGCTCTGTCCTTTTCTAACTCATCCTATGCGTTCGTTCGAGAAGCAGTTGTGCTTAGGCCGCAGTCCCATGGCAGCGTTTTGCGTTGCGTTGTAATGAGAGAGAATGCAGCAAACGTATATTTGCATCTTTTTCTCTCCCATTACGACGCAACGCAAAACGCTGTCATGGGACTCCACCCATGACAGGGTAAACTCCAGTTTAACGCTGCGCTTGGCGTTTGGCGATGAGCAATGAGTTTAACAAGGACAGAAGTATATGGATAGTTGTATTATTGTAGACTCAGCCTGCAGAAAGTTCATACGAAAGGTGTAGAATCACCATAATGATGTATATGAAAACATGCCTTTACTAAAATATTGTAGTATACTAGCGGGCAATATGGCGGTTACAAGACGAGATGTCTGTCAAATACGTAATTTCGGAATGTAAAAGAATTTTGTATTGAGTGTTGTATAAAAAATTTGTCTAATTTTACACTCTAATTTGCAAGAGTGTTTAAAAAAGACTATAATATAATTGAGTGTATACAAGCATTAGGAAGCATTTAAGTTTTTCTTCTGTATAGCAGTTTCTGAACTTTTAGTGACTAAAGAATGTAAATACATGGTTTTTGATATTATTCCATATTATTATGCCGCTGAATAGCCAAAATTTATCCGCATGTAGTCATATATAAAACAAGGTTTATTATATTCTTGTATGATGTCGGCTCCACCAAATAAAATGAGAGGTACTTGGTATTAAAATAATTTAACCTCAAATAAAGATTTAAATTTTTATAGTTGCGTGTATATATGTATAACGTTTTTAGAGTATTTATTTTCCATAGATTTTTTCTTCTATTCTCATGTTACAAATAATAATAGAAATTTGATTTCTATTAATTTCACACTGATTCTAAATTATGTGCATAATACACTTGGTTTTTTAATGTAAAATATACATCTTTATAAATTTGTTTCTTAAAGCTAATAAAGTGTCCACTTTTATAAACAGGTCCTGGTCGTCCACCAAAATTAAAAACGTTTTGCACCTGGTGTGGAGAAACGAAGCAATCATTAAAATATGTTTTACCAACTCAACATGGAAATAAGGAATTTTGTTCTCAAATTTGCCTTTCAGAATATCGTAAAGGTTATGTTTCTGAGAGAGGAGCTTGTGTACAATGTGATAATGTTATTCGTGGTACACCTGTGAGACTTGATCAACAAGATGGACCAACAAAATATTTTTGCTCTCATTTCTGTTGTAACAAACATCAAAAGAAAGATGGACAATCAGATTCAAAGAAAAGTAAGATTGAAGATTTGCTTATATGTATTTAGTTTAAAAAATTTAAGTGTACATTTTTTACTTTTGCTGAACATACTTGAAAACTTATTTTCTAATATTTATAGACAATAATGAGCAGAGGTCTACAGTAGTAGCTTCTCCAGTTCTATCAACAATATCTAGTAACAATAATTCTACAACAGTAGCAGCAACAGCGGCGGCGGCGGCAGCAGCAACGACAACAACAACAACATCAAATCAATCCTATAAATCAAATCTCAATATTTCACAATCACCATCAACTTCAAGTGGGAATTTTCAATTTGAAACTTATCAAACATTCGACTGGGAACAATATTTGAAAGAAACAAACAGTACCGCTGCACCTGCAGAATGCTTTAAACAAGTAATTATTTTCTTTGTCCAAAATAATGAATGCTTTTTAATGTTTTTTAAAATTATTATTACCATTTTCTTTTGAAGCATGAAATACCGCCGACAAATGAATTCAAGATGGGAATGAAACTGGAAGCGCTTGACCCGCGAAATTTAACTTCAACATGCATAGCAACTGTGGTTGGTGTCTTGGGTCCACGATTGCGTCTCCGATTAGACGGGTCTGATAATAAAAACGACTTTTGGCGTTTGGTCGACAGCAACGAGATTCACCCAATAGGGCACTGTGAGAAGTCACGTGGCATGTTACAACCACCTTTGGGATTTCGAATGAACGCCTCAAGTTGGCCATCGTTTCTTATGAAAACTTTGAATGGTGCCGAAATGGCACCAGCCAAAATCTTTAAAAGCGAGCCAAGTACTCCGCGCTCAAATATGTTTAAAGTTGGTCACAAACTGGAGGCGATCGATAAGAAAAATCCCCAACTAATTTGTACTGCGACTGTGGGAGCTGTCAAAGATGACAGAATTCATATTACCTTTGATGGTTGGAGAGGTGCTTTTGATTACTGGTGCGAATATGATTCAAGAGACATGTTCCCCGCCGGCTGGTGTTTCAAAAGTGGACATCCGCTTCAGCCACCTAAGCAAAAATGTAAAGACTCTATTACTATCAATCAACATTTTTTGATATTACAGTCAACAACTATTCTTCAATATTCATAATTTTTCAATTTTTAGCCACTGGACAAAATCGATTCAAATCCAGGACCAGTAACGTTCTTCCAGTTATGGCTGTTTCTGGATCAAGTGGAGAGTCCGCCGTTTCTTTAGTGAGTCCAACTTCTTCTAGAGCACCTCCGCAATTAGCGACAGAACCAGATACCAGTACTGCGAACAGCAGACTACTTTCGACGGAAAATGGTAAATCAAATGAGTGCAAAAACAATTTTAAACGTTTTTGAAAAATACCTGCAATCTCTTTTTTTTCTTCCAGTCACATTGTACGTGAATCAAACATGTTCTTGCGGTCCATATTTTGATCCTCGAAAAGTAAAAGCAATGCCAGGTCAATTTGGATCAGGACCAATTCCAAATGTGGCGAGAGAAATCTTTCAAGCTTTTTTAATGGCAGCTTTGAATCCAAGGCAAATGTTGAATTTACTGAAACGTGGCGAAGGTGAATTCATTACTTTAACATTGGAAAGTAAACCAACGACAGTGAGAATTCCAGTCTTTTTGGAAATTGAGGATTTCTATACATACATTAGACGACAACTCGAAGATCTTTGTGTGTGCGAATATTTACTATCAAAAAGAAAGGATAATTGTAGTAAATGTATAATCACAGCACAACAGCCCAGAATTGTCGTCAATGATGAATCATCGACACCCTCTATAGAAAAAAGACGGTGGTCTACTGATAATCAGCAAAATTCTATGATCACAATGTCGACATCAACATCACCACAACAAAAGCCCGAGCATCCACAAACTATTCCAACAACACAGACTGTAATACCAGTCACTCCATCACCTGCCAAACAATCAAGAAAGTCTGTTCCCGGTAAAATATTGTTTTCAAATTTAAAACAAATTACAGTAATAATAAGAATGATGGGAATGAAGAAAAAATTTTATTTTCTACTCTTATTGCAGAATTTGAAGCAGCGACTTCAACGACACAATCAGAAGTTCCTGTTGCTAAATATTCATCAACGGAACCTTCCGAGTGGACAATTGAAGATGTTATTCAATTTATTGCAATTACGGATGCTGCTCTTGGTCAACATGCTGATCTATTTCGGAAACATGTAAGTCATTATTATTATTATCATCATCATTATTTATTAAACTCGATATATTATAATCTAACGTCTTATTGTTTTAAGGAAATTGATGGTAAAGCTTTACTGCTATTGAATTCCGACATGATGATGAAATACATGGGTCTGAAATTAGGGCCAGCTTTAAAAATCTGCAATCTCGTGAATCGAATCAAAGGCCGAAGACATTTAGTACTGTGACTCATTTAAATTGAAATTTCACAGTCGGATTTATGAAACATACTTTTGCTGTTGTTAAGTACAGGTATGTCAAACATCTTGAAAATTCCTTTTTTTCTTTCGCTTCATCAATAGAAAATCTGGTCTCGTTGCAATTTTGAAGTATACGAATATTTCTCAAAAATATACAACATATGAATGAAGAAGAGAAAAAAATGCAAAATTTTTAAAAGTCGGATGGAAGAAATAATTAAGAATGATATCAAGGCTGTCTTCCATTCAAGGAAAGCTTGACAAACTTTCAAAACTTATGATCTTCCTATCTTGCCTTTTATATTTTTTATATTCTTTTTTTTAATTAGAATATGTATTTTCTTTTGTGCATCATATTTAATATGATTCTTTCAGAAGAAGTTATTTATTTATAGATGATTTATTATGTTACATTCGCGCAAGAATGTATTGCACAATTTTTTTAAGCAATTCTAGTTTAACAGTTAAAATTCATGTACATTTTTCATTTTTTTTTTTTTTTTTTTTTTTTTTTTTTTGGTAATGCTATTTTATGTCTTTAAAATAAAAAAAAAATTTCTTCTCGTTTTGAAGAAGCCGGAGGGCAGCCTAAAAATTAAGGCGGTGAGAAAAAGCTTTTCATATTGTGAATATTTTCCGTGGATATTAACGTTTTTATCTATTATTAATTAAACGAAAGTATCTCACGTTAATTTGAAAACTACATTTAAAATCTAAAGTGGTGAATTTTAACGTATATATTTTATCTAAAGGCTTGTGATCTCCGTTGAGACGATTGTATGTAATACGGAACCGATCATTTCAGTATCATTTTAGTTTATTTTTAATATCAGATCCTACACCATCTTCTCTTAATGTTTCTCATTGTCAGTTAAATTGATTTTGTAATTCTTTTTTAAATCTGATTTAAAAAAATATTTACTTGCAAGTATTTATTTATTATTATTATTTTTTTGTTTGTTTGTTTGTTAATATTTATGGCAATGCTGTATTTTTTAAAATATAGTTGTGGTGTAGGACCGTTTGCGATAGTGACACAATAAAGAAGAAAGAGTGGTGTAGCAATCATTTATGATATTACTATAATTTTTTTTTTTTCAAATGATTATCATTTATGTAAGATAATTTTAATTGTTTTACTTTCATAATTTGTAATGTAAAAAGAAATTGAATGACTGTAAGAGAAAGAAATAGAGAATAAGTTGTGTGCAAACATAAAACTAATGTTTATAAAGAACATTATTTGTCAAAGTATTTAATTGAATCAACTGAAATAAATTATATGTTGATTTTCTTTGTAAACAAGAAATAGGTACCTACCTACCACAGGATAATTTGACATTCTAATTTTTTGATAATGGAATATTTAAAAAAAAAACGAAATATCGATTATTATTTATGGTAAATTTTCATTATTAAATTCTCTATATTAAAAAAAATATATTATTTATAGTTATACAAATCTTGTTTTACCTAATGTAAATTATAATGTGATTATTGCACGACAACAAAAATGATATTTAGATATTACTCTACAATATCTATAAATAAAAACAAATTACTGGAAATTTTAGAATAATTAAATGTTAATTACTCGAAAACAATTTAAAACTTCCAGCTCTACCTATGTACTATTATTATTATTATTATTATTATTAATGATAGTAAAATAGTATAAAAGAAACATTTTAATCAATTTCAAAAGTGTGAATATGCAATATATTAGTCAATAAATTCAAGAGTAATTGAATAATTTTAATTACTTTTTCCCAATTCTATGTTTTTTGTGTATATATATATATATATATATATATACATATATATTCAAATATTTTGGTTCATTATTTATGTATATAAATAATGAAAACTACAGCTAAAATAAATTATTATAGTTTAAAAATTTAAATAGTGTATTTGATTGCACCAAAAGGAATTATTTCAATAATCATAATCGCACATATATACATATACTTACCAACCTAACCTTACTACATAACCTCAAAAAGAGTTTAAACCTATATCTTGCTCCCTCTTTTTCCTATCGCTCTTAAAATAACAACATATAAATAATAAAATGCGTGTAAATATTGTGTTTTATTGAAGCGGCATTAGTTTATAAAGAAGAATAACAGTAAAATCAATAACAAATAATTGAAATTTCCAATTAAATATATTATATTGTTATTGTATCCACAAGGTTTTATAAATATTAAATGTATTGAGAGATTTTGATGTTTCAAATGTTTATTTTTCAAGAATATTTTGGTTTTATGAAAACAAAGTTTTTTATATTACAAAAAAATTGTTTTTGTTTTTGTTTTTGCGAAACAAAAAGAAATTATAAAATTGCTGTTTACATTTAAAAGGCGAAAATATAAAATTATCTTGCGCATAAAATAAAGAAGAAATGAAATTATGGATACTGGCAGCGATGACGATGAAAATACAATGTTGGATTTGAATAAAAAATCCTCCCTTTCAATACCGACAATTAATGACAAAAATTTTGCTAATAATGCTGACTTTAAGGATAATTTTCTTCGTCTCCAATCTATGGTATGTTTAGTTTTAATAACGCATTTATAAGCATTGAACAGTGTGTTTTTGTTATAATTAATTATATAAATTAAATGGCTATAAGCATAAAAGATTATCTGATTTTAGGTGCGACAAGTGTACTTTAGTTACCTATACAAATCTCTTTTAAGTAATTATGCCATTTCCTGTACCACAAACAGCATTGAAGACTTTGATTGCAGAGTCAAAAATTGTGCTAGTCAAATGGAACTTTTTGCAGTCCGAAATGCTTTGGAAACTTCCTTATATAGAAAAGCAATGATAAAACTGGTATTCTAATATATATTGTATATACTTTTTAAATTTTAGTTTATCATTAGTTGAATGTTAGCACATTCAAAAGGACAATCATTGTATATAAAGAGTTGATAAAATTTTTCTCCAGATCTCTGAAGTCAAGGAACATACAAATGAGCAGAAGCTTTACAAATCTCTAATGTCATTTTTGACATCAACGCCAGAAAAATCTGATGTCGCTGTACAAACGGATCAAGTGGTTGCAACTTATTTGAAAAATGAACCTATGGATATATCGCCAGCGAATGAAGACAATATTCCAATCACACACGGTGACAGTTTATTGAAACATTGTGATGACCAAATTGTTGAATCAACAACAAAAATTGAATCTTTATCGAATGACTTGGATTCCAATTCTCAAGATTACACTAAAACTAAGAGTGAACATCAGTCTTCTCAAGTTGAAACTTGTCTCGATTCAAGGAATGAATGTGAGAGTATATTTAATAATGATGCTGAATGTCAAAGAACAACTTCCAAAAATGGTGATGTGAATTCCCAGTCAAAATTGTTGAATGGAAATTCTACTGTAAATATGACTTCCAAAAATATCTTGAATGAATCAACTATTTCAAAAGCAGACGACTCGCAGGACTCTCTTTTTCAAACGATGGAAGATATGTTTTGTGAAAGTGATGACAGCAGCGATCTTATGACGCTTATTGAGAAACACTCTTCGTCTTCAAATCAATTGGAAAATTCAATTTCGCAAACAACTTTAGAAATAGATCCGGAAAATCCGAAAAATAGTGTCGACAAGAAATTTAAATTACAGGAATGTAAACGAAAAACAAGTTCAAATATCAGTTGTTTGAAAGCCAAGAAGCGCAATGTGAGAAGCTCTCCGGTTGGATTTAATGATTTAAAGAGTTCAAAGTTTAGAAAGAAAGTGAATGAAATTTGGCTTGTCGAAAGAGTTCACCAGTCGTCGAAATTAAAATCAAAAATGTTGGAAATTTCCTTACTAAATTATCGAAAATATGGTCGAATAAAAGATAAGTTTATTGCATTATTTGGCGAATCTGACGATGAGGATTCAATGCCAGAGTCTCCAGTTTGTATTGAAGAACATTTGCAAGCTTGTAAGGAAAGAATTGCTCCTTGGATTGTGAAACATTTAACTCCATTTTATAATCAAAGGAGAATCTCTAGCCGAGAATTATTTAAAACTATCTGCAGACACGCCACTGATATGCTCATTATTAACAATACTTTTCCCGGTTAGTACTACCTTCCTTAACGTTCAATCTTTTCATTATTATTATTATTATTATTATAAACTAAATAATTAACTTTTTTTCAGATGAAGCCTCTGTCGAACATTATATGAAAGATTTCTTTCGAAACAAAAAAAGTATTAATACTGAGGCTGATATATATCTATAGCGTACTCGAGGAATAAAGCGCAATATTGTTTACATTCGTATAACATAGTCTTTAAATTTAGAAATTTATTAAATATTACTTATTAATCCTTAATATTTATTCTCTAAATATATGATTTAAGAAAATAAACATTTTTTATTAAAAAAAGAAAGAGACTAATAATAATTATTAATAACCTGAACCATGAAACCATTTTACAAAGTAGTTGTACGATTTTCGAAAGACGAATTTGAATAGGAATTTTGACAAGGAATAATAATTAAGCGAAATTTTATTAATATCTCTGTCGAAAGAAAGAATCTAAACCTCTGAATTTAGAAAATAATTTTTATTTTGATTTCTTTGCTATAAAACTAAATAACAAATTTTCTCTTACGTATATAATTATACGCTGGCGTAGAGGCAAGATGTGTTTATAAAACTATCTGCAAACGTGTTCATAATATTTGCAACGCCCTCTGAAAATAGATATATAAGCAGCAAACAATATAATTTTAATCAAGTCTTTAATTATATCTAAAATGAAAAACGACTTTTATTAGGTATAATTATTATTTTTGTCTAAAATATTTCTACAGACGCGCGTTTCACTCGAAAATAATTGTTTGCTGTTTGGATATCTTTCTTTTGAGCGCGTCATGTAGTTTATTTCCAGTCTATAGTGATTTACATTTTACTCTTTTAAATGAAAGACAATTAATAATAAAGTGTAAAGACGATGCGTACAGCTACTGTATTTAATTACATGTTTTAATTTTTTTACTGGGTAAAATGAAAATGATATTATTTACAATGAATACATTTACATATGTATATAAGAAAATATAAAGCTCAATCTTTTATAGAGTTACAATTGAGTTATGCAAATTTTTCAAAATACACGGGTCATTTTATGGGCAATATATGAAAATTATGATTTATCATAATAAAATTCTACATCTGTAACTAGATAATTTTCAAAATACATAATATTCTATTTATATTTTCCAATAACAATTTTAATAAAAATTTCTTTCACGCATACAAAAATTTAAAAACAATTGAAAAACAATTGAGAAAAATGGATATTACTTGTCAATATTTAAGACTTTATGACATAATCTATATGAATGTAGAGCGTTTTTATAATCTTAAAAATTAAATCCCCGTTTTATTCGTGTAAAAAATAAAAATTCAAATTCACTCATACATATAGTCAACAATTTAACAAGTTTTAAAATTTACTTAAAATATAATAATAAAATAATAATACATTTCGTGACTAGAAAGAAAGGTCATTATATAGACATTTTTGTAACCATATTATTTGTTTCTACATAGAAACATTAATATAAGAGAATCGAAAATATTAATTTTTACATCATTTTTAATGAGTTTTAAATTTATTAACGCACATATAATACTATAATTTTTTATATATTATTTCAGGAAAATAATATTTTATATATTTATTTGATAATAAATTTGAGTATCCATTTTTCTCCATTATACAGTATAAAAAATAACTGTTATATGTCATAAATATATGACCCATGTACTTTGTGTAAAACGGACGATCATCGATTCCGTCCCGTGAGGGGAAGTGAGAATCGAGTTGTCGCATAAAACTGCCTACAACTTTCATTCGGATAAAGAAGAAAGCTATATTTTCAAGTACCTCAAACAACAATCCATTCCTCAGATGCATGAATACTTGTGGTCAGTTCATACTTCCGTGGTATATCATATTGACATGAAATCAATGACATAGGCACATATCGCAGTTAAACTGCAGAAGGCAAATGGATTAGGTTGGATTAGGTACATTTTTTGTCGGGATGGCGTTCAAAATACACACACATTTCTTTGCGTATAAGCAGAAAACTACTACTTTGTTCAAAAACCATTTGTAGTATAATTTGTTTCTGCTGGTTGTGTCCACAGTCCGCAAAGCGAGACTGGGACATCCCGACAACAACCGAAAGCTATAGGAGTCTCCGTCCTTATATACTAACTAATGGAATTTTTCACCGCTTGTGAGAAACATTTTTTCTTGAAAAAAATAATATTTATGTCAGAAATAATTTTTTTCAACTTGCTAAAGAATAAAACACGAGAAAAAATTAGTCGGTCAATTTTTTTTTAATAATTAATTAATTAAATAACAAATAATTGTTGTTAATTACTAACTCTTAACACAGAGCAGTTGGAAACTTGCAGTTTCTTTTTCTAACTTTACAACTAATAAATCTTTAAAGTACAAAATGAAGATAATGAAGGTTATTTCCCCTCACGGGACGCAATCGATGACTGCCCGTGTAAAACACATTGACAATTTGTGTGCTCAGAATTTCGAAAATTTTATATAATAGTTGAATTTTGCGGTAGGAATGAATCATAAAACTGACTTTTCATCAACTGGCTCTTCCTTTATTGAGCGATTGCAATTCATTAGTGCTGGATTAGCTACTGCAATTATATTATCTCCACGCGACGCTATTACCTACAACAAAATTGTAAACTCTCTTAATAAATTGTACATTAAGTGTCATTTTAATAATCAAATAAATTGTATTGGAAAACTGTGATAGGTTTTTTTAGTTTAGTATGATCCCTTTAAGTATACATATATACCTTAAGATTGAAATCATTTTCATTTTCTTTATCAGTTTTTTCCCCTTCAACATCATTAGCGTCCTAAAATAAAAACAATTTGATATTACACTATATTAATAATTGAGCATTGACATACTCTCTTGAGCTTTAAATCAGTATAAAATCAATCAAAAAGTGATCTACATTATATATCTATTCATATATTGAATATATTGAATTCTTCACCTGCAGGGATTCTCCATTTGAAAAGGAAAATTGACTATCGGAGTCGCTTATTTCTTCAACATTAGAACTGAACAAACCATTATCACCCTTATCTTCCCAAACTGGACTGAAAGAACCAGCAATTTTTATGAAACACTATTCATTTAATTATGAATGTAACATGAAAAAAGGTTTCTCACCTTGTTGACTTTTGCCTTCTTCTGGTAGAATTATTAATTTCTAAACTTGAACAGCGGAGATCTAATTCCACCTGAAACAGAGAACTGCTGCAGACAGGTAGGAAAACGATAGATGGATTGATTGATAATAATCAAAGTTGATAATTCTAGTCTTTTAGTATGAACTAAGACTAGAATGTTTCATTGGAAATTTTATTTGATTAGCCTCGTCTCCATCGTGCAATTCAACAACATGCAAACATGCAATTCAAAAAAATAACCCAGCAGAAGCATCGGTCATGCTATACTTGACCTTTATTTCAGATTCGTAGAAAAGTGCGAGTGATGAGTTGCTCTACATGTGATGTGCGAACGGGTTAGAACTAACACGACTTATTAGCTGTTAGCGATATCAATCAACATTGACCATAATTGAATGTGCAAAGTAGGTCAAATTTTATTTAGGTATTTATTTTTGCTTTTAATGCCGCAATCTAACCTGTGTCGAGTCTTCACCCTCTACACTTTCTAGCTCCAGTTTTTGGCGTTTCAATCTTTCCGCGTCGCTCTCATCGCCGTTTTCGTGCGGCCTGGATAAAGACAAACTGCAAAACAAAAGAGAACAAAAGAACACAAATCACAAGGTGCGAATTGCTGACAAATTGAAATGACGAGTTGAATTTCACTCACTACTGATTTTTAGAATAGTGATATCCAGAGTCTCTGACAACTCGCCTTGCAAGGGGGAAAAGTTCATCTCTTCTTGTCAACAAGGCAGGAACGAAACTGCAAATCTGAGCAGCTGCTTCATTCACTGAAACTTCATGCAGAGTGAGTGGTTTCTCTGGTTTTCTTTTGCAATCGAATCTTCCATATATTGCTGCGTATTTCCTAATTTCTTCCATTCTGCGGGGATCGGTGTCCGACATGGCCATCACTATCTGAAAGGAGCATAAACCAGCGTGACTACACGAGATTCGGAAAGTTCACTTGGAAATCTGTCACTGCAATAGCACCTCGAGATTTTTGCATATCTTCTTCTTCACATTGTGTGGCTTCGGGTCTAGCGGCCTGAGCGAAGTCGCCAGTCTCTCTGCGGCGTCGGCGAGCTTCTCTACCTGCGAGGGAAGCAGGGTCGGCGTCGTCTGCGGCGGACTGGCCGGCGCAATCGCACTGGGACTCGGCGTGGTTCCACTTCCGCACGACGACTCGCATGCGCCGACCTCAACCACGCAAACAATTAATTGAAAAAAATCTGTTGAACGAATTCGCACGAGTCAACTCACCTGCAGAATACCTGGACTGTGAGCTGCTGGGTACGACGGAGCGTTCGGACTGGGACTGAGTCTGAACGTCGAGGAGGCGGCGGGGGTCAGTGTCGCAGGCACGACTGGACTGACGCTTCTGGAAGGCAAGGACGCGATGGACAAGTGCGACGCCACGAATGGAGTGGAAGCTGACGTCATTGACTGTGAGTTTGTTGTCAAAATTGTTGCTGTCGGATTCGCCTGCTGAAGCCTTGGACTGATGCAGGAGAATCCTGTTGCTGAACAAGTTTTCAAATTTCCTGTAGACGTTGGAACTACTGGTGTTTGAAAAAGGGCTGAAAATGGAAATTTATACTTAGGCTCAACAAATATATTATAAGTATATATTATCAAAAGAAGAATTTCCTTGAAAGAGGAAATGGATTTTTACAAGGATTCGTAAGCCATTCTTGAAGAGCCTTTTGAAGACGTCTCACGTGAAGCGGTTTACTAGCCATTCCGACAAGTGCCATTATCTCCAAAAACTCTTCTTCTCCAGCGTCGCATAATTGCTGAACATCATCGCCACCTATAAACAATAAGATACATTTATTAAAAATACATGTTATTATATTATACTTAATAAAAAAGAAGCAACATTTTATTTTACCCATTTCAAGAAGCGTGTCATAATATCCAAGGAGAGAAGCTCTCTGCATTACTCTATAAAGTTGCAATTCAGCTTCATTTTGAGGTACTGAAGTTTGAACCACTGAAAATAAAGCAAAACATTTGATTATTCATATTCGATATTTATGGAAAATAATGCATTAATTCCAAATTTCCAACTTGCATTAAATGCAAGTGAGTGCTGAGTGGTTATTGAAACATTTACGCATCAGATATTTTGATTGATGAAATAAATAAATAAAATTTGATTTGATTTGATTTGATGTTTGAAGATCAGAATGGACAACGGATCAAGTCACAAGGCAGTGCAAATAGTATTTGCTGTGGACTAGTTTCTTGCAAATTTCGAGGAATTGTGAGAAAAACATAGCGACGTGCACACACGTACCGCGTATAAATTAATACAGGTAGAGAGGCGTGTGTGGGGTTGTGGCGAGGAGAGGGGATCCACTTTTCTCGTCAGGATATAGGTGGAGGGTGTTAAAAAACTGGCCAACGGATCTTATTACGAAGCAGGACCGATCTCACGCTATACATATATATAGTGACTGCACGAAGCGATCTGGACCGTGCGTAGGGTGACTTGTCTCGCGAGATTTTTATATAGTAGTGTCCCGAGTTGCCTGCGATATAGGTGGATAGCAATGCACGCGTTTTTTGCGCCACTCAGACAACTGATGCCATATAGTTGCCATATACTTGCATTGCGCTGCATACCGCATGCGGCTATTAAATGGAACTCGAGAGGTTTTTTCGATTCCTTTAAAGTCACCACTGCGGTCACCACTGGTCACCACTGATCACCACTCTAAATTATTTACTAAGAAGCGGGGCCGATAATGTAAAGCGCATGTAAACATTTCAAAGTCAAAAATTTCATGAAATGGGACAATAATGCTCAAATAAGTGTCGAGAATTGCTTCTATCCTCGGGCACCACCCATAAAAACGATGCCCCTGCTGCTTTTACATGAAAAAAAGTTGTTATGTAAATGACAGACAATAGACATCAAATCAGTATGCGTGGTAATGCATATACGCTCACAATAAAGCTACATTGCAAAAAAGAGACAAAAAGGAGAAAAAAGTAAAATTTTATTTTTAAATAAGAGTAGGTTTTCCCGCAGAGTAAAAAGTTTTATGTATACGCAAAGGTATTAAAATGTAGAAGAAAACTAATAATAATAATAATAATAATAATAATAATAATAACAACAACAATTGATGTTAACAATTAATGTTGTGTGTGGTTGAGTGCGTGCGTATATATGCGTTTAAGAAGCAAGAAGGAAAAAGTATGATAATTTAGAAATGTAATAAATTCGTTTCTTTATAATAAGTTTATAGGTATGTATGTACAGCAAGATTCAGCAAGATTGTTCATGTATGTTGGACGGAAAGAAATGACAGAGGGTGGAGAGGGTGCGTTCTTTGTCCGATACTTGACGAAGCTGGGCGCGCTCCGACCCACAAAAACGAGTCTAGTTTCTTAGCGCCCGTTTGTGCACGGCGGTTAGTATTTCGTTTTTTGCCGACATTGTAAAAGGAAGGGTTAGGTGAGTTTTTGCTACGATTCCTCTCTCCTGGCGGCGGACAAAACACTGGGCAGATGGACTGAGTCGCCAGTGAATCCCTTTCCATCACTTCTTCGATCCGGCACAATCCGGCAGAACGAACCCCCCAAGACTGATGTGAATTATATTTATACCATAATAATGTTTCACATTCCCAATTATGACGCATGCAACAACTAACTATCTATCAGTTGTACTATTCTCATCTCATCTCATCTCATCTCATCATCAAACTGAGCTGATTCCGCGGCCGCTTGGGCGAAAGCGGCGAAAGGGATGAAAGGCCTCTTGCAATCTTATAAGTTTTAGAATAAGAATTGCCTATTATATTTCAAAACGCATAAATTATTATATTATAATTAATTCCGGATAAACTGTAAATTAAATAATACAATTAATAGATGAGATTGCATATAATAATCTACCTTTTGTAACGTTTTCCGCAGTTTTTATGTAATGAAAAATAGGAGGGGGGAAAGGATATAAAAAAAGCTTAAAAATGTGTGACGCAACTTATTGTGAACAGACTCTGTAAATGGTTGGTTGAATGAAAAAAGTAGTCGGGGCCTTGTCCCGGTGGGTCACAAGATAGGTTCAGCCCATAAGCTTCACCCCTCATTTCAACCCCTATTGCATTATTACCCACACGACATTATAAAAATGGCTGCCTGACGTCAATTAATGCCTCCATCTTCAATAACGCGCAGCTAAACTTATTATATTATTACAAATTTTAACACTACTCAAAGTATAATTTTCAATTTAACTTTTATGAAACTCCGTTTTATATAGAGCTGCATAAAAATTCAACTATGTCGAGAATCGCTCACTTTTGCGAAAAGAATCGAATTATTTCAAAATTCTAAAGAATAATTTCAAGTCAACTTTCAGTTGAAACAATTTGCATTAGTTATTCACATGACTTGAAAACATTAGAAACAGATTGTAAGTAATTCTTAATTATACAAATACTGTTATTCGAAACTTCGAAAGGACGCTGTATTAAATTTAATAAATTGCATATAAAGCAAATATGCAATACCGCATTATTAAAAATTTAATGTACATTTTCATGAACATCAATATAAATTTATATTAAATGTAATACAAATTACATTATATTTAATGTAAATGTATTAAATTTACAATAGAGCTGTGCAAATTTCAAATATTCGATTCTCTTCGTAAGAATAATATTATAACGTGGAATCGGTTCGGTTCGAATTTCGAGTCATCATGTTAAATTCGAGTTTTTGCGCACCTTTAATATACATACATATATACAAAGTTTAACAAATTTAATACAGATTTTTCCAACAGTGTATATTATTTATTTAATTCAAAACATTTAATTTAGTGTATCATCAGTAGTTATTAATGACTTGATAATCATAAATAAAGACTATAATATAAAGAAGAATCAACTAAAATAACTAAAATGATAAGATTACTTTTTTTAGTGTGTGGAATATGTCCATGGACACTGCATTATAGGTATATTATAATATTTATATACTTCTTAAACTGAGAAAATATTTTTTTTGAAATAAAGCAAAGAAAACCCATCAAAAAATTAAAAAATGTCATTACTATATGCTTACAATATATTCAGTTGATTTGACAAGCCTATTGTAGGTATTGCAAAAAGTTTGCTCTGCAAAATACACGGTCAAGTTAACAAATTTTCGAGGGGCTTATCACGTATGTTTAAATAATTATATAAAATATTCTTACACGGTTAATTGAGTCCTTTCCGCAATTAGGAATTATAGTAATTTAACTAAAAACCCTTAATATTTAATTGAATCCGCAAACTTGGGATTAACTTTATTGAAAGTTGACATTATGCAAATGCTATACATTTAATTTTTGCAACTTTTTTACCTTGCATATACTGTGTAATTTATTTTGGTTCCCATAAGAGAAATTTCTTGAATAAATTTAAAAGATTACAAAAGGGGTAGTGAGGAAGTTGTATTTCTTTTTCTTGTGGAATTTTTTTAAATTTTTTTTAAGTTTTTTTGTTTTGTTTTTTGTTTAAGCGATAATCCAGAAGGGCGATGCGACGTGATGCGTCGCTCTATACCTGTCTTAAAATACATACGTAACCATATGCATATACATATACACCGCTCCGAAAAGGGGTGCCCCCTTGTTCATCCCCTTCAAGCACCTTTCCTTGCACCTTTTGGCAGAACCTTCACGTGATTGCCTGATTTGGCTCTTTCCCGCGAAAAAAATTAAAAGAGAAAACGAGATAAAACAAAAAGAATAACCCAAGGACTTGACGTAGTCGCATCGCGCTCTCTTTTCAATAGGCCTTGCTTTTTTGTTGCGACCTCTCGTTACGAAACACTTTTTTCTAATAAGTTTTTTGTCTATGCTGACGATGTTGGTCTGAAGCGAGAGGTTTTTTTAAGCACGTCTTTTCAACATGTCGTTCCGATTTTTTACAATTGACATATCGTGGGATAGATGCTTTTCCAGTTTGCGCACTAAATAAACTTTCTATAGGTATTATAGGTATAGCTAAGCTTTTATTAGTAAGTACATTTTTTAATGCTGATTCGAGATCTTTAAAGAAAAGTTGCGAACCTTTATATATTTAAAACTTATTGTTATTTTTAAGTTTTTACCAATTTTATTTTCATTCAATCTGAGAGGATGCAAAAATTATTCATATTATATGTTAACTGACTCTTATTATTTTGACATATTATAGTATATTGAATCACCCTGCAGAAAAAAAAGTATAAAAACGTCTCGTGTAAAAATTCGAGTTTGGTACTGCAAACCCTTTTCTCTTGACTAAAAAAGAAACAGAAAAGTGTAGAAAAAAAATAATTTATTCGCACGGAAGGATTTACCGTGGGAACTAATAAATTTTTTGTGACTTTCATCTTAATACATTGACACCGTGCAAGTGCATAATGGAAAATAATTATTTATTATATATTAAATGAAAATGTATATCGCGATATTAATACATTTTTACAAATAAACATGGAACTTTCATATATAATTATATTTATCTTTTTTTAAATATCTAAATATTTAGTCAATATAATTTTTCCATAAGAATTAACATTTTCAAAAATTTTTAATTTAAACCGTTTTGAAATTAAACAACTTATAAAAAATTGTTATAAAACATGAAGAAATCGATCACCAACTGATAAAATCATTATTTTATATTATTTAAGAATATTGTTACTTTAATAACTTATTCAAAATTGCTTTCATCCACTTCAATTCAATTATTGTTATTATAATTTCCAAACTTTTTGCTTTTCAATTCATATTTAAATCAATTTTTATTAGAAAATTTTACGAGAATTCAATTATTGAAATATAAAAATAAATAATTTATTCAAGAATTAAATGTTTTTTAAAATTTAACTCTCATAAAGAATTTTATCAACAAATTTTTAAATAGGTAATTAAAAATCTTTTGACGAATAATTTTAATTTTCGAGAAATTAGGTAAAAATTGTATATTAAAAATAATTGAATTTCTGTAAAAAAAATTTGATTGAATTGAGAAAAGTTCTTGAAAATAATTGAATTTTGGAGAAAAATTTTATTATTTACCTATAAAGATAATTGAAATTTTGAAGAGAATTTTTTTAAACTTTTGACCATAATAATTGAATTTCTGCGAAGAATTATTATATTACTTTTTAAAATAATTGAAATTTTATTGAAATAGTAGATATTGAAAATAATTGAATTTTGATAAATTATTGAAATTAATTAAATTTTTACGTAGAATTTTATTAAAATTTTAGAAAATAATTGAATTTTTTCAAAAAATTGAATTTCTTTGATGAATTTTAATAAAAATGTTTAAGAATAATTATAATACATTCTTCGAGATATTCCTTTAAAATTGTGTTAAAAATAATTTTTAAAAATTTGATTATTTATTAAAAATATTTCAATTAGGGGAGAGTGGGTCAAAATGGGGTACCTTTTTGAAATTGGCTGTTTACAGAGAACCAAACGAATAAATCGATTCAGCTAAACTTCAGAATTCTTCTTTGTACACTTAGCTTTGAGGAAATTATGATAATAGCGGAGAAAAAAATTTTTGAAAGAACTTATATCGTATTTTCTAAGAAAGTGCTAAAATCCCATTTTGCCCCACCCGTGGGGCAAAATGGGGTGGCATCAAATAACTATACAAAACATTGAGTATTTTTTCAAAATTCATTAAATTCTTGTTGTATGAGATTATAAATACAAACAAAAAGTAGGATTCTTTATTACTATGAAAAAACAAGTAATATTTATTAGAATTTAACAAAAAAAAACATGGATATTACAAAATATTGATATATCGATAATGAAACATCGATAGTATAAATGCCTCGAAGCAAAAATATCGATTCTTCTGCAGGAAACCTTTAAATATGCATAATATAATGTTTTTAAATAGTTTTAATAAAACGGCGTAGCTTCCGGCATGCCCCACACTTAGGTACCCCATTCTGCCCCACACTGCATATTAAAACAAAATGCAATGTTTACAAGTTATTGTAAACAATTAAACAATCTATTCTATTGGAAATTACTCTAGAATAAGTACTGAAAAAGATCCCACACTTGCCAAATTAAATGCATTATCCCAAAAAGTTTGGAGAGCACTTTAATTTTGAAAAAAATTCATATTTTTTTTGCTTAAAACTTAAAAGTTGTATAACTTTCAAAAAAAAATTTTCTTTGGAGTGTCTTCATAATTAATAACAGTTTCTTATCAACATGAATGATATATGTCGAGAGAAAAAAAATTAAAAGTACCTATCATGGAAAAACAGAGGTACCCCATTTGACCCGCCTACCCCATTTTGCCCCACTCTCCCCTACTGCGAAGAAATTTATAAAGATTTTGTAAATAATAGAATTTCTGTGAAATTTTTATTATTTAATTAATTCACTCAAAATTGAAATATTTACAAAATTTCAAATTACAACCTTTTGAAGTTTATCTGTATTTATGAAAAATGTAAACGCAACTCTTTTAAAATTGAATTAATTTTGAAATATTTAAGAAAAAATAGATTTCAATAATAAGCACAATAACTTTAGAAAAAAATAATTTTCCAGGATTCCGATCAAAATTCCCTGACTTTTTTTATGTAATTATAAATTAATTATCTTCATAAATATTAGGACATTAGGAACTTGAAAACATTTGTTAAATAGTAAAATATATATATTTAATATTCTTTTACTATATATATACGATAAAATGATTGGCAGATAAATTATGTTAATTATTACTTGTACGGACATAATATATATAAAATAAAGGTTTCAAGCAAATAAGAGCCAGATATTATTGCTGAACAGAAAATATATAAATTTAGAATTGGGATTTTCCCTATACACATTCTGTGAATCCTTTTCTTTTCTTTTCTAAATTAAGCGCTATTCAAGTGCACTCGCCCACCATTCAAAAGAGTTCCTGATATATTTAGATTACATTCAGGTATATTCTATTTAAAATATCAAAAAGTTAATCAGACGCGAAGAGGAGGTATATAAATGTACTAGACCATTATAACATGACAGTTGAATTATTTAGGCAATTATTGTAAGCGCAGCTGTATTTAAAGTTCACATATACATTTGAAAAGTATATGATTTTCACTGGAAAAAGCAAGTCTTTAACAATTTTTTTTAAATATTCGGATCCACAATAATTTTTATTGACTTTTCTAGCATGGTGGAATCTTGATTATTATTCTAACACGCAAATAATATTAATGCAACTGCGTGTATTTTAAAGCAATTTCAATAAGAGTAAATATCTTAATTATTGAAGATACACACAAACACAGAAGAGTCGTATAATTTCATGTCTAAAAACCCTAAAAACATTAAAAGCAGGTTCCCTTTTTTGCATGCAGCTCGTATAAAGAAAAGTTACTGGCTATACTTTTTATTTGTGTACACACATCTGAACGATGGGAAATGACTCATCCTTGCAAAAAGTAAAAAGCATTTCGACTCGGGTAGTCAAGATAGAAATATATAGAGAAGGCGGGGGTGAGGGTTGCGAAGGGAGGAAAGAACGGGAGGAAGGCAAGCAAAAACGCACTTTTTCTTCCGCTTTCGGCGCGAGCATTGCGAGAGAATGTTTTTGCAGCTTCGTTCTTGTCGGACGAGCATCGTCGGAGTCGAGTCGTAAGCAGCAGAGAGAACTGACAAAAAAGTCGGTCGGTGGTTTTGCTTGGTTTTGCTGTGTTCTCTCTGAAAGTCGAAATTGCGAGAGACGAGGACGAGGATATCGCATACGATAGAAAAAGCTATATAGATAGTTATGCTGCTTGCTTGAGATGGAGACTAAACTCAGAGAAGTGCTTTTTACGCTTTTTACTTTCTTTGCAAAGCCAGAGTCTCAGCGCGAGAAACAAAATCGAGGCCCTGTAATTATGCTTTGTTAGTAACGCACAACGCAGGTCGTCGACAAAAACTTGGAAGCAACAAAAAACGACAATATATATAGATATATCTATATATAGATGGAAGAAATTGAAATGAAATATGCCTATAAAAAATAAATAAATAAATAATAGTCCAACTTTTCCTTCATTATAATTATGTATTTGCAACAAAATATTTTAATCGGTCATTAGAATAAATAATTATCTCAAACTGTAATCAAACTTGAATTATAATGGTATAAAGCTACTTACATGTGCCGTTGATGTTTCTACTGAGAATTCGGGCACTTGGAAGTCCAGATCCAGTTTGTGAGGGTGCGGTTGGTGGTGGACTGGAAATCAAAACAACGCTTTGCACGGTCGTCGGTGTCGTAACAATCGGGGTTGTGTTGGACACAGTGACGTTCTTCTGAGTTGATGGCACCGGCGAGGAAGTCGCGACGCCACGAGGTGCCTCTTCGGAGGCCGGTCCCCTCGAATCCATGCCCAACAACCGACACCTTCACTATCACCTTTCATCAACACCCCATTCGCATTCAGATAGCAACAAATTTATTTTCAATTTAGACAGAATTATTACTCACTACGACTTAGTCTCGGCTAATTGAAAGTGGTAAAACATTCAGCAAGCACTGTTTTGCTAACTTTTAACAAACCAAAAAAAACCTACAAGCTTCATAAAAAATCAAAACCAAATTGCAATTGCCACACGCAGTGAAAAAGGAAAGGCACAAAAAACTGAACAAAAGTTTATCACAGAGAAATATTTTTATAATATAAAAAACATGCAAAAGAGTTTATAAGACGCACACCCACACACACACACACACATCAAATCACAACGACGTGTTGTGCCGGCCGGCTTTTTATTATGTGTATTCACTTTTTCTTTTAGAATATTATTACTATATTCCTATTTTTCTTCCTCCTTATTATTCTTATTATTATTAATATTTTAGTAAATTATAATAGATAAAAACGAAAAAGAACACTAAGAGGAAAAATCTCTATTTTATTGCAGCTATAATTTACATATAAATTTACTAATAGTTTTCAACAACACTACAGAATCTATAATTTGAATTTGCCTTTTTTATACCATCAACAACTAATGAAAAATAATGATATTAACAATGATAAAGATATCGAGACGTGTACCGCACGATAGCGTGCTGCACATTGTTTGCAGAGAGGAGTGAGGTTCATAGTATACTATACTCAGTGACTGATCCTCAATCCCCCACCTCGCCGAAAACGCACGCAGTGAGATGTCGTGAAATGCTCATGTCCCCCATCTATATTCTACCCCCATTCCGTTAGTTTGTAGTTTCATTCCGCCCCTTCCATTTGTCGCACTGCTTAATTCTCTATATAATAAATTAGGCAAATAATGAAAAACAAATTCTTTTTATTTATTATATTTTACAAAATGTTTTTGTTATTAAATCTATTTCAAATACATAAAGAGCAAACATGTATTCATCACAACATAACATTTAACAGTAAACTCTATAAATTAACCTCGAGTAATAAACTATATTATTTACATATATTTATCCCTTAACTAATTCATTTAAGCAAAAGTAAACGTAATTTCCAGAATTTAATCATTGAGAGTGACAGAGAAGTTCAAGTTATTCTCTTATTTATTTTATGATGATGATTAATCCGCAATCAATGATATTTACATTGACACTAATAACGGAGGCAGTCTCTATATCGATAGAGTATTTTGAGCATATAAAAGAAGCAATGAGAGAGTGACAATGATTTCTCCAGTCCCAACTCAAACGCCTATAATCAAAATTTTCCTAGTTGAAATAAATTCTGCAGTTAAGAATGCAATGTAAACATATAATCGCAAGAATATTGCGCACCTCTTTGCTACTTATATAAACAAATTTCTATACAAAATTTAATATTGTCAAGTTACGTGCAAAAAACTAAAATTTTGATAGATTAACAATTTTTTTAAACCTTTATTATTATTTATAATAATTGTTGAATATTTCCAACTGAATATGAAAATTAAATTATTATAATATAGTATAAAGAGATTATATCGCTTCTATACTTTTTCATCAAAACACTTTGGAGGATTTTCTGCGACTTTTTTCAATTTCCTTAACGCATTCGTACTGATGACTTGACCACATTGCAATAACAAGAATTCCTAATTTTGCATCCTTTGAATTTGCTCGTTTCCAGTCCAATAGAAATTGATAGATAATCTAAAAATGTAGTACGTTTAAAACATACATACAATATAATAAATTATTACTATTATTATTAAGTATAATTTTTTTCTAAATACCTCATCTAAACCTCTACTACTGAAATTCTCTTGAAATTGTTCAAGTTGCCCATCAGAATAATTTAATTTTTTTGCAACGTCTCTCCAGCCAGACCCCAAATGCTCTTTTATTAAAAGTATATCTTTTTGGGAGATTTCTTCTTGACATTCACTGAGATCTCTTATACTAATTGGCATTGACTTTACTGCTTTTGATTTTTGTGAAAAACTGCTTGTTGCGTTTATATGTTGATTTATATTACAAATGAAACTCGTTTTCGGACATATTCTTACATCACTTGAATTAATTATGTTGTAATTTACACCACTCTGATTTTTCGCTGAAATGAAAAGAAAACCAAATAAATATTTATTTATTTATATCAACAGAATTATTTATCTATATATATATATATATATATATATATATATATATGCAAGTGTGCTTGTAATATTTTTTCTAAGTGTTTAATTTTAATAACTTTTTAATTTTTGCAATGCATTTTATGCAAATTGTATAAAAATCACAATAATAATGAAAGTAATTCAAAATATTGTAATCAGTAGACATTTCAGCTTAAATTACATAAGGGTAGCTCCATGCCTAAAAAATCAAAGTTGTCCCCTACTTCTTCGATTTTGTTAAAACATCGAAAATTTGAAATGGAATACATGCCAGTAAAAAACCCTAAATCGATTTCGAAAAATTTTGAAAAATTTTGGATTTACGAGGTTTTTAAAAATTTTTTTGAAATTTTGAAAATGGTATATCTCAAAGGAAAATGAATAAAATTTAATGAAATTTTCAGGGAATGCTTATTGTTTACAGACAATTTAAGAAAATATTTTATAAAAAAAAAAATTTTTTTTTTAAACAAATTATTTAAAAAATAATTTTTAAATAAACAATTTTTTGAAAAGTGCCATTTTTTTTTGCTTTTAATAACAACGATCCGATTCCCACTTATTTCACGAGTATTTTCCAAAAAAAAAATCGATGGAGGGTCTGAAACTTTAGGAGATATTGAATTTTTTGTCCTTGCGCGCAACCGTAAAAAGCGAATTTTCAGGCTATACTCTGCATACAAACTAATGTTCAAAATCACCTATAATTCGTAAATTTTAACCGAATTCAATTTTTCTTTTTGGAAAATGTCAGGCTATAAATTTGTAAGAATACTGTGCATTTTTTAAATTTATATTTGTTTAAAAAAATTATTATTTTTATTGTTAATTACTAACTTTTCATATATTGTACCTAGAGAGGTGTATTTTTTCCAATTTTGCAATTTACCGGACCTTACATAAATACAGATGCAGATTTAAAACATAATTATTAATATTTAAGCATGATTTAAACAAATTATTATTGTTTATTTCTAATTATTTACGAAATAGTATACTAGAAAGATGCAGTTTTTTCTAATCATGCAAATTGACCAAACTTTTTCAAATCCCGATTTACATTAAAAATAAAATTATAATTTAAACAAAAATAAGAATAATAATAATAATTTGTTTAAAAATTGTTTAAATAATAATTGTACTTTTAATTTTAATCTGAGAATGTCCATGCCAAAAAAATTAAAGTTGTCCCCTAGTTCTTCGATTTCTATGAAACTTCGAGAAATTGTCCCAGAACACTCGCAAATGAAAAGTGTGAAAACGATTTTATAATTATTTGTTAATCACGATTATAAATATTAAATAAATAACAAATTACCTATATTGAAAGCTTTTGAAATTTAAATACTTTCGGAGACATTGAGAACAAAAACACTTTATTGATTTTACAAAATTAAGTAAAATTAACTTTTGGAAAGTAAAATAACACAATTAATATTAAATTTAATTGTTATTAACAATTATTTAAACAATTTTTTAACCAGGTCAATTCTTATAAACAATTATTTTAAACAGATGAGTTTTAACTGAAGTAAATAATGATAAAATTATTTAATTTGTATTACGATGTTATTTTGTTTGGATTATATAATTTGTCATATAAATTTAAGAAAGTTTATTAATTTTTTGTCAATAAAAAATTTTTATAACAATAAACCGCAGCACAACTAAAACACTTATCCTATCGTTAGTAGGTATGTAATATCATTATTTACTTTGTCAAAAATATTTCATAAAATTTATTAAATTTTTGTTGCGAAAAATGTTTATAACAATAATTGTTTTAAAAAAATATATTAGTTAAGCTTTTATTCCAGAGCTATAATAATAAACTACTGATTTCATAGAAATCAAAGAACTAGGGAACAACTTTAATTTTTTGGCATAGGCATGCCCAGATTAAAATTAAAAGTACAATTATTATTTAAACAATTTTTAAACAAATTATTATTATTATTCTTATTTTTGTTTAAATTATAATTTTATTTTTAATGTAAATCGGGATTTGAAAAAGTTTGGTCAATTTGCATGATTAGAAAAAACTGCATCTTTCTAGTATACTATTTCGTAAATAATTAGAAATAAACAATAATAATTTGTTTAAATCATGCTTAAATATTAATAATTATGTTTTAAATCTGCATCTGTATTTATGTAAGGTCCGGTAAATTGCAAAATTGGAAAAAATACACCTCTCTAGGTACAATATATGAAAAGTTAGTAATTAACAATAATAATAATAATTTGTTTAAACAAATATAAATTTAAAAAATGCACAGTATTCTTACAAATTTATAGCCTGACATTTTCCAAAAAGAAAAATTGAATTCGGTTAAAATTTACGAATTATAGGTGATTTTGAACATTAGTTTGTATGCAGAGTATAGCCTGAAAATTCGCTTTTTACGGTTGCGCGCAAGGACAAAAAATTCAATATCTCCTAAAGTTTCAGACCCTCCATCGATTTTTTTTTTGGAAAATACTCGTGAAATAAGTGGGAATCGGATCGTTGTTATTAAAAGCAAAAAAAAATGGCACTTTTCAAAAAATTGTTTATTTAAAAATTATTTTTTAAATAATTTGTTTAAAAAAAAAATTTTTTTTTTTATAAAATATTTTCTTAAATTGTCTGTAAACAATAAGCATTCCCTGAAAATTTCATTAAATTTTATTCATTTTCCTTTGAGATATACCATTTTCAAAATTTCAAAAAAATTTTTAAAAACCTCGTAAATCCAAAATTTTTCAAAATTTTTCGAAATCGATTTAGGGTTTTTTACTGGCATGTATTCCATTTCAAATTTTCGATGTTTTAACAAAATCGAAGAAGTAGGGGACAACTTTGATTTTTTAGGCATGGAGCTACCCATAAGTACGTCATCAAAAGTTTAACATTATAATTATTTTAAAAAATAAAAAAGTACCACATTTTTTATATTGAAAAATTTCTTGCCATTTGTGAAAATATTTTTTTTTATTTCTTATTTCAGAATAACAGAGAAAAAAAAATTAATAAACAATTTGTTTTATTTTACATGATATCTATTTTCTTAAATAAAAAATATATTATACATATACCAAATATTTATTATTTATTCACTTGAAAGAAATATTTTTTGTCCAATTCTTATATTAAACATTTATAGCAATGCATTACCTCTTGATTTATGTTTCTTTTTATACCCATTGTTTTTTTTCTCTTGTCCGGAATCGGTGTTCACGTCATCTTCCGGATATTTGCCTTTACCACACGGAAATTTAATATCCGAGGTCGCTTCAAATTCACATGCAGATTGTCGAGACTGTTCTGTAGTTGGTGTGAAAACAGATGATCCACTTCCAGAAATTTTTGAGAGTGGAGATCCATTTATATCAAATAGATCAAGAAGATCATCTTCAGCAGGCGTTCGAGGGGTCGTTGGCGTAGCGTCTACAGTAAGTACATTTTCAAATTTGTCTTTCAAATTTGAAAGAAATGACATTTTTTTATAAGATAATTAACTTTTACACTAGGTTCCTCTTTGAAACCTCTTTTTTTTGGTATTATATGCCGCACCTTGCTTCAATCTTAATAAATTCGCAGTTGAATTCTCAGTGTCACTATAGCAACAGGTGAATTTTAAATTTTCTTTCTTTGTTGTATGGAAACAGATAATGATGATAATGCGTATACGCAATGAAAACTGCAAGATTAATAATGGATCCAATATTTGTTGCTTGTGTACTGGTTGCTGCAACTTGATTTCTTGACAACTATTCAACTCTAAACGACACTAATACATTATGGTCTTTTTATCGGAACAAAAAAAGAGATATACATATATGTATACGTTTATATATCTGTGTATAGTAATACAATATATCATCATATCATACGAATCCACATGTTATTCAATGGCACGTAAAGTTAATTTGACTGTAAAGAAAATTATGCAAACCATTTGTTAAGTCGTAAAAGTAAAATAATTTGGTAAATGTTTAATACATAAATGATTCTTTAAAATTGCACATCTACCAATGTTTATCCTTATTACTAACAAATTTTCACCACAAACTTGGAAACCTAACAATCCGTCTCTGACATAAATAATAAAGTTATCATCAAAGTCTTTTCTGAAGGCCAAGAATGATTTTTGTAGAAAAGGAAACAAATATATTTATGTTCTTTTCTATCGCATAGGTACATGATTATTATTATTAAATTGACTTGAAATTAAAAACATTGTCAATTTTCATTATATTACTTATATAATATAAAGATTATAAATGTATTTGCTGTAATTTTAATGGGCAAATAATATATTTTTAATAAATTGAATAAAAATATTAGAGAAAATTTAATGGGTTCCAAACTTTTTTCGTTATTAAACAGAGCTAAAGTAATGTAATCCCAATTACCAATATCATAATTAAAAAGTTTAATATTTGTCAAGAATTTAAGGAATAGAATATAAATGCTTTAACAATATCATTTAATTTTCCAAGGAAAATAAACATGAAAAAAACAAAACATTGATTGGTTGGTTATTTTGTATCTTTTGTACCTATAAGTAGAAAATCATGAGAACAAGAGAGATGTCAGTATCAATCTATCTTTCTTGCACTCATAATTTTTTGATTTCGGTTAATTTCGGTTTAAAAGGCCAACACACAATAGCTTCGCGGCGGAAATAGTTGGCGAACGTCAAGTATGAATTTTTGTCCTTTTCTATCTCATGCATCATCTCGTTCACCAACAATTATTGTGGTGACGGTGATCACAAACCATTTTCGTCTTTCTCTCTGACATGAAAGTGGCTCTACATTTTCTTACTTCTTCCCAAAACAAAAAAAATGTAGAGTGAAATTATGTCACGCAGCTATTTCTAAAGTCAATTGCATTACATTAAGGCCTCTCTGCCATAGCAACCAACGCAATAATACACTCTTGTAATTGTAAGTGAAGGTGCTTCTATACCTCCGGTGGATTGGTCAAGCAATCGGCTCGATGAATTTTCACGGTCGGAAAATGTACTTTCATGGCGGGTATTTTTGAATAAGTAAATGTTGAAAAGGTTTTTACTTGAAAATTTATTTAAAAAAATGATTTTATCATAGAAATTCTTTTCAAATTTATGTTAAAAAACATGTTTTATTTTAAAAGTTGTCAAATTTTAATTCAAAATGTTTTAATTTTCCAAAGAAGTGTAAAAAGCCTAATGTTTTTGAAATGCTAGTACAGACGATACAGACTGTTTGTTATGAATGTACATAACCTAGCGTTGTGTTGTCTGTTCATTATTATTTAATATAATAATAATAAAATCATTAAATTTAGAATATAATATCACAAGCACGACAACACAACGCTAGGTTATGTACATTCATAACCAACAGTCTGTACTAGCATTTCAAAAACATTAGGCTTTTTACACTTCTTTGGAAAATTAAAACATTTTGAATTAAAATTTGATAACTTTTAAAATAAAACATGTTTTTTAACATAAATTTCAAAAGAATTTCTATGATAAAATCATTTTTTTAAATAAATTTTCAAGTAAAAACCTTTTCAACATTTATTTATTCAAAAATACCCGCCATGAAAGTACATTTTCCGACCGTGAAAATTCATCGAGCCGATTGCTTGACCAATCCACCGGAGGTATAGAAGCACCTTGATGAGGGTACGGTCCCATGTTGAGCAGAAAACACAATGCAAAGCAGAATTTCGTGAGAGTGTAAAGGATAGTGATATCTGACTATCTCTCTTGCACTCACGAAATTCTGCTTTGCATTCTGTTTTCTGCTCAGCATGGGACTGCACCCTGATGAGCTATGCATAACAAGATGTGACTGCACCATAACGTTTTCCTCTCTCTCTCTCTCTCTCTCTCTCTCTCTCTCTCTCTCTCTCTCTCTCTCTCTCTCTCTTTTCTGCACACTGATTCTTTCCCATCCCTGGTTTTATGAATTTCAACAACACCAACCAACCAAGAATGACACTGCATGGTCACGTCACTGGTCTTGGTGGTCATTGGAGTGTGGTTTAGTATAGTATATACTATATACATATATACATATATAGTATTAGTATGAGGTGGTATGAGGTGTGACTATCGTAACCTTAACAGTAGTGTGTGACAGTATCCGCCTGCTAAATATTAAAGAATTTAATTTAATACATATAAAAATAATAACTGAAAAAAGCAGTTATTGTGAAATAATTAAAGAAAAGTAAGCATTATACCAAATCAAAATTCAGCAGGACTTTCAGAGTGTCTCAATTAAAATACATTACATTGAATATTTTTTATAATTTATAAGAATGTCAGAAATAGATTTAATTTTGTAAAATTTAAATACTTGAGGAACTAAATAAATCTTCATTGATTGTTTTACTAACAATCATTTTTATGCTTTTATTTTAAACATTATTTAAAGTTTTAACTGTTTTTTCAAGTCCCTACTTTTCTTGATAAACGATATACTTAACATATTATGTAGTACATGTATATAAATCTATTATCAGCACGTGACTTTTGATCACTTACTTTTTTTATTTAATATTTTAGTTATATTGAATTTGTGATTTGATAAATGCGTGCTAAAAATAATTAGCAGTCTAAAGAATATTTATTTATAACATAATATGTACATTAATTGAGAGCGAGTGTTTTAATGACAATTCAGGTTCTTATATTGAAAAGTTATGGTTTCCTAGAATGAGTTTATTTTATTACATATATATTAATAGAAAAATGATAAAATGTGTATTAGTGTATAGGTACATGCTAATAAAATAATTGGAAAACAATTTAAAATACAAAATCTTGCTTTGAGAAAATAAAAATGTTTCTAATTAAGATATTGTTCCTAATACTTTTTTTTATGAAAGTGGAAAATATTCATGTAATGAAGATATTTTATATTATTAAGGACTGATGTAACTTTTTGATTAAGGAGAAAAGTGTTGATAATTTAGGAAAGTTTTTAAAATCAGTTCTATATAATATCTCTCACAGCTTTCCTAACTAGGACACTGACACAAGTGTATACGCTCATTAGTACTTTTTCTACAATAGACGAGTCTAATTATTATTGAATAAGAGGATAAAGGAGATATGTAATATAAAAATGCATTTCAAATATTACTTAAATTTTTTTTTCTATTGAAATGAAGTTGAATTTAAAAAAGTTGCAATTCTATATTAGAATTTCTCAGTATCGTATCAATTATCTTTAATAACCTCTGATTTTTGATGTGATAACACATCATTATATAAATTTAAATATATAATTAAAGTAATCCAAAGTACGAAAATGTTTTTAAATTATATTTATTTATTTAAAAGCAAATACGGAAGATAAGCAATGTTTATTCTAAAGTTAGTTTTTATTTTTTCAGGATAAGAATTTTATAACTGCCAACATGTTTAGTTGGTTGAATCGTGATGACAGTGGAAAGCAAGAACTCTTTGAAAATGTTACTGAAGGTTTAAAGAAAATTTACAAATCAAAATTACTGCCTCTTGAGCAGTTTCATCAGTTTCATGATTTCCATTCACCACAATTGGACGATCCTGATTTCGATGCAAAACCAATGATTCTCTTGGTAGGTCAATATTCTACTGGAAAAACCACTTTTATTAAATATTTACTTGAAAGAGAATTTCCTGGAATTCGAATTGGACCAGAACCAACTACAGATAGATTTATTGCTGTTATGTATGACGATAAGGAGGGAGTTATTCCTGGAAATGCTCTCGTGGTCGATCCAAATAAACAATTCCGACCCCTCTCGAAATTTGGAAATGCATTTTTAAACCGATTTCAATGTTCAACCGTTACATCTCCTGTTCTCAAGGGCATCTCTATTGTTGACACTCCTGGCATTCTCTCGGGTGAAAAGCAAAGGGTAAATTTATTGCTTAATAATATTATAATATACAATCATGATTGATATTATTTATTGCACAATTAATGTTTACAGGTGGACAGAGGTTACGACTTTACGGGTGTTTTGGAATGGTTTGCAGAAAGAGTAGATAGAATTATTTTGCTTTTTGATGCTCACAAGTTGGATATATCCGATGAATTTCGTCGGTCAATAGAGGCACTAAGAGGACACGATGACAAAATAAGGATTGTTTTGAACAAGGCTGATATGATTGACCACCAACAGTTGATGAGAGTATACGGAGCATTGATGTGGTCATTGGGGAAAGTTTTACAAACCCCGGAGGTTGCAAGGGTTTATATAGGATCGTTTTGGGATCAGCCACTTAGATACGACGTTAATAGAAGGTTAATTTTTTAATTTATACCTATTAATTATTATTTTCTTTCGTTTTATCGATTTTCTTTTAATCAAGGCGTTGAAATGATGGGACAATGATTTAAAGTTGAAACAATTTTCCAGATTATTTGAAGACGAAGAGCAAGATCTTTTCAAGGATATGCAATCACTACCCAGAAATGCTGCGCTTAGAAAATTAAACGACCTGATAAAGAGAGCGCGATTAGCAAAAGTAAATATACATTTAAATATTTTTACGAATGAATACACTTTTATTAATAAACGATTTTTTTAATTCAAGGTTCATGCCTACATAATAAGTGCCTTGAGAAAAGACATGCCTACTGTATTTGGCAAAGACACAAAAAAGAAGGAACTAATCAAAAATCTTGGTCAAATTTACGATCAAATTCAACGAGAGCAACAAATTTCGCCAGGCGACTTTCCCGACTTGAAAAAAATGCAAGAAAATCTTTCACACCATGATTTCACAAAATTTAATCCCATCAAGCCAAGACTTTTAGAGGTTGTTGATAAAATGTTGTCAGAAGACATTGCAAAATTAATGGCAATGATTCCTCACGAGGAATCAGTATCGACTTCGGACCCACTTATTAAGGGTGAGTCTATTCTAAATATCTATTCTAAATCTTTTTCATCACATATTAACATTGTTAATAAAACAGGCGGAGCTTTTGAAGGAGTTGAGGATCAAATTAGTCCATTTGGATATAAAAGGGGAGAAGGAATTGATGCTGGTGCTGGCGAATCAGAATGGATTGTTAATAAAGAGAGATATAAATACGATACTGTATTTGATTCTCTTGGACCTTCAGATGGTAAAATAACCGGTGCAGGTATGTCAATATATTTAAATATTACTGACAAAAAAAAAAAAAAAAAAAAGAGAGAGAGAGAGAGAGAGAGAGAGAGAGAGAGAGAGAGAGAGAGAAAGAGTTCTGTATGAAAAATTTTATGTTTATAAAACAATCAAAAAAATGTCAGCATAATAATAGTCACTTTTGTTTTTTCTTTAGCACTAGAGTTAATATTTTGAATTGATTATTTCAGCTGCCAAGTTGGAAATGGTGAAATCAAAACTTCCTAATAGTGTGTTGGGAAAAATCTGGAAGCTTTCAGATATTGATAAAGACGGATATCTTGATTCAGATGAATTTGCCCTTGCAATGCATTTAATTAATGTTAAAATAGAAGGTTACGATCTTCCAACAGAACTACCAGATCATTTAATACCACCATCAAAACGCGATTTATGAAGTCAACATTTCTAAAATGATATCTAGGCAATGTACTACTAAAAAATATTTTTCAAAGAACATTAAACTGCGCAATTGAAAATTGCAATATCTTTAATACGTACACATACATACACACAATATTATAAACGTATACATATGTATATGTTTATTTCATTTATTCTTAGAGAGGGCACTAAGCTTTGTGTTATATTATTTAATTTAAATTAATATATAATTTCCAAAAAATGTATTTTCAATTTAAACATGAAATTTTTATTTGTAATTTGTAAATAATCTCATATTATTATATTTATCTGAAAAGTAAGTGCTACTCTATTACTTGCATTGATATAGGCAAGTAAACATTTGGAGATGATTAATTTATTAGTTTTTTTTATATTATTCAAAAATAGTAGTATTCTGCATAATTATTATATACATATGTATAGATATCAGAAACATATGCAGAGTAAAATTTAGTCTGCATGCGCTTCTGACAAATGATAAAAATTAAAATATATATATTGTGCTTGAACTTTATTATGCATATTAACGATCAACTTTATAAATAATTTATTTTCTTGTATTTAACAATATAGGGTTTAATTGTGAGAATCATATAAAGAAATTTTATTATAAAACACAATTTTAATTATTTTAATTATTATTTTGAGTGAAAATGAATACACAAATGTTGGAAATTTAAAAAAAAAAGTACATTTATAGGCATGTAATGACACGCACAATTTTGTAAAGCAATAATTCACCTATATACAATTTATTCCTATTAGTTTATTGCTATTTGCATTCCAAGAAATTTGTATCATTTGTGATCAATGCATACCTACTTATTTCCTGTAATGATTATACAATTCAGAAACATTGTGAAGAAATGATTTCAAAAAGTTGCCGAGTTTTGTGCATTTTAACATCTACAGAGCTGCATAAAGTTTAGAATGTAATGTCATTCTATTAACAAGAAAAGACATTTTCATTTAAGATCATTTTTTCCTATATTACAAAAAATATTTTTAAAAACTTTTGCTTTTAATATTTGCGTGCCTTCCAAACTGACTCGAATATCTGCTTATCTTTGAGTTAAGGTTACTGTTACTGACATAATAATATACATAAAATTATTGTATGTATAAGGGTATACGTTTACATCACGTTATGCAGGTTAATCCAAACATGTAATATTACCCGAACATCACGATGATAATAATAAGAATATAAATTAGTTTTACTTTTGAGTAAAATTAAAATGTCCGCTTTATCACAGTAAATAAAGGCAGTTGGCAATAGAGGTTTACATTAAACTGCAATTTTGCGAAACTTTAATGTAATATTACGTGATGATCTAGTAATATTATACGGGTTGCAATGCAAAACTTGACTTGCTGCTTTTATTTGTAAATAGGTATATACGTGATGAAACATTTTTGAAAATATTCCACTTACAATTGAAATAAATTTATATTTTTAATACACTTTAATTGTACTTTTGAAAAATATATATAAGTATTTGAAAATATTTTGCCTACAATATATTTCTCTTGGAATGTAATTTTCAAATCTATTTTTGAAAATTATACATTAATTTCCAAAATTTTTAATTATAGGTATTCATTTATCGTTCAGTTTATTAAGTTGTTCTCTGAGAATTTTTAATAATTAAAGTTTTGAGTTAACGACTCTATTATTCTATACTTTATAAGGATTGATTAATTTGATCTTGACCTGGATTATACAGTATACATATATCCTACTATGAAAATGTTTAATGTGTCAATATATAAATCTTGTAAAACTTTTCTTGAAAACATTTATTATTTATTGGTATAAGACAATTTGAAGAATCTCAAAAGATATAATGATGATGTAAATACAAAAGTTGTTTGTCTAAAAATTCTTGTGGGTAATATAATAGACTTTTTCTAGCATTTAAAAATAATTTTCAAATGACCAAAGATAATGTAATTGTTTCTAAATTCACAATCATCATATAAGACAATAATGGTACTTATATATTATGGCACTGCGCCTGCGAAATGGAAACCAATATTGCGCACTGGTCAGTCTGATCAGGAAATTTTCGCGGATATAACTCTTTGTAAAAAAATAAATAGTGTTTAATTTTGAAAAATTTGCCTAGAATCACCCCAATATTAAAGTACAATTTACAACAAAGGGTTCAGTCGAAGAACTTTATTTTATACATGTAAACATTATTATTTTCCTCAAGCAACTACATTGGATTATTCTTTACCTTATATTTTTGCAAAGAAGTCACATTCCCATAATATGTTTTTAAGAAATTTCTTTTTAATTTTTCTTAATTTCAAACGAAAAGAGTTTGAAAACTTTCTTATATTATACACCTAGCAATTTTCTTTTCAATTGAATTTTCATAAATAATGAATAAATTAAAAATAATAATTTGTTCCCTTTATTAAAACTTGATCAATATGAATAAGATGAAAAGTAAACTTTCGATATTTTTTGGTGATTATGCAAGACTGAATTACAGTTGAATATTAATATGTGTGTCCAATAACTTTCACTTTTAAATCGCAATGATGTGTTGAAAATCTTTTCAAATAGATGTACAGAAACTATGCGAACGAGTTATTGTCAATAAGTGTGTTTAATATTGTATACAATAATACTACAAAGAATCACGATGAATGGCAATCCAAGTTTTGATGGCTACGATATTGAAAGAATCACAAGCAGCTCCAGTTTGTCGGCTGTAAATCAACAGAGTCAAGGGGTTGCAGCCCTGCTAGTCATGCTGGCTGTCCTCCTCTTTATTTTCGCCTACTGCTGTTGGGGTGCTCCATTTTGCAGAAGTCTCTGCAAGAAATACTGTTGCTGTCAATTGGAGGACCCCGAATCGGTGGATGTCAGTCAATTTAATATTGAAGACCGATCACGAATGGTTGCTACACCTACTATCATTCTTTTGCCGCACGGAAGAATGCTCGTCGTTGACAGTACTGTTTTCAATCAATTTCAAACTGATAATACTGGCAAGTACATTTTTCATTCCATATATCGCCTTTCGCATAATCAAAATTTATTCATTTTACACATTTTCATTTTACAGGGCTGGATTTAGTTGAATTGAGTGGACGTGCTATTCAGATGAACGCTGATAATCCAAGAATCATAAATCGTCACCAACTGCAAAGTAGTCACGGAAGCATTTTAACAACAGATGGTGAATCACCGAGTAAAGACAGTTTAACGGACAACAGATTTCCACCTCCAACATATGAAAGTATTTATGGTGGAAAAGAAGAAGGATCAGTTCCTCCTTCCTACTCTGACATTCTACTACACAGGTATTATTATTATTATTATTATTATTTTACTTGGAATGTGGGCAAAACGCTAAAAGAATACAAGTTACTAATATTTAAATAAATTGTATTACACTAGATTCGCCACTTTGCCTTATGATATTGATGTCATAGACGCAACCTACGGTGGAAGTAAAGAAGAACTTGAAATGAGATCATTAGGAAGTGAAAGTGGTCATCGCATCATACCAAATCCAATAAATAGTTTTTATTCAATGGCCAACAATTTTTCTAGTCAAAGTATAGCTTGCGCCAGGAATTCTTCTCTAAATCTGGATGGATATTTTTTAAACAGTGCTTGCCACTTTGAACAAGACATTCATCCACAAGTGGACAATATAAATTCCATTTCTTCACTTTACATCAATTCGAACGACGAATTCCCACAATCAAGAAACGAAACATCCTTGTGTGAAGAAAATAATATTAATCAAAATGGAATAGAAAATTCGAGAAACATTGCCAGGGAAGAGCCTCAGTCGAATTTTAATTTAGAACTTGATGAAACTTTTCGAAATAATGAACGAAATCGAGATGCTCACACTAGTAATAATAGAATATTGTCAATAGAAAATTTTCCAGAGACTTCATTTAATGTTAATTCAGCAGATTCTGACGATCCAAGAGATTTTCAAGTTTTGCCTGATATTCGTGAAAGTCGAGTTTAAATAAAAAAAAATAAATAAAAAATTAAGTGTACATGTATGTATTTTGCGGGGAAAGGAAATATGCAGTGAAATTAATACTTGAATTTGGTTCTCTAATTATGTAAATGCAAACTTTTTAATATTAAGAAACACGCGCAATCAGATATTTTTAATAGTCGCCTATTATGAATTAAAAATGTTTTAAAAACAATCATTCCGTCCATCAAACACAAGAGAGCCTTATATGAATAATAATTAAAGCACGAGAGAAAAACATTCATTTACGTACTATATTTCACAAATTATTTCAATGTCGATTTAAAACTATTAATTAATAGAGAATCGACAACATTGGTTAGTTATACATTTTCTATCAATTCAACATATTATATAAAGAGAATGAAATACGGAGTTTCAGTTTTTAGTAAAAGAAAAACAAAAAATTCTCTTTTTATTTTAAATCAGTGTATAAAACAACTTTATTAATATAATAAATAACAAATATTTCTTTTTTTACAGTGGTGTAAATTCATTCGTCATTATCACTATTCTCTTCAACTGGTGTATTTTTATCCCAATCCTTTAATGATGCACCCATAACAAAATCGTCCCTCAAGACTTTCCAAACATTTTTCTTTTCCTACAACACAAGGACATACACATATAATTTTTTTAAACAAATTTTTAATTAATTTTTTTAACTAGACAAAATATAAAACAAACCATTGGTGTTCCGTTTTGCATTACTGATTCATTTGCACAATTATCAACTGTAATACTTTTAGTTCCACCCATAAGGACATCGAGGAAAGCTTTTTTATCAATGTCTTTCAAAACTTTTTCACGTTTTCTTTCCAAAGGTCCTGCTTCAACTAATTTCTTGTCAATATCAATCTGTTGATGCCTCACTGCATTAAATAATTGTAGAACGCCTCTGAAATTAATAGAAAAAACATAAATATATCTACACAACTATTTTAAACTAATAATTTTTTGCATTTACAAAAAGAAAAGACAAATGAAACCTTACTTAGTAGCAATTTTTTGTAGAATCCTTTCTCTTTCTCTATCTAAGTGCGAAGGTTTTATTCTGATTCCAGACTTGAATATTTTCTTGTTTCGTTTTTTCTCTTCACTTACTTTTTCGTCGACACTTTCTTTGACAGTTTTATTTTTAAAATTATCATTTGTATCTTCAATTTCAAACGAAAGTGATTGTTTCTTTTCTTCCAAGTCATTATTACAATGTTTCTTAGCCTTTGACAAGACAATAGATTTTTTTCGCTTTGGTTTTTTGTTACTTAAAACTTTTCGCATGGCATCTGCCCAACCACTATTTACTTTACTTTTGTTACTATCATTTAATGAAGACTTGCACATTTCATCCTCATGTTTGTCGCCTTTCGAATTTAATTCTCCTTCAGAATTAGAAATCTCTTCATCAACATTATTCACAAGCTTTTCCATTTCAATTTCACTTTGGTGACTATTACTGTCAGATTCATCTTCGCTCATCATTTCCACTGTAAATTAATAAATTTAAATAAATTTTGATAATTAAATTTTAATCTATTTGAAATAGTTTGACCCTGTATCAAAAGAGTAATTTACAATTTATATTACTTCAAAACTATTAAATAAATTAATTTTATTTAATGTATTTTAAATAAATAGATGTACTCATCTTAAAAGAATGAAATAAATTTTAAGTTCAAAGCGTTTATATGCCACAATCAACAATGCGGCCTAAATGCCAAACATAACCTTAAATTTAACACATATTAATATAACTCTGCATATATAAAATATGTATACATACAATTTGCTGCCACACAATGATTTTTATTCCCCTTGTTATATCACAAATTAATAAAACTGACTTTTTTAAATATTCCAAAAACACTTACTAGAATAATTCTTTGAAGATTTGTCAAACATTAACACTTTTCAACCTCCGAATGACCGAATGTAAAAACACGTGAGTGAAGTGATTGTCAAGTGATTGTGAAGTGTCGTGTGAATGGCCCAAGAATGGCCACGGGTCATATAAAACACAGAGAAACCTTCAACTTTTTGTGTTGATTTGAATATGGTTATTATAGGGTCTTTCTGCAACGACCATTTGTCCATTTTTCGTCGACTCCCCCTCCCCAAACCCTTGGAGTAGTAGTTTATGAACGACCCTTCAGGTCTAGCTGCCATATTAAAAAAGGACAGTTATATGTTTGTGTTTTTTTCTCTCTCATTCTCTGAAAACAACAATAGAAAAGAAAAGGCAGGAGCGGCAGGAGGAAAATGACACAATGGAGGATTCTTCATGTATTCGATTGTATTAAAAAAGAAGAATAATAACAATACGGCGAGGAGAATTTATGAGTTTCCTTAGATATATGAATAAGTGATATGAATACATGTTGTAGTTATTGAAAGCTATGAAATCCATGAAGAAGATTAATAATTATGTAGGTGATATTGTAATATGGTAGGTTTCTCGTATTTTTTAAATTATATATACTTTTCTAGCAATAGTTTAGTGTCATTATTTAATAATAATAATTAAAACTAAAGTTATTTCTACCTTAGAAATTTACTATTTTATTTCCAATTACGGTTTATGAAATAAAGTTTTCGTTAAAAAAATGGAATCATTTCTAAAAATTACATAATAATTAATTTTCTATTTATTTACATTACATTGTGTTGATATGTAGCAATTAATAATAATTTTCCTTTCAACAACATAGGTATGTATTTTATTAATAAATGATATTTTGTAATTACTTTCAGTATAATAATACTTCTCTCTGTAAGCTTGATTTATGGGTCAACACAAATAGTCAAATCGTTTTTAGGAACTGGGGAGCAAATTCTCACCTCGTCTTTTAATTATAATTGGATAATTCGTCTCACTTTAAATACGTTAGGTTATCTTACAGTATTATTACCCGGATTTCTTATTCATAAATATGTTCATCATAGTAAATATCTACAAAGAGAAGGTAAAGCAAATTTAAATTACTTTAATATCTTAGTACTTTTTAAGGAAACCATGTGATTATATTAGTTCAAATCAATGAATTTAAATTCAGTCCTTTTTATAAAGAAAAAAATCATTATTTTAGGAAAAAGATGTTTGCCAAAATTGTTGCATGCTTGCTTCATTGGCTCTGGTCAGTCTGGTGGTCTTTTAGACTCGACGCATTTCACACCACAAAATTATGCGCATCAACAAACTTTTATTCAAGAAATTTTATTACTTTTATATTGTTTCCTGGGACTTCAAGTTAGTTATCTGACATGGGGATATTTACAGGAGAAAATTATGACACAAGTAAATAAACAAAGAGATGTGTAAATTTCAAAAATTTAATTCTTTCCATGAAAATTAGCATGAAATACTGTGTTTATTGTTAATTGATGATTATGTTAATTATGTTACAGGAGTATATTGATGACTATGGCAATAAAAGTCACTTTAGAGATTCCCAATTTTTAGTCTTTGTGAATAGAATTTTAGCATTTATAATGTCGGGACTTTATTTAATGGCTCAAAGACAACCTCACCACACAACACCTTTGTATAAATATGTATTTTGTTCTTTATCGAATGTTTTAAGCAGTTGGTGTCAATATGAAGCACTTAAATTCGTCAGTTTCCCATCTCAGGTTAGTAGATTGCCAGTAAACGAAAATATTACATAATAAGTTCCAGATATTTGTTTTTACTTGTTTCTTAATTTTTTTGGTTTAAACGTTTTGGATTGATGACTTGACTTATTTACTCATTTTTAGGTTTTGGCAAAAGCTTCAAAAATTATTCCTGTTATGATAATGGGAAAAATTATTTCACGCAATTCTTACGATTATTACGAGTATGTCACTGCATTTTTTATTTCCATTGGTATGACCATGTTCATGTTGGGAAGTACTGATTCTAAAACAGGTAAGAAATTTATGCACGTACCTATAATGACTTATAGAATTAATCCAATGATCGATACAAATAATAATAATAACAACAACTCTTTAGATGAAGTTACTACGTTTTTTGGTATTATACTACTTGCTGGATATATGATACTTGACAGTTTCACAAGTAATTGGCAAAATTCACTGTTTACCGAATATGGAATGACAAGTGTACAAATGATGTGTGCAGTTAATATGTTTTCATGTCTTCTAACATCAACATCACTTATTCAACAGTCAACGTTTACTTATTCTTTAACTTTTATGACAAAGGCAATAATACATTATTATATATTATTATTATTATTCAATTTCAACGAAAAGCAATCTTTTATTAAATTAATTTTTTTTAATTTTAGCATCCAAGGTTTATTATAGATTGTTTATTAATTTCAATTTGTTCAGCTAGTGGTCAATTGTATATTTATTATACAATTTCAAAATTCGGTGCAGTCACATTTGTCATTATTATGACCATAAGACAGGTAAACTTGAATCACTTATTATTTGGTATGAATAAAATTAGAGGGGGAATTACAAAAGTTTGCACCATGCATGCAAACACGCATTTATCACGTTTCTTTAAAGTACATTAAAGTCAATTTTCAAATTTTAATGCCATCATAATTATTAATTGTTAAATTTTTCAACATTCTTCTAGAGTTTAGCAATTCTACTATCATGTTTAGTCTACCATCATCCAGTTACAAATTTGGGTATTTTTGGAATACTTGTAGTTTTCTTCTCCGTCTTTCTTCGCATTTATTGTAAGAGCCGACTGCGGTTTATTAAGAAGCAAAAAACAGAAGTGAGTAATCTAAGATGTTAAATTTTATGATTCAATTTATTGTTTTATTATTTGTCTTCCTTGTTTTTAAATTTATTATATATTGTGTACTGGAAATAGAGATATTTTTAATGAGTTTAGAAAATAAAAAAAAAATAATAAGCTTACACCCAATAATTAAATTTATTTTAACTGTTTAAGAAATATTATAATTATGTATAAGAAATCATTATTGAGAAAGATCTGTTTTTTATAATATGTTTTAAAAAAATAATAATTTTCTAGTCAGATTTATTAATACTATATACCTACCTACCTACCTACTTTAATATCATCAAAACATTACGTAAAATAGACGCATGTTTAACTTATACTTTACAGAGTTGACATAAGTGTGTTTCTTTTTTTTTAATTTTAAGTTATTTACGAATTCAATATATGCATATATATATTATGAACTATACATCATACTTTTTTTTACTGTTAAAATAACTAAAAATAATAGGTAATTTTTAAAAAAGTACAGAGAAACTTTTCGACATTAGTTTTTGTTGCGTTTATTAAATATATAAGTACAAAATACGTATAAAAATACAAATGTTCTGCGATTACATGCTTTCATTTTCTTAGAAAATGTGATGTTATTAATATTCGTACAAAATTTTTAAGTTTAATATAATAGGTAATAAACAAGATACATTTTTTTCTATAAATAAAATGCAAAAAAATAAAAGTTTATATATCCTTCCATCCTTAGACTTTTTAAATACGTATTTATTTTCAAGCAGCAAGCTAATTTAAATTTCAAAAATACAATACAATAAGGCACATTTTTTGGGTATATAATAAAATTATAATTAATCATTTATTGCTTTTAATGCATAAAAATTATTAATACAATACATAAATTGCTATAAAAAAATAATTTTTAATGCTTAATATGTTTTTAAGTACAAAAACGAAATGAAGAAAATAAACTAAACTTTTTCTTAATATTAAACATAATAAAAATACAAACCAACTTTGTTTTCTATTTTCTTTTTTGTTTGTAGGCGTAAAAAATTATTGTATATTTTTAGTCAAAATAAGAAATTTACAAAAAATTAAAATTAATTTCAATTTCAATAACTTGTTATACAATTACAATAAAAAAACTAAATAAATATTATTTGCAAAATTAAAAGTACCTATATTTTGTAGAATAAATGTAATGTGTATTTGCAACTGTCGAGTGGAAGACACCTTTGAGATACTTAAGCATTACTTAATTTAAAAAAAATTGAAAGTACAAAGGAATTAAATTATTGCATAATTTCAATGAATGAGAACAGAACTTGAAGTCTAGATTGCAAAAGTAAATGAAATATTTCAAATAAACATCAAATTTGTTTGACAATTGCTTGTATAAATGCAGATTATACTTTATGCATAATAAGAACATTTAATGAAATATTTAAATTTTTCGTATTTTTATATTATATTATAGAAAATGTGTCCAATGCATTTTACAAAATCTATTTTAGACTTACATGTATTGAAAATTATTATATTTACATGCACTATTTCAAGTCTACGTATATTATTTAGATAGGTATACAAAAGAAAGGGTTTGTCTTCATTTTAATGGAACAAAAAATCAATATTTTAACAATTGAAATGTCCGAGAACATTCAAATCTTGTTAAAAGTATGAAAAAAGACACCTTACATTGCGATCTGCTCAAAAGTCTTTCTTTTATAAAGTTTTATTTAGACAAAAAAAAATGTTAAACCTTCACTTCTACAAAAACAGAGAGATTCATTTTTGAAGATTTTAATATACATATTACCAATATTTTTCTTGCTCTTGATAAAAAAATAATATTTCTATAATAAATGGAACAAATTTTTAGGAATATTAAACTTGAAAAAGTAATCTCTCCCTCCTAGAATTAATATATAGCACATCACTTTTCACAAAGCTTTCAGAAAACTTGTTGCAAATAAAAAATAGTCATGAAAATTAAGTTTTCATGGCAAATTAACAGAAAAATATCACGATAAAGTTAAAATTAATTGAAAGAAGAAAAAAATTAACTTTCTTTTTTAATTTTTCAATATTTTTAAGAAAAATTTTCTGCAAATTTTTTGTAAGCATCCTAGAAAAATTTTCACTAACTTCTATCACATATATCAGGATGACATTTTATTATTTGACACAAGTTTACCACAAAAAAAAAAAAAAAAAAAAAAAAAATGAATGAATGAAAAATTTGGTGTTATCTGAACATTTCAAAGATTAAATAACGCCGAGATGACGAGACCTACTTATCGGGAGCAGCAGCAATAGGCAATGTTTTCAGTTCCTTTACAAGAATTCCATTTTGATTAATTTTCAAAAAATTTTTAGTCAACTCTGTCCCGTTTGACAGAAAGAGAATTGCACTTCCATTTTGCATTAAATTAATTGTTTGTGCTTGTTTACCAAATAAGGTCATTTTTCCATCCTTGGTAATATGAAAGGCCGACTGACTTTGAAAATGAGAAATTGGAATTCCACAGGGTTCGACTATAACTTTTTCCTTCTGATCTAAATTCAAATTAAAGACAGGTTTAGTCTCAGCATCAATCAAATCATCACCATCTTCATTATTTAAAAAACATTTTTCACTAAACGCATTTTCTTTTATGATTTCCATGTCTTTAATATCTTCTGAATTATTTTCGTAGTCCGTTATTGGATCGTCTGGTAAAATTTCTTCTGCTTCTTCTTCTTCTTCTTCTTCCTCTTCTTCATTTTCATTCTCTTCATTCACAAATTCTTCAGTTTCATCAAAAGGAATTTCTTTTATTTTCAAAACTTGGAAAGGATTAGTATCGACATTTTCTTCTTCATTATCACAAAAAACATTCACAGAAGTCGAACATTCATCAAAGTCGTGAGAATTATTTTCTATCTGAAAATGTTGAGAAATTTTATTTCGTTAAAAAAATGCATATACTTAATAATAATTATTACAATCAACAATTGAATCATTCATTACATATAAAAAAGTAGTTTAGATTTTTATTTTACCTGAACTTCATGAATTACATCAATGTCCTGCAAAACTTGCTCCTCATATCCCAAGATTTCTTCCGCAATATTTTCATTTTCGTACTCATCAACGTTATATATTTCTTGATTATCATTATTTTCGTATAAAATTTGAGTATTAGATTTCATAAACTCCAAATCTGTTTCATCAACTGTTTCATCTAAAACAATTGAATTTTCCTCGCTGATTGGTTGACTGATTCTGTCAAGTAGATGATGTGTAGAATTAAATTGTTCATTTTCAGTGTCTTCAGTCTCAAAGAAATCAGTCTTACAAACGCGAGACTCCTCATCATCATTATTCTCCATTTCTTCAATTTCACTCGTAATCGTGAAATTATCGTATTTCTCTTGTTTGCTTTCTTCCATCCAAACAGTCCCTTCGTCACTGGCTGTGAGTTGATGATTATAATTTTCATTTTCGTGAACGTCACTGTTGGATTCATCATACTGTCGTAAGATTGTTTCAGACGCAATTAAATTTTCATCAATAACATTGGTTTCAACTGTTGCTTTCTTTTTTCGACTTGTACGAACTTTCTGGAAATCTTCCTCCGAAAGATGAAGCAACTCACCTGACGTTGTTAAAACTTTCCCATGTCGTGTTTTCAAATGACGCTTATAGGTGTTGCGTGTTTTAAATCTACAATTAACATAAATACATTACAAATATAGAGAGTTAATTAAATTTAATTAAATTTTTTTCATCTATTATCTTCATTCTTACCTTTGACCACAATCCTCACAGCCGAAAGGTGCTTCGCCAGTATGTCTTCTTCTGTGCTCTCTGAAATGTGAAGGATGTCTGAATTTCTTTCCACAATCGGCACAAGTGAATCGCGTTTGATTCTGATGAATTAACATGTGATATTTCAAACTATGTCGCCGTGTAAAAACAGATCTACATATTCTACACTCGTAAGGTTTAATTCCCGCATGACTTCTATAATGAGAAACTAGAGTAGTTGGCGCCGTAAAAGTTCTCGGCGGATCACAAATTCGACATTGAAGATTATTTCCACTTGGATTTCCTTTCTTTTTTATTCGATCCATTAAAAGCAGAGCCATTTCCTTTTCCTCTCGACTCGTGCCAATAAACTTTGCTTTTCCTTTTGGTTTTGCAGGTGCAGGACTTTCCATATTTCTCGCATAAACCTCCTCCGTTTGAACGGGTTCTTTAAAGAAAATAATAATAATAAAAATTCAAGAAATTTTCATTCAAATACTGCGTTATTTTTTATTTTTTCTTTTTACTTTTTCTTTTGAGAATTACACAAACCTGGCAGATAAATTGGTTCTTGATTTAAATCTTGGTTCTTTTCAGACAAATAGGGTACTTCTTTCATGTGAACACCGTCGCTTTGCACCACCATTAACATGATCTAAAAATAAAAGCATTACATAAGCGAAACAAGAATCAAGTTAAATACATTGGGTTAAGATACATAAATACTCTTCCTTCATTTACCATTCTAATAAATAATTCAAGTTTATTAATTATAATAATAATAATAATAATAAAATTGCATTTTTCTCAAATTAATTATTTTATTTGTGATTGAAAAGCAACATGAAAATAATAATATTGTTAGTGAGAGAAAAAAAATTAAAATTGGAATATAAAAATATTTTACTAACGTTTTCATTACAAGTTGTAGGGATAATTTCATTATTGTCGTTTGACATTTCAAGTAATTCGTTATCTTTTGTAGATTCATAATAACTGTGATCGCCCAAAACTTTTACATCGTCTTCATTTAACGCTTCATCAATAATGCCTTTACTTTCTTCTGGAACAAATTTTATTTCATCTGTTAAAATTTTTCGCAAATAATTTGTGGGCTTTTCTGATTTTATATCCTTGTTCTCTTTATTTAACAATTCTTGGGGTTTCTTAGTTCGTGGCACTTTTGTTTTTTTGCTTTGTAGTTTTGTTTTCTTTATTGCACTTGCTGTGAATGTTGTGCCTGTAAATAAAATTTTTAAAAACCATAATAATAAAGAAGTTTAATTTTTCTTTTTTTTAAATTAAAAAAAAAAGATTTCTTACAAGTTTCATTATTTGTTTTTAAATATTCCAAATGATCCTCCAAGTGGGCTTTTATAGACATTCGTGCCTTGCTTTCACTAGCAAAACTGGTATACTTTTGTTCACAGTTAGGCATTAAAGCGCAAACGTATGAATACTGTCTTTTTAATTCATCACTCGTAAATATTGAAAACTGTTTAACCAATTGAGTTATTGGCATTGAAAGTAATTGAACGACAGTGTAAGTTAAATCCTGATTTTTTCGCTTTAAGCATTCTGATTTTGTTTTGCTTTTATTTACTAATATCTTTCCACTTTGCTCTTTTTCTGAATGAAGAGTTTGAGATGCGACTTCAGCTAACATATCCAGCAAAGCTGCTGGACTATCCCTTCCTACATTCTCTATAAAAAAAATAAATGACACAAAAATAATTGTTCATTTTTCTCTTTATTCATTATTATATGAAAAGAATTTTAATTTAACAAATTTCAGACATCTTAAAAATTTCAATTCGTAAAATAATAATAATAATATTTGCTATATAGCAATATAACGCATTTATTATAAATATTAATGTAGGTGAGAATTAAAATTCTAATGATATCCACTTATAAAAAATGTAAAATCACACAAGATTAAAATTTCCTCTAACTTTAAAAAACATAAATCTATATACAAATTATTTAGCCAATATTGTGCATTTACATATTTGCAAATTGTTTCATTATTTTCATGTTATCGCACAACTCATCAAAGCTGGCTTGTTAACACTTTAAACATTTTCTAAAATAAAACCAAAAGCGTTAATTTTTAAATAAATAAAGCTGTTAATTTCCTATTTTATACATATAATGAAATAAAAATAAAATCATTTTCTTGGCGGCGTCAAACTAGCAGACGCCATGAAGACGCACAGCAGACGGAATTTCGAAAAAAAGATGTTTTGACATTTCTACTCCCAGACACTTAACAAGTCTCAAATAATATTTATAGTTGTAAATAAAGTATGATGATATTTAAAATTTATTACCTTCATCATAAAAGTTCTGAACGCTTTTTAATCCTTTTTTAGAATTCATTTTAAAGTATAAAATTCTTTAAATATAATCGTTTCACACTTTCTTTTCAACATCCATCTTTTTATACACAATCTTTACGATTTGACATATCGCGCAGTCGGCGCAGTGCAAGAAACTTAGGCTGCGGTTACACCTCTGCAGCAGCCTGTCTGCCTGCAGGTTGTCATGGTAAAGACAACGCAGAATAGACTGTAACCGGAACCGCAATCGTAAGCGTAACCGTAAGAATGAGTTAAAGAAGGATAGGTATATTGTTTATCCTTCTCTAACTCATTCTTACGCTTACGGTTACGATTGCGGTTCCGTTTACAGATCTATTCTGCGTTGGCCTTAACGTACAAGAGTAAGAGAGTCAGTGACTTCAAACTTCTCCCTTACTCTCGTTGCTCCTGCCTGCGCAGGCAGGCAGCCTGCAGAGGTGTAAGGCTGGAGTCCCATGGTACCGTTTTGCGTTGCGTTTTGTAACTAGGCAATGAGTGCAAATAAAGCAAACATATATCTGTATCTCTCTCACACTCATGGCCTAGTTACAAAACGCAACGCAAAACGCTGGCATGGGACTCCAGCCTAACCGCAGCCTTTTTCTCTCATTGAAGGCTTAGGGTGCGATCCCATGTATGCAGAATACGTCGACCGAAAGCAGAAAATCATGAGAGTGAAAAGAACAACAATATCTATCTATCTCTTTCGCACTCATGATTTTCTGTTTTCGGTCGACGTATTCTGCTGTAATGGGATTGCACCCTTAAGGTGCTTTTATACCTCCAGTATTTTGGTCAAATCTATATTGGAGTAAGAGAGAAAAACTGTGTATAATATGTCTCTCTTACTCCAATGTAGATTTTACATTCTGGCCAATTTTTATCGTATAAATGCTCCATAAAGAGACAATAGAATGTCTGTCAAAGCCAATCAAAATTAGCCCCACAATCGCGAAAATTCATTCATTCGTTTTTGGAAATTCTCTATGAGCATAGCCAATCAAAACGCTGGACGTTTCTGATATATTTAGAACGGAGGAGGTGTACAAGCGCCTTTAATTTACAAACGTGTAAAATACGTGAAAAAACCCCATGTAATTTACGTGACGTATAAGTGACGTACATGCATACACACTAAGTATGAAGTAGTTTCTCAACCCTGATAAAAGAACGCAACACAACCAATTCACACAAATTGACTACACATATATAGAAAAACTTTCGCCATTTTCTTGTTTCAAGAAACCACGCCAATCGCCATACGGGTTAAGAAGAAGGAAGCAGCAAGTGCAAGAACAAATACGACTACTTTTCATAAAATTCTTTATAAAGTGAATAGAAATACTTGATTGCAATAATGTCTCACGGCGGAAGGAATGAATGTCGAATCTACGTGGGAAATCTTCCTCCCGATATAAGAACCAAGGACATCCAAGATCTTTTTTATAAGTTTGGAAAAGTGACATTTGTTGATTTGAAGAATAGAAGAGGACCACCCTTCGCTTTTGTGGAATTTGATGATCCTAGGTAATTTAAATTTACTACTAATTGTCGCAGAGTTTTCCTTTTGTAAATTATGAAATTAAATTGCATATAAAATATTTCCTTTCTTTAGAGATGCAGAAGATGCCGTTCATGCAAGAGACGGTTACGACTACGATGGCTATCGTCTTCGAGTAGAATTCCCTCGAGGCGGTGGTCCAAGCAATAATTTCCGTGGTGGTCGGGGAGGTGGTGACAGTGGCAGAGGTGGTCGAGGCGACATGAATAATTCACGAGGCAGAGGACCACCTGCTCGTCGTTCACAGTATCGCGTTTTAGTCACTGGACTTCCTCCTTCCGGAAGTTGGCAAGATTTAAAGGATCACATGCGAGAGGCTGGAGACGTTTGTTTTGCAGATGTATACAAGGACGGTACTGGGGTCGTTGAATTTTTGCGATACGAGGACATGAAGTATGCTGTGAAGAAACTCGATGACTCTCGATTCAGATCTCATGAGGTATAATTACTTGCAAGTCATTTTACCATTTTACATTTAAAATTTAATTTCACAAGAAATTTTAACCAACAAAATTGCTTCTAAACATCCTCATCCTATACATTTTTTTAGGGAGAAGTGGCTTATATCAGAGTAAAAGAGGATCATACCGGAGGTGACCGAGGCCGTAGTGAAGATCGAGAGCGAGGAAGGTCACGTTCTCGAAGTTACAGTCCACGACGTCGTGGTTCACCAACATATTCACCATTACGACGTCATACGCGCTCTCGTTCAAGATCCAGATCTCGCTCTTACGACTAGTGTGTACGTATATTCCCCACCTGATAATACAACCAATACTGTTTCAGATTTGTGCATTTTCACGCTTAATTATTGCTGATTTGAGAAGCAATTTCATTCAAATAAAATATTTTCAAAGTGTATCAAAATTTAAAGAGAAAAGAAATGTCAATTTCTTCTCCATAAAATCAAAACAGCAATACAAAAAGTGGGACTTGAATATTTTGTAATATTACGTCGAATTATCAGGCGCAAATAGATACACACAAACAAACAAACACACACACATACACACACACACACATTGAATTTAAGTCAAGAATTAAATGCAAAGTCAATGGAAATTTACATTTAATTGGAATTTTCATAATTTAATCTATATCTAACAGTAGATTTTTTGTATACTTTATAAATTGACTTTGTCGTAATAATCGTTAAGGTAAAAATGAAACATTCCTTTGTGGGTTTGAAGCTCAGATTTTAATGAGGAAATTTTGTTTCTAGTATTTTATGCTGTTATAAATTAAATTATTTTTCAATGATTAAAAACTAATTTTAAGGAAGTTGGAAGATGAAATTTATTAGTATTAAAAAATTTTTAATTCTAATTCTTATTATTTGTGATCATGTTTTTAATAATATTTCAGTAGGTATGTATTTCAATTTTTTCTTCTTTTTTCTTCCTTTTTCTTTTGTTATTCAAGACTTTCTCGCAGTATTAATTCCAATTTATAATAATTTGAAATCAAGAAATATTAACATTTTTCCTTCTTCACTGCAAAGATATAAGATGGGAAAAGTAAATTTTCCAACAACCTTAAAATATAAAAGGACATTATACAGAACATTCTAATTCTAAAAAATTACTTTTAATCTGTAAAATTGTACAAAGAAAGTAATATAAAAAATGGTAATTTCAAAAGAATTTCCTCATTTTTAAATTATAATTGACTGAAAAAAAATCTTTGGAACAAAACTTAGAAAAAATCATTTTTTTCACAAAACAGAAAAATTCTCAATTATTATGTTTATACTTATAACTGAAGTCTCATTAAAAATTATTATCAGGTTCAAAACATTTTTTTTTTTAAAGTGTGTATGTAAGTTGAAAAATAATTTTTTCAAGTGAGAATGTATCTTTAACTTATGTGTACCTACATCTATATATGCATACTAATATTGATACACAACTTCTGAAATGAATAAGACCACGAACTTGATGTTCTCATTTAAACAGTAAACAATAAGTATTCTATATTAATTTGTCTTCATATGTTATTTGAAAAGAGTTGAAATAATTGTTTTGCTAGAATTTCAAATTGCAAAAATAAGTTATATGCCTAGTAATAGTAAATATTTACTAATTTGTGTATGATAATAATTAAGGGGAAGTGATTCTTGTATTGTGTTGTATATTTTAAAATCGTATCTGCAAATTTGGTCTTGAATGGTTTTTTTGTTAGTTTTTTTTATATATTATATATATATATAAAATCTATTATTTATCTATTATATATATACATTGATATGAAATTAGTTGAAATTAATGAAACTGAAAAAAATTTCTAAATGGTTAAACGATTGAAAGTTTTTTTTTTGAAAAGACCATTAGAGTTTGACCATTTTTAAATTACTACACTGAAAGAATTTTAAGAACGCTGCTACAGCAGTGCATTCTGTTACTCGTTCAAAAGAGCATTTGCTGCTGCTGCTGCTGCTGCCACTCTTCCAAGAAGCATTTGCGTCTCCTTTGCCGCAAATTCCTCTTTTCGAAAGAGCACCAGTCACAGTGCATTTCCTTTAAAATGAGAAACGTCTGCTCCACACTAGAGGTAGTGTGGTCTTGTTTAAATTTCTTTAGTGAAAACATTATTAAAATATAGATAAAATTGTAAACACAGCCAAAAATGCAGAAACATTAAAAGAACAAAAAAAGCATCAGAAAATTTTGTAGCTTTTTACTCGATAGAAATGAATGTTACTTAGTGTGTGATCTTAGTAATCAAACTAATGTATTTTTTCTTCTTTTGTATATTGGATTGGATTGTAACACAATGAATGAAAAACTCAAAACCTACACAATCTTACTTCTTGGATGGATAAAATAAACACTTTTGGATGGATGTTGCGCGGAGGATAATATTTTGGGAGAATTAATAATGAGTAGAAGAGGAGGAGAAGGAGGAGGAGGAGGAGAATGGTCATGTTCAAATTGAATTTCAATGTCGAAATCAGGATTGGGATGGATTTAACAATTTATAACGGATTTACGGATTTGGAAATTTCAAATTAATCATTTACAATTACGGATTAAAAAAAAAAAAATTTGTCAGGATTAGAGGATTCTCTCTTTTGACTTTTGTGGATCAGGTCATAATCTATTGGATAATCAGAGTATATATATCGTTTATCAAACAGGATTTTAGGATTATTCGCATTATTTCGTTCGTTGCATTCGTTCTCGCGAAAGGCAAAAAAAAAAAAAAAAAAACATACGTCGCGGGATTTTTTCCTAATGCATGCAAGAGGACTCGTAGAAACTTGTTAAAAACTTGTGGAAAAAACTCAGGCAAAATCGGGATTGCAACATGACTTGGAATTTGGTCAAATTAAGAGCGTCGTATGATTAACAAATTTTTAATAATGCAAGATTAATTGGATAAATTGAGATATTAATTTAAAAAAATATATTTATAAATATGTTAGTGGATTTGGATGCATTATAATAAGAAGACAGGACGCACTGCAAGGATCGAATTCGAAAAGCGCGATGGCTTTAAATTTTCAATTCTTTCGTCATAGTCAAGTTGAGAAATCTCTGTTTTCATGGATAGAGGATCATGGAAGGAGCAATAAAGAAAAAGGTATTTGTGTTTCGGTTTTTAACTGACATAAAATATCTTTTCATAAAACCCTGCATGCTCTGCTATTAAGAAAAAAACGAAAGATACTTAAATTATGTTGCTTAGATTTCGCACTCACTTTAGAAAATTAAGTTCCGAATTTGTAAAAACTATTTTTCAATTAATGTTTTATTGACGTTAAATTCTTTCTGACAATGTATCTAATCATAATATGCAAATTCTGAACTTGAGATCATTGAAAAGGTTTGCTGGTTTTCCAATTTTCTCGTTGAATACTAGATTTCTCTTTCTCAATAAATTATAACAAAAATGGTAAGTAAAAATATTTACTAATTAAATAGATAATTCAATTTAATACAAAGAAACAGCCATTCATATAAATTACACAAGTGTTTTGAGTTAATTATTTTTATATGCTAATGCTAACTAATAATATTAATAACTTGAACTATTTGAGCAGACTTTTTTTTCTTCAAATCACTAATCTACGCTAGATGTTTAATATTTAAATTTAATTCAATACTGAAAGAAATAATTTATTAGAGATGAAAATTAAAGTCTTTATTGAGATTTAGTTGGAAAGTAATTTATAAATGGCTACGCAGACATAAAAAAATGTCAATAAAATCGCCTATAAACTAATAAATAATATAAAAATGAATTTCAACATTCTTCTGTATGAAATACATAAATGATACTTTTTATAAAAATAATAAAAGTTTTTTCAAATAATGAGAAATTTGCAGCAGTGATCGTTTTATTAATAATATAGATCCTTTTATTTATTCTATTATACAAGATGTTTAAAGAAAAATAGGAAAATGGATGGGTTTTTAGATATTCGACTATTTAGTTACACATCAATTTCAAACCTAACTTGTATTATAAAATTAAAAAAAAATTTAATTAATACCTATGAAATAAAAATCGTAGGTATTATTAAATTTCAATAAAGTTTAATAAAATTCTCCAAAAAATTTTGTTAAAATAATTTTATTCCAGATAAATTTAATACAGAAAAAAATTAAAGTACATTACTTGAAGAAGTGTGAAGAAAAATTCGAAATTTACCAAATTTTATTACTTTCAATAAAATTCTTAATTTATATTTTTCAAATTAAGTATTTTATATTCATGGATTCTCTTTCTTTACTTTATTTTCATTGTCACCTTCTTTGGAATTATCAATCTCTTCATCACTATCATAATCATCATCATCTTCATCATCATCCTCATCCTCATCATCATCCTCATCATCATCATCATCATCATCATCTTCATAGTCTAAATTGTCATTGGTACCATAATTGTAGCTTGAAGATCCTATGAATATTTAATTTCATTTTTATGTTTTTAATATGTAAACAAGAATTATTTTGAACAGAAAATTACGCATTTCAAACTTGACTCACCGTAATTACTATAACCATTGTTCTCCTCATCAGATTCATATGCTCCGCTGCCAATATTTTGTCTCCCAAATTTATGTGTTCTAGCTGAAATTATTATAAAAATGAAGTTGATTTTGTTATGCAGTTACAATACAGTTATATAGAATAATGGAAAAATGATATTTACTAGACATGCTGAGATCTTTAGTCTGAGAAGTGTTGTAACCACATTTAGGACACGGAATACTTTTATTCTTTTCATACTTGAATCCTTTTCGTCTCACATGGTCTTCACAATAACAAGTTTTGCAACGCAGACAAGAATATTGCCCTAAGCGATTACAAGATTGGCATTTAAAATTTTCGGCTTCGAGAATTTGGCACGAAGCTTGGTGTTCAAATTGATCGTCCTCACAAAGAAAACAATCACAAAAGCTGCAACGAAAAATTCTTCCTCCATGATCCCATACGCCTCTCTCGCATTCATGACAAACTGCATCCATTAACGGGCAAGTACAAGCGTGTGAAGTGAGGCAACGTCTTCCATGACAAACCCAGGCTTCACAATGATCACAAATAGCCCCCTTTATTAATTCAATTACGTACATAAGTAATAGTCAATTTCAATTAATAAAAAAGAGCAGCTTCTTTGCCCTTGTGTAAAATATTAATTTTTAAAGATAACTTACAACCATTCCCAATCCAGTTGTAAATACATTTGAATGTTTTACGACACAGTCACCAGTTTTTAGCATACATTTTATTTTTCCACACTGTGCACAAATAGGCAATCGTTGTACACTCTGACAAAAGTAACAGAAAGCACGACTTTTTTGTTTTCTATTGCACTTGTCACATTCCTGAAAAAAATTTTCAAGTATTTAATAATTTAGAATTTCAAGTTGTTCTACCTATAAGGGAAGAGAGAGGTTGAGGTTGAGGTTGAAATTTTATTAATAACAAGTGTTTATAGGAAATGAATATATATATAAATATCTTGAAAGAAAAACAAGATGTAATGTTAAAAACATTAAAGTTACTGAAATAATACATGATTTGTATTGTTATACCATGACAGCATTGCAAGGCAATTTCGCTAAATCCAGTTGACTCTTTCCAGTTCGTATTTCTTTCTGTCTTAAACGCTGTTTCTCTGCTTTTTTCCTCTGGCCCGTTTTTTTCTTCGGCATTTTGTTTATTTATATAATTAAAAATATATTATTACAAAATATTGCAAAATGTGTAAGTTTACATATGTACATAAATTAACAACTCTACATCTGCTAACAGCTTAGATTAGGCCGCGTACACACGGTGTGCATCTCGATTCTTTCCTATGTTAGGGTGGAGTCCCATGATAGCGTTTTGCGTTGCGTCGTAATTTTTTAAATTTTTAATTTAATAATTTTTTTTTTTAATTTTTTTAATTTTTTTTTTTTTTTTCGTAATTTTTGTAACTATGCAATGAGTGTGAGAGAGATGGAGATATACGTTCGCTATATTTGCACTCATGGCCTAGTTACAAAACGCAACGCAAAACGGAAAAACGCTGCCATGGGATGATTTATGCTCATTCCACACTTGCTAGTTGCGTTGGCCATGAGTGCAAATATAGCGAACATATATCTCCATCTCTCTCACACTCATGGCCTGGTTACAAAACGCAACGAAAAATTTATGCTCATTCCACACTTGCTAGTGCGGACCGATATATGACTATCTCTCTTGCACTCCTATTGAGCTATTGTGGAATCAACTTTAGAAGAAAATTGAAGAATTTATCTAGAGAAATTTACTTGGTTTTATTGGTGGAATTGTGTGATAATGAACCGGCTTTGACGTGTCGCCTATAGTGCGGTCTGAATCTGAAATTGCGACGTGTCGCATGGGAACACGGTTGTGGGTGAGTTTATGGCTAGTGAATCTCTGAATAAAAGTTGAGCAAAAGGAGAAAGTATTTTTGTTTTCTTAATATAGTTGACTGAAAAGAAAATGATGCCAAATAAAACAACTGCATCGAACCAAAAAAAGAACATGTTTCCCGATAAAAAGTCATCAACAAAGCAAATGAAAACCAGCTCAATTACAAACGCCGCTGGATTAAGTTCTCTTATTACATTTACAGTTTTGCTTCTCGCATGGATTTCAGGATTTGCCTCTCGACTTTTTGCTGTTATACGATTTGAAAGTATTATTCACGAATTTGATCCCTGGTAAGTTTTTATATTTATTTTTTATATTTATTTTGTACTTGTTGGAGAATATTACCTAGTGTTATGAATGTTTATAAATAAAAGTAATGTTTTTTTAATATCTATTTAAAAATGATTAAAAATGATAAATTGTTAATGTAATAATTTGTGATTTTAGGTTTAATTATCGTGCCACTGCATATATGGTACAGCATGGATTCTACAATTTTCTCAACTGGTTTGACGAGAGAGCATGGTACCCTTTGGGGAGAATCGTGGGTGGCACCGTGTATCCCGGTCTAATGATAACGTCGGGCTCGATTCACTACATTCTTCATTCTCTAAACATTCCAATTCATATTCGCGATATTTGTGTATTTTTGGCACCAATATTCAGCGGCCTCACCGCCATTTCCACGTATCTCTTAACTAAGGAATTATGGAGCACTGGCGCGGGTCTTTTTGCCGCTTGCTTCATAGCAATCGTACCTGGGTATATTTCAAGATCCGTCGCAGGCAGTTACGACAATGAGGGCATTGCCATTTTCGCACTGCAATTCACGTACTATCTTTGGGTCAAGTCAGTTAAAACGGGTTCAATATTCTGGGCCTCAATGACTGCTCTTTCTTATTTCTACATGGTTTCCGCTTGGGGGGGATATGTCTTCATTATAAATCTTATTCCTCTCCATGTCTTCTGTCTCTTAATCATGAATAGATTTAGTAATCGGCTGTTCACTAGTTACACGGTGTTTTTCATCTTGGGCTTACTGTTGAGTATGCAAATTCCATTCGTTGGCTTTCAACCAATTAGGACATCAGAACATATGCCTGCTGTTGGAGTTTTTGGATTACTTATTTTTGTTGCAACACTGAGGTATGTTCATCTTTTACATTGCACAGTAAATAATAAGTAGCCGAAATGTTAATTGTAACAATTGCTTTCTCATGCAGATATCTTCGAACAATTTTCACGAAATCAGAAATGAAATATTTCGGAGTTATTGTGGTCATAACGGCAGGCTTCTTACTATTGGTTTTGATTGGATTAACCTATGCTGGAGTCGTTGCACCTTGGAGTGGAAGATTCTACTCCCTTTGGGACACTGGCTACGCGAAAATTCACATTCCCATAATTGCATCTGTTTCCGAGCATCAGCCAACAACTTGGTTTAGTTTCTTTTTCGATCTGCATATTCTGGTGACAACCTTCCCAGTTGGACTCTGGTACTGCATAAAGCACATAAACGACGAACGTGTTTTTGGTAAGAATTAATTTTTCACTGGAATTCCTATTAAAAGTAAAGTATAAAATAATAAAGTTGAATTGTCTGATGATAATTGCAGTGGTTCTTTATGCAATAAGCGCTGTCTATTTTGCTGGTGTAATGGTGCGCTTAATGTTGACGCTGACACCAGTGGTGTGCATGTTGGCTGGCGTTGCTTTCAGTGGTGTGTTGGACCTATTTCTTAAGGAAGACAGTAAGGAAGGAGACGAGAAGACGGAAGGCGGCGGCGGCGGCAGCAGCGAACTTGAAAGTGAAGAGGAGAGGGAAAGAAGTCCTGGACGTTCTCTTTATGATAAAGCTGGAAAACTTCGTAGAATGAAGCACGAGAGACCGAAAGGAAGTGGCGATGGACTCGGCGCTAATCTTAGAAACGGAGTTGTTATTCTTATTCTTGTTCTTCTAATGATGTTCACTATTCATTGCACTTGGATCACTAGTAATGCCTATTCCAGTCCGTCAATTGTTTTGTCGTCTTATAGCAATGATGGAAGTAGAGCAATTCTTGATGATTTTAGAGAAGCCTATTTTTGGCTTGCTCAGAATACACCTAGCGACGCAAGAGTTATGAGTTGGTGGGATTATGGATATCAAATAGCTGGTATGGCAAACAGGTAAATAGAAATTATTCCTTATCATCATTAGAAAATTCCAATCATAATATTAATAATAATTTCTTTTAAATCAGAACAACTTTAGTAGACAATAACACCTGGAATAATTCACACATTGCCCTTGTTGGAAAGGCCATGAGTTCCAATGAAAGTGCAGCATATGAAATAATGACATCACTCGACGTCGATTATGTACTTGTTATTTTTGGAGGAATGATTGGTTATTCCGGAGATGATATTAACAAGTTTCTGTGGATGGTGAGAATTGCCGAAGGAGAACATCCACAAGATATTCGAGAAAGTGACTATTTTACAGAAAGAGGGGAATTTCGAGTTGACTCTGAAGGATCACCAACACTATTAAATTCGCTCATGTACAAACTTAGTTACTATAGATTTGGTGAGGTGAAAATTGACTATAGATCTCCATCTGGATACGATCGAACACGTAATGCTGAAATTGGAAATAAAAATTTCCAACTTACTTATCTCGAGGAGGCTTACACAACTGAACATTGGCTTGTTAGAGTTTACAGGTTAGTGCCTCTTGTTGTTTAATTTATTTTTTTCAGTCAGAGGAAAATCAGTCATTTCTTTTTAACACAATTATTATTGTTTCTTTTGTAGGGTTAAGAAACCGAATGAATTTAATCGACCTCGCATTCCACTCTCGGAAAGAACTGTAACCCGACCAACCTCATCATATATAAGTAAAAAGGTTTGTATCACTTTTAGAGAAATATTTAAAGAGATCTAAACTAAATAGAATCTCTCGTATCGTTTTTGCCTTTTTTTTGTCGAGAACAGTAAAGATTGGAAAATTTTTTTCAAGTTATGGGGACGTTGATGTTTCAGAGTGCCCGAAGGAAAAAAGGTTTCATCAAGAATCGACCAACCATCATCAAAGGTCTAAAACCACAAAAAAAGTACGCGACGTAACAATGAGTCACCTAAAAAAACGAAAGAAAGAAAGAAAACGAAATTTAATTCAATTTTTAAAATAATGAAAAAAAACAGTCCATAGAATTTATTTTTAAAATACTAAATATTCAAAAAGGAAAAATCAATCAAAAACCTGGATAATGAAATTCACAGAAATAAGGGAAAAAATTATTGTTTCTTTTTTTTCTTTTATTTCATATACATTTATTGTGATAAGACTGCAAAAAAGACTTGTAATTTGAAAAAAAAAATAATTTTACATTAAGAGAGAATAGCATTTAAAAAAACACTTTCATAATTGTTACATGTTCTCTTCAAAGAACAGTAAATTGGAGAAAAAAAATGTTGTACAAAAAAAACTTGGGAAATTTAAATATGTTTTCATCTAAATTTATCAGTTTTTTTTTAAATTAAATAAATGTTTTTTATCGTAATTATAATATTGAATGCAGTAATAAACAGCAAAAAAAAAGTAATTAAATTGAATGCATCGAATATGTATAAAGAATAGATATAAGGAGAGTGTAAGTGTATTTGCATTTTAAATTTGACAAAAATTGTGCATTTTTCTATCATATTAAGATATACTTCCGGTAATAATATTTTTATATCATATTTATATATATGCATTAATCTATATTCTTGCTTTAAAAAATATGAGTGAATTACTGTCGGATGTAAAGAAAATTATTCTAAATGTAAATTTAGAATGTAATTTTCAATGTGTGTGTATAGTAAGGAGAGAAAAGTGTTCAACTTTTGAAAAGTTCAACGTTCATAATACATTACAATAATTAAGTCTCCTAATGTCCAGTTTTAAAGGCAGTAAATATTGTAAGTAGGTAAAGAAATTAAGGAAGCAATTTAGAAAAGCTAAATGGAAACTAAAAGAAAATGCTTTTCAATATGCGTGAGTGTATTGTTTATGTACACACAATTTGTTGTACTTGTTACGAGATAAACATTAAGAATAACATTCTTGTTGTTGGAAGAAACATCATTTTTTTCTTTAACCAAAAAAACCCTAAACACATAGGTATGTATTAGAAATTATATAAAAAAAATTTTTTCTTTTCTGGGGAAGAATTGAAAAAGTACAAGAAGATGTTTTTTTTCTTTTATTATACATTAATTTCCCAGTTATAAAAACCGCTATCAAGTTTTAGGTGCATATTGTACATTCATATGTTCAAGATGAGTCTTAAAAAACTCTACAAAAATGAACGAAAAATATATTAAAAGGAAAAAATTTTTTACCAAAAAAATTTGAGAGTACGCATAGAATCTTTTAATATTTTAAACATAAATAAATGATTTTAAAAATTACAAAAAATTCACCTTGCAAATAGAACATAAGGAGATTCAATTTTTTATATAATAATAATAATAATAATTAAGATAAAAAACCATACATTAGGTATTAGGTACAATTTAATACAAACAAAAATAATTTTTTAGAAATGTCAATAACTTTCTAATATTAAAACATGTATAAATGGACAATTTAATACCGGAAAACCACAAAAAGTAACTTTTCTCATATTATTTCTGGAAAAGCTCTACAATAAATTGAAGAAATATCTACATACAGGTCAAAAGAACATTTTATTGTAAAAATATATATTTGCAAAAAAATACAGTACAAACCCCATTATAGTATTTTAACTAAAAAGTGATGAAAATTGATAACCATTTGTATAAAACATAATTATTTATACTGCCTTCATAAGCATCCTAATAATTATATTTCGAACGTTTTAAATAAATACATGTCTAAGTGGATAATATAATTATAAAATTTGGTGAACTCTATTTTATCCGGACGCCTGCCTGCCTGCCTGCCTGCCTGCATCATTTAGTCCCGATAATGGGGTTTTTACTGTGATAATGTAAAAACAATCATCTTCACAGAAAACGATGAATTGTAGAATGATCAGAAAACTTTTCAAGATTATTTAAATTATCCCACCACATGGTAAGTTTGTGTTCCGATATAAGTTTAAACCATGGAGTTAGAGGATCTTTTGTGGTCTTGATAAAATTTTCAATTTCAGATCGAGGGATCCAACGAATTTCGCTTATTTCGTCAGGATTTGGATCTAATGTAATTTTATCTTTCTGAGCGAAAAGAATATAATCTATTTCATGTTCGCCCCAGCAAGATTCGCCCAATGCTTGATAATGAATTCTCGTCAGGTAAAACAAATCGTTTGGCAATATTTCATTTAAAGGAATTCCCAATTCAAAGTTTAATCTTCGTTGAGCCGCTTTACGAACGCCGAGAGCGTCATGTTCTTCCGATTCACCTGAGATTTCCGCTAGTGGATGACTACAGCACGTATTAGTAAAATGATCCGGAAAAGTTATCTATTTCAAAATAAAAGAGCACTTTTCAAAATTTACATGAAAGTAAAATAAAATCATATAGTTTGAATAATTGATTAAAAAATTATCTACTGCTTAGAATTTAAAGATAAATATGAATAAAAAATTTACATCCATATTCAAACAAAATTTATTATGATAAATTATTGCAGATATGCAGAGTAATTTAAAATTAAGCATTGATGCAGAATGAAAATTTATATAATAAATTGGAATATAATTTCAATGCTTTCCTATCAACGAATTTTCAACAATTTGAAATGTAGTTAAAAATAAATTTTATAATGCTCGACCTATAAATGAAAAAGAATTCAAAACTTGAGAATTTTTGTTTGTCAAGCATTTTGTTTTTATATAAAGAACAAGAATGAGAAGAGAATTTGAAGAGACCTTCAAATGCCACGTACGAATTGATATATTATCTACACTAGCTTGACTAATTTGAATATTTTTAATTAACTTTTTTATTATTATACCTAGGTATACAGACTTATATTTCCAAGAATATAATAATTTAAATTTTATGAGGCTTATGGCGTTACTTTATAACGAAAATTTATAATCTAATGTAAAAACGTTTTTATGTGAAAACTAAAATTAGGTACCAAAAGTAGAAATTGCTTCATTCTTTTTTAAAAAAAGATATTTTTCACTTACAGTTTTAAGATGTGTTTAAAAAATATTCAAAAACAATGAAAAGATGTGTACTACCTATTTTATTTTTATTAAATTCGTCTGAATAAATAAATTATACCTATATAATTAATTATAAATATTATTTTAAACAATAAAAATTATTACTGTATATTAGGATTAACAATAATTTTTTTCACATAAATAAATTCTCACCTTTGTGGAAGATCTTTTTTGCAATAATAGATCTCCATTTGCATTAAAAAGAAAAACGCTGAATGCTCTGTGAAGAGGAACACTACCCTCTTTACTTATCAAATGACAATATTTTTTCGTTGCTTCGCCAATTGATTTATCAAATTCATCAATTAAAATACATCGTTCTTCCAAAGCAGCCTTTTGTAATGGTGCAACTTTTATATTCGAATGCATGTTTTTCGACAGTATACATTCTTCTTGAATACCAGAATATATTTTTCTCCCAGTATTTAATATCGTTCGTAAAGCCATTTTCAAGCGAAATAAATTTAAATCACAATCAAGTCTGATAAGATAAAAAAGTACAAAAAATTATTTTTGCCTTTTTAATATTTTTAATACTAAACATCCGCTTTCACAACTGTCACTCAGCAAGGTACAATCAGTATAGAACTCTCATTCTCAAATCTAAATGTAAAAGCTGCGATAATGAATTCCTCTTTGGATAATAAATTAACATAAAAATGTAAAAGATGTCACGACCTAAAATATATTCATATTTTTTTCATTTTCAATGTAAATTTACATGAAAAGAAAACAGATAGTAAAAGTAAAAGTATATAGTTGCATAGAAGAAGCACTGAGAAGCAGGGAGAATAAGACGAGTGGAAGGGGTAAACTTACATTATTTATTATACAATGTGTAAAAGTGGTAAAAGATAAATGTAAAGGACAAACGACAATAGATGCTTGAACTCTGGAATGGAACGCAATCGCAGCATTGAGTCAGAGAAGGATAAACATATATGTCTATCTCTATCTTATTCTTACGATTGCGTTCATTTTGAATGTTTTATTCATTCATTTACATTCTGCTGCATATAAATTTACAATAATTTACTTTGAATTTAATAATTTAAAGTGAATTTATATGCAGAATGTGCAATTACTTTGAATTAGACGAAACAAATTCATTTTCAAGCTAATGCAGAAATACCTTTACAACTTGGTGTGTGAAGGCGATTTTAACTATCTTTTTCAATCTCATGATATACTCACCAGGGAATTGTACCCTAAAAATCAAAAACTGCTCACGAAATCACGAAATCACGAATTTGCTGCACACATATTAATTGTGCAGCAGTCACATGTTGATGATTGATTGATCAGTACACCAAACACCATCTCACACTAGTTGCCCTATGAATTGCACCTTTAATCCTTTTGAATCTAATGTAAATTAGCTTTAAGCTGATACAGAAATATATATTTCATAAAAAAGAGTTACCAATTTAAATTTTTTTCTTTTATAAAATAATATATAATTTTCTCTTAAAATACAGTTTGTGGAAAAAAGTATGTCTAACGTTTTAAAGAAGGTAATAAATATTTCGTTTAAAATTTACAAGATTTTGACAAAATTTTATCGACAATGCGTACATAACTATTCTTTATATTCTTAGATAAACATAGATTTTATTGTAAAAAATGTTCTTTTCTTTTTTGTTTATCGCATTTTGGACACATTTCTCGCTGAACAATTAATAATAAACGCAGATAATTCATATAAAGTTGTAAATATTTTCAACTTTTCTAACCTCAAAAAATTTGATATATAATATACAGACTTGAAATTCTTTATTTCCTCACAAATTGTATATATAGGCTTTATAAATTTGTTTCACAATATGTAGAAAATGAAATTTTTTTAAAATTTATCCTACATAAATTAGACTATATAATTTTTCTTTCTTTAAAGTTTTAATATAATTTAATATACTAAAACATTTAATTAAAGCTAATCTTTTAAAATTTAAATTTTTATATAATAATAAAAAAAAATATGTAACTTTAATTCTTCTTGCGTCACATAAATGTCTTAAAATATCATTTAGATTAATTATTTATTTTTAAATGTTTTCAGACAACCGGTTTAACTGGGATTTTAGTTGCACAAGATCCACATCGCCTATTGAATATTTTGTATGGCAAAATTCTTCGTGCTCTTGATAAACTACCACAAGACTATGCCTATAGAACAACAACAGAAAAACTTATTAGAAATCGGGCAGCAATTGTTAAAGACGTAAGTCACTCTTTTGTTTATTAATATATAAAAATATTTACCCATTAGTATAAAAATTTAACAATCCAGTGCTTCTATTGCAATTGTTTTGTGATTTTTAATTATAATTTCAAGTCTATACGTATATAGGTCAATTTTTTTTTGTTTTTCTACAAAGTCTTTTTCGTATATTGCAAATAATAACTAATTATAAAAAATATATTTTAGAACTCCAATGTAGATAGCATTGAAAATAAAATTGAATGTGGACAAGTTGAGGAACTAATAATTCAAGCACAAAATGAATTAGTATTGGCACGAAAAATGCTAGAATATAAACCATGGCAGCCTCTTATTCAACAAGAACCAAAAAATCAATGGGAATGGCCCCCTCACAAGTGATCTTGGCAATTTTAATCAGTACTTGTGTATTTATTAATTATTATTAGCACTCGAATGTGTAGAACAGAAACGTAGTAATTAAATATATAAATTTGTTACATTCTTCTTATTTAATTAAAAGAGAGCCCAAATAATTGACCAAGTAATAATCATTTTATTTCTTATAAATATATATGTGGACGTCCACATGAAAAGGGCCCATTTTTGCACTATTGGACTTATCTATATGGGCGAATTCCTTGCAAAGTTTGGAAAATTTTGAGTGGTCTTGGAGCCTTTTTGGTGAAAAATTCGATGAGTTACAGAATTTCAAACTTTAGAACGCCAAAATCTCATTTCGAGAAAAACGGAATTAAAGATTGTGAGACCAATTGACTGTGATATCTCTGGCTCTTCTGGGAAGTTATTCAGATAAGAATTGTTTCCAGTCCAGGGCACCTTAAAGATGAAAAACCAATAGGTTTTAAATTTTTAAAACCAAACCTCCCCCCCCCCCTTCATTTTGCAAAATACGAAAATTCGACAAACTGGGCCCCTTTCTAAAAAGGCCGGTTTTTTTTATTTTTTTATTAATAAACCATTTTTTTCAAGGTTAATGATTGGGTGCAATTTTATTGTGTCATTTGAAGAAAAAGAATAGAAATTAAACTTATTTAAAATTTTTTAACAGTCTCTATTATGAAAAAATTGACGCAATATCCAAATTTTCATTTCGACAATTCCGAAAAAAAGACTCTAACATCAATATCTCTGGTTCTTCTGGGAAGTTATTCAGATAAGAATTGTTTACAGTCCAGGGCACCTTAAAGATGAAAAATCAAGAGGTTTTAAATTTTTTCACACATACATTTTTAAAATACGAATTACTTTTGCAAATGACCGACAAAATGGACCCTTTTCTTTTTTCTAAAGAAAGAACCAGTGAAATCAAACAGTTAAATTATCGATAAATTAATGAAAACCGCATGATTCGACTTGTCAAAACATGTAGATTGATAATAAAAAATAAAAAAAAATTTAAGATTTTGCTCCAAAATTACTAAATTGCGATTATCTCAAAAACTAGAACCGACAAAATGGGCCCTTTTCATGTGGACGTACACATACATAAATGTTTTAAAAAAGTTGACAGAAAAAAAGAATATTTATAATAATTTTATTTTACATGTATCTCACCTAAACAAAACAGGTTAAAAAAAATATGTAGGTGAACTCATTGCGGACCCCTCACTGCATTCAGAGGCTATGGTGGTATGAGTTGCAATCTCCCGTTGCTTCAGTTTGATATAGTCTCTTAAAGTCTTATACGCGTCTTATACGCAAAGAAATTCCTAAATCAAATCATAAAAAAAGGTTTCTTCATTTTTCTTGCTGTTTTGTGTTATCAGTTATGTGTAGAAATTTTCATTTTTCGGTATGTGTTTTCTTTTAGAAAGTATAAGAAAAATGAACGTGTTTTTTTTCGACTATTATACATATAGCATATCTTACGAAAGAAGGTCAACTTGTGAAAGTGCGAATCTCTTGTTCTATATTGAAAATAATTTTCCTATAAAATCATCCTGATTTGTAATAAGTAGAATATTTATTTTCCAATACATTTTTATAAATTTTTTTACGATCATAAAAATTATAATTTTTTAAAAATACAATTTTCACATGATTTTATATCCATCAAATTTTTGTTGATTACATATGTTTAAATAATAGAGTACCTAATATACATACCTACTGAAAAAAAGAAAAAATATTTTGAAGATTAATTATTAGTAAAATATTTCTTCTTCTATTCTTCCCAGCTGCAGTATAATAAGTAAATTGCTTTTTATAGCACGATAATAAAAGATTTTCAAATATAAAGTCTATTAAATATTTCATATTACCAGTTGGTTCTAAAACAAATTTTAATTCACCGCACATGATTCATTATAAAGCAATAAGCAATAACATAAGCTAGAATGGGAATTAATAGCAGTATTTATCAGCATCAATGTAATGGCTTTTCTAAGAAATCAAGTTCAAGATTTTCTCATTCTCAATATACAAAAAAAGAAATGGGAGAAAAAGTTTTACGAGAAGTAATAACAGAACAAGATGTCAACATTTATGATGATAGTATTCATAGAACACACGATCCTAATAAGGTAAATTTTACTAAAACATACATATATGTACCTACAACATTAAATATTGATTAATTCAATTATATTCTTTTATTAAACAGATTAGTAAACACTGTCATTATGAGAATCAAAAAAGTCAATTCCGTCCAAGTTCTCAATGTGGACATTGCAGAATTATATCAAAAAGAAATTGTACAAATCAAGAAATTAAAAAATATAAAAGTGAACCAGATTTAAGGTATTAAGAATCTCCTTATAAATAAAAAAGGTTTTTTTGTTATTCACTTTTTTCCCAACAGGTATTTAATGGCACATGAAGCCATGCTCAAAGTATTAAATTCACGTCAAAAAATGCAAGAAATACGTTATCGATCAAAGAAGAAGTACAAGGCCCCACCACCACCGCGCGGTGTGACTGGTAATTCAAAATTTTCTGAATTTCAAATTCAATCATCAGATAAGAGAAAAGCAGTTTTTAATGAAGAAAAGACACGGAAAAGTAGTAAAAATGAATACTCTGTAAAATATCACTTGGTACAATCTTCTCAATCTCCCAAAAAATCTCGCCTTTTTAAATCTCGTGAACAATCTAAAAATTCTCAAGTCACTTGCTCTTTATGCTCTTTGCGTCGCTGTACTCAGCACAAAGTTGATGGAAATGATGACTGTTCCATAAAAGTTTCAATAATTGATGATGATGATGATGATGATGATGATGAGAATAATTTGACACGTCACACTGTAAGAAAAGAGAAAAATCTAGTATTGCACCATGAGGAAATTAACAGTTGCAATAGTAGTGTGAGAAAAAGATTTTTAAACTGGAACAATAAAAATTTTCTCCAAAGTAACAATACCCAATCTCGGCCAATACAATCAACCTATAAAATAAACTACGAATCCTTCGAAAAAGATTCCTCTAGTGAAATAAAAGCTTGCTATTTAATAAAAAAAGACAGGGGTAAGATTTTTTACTTGATTTTATTATTTATAAATACTACACCAGTAAAATGATTTATTACATCATTCTTTTTTTTTTACCTAAAATTACTATAATATTTAAGAATTTATTTCCAATTTAGAGAAAAATCAACCTCAGTTCAATAGTCTACAACAAGATAATTTATCATCAAAAATTTCTCAAAACCAAAGGGAAAACTCAGTTTTCATTAATGACGAGAGGAATAAAAGTGAAATAACAAATTTCATGGAAACGCAAAATCAGAAATCGGTCAATAACACATTTTCCAATTTACTTTCCTTAAACACTGAAAATCTTGACAAAATTCAAGATTTGATGACAAATCATCAGTCGTATATTTTAAAATCGTATAATGATAATAATAATTTGCATCAATTGAAAAAACCTAAAAGCACTTCATTACATAGGGAAATAAATGATATTAAATTATTAAATGATGAAAATTATTTAACTATTCAAAAGTCGACTAATGATCATACGAAAATCGATATTGATGAAAAAGAGAATAAATTGAACAAGAGTGAAACTTATTCAAGTACAAATGAAGCGAATAAATGTATCAAGGAAAGCAGATATTTTGTTGACTTTTTAAGTAAAGAGAGCTGCATTAGAAATGAAGGATCAGAAGAAGAAAATAATTGTTTTAATATACCCTCCATCAAAAACAAGAAGAATATTGCGGAAAATCCTAAAGGTTTATGTCGGAAAGATGATGATATTTTAAGTGGAAGCTATGTAATAAGTAATAAAAACCCACTTTCAAAAAGGGACAAAAATTCATCATCAAGTATACAAAAAGAAATTTCTCAAACAGGAGCTGAATCAAAAAGCAGTAGTAGCTACTTGAATCAAAGCACAAATACGTATGACTACATTTTTTAGATTTTTTTTAAAGAAAAGTATACCTATACGTGTAAGTAGGCCATTTAAGGAAAAACTTGAAAGTTTCATATTTATTAAATTCTATTTCGTCATTCGTCTATTAAGATTAATTGCATACATTTCGAACTATGGCCGACTTACACACAATACAATAATTATTTATTCGTTATATTTGTTTAATATTAATGCAATTCTTTTCTGTTCTGCTTGTTTTTTTAAAAATATTTTCCAATTGTTTTATAGATTTCCAATTTTTAATTATTCAAGAATAAAAACATTCTATTTTGGTATGGACAATGCCGAAGAATTTAATCAAGATTATCAACAGCAAAGGCAAACCAACGGGAATTTTTTTAAATCGAATAACTTGGAAAACGACGAGGTGAATACCAATCTTTATACATGTGTATAAACAAGTTGTTTTTGGAATATGTTTTGAAAAACGAGTAAAAATCAAATCACATAGCTGATTGAAAAAAGAAATCGACGATACCAAGAAATTAAAAAAAAATTTCCTTTTAAAATTTATAATTTTAACTTTTCAGATGAACATTCAAAGTGAAACAGAGGGTATTGCTTTGAGTTTGAGGCCAACGTTACCAAAAAAGCCACCCGAAATACCAAGATTTTCTCCATCTGATGCTTGGAAACTACTTACTGAAGCATCTGAACCAACGAGTTCAGCTGTCAGCGATGAAATACCTGTATACATTTATTTTGACTAATTTAAAAATCCCCAGAGTTTATTATTTACATATTTAATTTCTCATTAATTATTTATAGGTGACAATTCATGAGCAAAAGGATGAGTCTTATCCATTACTAATTACATACCAACGAAATACACATGATAAATCTGGAGACTCTGGAATATCTGCAGAGGGTGGTGGTGACTTGAGACCCTTAAGAACGACTTGGACTCCACAACAAGACTTGGATGATGAGTCAAGTGGTGATGATGCTTTATACAATTCGCCACATGAAAATTCTTTTCAATTACAACCACACGTATTTTCACTCTCCCTTCCTCGTTCTTGCTATGCAGCAGCAGCAGCAGCAGCAGCAATAACTAAAACAAAACAAGAAATGCTTCTCTGCGATTCTCTTCAAAAACTAAAGCACTCCGTTTCTGGTGTATTTGGATTTACACCACAACAACACGAAGACAAACCATCATTAACAACAAACACTCTAGATGACAATTGGTTTTTATCCTCAAGTGCACCAACTTCTTTACAAAATTATTACATTAATAACAATGATGAAATTTGTCGATTAATTAGCACAGAAGACACGAATGAAGAAACAGGTGAAAAGAAGAAAAAGACTGTTGAAGCAAACAGCTTTTCGGAAATACCTCAATTCTCATCAATTTCAAAAGCAGGTCATGTCATGTATCTTCCAGATACATTTAATAATTCAAATTTGCAATTTACAAAAAGGCAACAGCAAATTATTAAATACAAAAAATATAAAGACTCTAAGAATACGTCTTATTACAATGAAAATACATTTAATAATACGGAAAAAAATGTCAACATAAATTCTAGCAGAAAGCTTTCAAAATCGTGTGAGAATGTTTCGTGTGAAACAAGAATAAAATGTCCCCAATCATCAAATAACATGGCTAACAAAAATATTGCTGAAAGTAACAAAAATAATTACATGAATGATGTAATAAAGGATATAAACAAGAAAATTTTTAATAGACCAAGAAAATTTACATTTCAATCCACAGTGAGACAAATTGAAAGGCGACGATTAGCAGAGAAACTTTCAAAGGAAGCAGAAGCTAAAGAGAATCAAAGAAAGAATGAATTAGACGCTATGATAAAAGTTGAAGAGGAATTTCAAAAAAAACGAAATAAGGAAAATATAATTTAGATATATATATATATACATAAATGTTTCCATATGTACTCAATTTTTTATATTAAAAACACATGTTATTTGTTAATTATTTTATTAAATATTTAAAAATGTTGTTATGAAAATGAAATTTTTTTATACGTCTTCCTCTATTGTGAATTCTTGTTATCAAAAAACAAATTTCAATGATTTATTTCTTCAAACTGAGCACACACACACACACACACACACACACTAAATAATACTGTGTAATTCTTTTTTCTAAAAAAGAATAATTTATTTTCATATATTTACAAAGTAGAGAAGACTTAAATCGTCACAGTTCATTATATGTGACGATAAACATAATGCTAGACTGAAGTTTCGCTATTTTCTAAAGACAAAACTGTTAGCGTATTGGGTCTTGAACCACATAAAATTTGTTCCTCCGGGTGTCGTAATCTTGGATCGAGTGCGCTTCTTTTAACATCGGTAATTTTTTTTATTGGTGTTCTACTTGGACTCGATTTTCGACTACTTGGATAAGATTTTAAAAGTCTTGCTCTAGAAAAATCAGATGAAAAGAAAAATATTACAAGAATGTGAATAATATTTGAAAAGAAATAGTTTCTACATTATTCTTGTCTTTGTGAACAATATCCACTTGATAAAATTGCAGTATTTTTTTATAAGCTTCTTATTGTTCATCAGTAAAGTTTCAAAGAAATATATATGAATTTCTTAAAAGAAACACCAACTCACGCATCTGTTAATTTCATTAATAAACGAGTATAAACTTGATATTCTTCATCACCAAACTCTGTAGGGTCGTGACGAGCCTGTTCATAAAGATCGCAGAATTGGTGAACTAATCTCTGGCTACTTCCATTTAAAGGTGCAGCTAATGTTGAGAGCAAAAATGCTCTTAAATTTTCAGTTGGATGTCTCTTTAAGCCATTATCGTATCGACTGATTTCTGTTTCTGTGAATAGAGTTCAAACAATAACAATCACAAAATGTTTGTTCCTTTACATTTAAATATTAGTGTGTGATTTTATAAAATTTCTCTGAGAACAATTATAGATTCCAAACTACTTGAGATTTTTATTAAGTTTACATCAATTACCTAATGATTTGATATCATCAACGGCTTTCAGTCTGTAATAATGAGGAGGAACTTGATTTCCAGATACCATTATATATCTCGGATCACTAATTAATTGTGGCTCGTATTGTATTTTAGGAATTACTTCAATTCGTCTCTCCATTTCCTTTTTCAATGACTGTAATTATTGCGGTTTATGTCAAATTAGTAATGAAATTGTTTACAAAATATTTAATTAATAATGAAAAATATAACCTTTCTTGTATCATGACCGATTGGAACGTGGGGACCTCTTCGAGATCTAAGAGCAAATCGCATTATTTGCCTTTTTGCAAATATAAATAACAATAATATTGTTTGGACTCCAGCAGCTATAAATATTACAATCGTAACTCCTGACAACTGTTTTGACATATTCTCTTCGTCTCAGAAGGAATTAAAAAAAAAGTCATTACAACAATTACAACCTCTAATTCAACCTTGTTTAAAGGTGTAAACACAATTGTTAAGGTTGAAAAGCTAAAAGCAGAATTTCATAAGTGCAAGAGAGACAGTCACACATCACTATCCTTTCTACTATCATGAAATTCAACTTTCGGTTTCGCTTTCTGCTCAGGCCAAAAGCAGAAACGTAACCCGAATTATTGTTGTTACCGCAAATCGTTAACGATAAGAATTTGAGTTGGAGGAGGATAAACAATATACCTATCCTTTTCCATCTCATTCTTCCGGTTGCGGTCACGGATTACGATTAGACGGTTACGTTTCTATTCTGCTTTAAAATTCAGGAGCATTATTAGGGTGCATTCACCTTTGTCTTGTCTGATTAATTCATATTTTGCATATATATTTACCTTAAATTCATAATTCAATTAATTAAAGTGCAGAATATAAATCGAATCAGAAAATAAATATAATAAAGTCCAACGCACAATAGGTTCGCGAAAGTCGTTCGCGAACGAGACGCATGCGATAGACAAGGACACAAATTTTCGGGCGAGTACCGAATTTTCACGATCGTGAAAATTCACGTCACTAAATATGATTGGCTCTACTAAAAGCAGCATGAAAATAAATGAACTTTTGTCAAAGCCAATCATATTTAGTAACGTGAATTTTCACGACCTCGCTCGCCAAAAAATCTCTGGAAGTGTGCAAGCGCCGTATTAGGCTGTGTTTACACCTTCTGTAAAAATTGTCCAGAACGGAAAATTGAGTAAGAGAGACAGAGATACACAGTCTGTCTCTCTTACTCCAATGTACATTTTCCATTCTGGAATCGCACTTGCACTTGGACTTGCTACCTACATATTTGCACATATTGTGGACTCTCCATAAAGCTGAGTCTCCAATAGGTGCCAATGTAGGTGCAAGTGCCAGTGCCAGTGCCAATCCCCAATACATTTTAAATGGGTTTGGCACTGGCACTGGCACTTGAACATGCATATTGGCACCTATTGGAGACTCAGCTTAAAATGACAGAAGCTGTCTGTGTGGAACAGTTTTGACCAATCAAATCATTGGATTTATTGAACACTTATTCTGATTGATCAAATCTATTACACTATTCCACAATTCTACCAGCATGGGACTGCACTCTAAAAGAAACAGTAATAACAAGTCATCTCTCTTGCATTTAATATCTTCTGCTTTCTATTATTATACATACCTTCGACTTGCACGTATCCTTAAAGAATGGGCAGTACAATGCCAAATAGAGGTCCCATTTTTTTTTATTTTTTTTACCATATATCTTCCATATTATATCAATTATATGAACAATGAACATTGTAGTAAATATATTAAAATTTGTTTTAATATGATTTTCTGCAACCTAATTATTATGCAGTTTTATATGAACAATTGATTTTTATTTTCGCTATAATTTCTTCTTTTAATTACTGTCAATATTATTTAAATAATATTCAAAGCTTACTATAGCTTTAAAAGTTAAAACGTTGCCCATTACTATTACTTTAGTCAGAATCAACAGAATCCAGTAGTTGGATTACCAAATGTTTGAAACCAACTGTATATGTCAAAGTTATGTTGATGGTTGTTGGACCCGTCTTTTTTTACACAGCTGGAATCCTTCAATTATATTGACGACAGTCAGCTCAACCCGGGTTAATAGAGTTGGGCCAACCGTCAAAATCCGACCTTAATTTGCACCTGGATTTCACCGATAGGACAAAATATTAATTTGTGCTTTTGGGAACATGTTCAATTATTATTATTCCAGCAGTATTGTCTCGCGCAATATTTCAGGAAGGTTCCTATTACCTTGTCTCAATTTTATAGTTTCAGATAATATAAAGTCACTGGAAAAATTTTATTATTTGAAATTTTAATGGAAAACAAGAGATATTAATAAACTATAATAAAAAATTTAGTTGTTAAATTGTATAATGTATTGTAATTTTATATTATTTATTATTATAATTGAAATGAAGAAAAAATTATTTCTTTTCTAACGTTTCCAACTTCTTGATTCGCCCCTGATGGTCGAAATCACCCGAGTTATTCCGATCTGTGCGGAGGCCCGTAGCGGCCATGTGTCGTTCATAGACAGTAAGTCAGTGTTGGCTTTTTTACAAGCTTATAGCAGATAAGTAATCTGTGTAATTGATAAACACATAACTGTCATCTGCATTAGAATGTTGCATTTTTCGAATACCTTGTGGATTGTGTGATATTGGAGACAAGCAATCAACAACAATTTCCGTTACGGCGTCAGAACCGACAAAAAAAGAGGGAGTGAGACACATTGTGTTAAGAAAAAGAGATCGAACTATACTGAGACTCCTCGACGCCAAGCGTTTCTGCGTCTCCTAATTGCTAATTCGAGAAGAAAAAATATTTAATGCATGCAAAAAACTTTTCAATGAATAATGTTGAAGATGTGGACTTGTGAAGAACTACATTGTAATAAAAGAATAGCGAACCAAAGATAGTGAGAGAAAGAGAGAGAAAGAGAGACATACTTATGGGAACATTAATAACAGAGTGAGAGGTTTAAGTGTATTGAGGGTTTGTGTAGGGGAGGGGTTGGAGTGAAATTCACAAGAGGAAGAGGACAGAAGAACGGTGTGTAGGAGAGAGACCGGTGAGTGGAGACGCGCGATAGCGCTCCTGACAAGCCGCGATCGACCGCAGACTGTGTGATCAACGAAAACTCAACTTTGAATTCTCGAGACATTGGTAGTTTCTCGTTTATTTGGGTTTGGGCTACCAACATTGCTAAATTGTCGTCGAGTTCTTTGTTTGCCTCGCACAGAACCAGTTATTGACTGTATTGGTGTGTAGAGGCACGCGTGTCGTGTAAGTCGTGTCCTGACGTGTGCAAGAAGAGGCTAGGCGCCTGTAATTGGGTTGGTAGTGGTTAACTCTGTGTGAAAGTGTTTGTGTCGTGTGTGAGTCTCTGTGTTGAAGCCGCTTTACGCGATAGTGCGACAGAAAGTGGTGTGCGCGCGCGTCGCTACCTAGTAAAAAGGGTGTGTGCGGAAAATCGGAAAGGTGCTTCCGGATATGATTGTTACAATTTTTATTTTGGTTTATCTAGCAAGTTTAATATCTTGAATAGAGGAAAGTTGAATGCAGTAGCATAAGTGGAAAAATTTCCAAAGAGATATAGAGGCAGGGTGGATGTCAGGTTCCTCTTTGGTTCAGGAAGGTTCAGCTCTATCTGTGATTGGCTGATGTTTTCTTGTATGTGTACTAGAGTGCGTCGCAGCAAAACCTGATTTTTACCTATGTGTGAGTGATATTCGTGCATTATATTACTATACTTGGATTAATGTGCTATTGAGGATTACTACACTTTTGTGGATTACTTTTATACTGTGGATTACCATACACTTATGTGGATTACTCAACTACTGTCTGATGCATATTTCTAATGGGAGACTAAAGATGAAACTGTGAACCAAGTGTGACGCTCAAATGTGCATGATGGTGAGTAACAAGACTTTTATAATGGATTCATTCTTCCTCTTATTTTCAAAAAGAAATTTGACAAATTTCATCTTGTTCCATTTGAAAAAGTTTTCATTTATAATATGATACAACAAACCCTAAAATATGATTTTAGCAATAAAGTTTACAAGTTGGCATTTATATAACAAAAACATTTAACAACATTTAACATAAGAATAATAATAATAATAAGATACTGAAATTAATTTTCTTATTTACTTAAAGCGCTTTTTATTAAGGGCTTATATATGTTAAATAAACTTTAGTTTGGTCGGATATACGTATATATGTATTCTCATCAACCAAATTCTTTGCGCACGCGCTATAGTGATGACAACGACGAGGACGACAACACCTCTCCATGATCTATGTTGAGTTACAGAGACTCTTTAACGAACATAGGCTCTGCTTTCGTTTTTCGCTCTCCATTAACCACCTTCCTTTCCGACCATTCCACTACTCAATTGCATACTTTTTACATCACTTACACACTAGTGTGTGAAAGATGTATTCTTATTTATTTTAGTATCCAATGTGACAACAAGTAATAATACAAGAAATTTTAAACTTGAGAAAAATCAATATGAAATCTACTATACAAGTTATAGGAAAAGATTCCTGCACTTCATCGTAATGGTGTCTTATGGGTGTTTCGACTTGATGCCAAACAAAATTAGAATTTTTAATATGTTATTTAAGTTACTAATAATTATGTTGGCTTGAAATTTGACAAAATTAATGTAGAAAAAGTTATCAAAAAATTCTATAGCTACATTAATTTCAAGTAAATTATTTAAATATATATATATATATATATATATATATATATATATATATATATATATATATATATAACACTATTGGTTGGACTCTGGAGCGCAATTCAATAAATTTGTTAAAGACAACCATCTATTCTGATCTTCACAGAATAACTACAGCTGACCAGCAAAAATAATTTCTCCAAACAATTTCATTGGATATAGCATTCTAGTCTCTAATGAGCTGGATGCGTACAACCTCAACATTCTTTTTTCGTTAAAAATACTTTTTTTTTTGTAAAACAAACATAAAGTTGTGACTTTATTTAGCATGACTGAAGAAAATACTTCATGTTTAAGTTTAAAAGCAGAAATTTACAAAAAGTTTGTCTACTACAATTAAGATTCACATTTCGTTTTTTTTTTTTTAATAACAATAGCTGTAATTTTGCAAAATCATTAGAAAGCCTAAATTAGTTTTCAAAACAGACCATAACCAAAATTAATAAAAATTTGGGAAAACATTTTAAATTAACAAATAACTTAATTATAATAACTTAAGTAATAACTGTTTTATAAATTGGTTTTCTAGTTGTACATTAAATTTCAATAGCTGTGTTGTATATATTCTTCTTATACTTGTACATTAAATTGAGCACTCCCTACATTTTATGGACATTTTCGCGAAATATTTTCTATTTACCTAATGTCCCTAAAGTTGGAGCATTAAAACGCTGAGCATCGAAAAATATTTTTTTCACGAAACCGAAAAAATTACTTACTTAATATTTTTCTCAACATTTAAGATTAATGTTAATGTAATGTTTAAAAAATTTGACTTTCTAAGTGAATGAAACAAGTGAAATGTTAAAATTTTCTATGTAATTAAAAATAAAAAAAAAAAATTTTTAATGCTGAACATCAACTCCAACTTTAGCAACCTCTTTTCTGTACTGAAATTGACATTAATTTTTGTATAAAACAAGTTTTCAACAAATTTAATAAACGATTGAGATACAGTTTTCCAAGAATCTCAAATTAAAATCATATATAGAATGAGAACATTGCAATTCAACAATTCAACGCCTTAAAAACCCATTTTTTATTTTATGTTTTGACGATATTATGAAAATATTTCCACTGTTTGTCCGCGCAAGGCTAATATTTAAAAAAAAATGTTGACAATTTATTTAGGTATCAAAAAGCTCAAGTGTTGGGCGCTATTTTTAAACTAATTTTTGATCCCTATCACATGTTTCAAACACAAATAAAATTATTATTCACAATTCATTAGACACCTAGACCCCCCCCCCCCCCCCCTCCCTCACCCACCCTTTGGAGTGTGACGTAGTTTCTAAACTACCCAGAACAAAATTTATATAATACATAATATATAAAAGTATTAATTGATAAGTAAATATGCAATGTGGCTATTTGAATTTAATAAAGTGTGCATCTTAAATTATTATTCGAACTGTAAATCATTTTATCCGAGCATTTTCGCCATCTTAAGGAAGAATCTGATGGACAGTCAAAATAAAAGTTGGTCCAATGTCATAATTTGGTCATTTAAAAGACAAATTTTAAATTTGTTTTGGCGAAAAGACAAAGAATTGAATGTTGCATTTGAATAAAAATTACAATTTTCTGTCAATAAAAAAAAATTGGTAAAATTTTAGGTTATTTTACTTGATTTATTTTATTATTGACAAACAATTATAATTTTTATTTAAATATATAACTTTAAATTGCTCAAAATGTAGACTTGAAAATGAAATTCCTTACGCTTCCACCAAAAAAGGAATTTAAAATTTAATTTGACCTTTTCTTTTAAAATACGAAATTATAACATTGGACTAACTTTTGTTCCGATTGTTTGTCTGATTCTTCCTTAAACTCAAACTTTCAATAAACTCGATTGAGAAAGAAATAAATAGGTAAATTTCGTTCATTTCAATGTTTAGAAATTTAGGATCATTAAAAACTGAAAATAACAGTATAAAACTATTTAATTTTTTGTTGTTTGTGTGTTTTAAATAGGGTAGATCTAATAGTCCATAAATCAGAATTTTAATAAAAGTTGTAATAGGTCGACGCGTTGAGGGTTGAAAATAATACTTTTTTTGTGTGAAATCGAAAAGAATCAACAAAAATTTTCAAAGATTTAGAGGAAAAAAATGCCCAGAACATTTTTTTAATGAATTTAAAGTTACCAATGTTTTTGTTGATGCAAGAATAAAAAAAAAATGTTTAGATAAAAATATCTTAATTACACAGGCCTACAAAAGTTTGGATTTTGACAAACTCACAAACCAAAATATTTTTTTATAACGCAATTTTTTACACTGAATCCCAAAATGACCTTGGAAATTGTTCCATCACGTCAGGATTTTGAGATATTCTAACCTAAATGTGTGTGAAACAGGCCGTTTTTGTAATTAATTGAATGTCTACATTGTAAAAAATTTTTCTTGTAACTTTACAACTTTCAATGTGGGTCCGAAATCTTACCTACTTACTGTGGAAGAGACATAAGTCAGCCAAAATTTGTATATCAACAGAAAGAACTTCTAATACGGCTTTGAGAGGTTATGTAAGTGTACATCGTAAAATGTAAAATTACAATTTATTGTAATTTTGCAGGTTATGATTATATTTACATGTACTTTTGGTAACTGAACAATAAATTACAATTCATTTTTACATTAAAGAGTTGTAATACTACAATTATTGGTAGAAATTTGGAAAATCCATGCTTTCATATAATATATTAATGATATTTTAAAATAAAATATATAAATTGATAAGATAATTAAATACTTATTACTTCTCTTTAAATTTGAATTAGTAAAAATGTTTATTAATTTGAAATTAGTGACTGACTTTTTGCTTTTGAACTAGTAAATTTTACTAATAAATACTAATTTCTACTAATTCATTAGTTTTAATCATTATTTAAAAGCAAAAAGTCAGTCACTAATTCAAGTTAGTAAACTTTTTTTATCTTTCAAATTTAAAGAGTTGTCAAAATAGTAACAATTTATTCTTTTTAAACATTAACAATAACATTTTTTACATACTATATAATAATTATGATATTCATACCCGGAAAAAAAGTACGTGAATCCTTCCTTGACAGTGCTTGACTTTTGGATAGGACACAAAATACAAGGCTGTTCCATATACTTTTTATTAGAAAATATAAGAAAGTCCTAGAATTATTCTAGTACTAGTACGGCCCATGCTAGTACTAGAATAATTCTAGGACTTTCTTATATTTTCTAATAAAAAGTATATGGAACAGCCCCACACAGCACCGAAACTTTCCTAAAAATTTATTAAATATTTACTTGCAAACTTCGAAGTATTTACTTGAAAAGTTTACACTGAGAAAACTGGAGTATTGGACTAAACATCTGGAGGGACAAATCGTTCATATTTGAGAGTTAGCTATTGGATAACAATCTAAATGTTCAAATTCACCATTGACAGATATTCGTGCCATTTCTCTAACAGAGGGACAAATTAACCATCTTGAGAAATCCCTTCCTTACCCGTCGCGAAATGAATAAATATGGCAACCTAACCCCTAAATTAAATACATAAAATGTCAGAAAAATAATAAACTGTAACATTTTTATAACTTATGTTGAAATAGTACATAGATTTTAGCAGCTTTACAACTTTTTGTACTTTTACATTTTGCTTTATAAACTTTTAAACTTGCTACATATTGCAAGGGGGTCCAAAATATTACCTACTTCCAATGTAATGAGACACTGTACACGGAGAAAAAAATGCTGTTGAATCAATGACATATGGGTTTGATTCATTGAATAGTGTCATAACGGGCTGCCTAACGTATATGCTGTTGTTTTGAAAGCACCGATTCTAATGATTCGATAGTATCACTTTCTTTGAAACAAAAGCATATTTCTCAAATTGACAGCATACTATGTTAATTCGAAGGTGAATCCTTTTGAATCAATAAACAAAATTTTTTAATTTAACAGTATATGCTTTTGAGTCAATGACTATAACTTTTAAATTTAAAAGCACACGGAAAAAATTAATTTAGTACATTTTACGAAACTAATTTTGGAATAGCGGATACGGAGAGGAGTTTAGTATAAGATAAAACAGAATCAATAGTAATATATGATGACTGCGTTTCTCGAAAACTCAAAAAAAAATTCTATGGAATTCACAAATGATCGGTTG